CACTTCGTTCGCAAATCAGTCGTATTCGAGAAACTATCGATCAAGTCCTCAACGATGACACTACACTGGCCGATAAAATTAAAACATTGTTCAGAGAACAGGGAATAACCATTGCCAGTATTTTAACCGCGTTGGGATTTATTATATCGACTTTGACTCTCTCGTTAACAGGTGGCAGTACAGGTGGTGGCGGATCACCTCCTAGCGATAAAAATGGTATAAAAGAGTGGATAAAAAAGCATTTAAAAGCATTAGGTTCAGCACTGGGAAAGCTCGCTGAGAAAGCCGCGGCCGCACTTCCCGGTATAATAGGGAGTGTTGTTTCCTGGCTATTGAATTTATTAGCTAAGACCACCACTTGGCTTAGTCAAAACTTGTGGGGGTTGATCGTAGCAATTGCAGGGCTGTTGTACGTGTTCGCTAAGAACTATTTAACCAAATCATGAGTAAGCCAACCGAGACTCCACCCACTACAAGCGCTGTTTTTTCATCGATATGTTGTTGATTTTTAGCCTCAATATGCGGTGGTACTTGTGCGATAGTAGATGGTTGATCGATAAAAGATGGTTGAGCGATAGTTGGTGTTTGTGGCTTGACTATTCCCTTTTCGCCCGTGATCGTTTGCGTTATTAATTCGACGTTAATATCTGAATTTATACCTGGTTTTTGTTGATCGGTAGCGATAACAATTTTATTATTATAGCCTATCACTTGACCGATCTTAAGTTCCATATTACTCGGAGACATGTATAGTCCCGGCGCATAAACGAAGTCCACTTTGGATTGAGCGTACTGTAATGCATCTTGAAAACGCTTTATAGACGATGGTATGTCAACTGGTGAATTAATGCGTCCTCCACGTTTGCGACAAACTGTTTTTGTGCATCGAGCGCCGTCCCAGTACCGATAATGGATGTTCGTGTTTGCGATTGTGCACCGAGAATTGCCCATACATAAGTTCTTATCGATTCATTAAATCTTACAAATCCTGGGTTAGTAAAATTATTTTCCGTTTTATCATTAAGAAATTCATTCCAAGCGTTTGCGGTATCGTTCATTTGTATAAATTTTGTAACAATATAAATTAAACCACTCTTAAAACTCATAATATCCCCTCTCCAATCGTTACTCGAAAGTTCCCAGTCTTTATACCAATGATGAGTTTTTAGAAAATAATCATACATTCTTATGTAAAGTTTGCTGGTATGCAACAACTTAAACGCATTAAATGGACCTTTGTTAACTTCTTTAAATAAATCATCGCTTTCTTCTTTGACGGTTATTTCCCCTGTGTAAGGAACACCTAGACCATGGTTTGCTCCTTTAATACGCCAATCTTTACTTGTAGAAATATTAAATTCCTGACAAATACGCTCATACGCGGACCTATTGTACGGATTATTTTATTCCATGCTCCATCCTGCGGTAATGGAGCACTAATTTCTTTAAGTATACGTCTAATCTGATAATACACGTGAAATAATAAAACAGACTTATTTAGCATAAATCCTGGGGCATTAACAGATACGCCACATCCCGTTGTGGCACACCATATGGCAAAGTTTAACTGATTCTGCCAAAATCGCATCGGATTGTGAAACCAATCGTGCACCATTTTATCGCTAGTTGCCGTGACCCTGTAATTTTCAAAGATATCTGGGAATTTAACGAAAAATTCAGCACCAGAGGCAGTTACTATAATCGATTGATTAGTAATGTATCTCGATTTCATATTTAAGTTATGATATAGTATCATTGTATATTTAATATGTATGTTACACTACCTGGAATAACAAATGGTCAGTCTATTGAACTGCTTCATACTATCGATAACTCGGATGGACAACTCGAAGTAGCTCTATGCGATGTAACGTATTACCCGCTGTGGACCAATATAAGTGCTGCGAGAAGAAATAATAGTATAGATATAATAGGTGAAAACAATGGTATTGAAAAATTCATTACTATACCTGATGGGTATTACAGCGTATGCTCACTCAATGATGAAATTTTTAAGCCTAATGGAGCTAGTCTAACCCAAAATGAGTCGAATGGGATAGTGAAAGTCGACTCTGGAGAAAACGTTGTAATTCTTAGACCATACTTAGAAGTTACACTTGGATTTCATCATAGAATAGGAATTATAAATTCTAACAAACCACGACAGGGAATTAAATTACCCGATTTAGTTCCCTATAAAGAGTTGTTCATCCATCTTGATCAAATAAGCACGACGGATAATATTCAACTAGAAAGTCCTTCAACTCTACTCAGAAGTGTTCCAGTGAAAAATGAAAAATATAATAGCGGTAGAACGGAATCATTCTCGACATTACAATATAAAAAATTGAAGCGGGGTATTATTTCAGACCTTAAAATTTCTGTATTAGATGTAAAACACCAACCTGTACATATAGGATACTTAAGTGTAACACTCCATATTATAAATAATGGTTGATGCATCAGGCCCTGGAACAGTAAGACAATGTAATACAATTGCGCTTTCCGATCTCGGAGACACGGAAGGATTTGGTAAACCCGGCACCGATGGTAAGTTATACGCTTTACACTTACACGATAATGTATACAAGCGGAAAGAAGTCACATTCACGGGTAATCTAGGAGATTTAAGCGATGTCGATGTTAGTAGACTCCTTAAAAACACTTCGTACAATATTACTCGCAACGACGATAATAAATGGACTATGGTTGAAGCAAACATCGAGTGGCTACTGAATATCGTCATTACCCCACCTTATGTGATGATGGGTAAGGGACATAATTTAATTAAGATAATAAATAGTGGCATCGTACTCGCGGCTTATATCCCATCAAAACGAAAAAGTGTGTTAGTTACCCCCCTGCCAGAAAACCCAGGTCATATGATATATAGTCGTCCGGCCTTAAAAAATGTTACTTTAAATTTGGTTACTGAATTCGAAGATATTAAAGATAACTTGAGTGCAATACCTAATCTTTCTACGCTTATTATTGAAGTCTTGTTCGGAGATGCACCGGAAGATGCCTTCGATATATTACCAGGTCTATCGATTAAATGGTTCAAGAATCACGAGCGTCAACGTTGCAGTATTATTCATATCGGAGCATCGCCCGTTGCAACCCTCGAGGGGGTCCAAATTATTAAAAGTGACAGTATTTCTCTTACTAAGATATTCTTGCCGTATAATATACATTTGATAAGGTTGATGTATAGTCTCAAAACATTTAAGCAAGACCAATTAAAGACTATTATATGATCGTTATATACACTATGAGTTTATATCCGGCGCTCAATGAAGCATTTGAAAAGATGGATACCGTTGATGGATTTCGATTACATCAAATAAGCGACATAAAACATCGAATAGGGAAGGATAGGGAGTTGAGACTTGGATTGTATAAAAAGTATCGCAGAGCCGTGAATGCTCTGGACGGAGTTGACACCGCTCTTGTAGTATCTGGCATGGGACTCGGTGTAGCGGGTATCGGTTTACTATCAACTATAATCGCCGCGCCTATTGTGCTCGGCATGGAAATAACCGCTGGAGTCTCGGGACTGGCAGGAATAGCGATAAAATTCATTTCTCGTAGGTTACAAATGAAAGCATTAAAACAAGATAGTATTCGGATACTCGCCGAAGCAAAGTTGAACAGCATTGAGGATCATATTTCGACAGCAATGGCCGATTGTAAGATATCCGAAGATGAGTTTCGTTTAGTGCTGTCGGAGCTCAACAAATACAATAAAATGAAGCAGGAGATTCGATCAAAATCTCGTAAGACCAGTGGTATTAGCGAAGACGAGAAAAAAAAGTTCATAGAAGAGGGGAGGCAACAAGCGCGTCAATTATTCCGTGCCAAAACCAAAGAACTGGTTGGAGATTAAAAATAGATTGTTTACTATCGTGTGATTACATTTAGACAAATGCTAACATAAATATATAATAATGGAGAAAGCTATTCAATGGAAAGAATTACCACAAGGTTTTTATTATATCAGTGATGTCAAACCAACCAAATACGGTTATCAATTGTTTCTTATCAATTTACAAAAAGAGTGTAGTTATATAGTCTGGTCTCCTAGTAAAATGAACGAAGAACTTAATAAAAATGTTGAATATCGCTTTATCGATAAAAATAATAAAGAATATTTTTATTACCATTTAGACTCATCTAAAGCAATGATTGGCCCCAGGTATTGGTAGTGGTCCAGAACCATCATTACCTATAAAAATTTATATCATTGACTCCACCTAGAGCCAATTTAACTTAATCTTATGACTATCGTTGAATCGCATCATCATTTTGGCATAAAAAATTCCTCCTGTAGTAGCAGTATAGGTATATGAATCCTGCTCCAGTGGAGTTGCGGCAGAACCATCATTACCTATACTACTCAACTATATAATGGCCGTCTGTAAATAATTGAGTCTGGACCAGACAACCCAGTGATTGACATCATGAGCATCGAAACACGCAATTGGGATATGATAACATGCATCAACCAAGTCAGTGAGTCTGACCACCCGATCCCGTTAGTCGCCTCTTACGACAAGCACAGTCGCTTTTGACGGCAAGCAAGGGTTGCTGAAGACCTATTCTATCCCGGATCTCCGCGGGTTCATCCCCCTAATGCCAAGCACCAGGCAAGGTAACAACAAGTACCATCTTTCAATGTCTTTTGGCATCTCGTAGACCACGGATGCAATCTTCATGTCAATAGTATCACATCGTAAATCAAGTTGTTGTTTCTTTTAAAACATAGATGTTAGGCTAACAAAAATAGTCTTGGTTCTCAGGCACCACCCGCATCATTAAAAATTCTGTCGCACGTTTTGTTTTTATTTCCATTTTCAAAAAAAATATTAAAAATTCCTAATACTTAAAGACAATGCACCAAAAAAGTGAAAACGGAAACAAAAACGAAACCTGCAAAGAAACTTTATGATGATGTGGGCAATGCCTGAGAACCAAGGCTATTATCTTTTTTTATCACTCACCCATCTCCCGAAGAACATGAGGTAGGGGTGGTCTGGTGGGGGGGAACCCTCAGGGCCGTAGTACTCTAGCAGGCTGAAGGTGTGGGTGGGGTCTTTCAAGTTGACCTTGCCCTTGAAGCTGACAGCCTCCAGAGTGATGTCCTGTACAGAGAGAGATACACAACACTTGGGAGGAGGCACAGCATGTGATGCACAACACTTGGGAGGAGGCACAGCATGCGATGCACAACACCTGGGAGGAGGCACAGCATGCGATGCACAACACCTGGGAGGAGGCACAGCATGTGATACACAACACCTGGGAGGAGGCACAGCATGTGATGCACAACACCTTGGAGGAAACACAGCATGTGATGCACAACACTTGGGAGGAGGCACAGCATGCGATGCACAACACCTGGGAGGAGGCACAGCATGTGATACACAACACCTGGGAGGAGGCACAGCATGCGATGCACAACACCTGGGAGGAGGCACAGCATGTGATACACAACACCTGGGAGGAGACACAGCATGTGATGCACAACACCTGGGAGGAGGCACAGCATGTGATACACAACACCTGGGAGGAGACACAGCATGTGATACACAACACCTGGCAGGAGAAACAGCATGTGATACACAACACCTGGGAGGAGGCACAGCATGTGATACACAACACCTGGGAGGAGACACAGCATGTGATACACAACACCTGGGAGGAGACACAGCATGTGATACACAACACCTGGGAGGAGGCACAGCATGTGATACACAACACCTGGGAGGAGGCACAGCATGTGATACACAACACCTTGGAGGAGGCACAGCATGTGATGCACAACACCTGGGAGGAGGCACAGCATGTGATACACAACACCTGGGAGGAGACACAGCATGTGATGCACACCACTTGGGAGGAGACACAGCATGTGATGCACAACACCTGGGAGGAGGCACAGCATGTGATACACAACACTTGGGAGGAGGCACAGCATGTGATGCACAACACTTGGGAGGAGGCACAGCATGTGATACACAACACCTGGGAGGAGACACAGCATGTGATGCACAACACTTGGGAGGAGACACAGCATGTGATGCACAACACCTGGGAGGAGACACAGCATGTGATGCACAACACCTGGGAGGAGGCACAGCATGTGATGCACAACACTTGGGAGGAGACACAGCATGTGATGCACAACACTTGGGAGGAGACACAGCATGTGATCCACAACACTTGGGAGGAGACACAGCATGTGATGCACAACACCTGGGAGGAGGCACAGCATGTGATGCACAACACTTGGGAGGAGGCACAGCATGTGATGCACAACACCTGGGAGGAGGCACAGCATGTGATGCACAACACTTGGGAGGAGGCACAGCATGTGATGCACAACACTTGGGAGGAGACACAGTATGATGCACAACACCTGGGAGGAGACACAGCATGTGATACACAACACTTGGGAGGATGCAGAGCATGTGATGCACAACACCTGGGAGGAGACACAGCATGTGATGCACAACACCTGGGAGGAGGCACAGCATGTGATGCACAACACCTGGGAGGAGGCACAGCATGTGATGCACAACACCTGGGAGGAGGCACAGCATGTGATGCACAACACTTGGGAGGAGGCACAGCATGTGATGCACAACACCTGGGAGGAGGCACAGCATGTGATGCACAACACCTGGGAGGAGACACAGCATGTGATGCACAACACCTGGGAGGAGGCACAGCATGTGATGCACAACACTTGGGAGGAGACACAGTATGCGATGCACAACACTTGGGAGGAGACACAGCATGTGATACACAACACTTGGGAGGAGGCACAGCATGTGATGCACAACAATGGGAGGAGGCACAGCATGTGATGCACAACAATGGGAGGAGGCACAGCATGTGATGCACAACACTTGGGAGGAGACACAGCATGTGATACACAACACCTGGGAGGAGACACAGCATGCGATGCACAACACCTGGGAGGAGGCACAGCATGTGATGCACAACACCTGGGAGGAGACACAGCATGTGATGCACAACACTTGGGAGGAGGCACAGCATGTGATACACAACACCTGGGAGGAGGCACAGCATGTGATGCACAACACTTGTGAGGAGGCACAGCATGTGATACACAACACCTGGGAGGAGGCACAGCATGTGATGCACAACACCTGGGAGGAGGCACAGCATGTGATGCACAACACCTGGGAGGAGGCACAGCATGTGATGCACAACACTTGGGAGGAGGCACAGCATGTGATGCACAACACTTGGGAGGAGACACAGTATGATGCACAACACCTGGGAGGAGACACAGCATGTGATACACAACACTTGGGAGGAGGCAGAGCATGTGATGCACAACGCCTGGGAGGAGACACAGCATGTGATGCACAACACCTGGGAGGAGGCACAGCATGTGATGCACAACACCTGGGAGGAGGCACAGCATGTGATGCACAACACTTGGGAGGAGACACAGCATGTGATGCACAACACCTGGGAGGAGGCACAGCATGTGATGCACAACACTTGGGAGGAGACACAGTATGCGATGCACAACACTTGGGAGGAGACACAGCATGTGATACACAACACCTGGGAGGAGGCACAGCATGTGATGCACAACAATGGGAGGAGGCACAGCATGTGATGCACAACAATGGGAGGAGGCACAGCATGTGATGCACAACACTTGGGAGGAGGCACAGCATGTGATACACAACACCTGGGAGGAGACACAGCATGCGATGCACAACACCTGGGAGGAGGCACAGCATGTGATGCACAACACCTGGGAGGAGACACAGCATGTGATGCACAACACTTGGGAGGAGGCACAGCATGTGATACACAACACCTGGGAGGAGGCACAGCATGTGATGCACAACACTTGGGAGGAGGCACAGCATGTGATACACAACACCTGGGAGGAGGCACAGCATGTGATGCACAACACCTGGGAGGAGGCACAGCATGTGATGCACAACACCTGGGAGGAGGCACAGCATGTGATGCACAACACTTGGGAGGAGGCACAGCATGTGATGCACAACACCTGGGAGGAGACACAGCATGTGATACACAACACCTGGGAGGAGGCACAGCATGTGATACACAACACTTTCCTAGGAACATTGTAAGTTGTACCATGACACAGAACACTTTAAGATGCTAAGATAATCAAAATGTCCTTTGCATTCAATCCTACCAAAGAAGCCATGAAGATGAGGCTTCAGACATTACATGGATGTTGTACAGGACTATCATGACAAGTTATATATGTCTGCTCAGAATCTGGAATTTACACACTCTAATGTAAAGAGTCATACAGTGGTCACAATTAGCAGGCTTAGGTTGTTGGTTTGTTGTTGGTTGGTTGTTTGTTTGTTTTAGCAATATTCCAGCTCTATGATGGCGGTCTGTAAATAATCGAGTCTGGACCAGACAATCCAGTGATTGACGTCATGAACATTGATCCACACAATTGAGATTGGTGACATGCATCAACCAAATCAGCGAGTTAATTTTATATGTTACTGACACATTAAGCACCAGTTTATATGCTGGCACACACTTCCATATATGTGCTACATATATACACTGTCACGCTGACATGAAGTTGTCTCTATTTGTGATGCTCCTTCACAGACACACACCATCCTCTTCCTATGACACACTTTTACACCCCCCCACACACACCACCCTGTTCATATGACACACTTTTACACCCACACCCACACCGCCCTGTTCATATATGACACACTTTTACACACACCGCCCTGTTCATATGACACACTTTTACACACACACACACACACACACACACACACACACACACACACACACACACACACACACACACACACACACACACACACACACAAACACACACAAACAAACACACACACACACCCTGTTCATATGACACACTTTTACACACACACACACACACACACACACACACACACACACAAAACACACACACACACACACACACACACACACACACACACACACAAACAAACACACACACACAAACAAACACACACACCCTGTTCATATGACACACTTTTACACACACACACACACACACACACACAAACAAACACACACACACACAAACAAACACACACACACACCCTGTTCATATGACACACTTTTACACACACACCAACCTCTTCATACATCATACTTTTACACACACACCAACCTCTCTGTATGAAACACTTTCACACAGACACACATCAACCTCTTCATATGAAACACATTCACACAGACACACATCAACCTCTTCATATGAAACACATTCACACAGACACACACCAACGACTTCCTATGAAACACATTCACACAGACACACCTCTTCATATGATTTGGTTGGTTGGTTTGTTGTTTAACGCCGCACTCAGCAATATTCTAGCTATATGACGGGGGTCCGTAAATAATCGAGTCCGGGCCAGAATATCCAGTGATTAATATCATGAGCATCGATCTACCGAATTTGGATCGATGACATGCATCAACCAAGTCCGCGAGCCTGACCACCTGATCCCGATAGTCGCCTCTTACGACAAGCAGAGTCGCCTTTTACTGCAAGCATGGGTTGCTAAAAGACCTATTCTACCCCAGATATTCACGGGTCAGCAAGCTTAGGAACTTTGTTGTTATTGGTCATCAAAAGAAGAAAGAAAACATACACTACCTCAATTTTTTGGACTTTTTCTTTCAGCAACATTTTCTTGTTAAAGGTATCCACAACAATTTTGAATGTAGTGTCCTCCATCAAATAAGGTTTCTGAAAGAAAACAAATCACAATTGAATTGATTAACAACAAAGATGTTGTGTGCAAAAATTGCCATATACAATGTATCTGGTATTACTTTATCTCATGGTCTTAGATGTCTTACAGAGAAAGTTAGATGTCTTACAGAGAAAGATTGTGAAATTCCAACATGCTTGTTTGTTTAATGTCACACTTAATGTCAAAATTCAAGCTATATGACGGTGGTCTGGGCCAGACAATCCAATGATTGACATCATGAGCATCTGTCTATGCAAGTGGAATACGATGACATGCATCAGCTAAGTCAGCGAGTCTGACCAACGGATTCTGTTAGTCACCGCTTACGACAAGCATGGGTTGATAGGGATCAGTTCTAACCTGGATCCAACATGTTTGTTTGTTTAACGCCACACTCAGCAATATTCCAGCTTTATTAAAGCGGTCTGTAAATGTATGACGGTGGTCTGGACCAGACAATCCAGTGATTGATATCATGAGCATCGATCCACGTAAATGGAATACGATGACATGCATCAACCAAGTCAGCGAGTCTGACCATCCAATCGCCTCTTATGACAAGTAGAAGACTTCGTCTAACCCAGATCTTCACGGGTTTGGATCCAACATGAAGTCTATGCGTAGTCATTTATGATCATCTTGATGAAAACTTGAATAAGCCGTAAAATTGGCAAATGATCATGCTAGTAGTATGTACACTTAGTTCCATGGGGTAATTCCTCAAGTTGGTGTACAGCTCCTGTTTACTAGAACCCTGTCCCCACAACTCGTACAGAGACCTGAAACAGATGGGGAGAGTCATACTGCTGACGTAAAGTTACTGTTATCCAGAGGGCTCACTTCCCAGTATAGCCTTTTTCCTTTTTTTTCATCTTCACCTGCTGAAACAACAAGGGCTGGTGGCAGCCAATACATTGTACCTTGAGGACAGGGGGGTGTATCAAATACTGAGAATCCCATAGACTTAAGTCTCTCAGAAATACTCCAGCTATATGATGGAGGCTAGTATACAATCGAGTTTGCACCAGACATACCAGTGATCGACATCATGAGCCACAAGGATCCGTAACTAGATATGTCTGAGCAGGGTTATCATTTTGCAAAAAAGATATGCAGCTTCATTGCTAAAAATGTTCTTGTGTCCTTGAAAATAGATTTTCTACCATGTCTACAAATATGTACAGGGTGTTATTGGTGAATTGTTTGTCATCTTACGCACTGCAGGACATATATGGGCATGACGAGTGGAACACATGTTACCTGACTCAACCCTGTATCAACATGACCACATGTTTTCCTTATTATCATTGTTTATAACTTAGTCTGTAGAATTCATTTTCCAATGCATCAGGTAAGCATGGTCAGGGGTCGAAATAAAATTATGAAACAATATCTTTAAAAGTGATCAATAAATGATATAGTTGGTAGGAGGGTAAACATGGAGAAAAAAATAAACTACATGACCAGATTTACAACTATGAACATGATAAAAAAGAAAAACTTTCTGGAACCAGTAAGGAACAATAGCAATTATTGTAGTGAAATATAACATGATTAACAGACTCAGCAGGAATTAAAAAGAACATAAGCATAATAAATGCCCCCTGTTTGTATTTTGCCATTGTTAATAGCCACCTTCAGCATGCTTGGTATAAACAAATCCACCTACTTCACGAGGACAGTCCGATTCATGATCCGCTTTGCATGTTCCAATGACGGCAGCTCAACAACCAGAAAAGGATTCTGAAGAAACAACATTACAACATCCAAATACCATGATTACCAACAGGATCCATGATTACAGAGGATTAATGTTATCCAAATATAATGTTCTTTTCACCTTGTGTACACGTCATTAGTAACTTACTTTTTTTTCAAGCTTCTCTTCATTTATCTTGATGTCAAAGCCCAGCAATGACACAATTGATTTCAATTCCTGTAAGAACAAAAATAATTACGATACAAATACATGTATATATACTTGGTGACAGCAATGACACTGCAATAACGCAATGATAAACTTTTAATACAGAAACCATTAAAACATTATACGGCAACAATGCAGTTTACTGGGAGCCAGAGTTCTACCCTCCGCTCACTTACCGCGCTATATTGCGCAACCGCTGTCTCGCTATACCGTTACCATGCCTCACACTCCAGTGACTCGATTCATGATCCAACACTCCTTTTCAGTCTTGGGTAAACTTACACGTCTTTACGATCCAACACCTTTTGGTCTTCTTAGGGAAAGAACCAAATCACAAATGTAGATTACCTGGCATAGATCAGGACCTCAGGTGGTGGATTGTGTTCATTTCAAATAGTGAGAACAGATGCCTTGTTTGGGCAACACCCCTTTTTGGTCTTAGGGAAACTTACATGTCTTTATGATCCAACACCCCTTTTCGGTCTTAGGGAAACTTACATGTCTTTATGATCCAACATCCCTTTTCGGTCTTAGGGAAACTTACATGTCTTTATGATCCAACACCCCTTTTCGGTCTTAGGGAAACTTACATGTCTTTATGATCCAACACCCCTTTTCGGTCTTAGGGAAACTTACATGTCTTTATGATCCAACACCCCTTTTCGGTCTTAGGGAAACTTACATGTCTTTATGATCCAACATCCCTTTTCGGTCTTAGGGAAACTTACATGTCTTTATGATCCAACACCCCTTTTCGGTCTTAGGGAAACTTACATGTCTTTATGATCCAACACCCCTTTTCGGTCTTAGGGAAACTTACATGTCTTTATGATCCAACACCCCTTTTCGGTCTTAGGGAAACTTACATGTCTTTATGATCCAACACCCCTTTTCGGTCTTAGGGAAACTTACATGTCTTTATGATCCAACATCCCTTTTCGGTCTTAGGGAAACTTACATGTCTTTATGATCCAACACCCCTTTTCGGTCTTAGGGAAACTTACATGTCTTTATGATCCAACACCCCTTTTCGGTCTTAGGGAAACTTACATGTCTTTATGATCCAACACCCCTTTTCAGTCTTAGAGAAACTTACATGTCTTTATGATCCAACACCCCTTTTCAGTCTTAAGGAAACTTACATGTCTTTATGATCCAACACCCCTTTTCGGTCTTAGGGAAATTTATATGTCTTTATGATCCTACACCCCTTTTCGGTCCTTAGGGTTAGCTTGGTTTGGGCAAGGGTTAGCCATAAATTCTTACCTTTCAAGTGTGTCAATCTGATTGGTTGGTCATGTTGACATAAACAAATGCGGGTGTGGTTTCAAGAAAAGATGAATGGGAGAGCAGACCGTGACATCACATGCATGCGCAATTCATTGTTTACTGAATTACGCATGCATGTTAATGGGGTGCTAATGACCCATTAAACGAGCACTGATAACATGTGATAGCGCTCATAGTCCATTGGTAGAGCACTGGCTAATTAACTTATTAACTAGCCAAGACGGTGAGCCGGCGAAGCACATTTGAGCCCCCACAGCACAAATTGGATCTGAAAAAGTGCGCCCAGTAAAGTGCACTACTCCCCATGATACCACTATTTCTGAAGGAACTGACCATGCCAGTGAGTGAGTGGTTTACAGCAATATTATGGTGGGCGATACCAATAATGGGCCTCACACATTCTACCTATCTGACTTGGTTGAAGCATGTCATCGATCCCAATTGCGTGGATCGATGCACATGATATCAATCACTGGATTGTCTGGTCCAGACTCGACTATTTACAGACCGCCGTCATATAGCTGGAATATTGCGGAGTGCGGCGTTAAACAACCAAAACACCAACCAACCCAGACGAGACATTACGGTCTTACCCAGTAAACTGCATTGTTGCCAAAGTATTCCTACATCCTACATCCTACCGAATCTTTGGTTTCATGTGTACGGCTCTTGGAGTCAATACAGGAGGACTAATCAGTGATCAGAGATGCTCATCATGAAGAAGTCTGAAAATAACAATTTTCTATTTTTCCTTTGGAAAGGAAGCTAACATCCCCGAAAGGTCTCAAAATAGCGACAAAGCTGTATACTCACCGGTATTTTAAAATCTATATGTTCACTGGCAAAGTGAAAAAGAAATTTAGAACTAATCCCTTTACCCGGTCCCGAAAGCACACTTTTACTCATGGGCGCAGCCATGTTTTCACTCTTTGGTATTGAAAACAGCTAAAGTGATACCTTCAAAAGAGACATGTGTATTTCCACTAAAACGAAAACACCGCGTTTATATATTACAAATGTACCAGTGATGAAAATTATACGCACATACATTTTTAAATAAACCCTATGCCATCATTATCACTATTTATGTTATGCATGTACACGTCTAAATAAGACAATATAGAACATTTATTCGATTATGAATTCACTTTCCATTTCATTTTTAACGAAACACATACCGGAAGTTTACATCTGCACAACTTGCCGATTCATGACAGATAGATTACTTGTAGATTTCATCAAACTGTTGTGAAATATCGCTTTATTGGAGAAGGATGACACAGGCAGGCCTCGAACTACTGTTTGACACTGTGTCGGAGCAGCTGACATGCCCAGGGGACGCTGTCATTTGTGTCTTGCACTGGAATATAGTGTCAAATGGGTTTAAATGCACAGGAGTTGGCGAGGTATATAACTTTGGAAGAAACAGAAGTGAAAGTAGCCCATTAGTTATCACGTTCAGCTATCAGGAGTCCGTGAATATACTCCAGTCGCCTGTATTCTAAAGTGGCATATGTATTGTATACTTGATGACATTGATGGAATAAAGCAGTTGTAATAATTTCAAAAAGCTAAACACACATATGCAGCGTTAGAAACTAACAGTTTTAGACCACTAGTCCTTATAATGATAACATATAGCAAAACCCTTAAAAAGGGCAAATTTCTACTAGTCCTGATGATACCTTAACTATTGGGCAGTTTGGCAAGGACTATAGGACTAGTGTCAATTTCTAACGCTGATAATATGTAATAGTCTCTTTATTATCAATATTTTGTTTTGGGATTAGCTGTAAAGATGAAGGCATTTTTCTGTATTGGAAACTGTTCAAGACAACTGCAGTGCCAAGATGACTTCAACACTGATGATAGGTTGTGACAACAATTACTACTGTGACGTCATTACACACTGTGTTAACAACTTGTCTGTATTATGTCAGCAATATGCTGCATGGCATGTGAAGTCATTGTTACTCTTGTGCTTTATATTATGTATTTTATCGATAATCTTGAGCCATATGGATAATAAATTGATTTATCTCAAAACTTCCTGCAGCAGATGTTAAAGTGCTGTAAGATCACAGTTTTATTTACCCCTAGTGATTGTGTTTGATTCTAGTTTGTTTGATACATTTACTGATTTCAGGATGGGCTCCTGTCTAAAAAGACTGAGCGTTTACCCCAGGGATGGAACAATTCCAGAGAGCTGTACACACTCAAGTATAACCAAACCAAGTCTAATGATGACTTTGTACTTAAAGTGGTGAAAATCGATGAGAGTCTCCTTGTACATTTCATGGTAGGTAAACATCACTACACACTGACCCTTCCTGTGTTAAGGGTCTCTGCCATTGTGTACTGTAACCATGGTAACAGTGTGTAAGTTTAACCCTGTTTGTATTCTGGGTCACAATAGCTCCTTGGCACCTCAAGCTTTTCAGTAGAGCTGTATAATATGAGGAATTATGGTTAACAGTATGCAACTTGGCAGATAGTGTGTCAGTGTAGGCTGATGACTTGTATGGTTACTCATGCTGTCAACCACTGGTTTGCCTGTCCCATACTTGATTATTCAGAGGTTGCTGTGATGTAACTGCTGTGTATTGTTGTGCTCTAATGATATGTTTATTGTTCTTCAGAGACGGAGAGATGAGAAGGTGTCGAGTATGAATATCCGTCTTGCAATGTACACAAATCAGGATCTCACAGATATAGATACGTGAGTTACATTTATATTTGTAAGACTACAATTTGTGGCAAAAATGTAAATTTCCAATCTCATATGTCAGAGAAGATGTTGCATACACCATGTATGCATGACATCGTTCTGGTTCCATCACGATCTGGATATGATGTCCTCATGGGATGCCACTCTTGTAGGGTGTCTGTTATATATGATTGTGATATTTTTAATTGTGTTGGTTACCACAGATGTCACATGTGTTTAATAAAATTTATTCTGTACCAGTACATATTATTTCACAAATTACTTTGATCTGTTTCATCATCATGATTTTTTGCATCATTAGATGGTTTACAAACAGGCAGCTTCAACATTTCCATTTTATAATAATAATCAGTCACAGACGTAACGTGTACGCGTGACGGCTCAGCCGTCTCTTGTACGCGAGACGGTGCGGTCCGCAGTACTCAGTGAAGCGCTTGATACTAATTAATTCAATCACCGTGGCTGTGCTGTCACCCGCGACCTCCGCGAAAGTAATTAAAGCGCTATGTAAAATCACCCACTGCCGAGAGGGACCACAACAATCCACCCAAGGTCGTGACTGGCGGGTCGCGTGTGCATCGGGGCATCCGCCTTCCTATTTTCACATACCCTATTTTCGAACAGTTAAAACATGTCAACATGTCATTCTGGACTGGATACACTTGAAAGTGTACACGTCGAAGCTAGCGACCAATTATCGCCATTTTTCATGTTATTTCTGGCATATTCCGTGTATACTCTGACCTCGTGGTACCGCAGCATTCATCGTATCGCGGCATTTGTGATTTCCGGTCGCTCACGCGGGACACGCCTTTTAGCGGGTGTCTGTTATGACAATCAGTAACCAGGAAGTGCTCGCTCCGTAAACAATTTCAATTTCCTCGGAATGTTCCGTCTGCTGCAAGTTAGGGGTCATTATCGCATTGATACTTACTTCTGGTATCTTTTATTTTTTTATTATTGCCTTACCCCCATCTGTCAATGGACAGCGATATGACCGGCAGTTTCCCAAATAAACTTTCTCTCTCGAGCTGAACTAGCTCATCTACATATTCATGGCGACTAATAAGGTAACGGAAGTTACGTAGCCCGCACATTTTCCCGCGCTGTGGTCAGGATATATTAGGAGATAATTAGGGCCAAAATTTCATACTTAGCAGTACTTTCTTCACTAGTAGCCAAATCATAAATACATACTTTTGGCATAACAGGAGTGAATAATCATAAATTTTAGTGAGTGACATTTGTTCCGTTTATGACAAGTACCGCGAAACCCGAGGCTGCAGGCTACAAAGTTGAATGTACCAATAACTTTAATTTTTGTGAAACTGTGAGCATATGCGCTTTCTTGAATAAGATTCAGTTGATTTCGGTTATAGCGTTACAATGTCTGTCTGTGCTACGATAGGGAACAGTGGAAACTTTACCGGTGACTTATTGTACCAGCTCTCGCAATCGCCTTACAGCACGTGATCACGCCCACAGTTCCAGTTTACAAATGACATTTTGGGGATATTTCAGTTTTCGCGCTCAATATTATTTTAATTCACCAAAATTAATAAGAAATGCTATTATCAATTTGTTCTTTGCAAACTGACAATATTCCCCAAATTCGATCTTGCTTATCCCTATGTGTACCTCAAATAGATTTCAGAATTGTATTTTGAGGAAGATAGGATATTGAAGATATTGAGCAAGGTGAATATTGCGGGTTTTGAAAAAATATTTCCGCACAAGAGTCCTTTTGATCATTGTTTTCGGATAAATATTTCTCCCCTGTTATGAAAACTAAGACTCTCAAAACTAAAATGAGATGCAACCACGTGCGCGCTATAACGGTTAGCGATAATTGTTCCTCGGCGATATAACAAGAAAAAAAAATCAAAATGTCCGATCACGTGATATACAATTTAGCCTTTTGTGGCAGTGGAGAAACGCTTAGTCATCATGATAAATCCACCTGATTGCGGTTCGCTCTATTCTTGCTGCGCCAAACGACACCTATCTGAGCAGCAGCCACATTGACGTGTTTTTGTTGTCGATTAGTGTATACACGATCATTATCATATTATGCGCAGTATCCTATATTTTCTGTTCTGCTTGGCATTGTTTTATATGCAGATATTAAAAATACCGCATGTATTTTCTCGTAAATTATAGGCCGGAAATAGCAATCAGCTCACATCTACCTGTTCGTCAGCGGTGTTTCTGGAAATAAATCCGTTCATTGATGCACGATTCGTATATCTGAAAAGTATTGAATGGAATATTCAATCGTGTAATAACAGGATTTCCGGTGTTATGCTAATTTGCATCTTGTGATTACGCGATCTAATTGAAGAGGAGCCGGCGAGACGACTGACCCGCGTTTTGTTGTCCTCATAATAAAGTGATGAGAATAGAATAGAATACTACAATGATGAAAGCGCTTATAACGAAATAACGGGTATAGAGAGAACCCGTGTGTATTGTCAACGACAATGTTTACGATAGCGAACGGTTAATACCTGAGCTTGGCTGCTCACGTGTCAACAGTCAGCCTATCAAAATGCGCGTTGTTAAACGACAATATACAACTGAAGGCAATTGGTGCTAGTACCGTGTTCTCAAATTACAGCCTCAATTGAACAAGGACAGTGACAGTGATTAACTATAGCACAGTATTTGCCGCAAGAACTTTGATAGTAGGCTCGTTAAAAACAAAGAAGGTGCTAACAGTATAAAATATATTTCGTTTGTAAAAGTCTGGAGGATTACTATTTATACGTATCCCCTCGAGAGACCCGAAAGTTACCTATATACGATTCCCGCACCAATTGATGCCCCCTCCCATATAATTTTTTAACTGGTGGTGTAATGACAGCAGACGAAATTGAATTATGTTCTTGTATGAACACATAGAAAACAGGCAATGATAATGTATAGCATTTCGTATTTAATCCCGTATTATCAGTAACATGACAATGTCTGAAATAATATAAATATAGACGAGTGCATATTTTAACACGATACAGTTGTATATTGATCGATCAGAAGGGGATTAGCCAGTGTGAGCCAGTCGGTGGTCAGACTATGCCCACAACTAAGCGGTTTTAATCACCTGCATCACATGTAGGTCCGTGCTGTTTCATATTGAATATATGTTGTTACCGTTTAGCAATTGCTATTTTATGAACAAATATCCATGCACGACGTAGTGGTTGATGTCATGTAAACTAATGCAACTGTTCAACAATTGTTAATTCATTCGTCATATTTAGATTTGTCAAGCGTGAGCATAACCGTTTATTCATCCACACTAGACTAAAGTTATGGATCAGCTGACGAAAAGGTTTTCGTCCTTAGTTCAATATGTGCATTCTTTCCGTGGACCTACTGGATGGGGATCCGAAGTTTTTCCAGTCACTACACACGCGTCGGTGTGTCCTGTAGTGGTATTTTCCACAATTTATGGGTAAGTAAGGAACTGTAGCAGCGTACTAGTTCAATTTCTATTCCGCTACCAAACTTTATTTTAAAAGCGCATGCGTGTAACCACAAACGTTAGACGGATGACGTGTTATGCTACAACAAATATACTACTGATAATAGTTGATGTCATTGATTCGACGGGATTTGGGAATATAACATATGCCGAAACAACTCGACTTACCCTAATGGTTACTCGACAGTTCTGAGGCTTGCGAAGTAAAGATGAAACCCACACTTGTGGAACATGCAACCGTTCAAAGATATCATAAATTTTCATAAATGGTCTACAAACAGCTATACACACAGCATTCGATGTATTCGAAATAACTGAAAAACAGGTATTCATCAATTGGATGAAATCGACATGTCTTTTTTATTCTGCAGATATCATGCTTTCCGGGTATAACCACCAATCGCCTTGCCGTTGAACATGATGAAGATTCACCAAGAACCAGGCAACCAATTCGACACCTCAGCCATCAACTGCTGCTACCAGATGGACAATGTGTGGGTAGGGTCCCAAAGACCTGGCGTCATCACGTCAGCGATGAATGATGGATCTCTGCAGAACGCTACCCCGTTCTTTCACGATAGATTTAGTGCAGTAAATTCACCACGACAGTGGTCCAAAGTTAATCCCTTTTAAGTCTCCAACAGGCACACGCTTGATCAAAAACCGAAAACTGGCAGGATTCCAGAAGATGACTTGTACTGTTGAGACAGACACACATGTATATTATCATGATTTTTTTGTCATTGTATAGTTTTATGAATAAATAAGTCTTGGGAACAGTTGTGTCAATTACTATCCTCTGATAATCCCATTATGAAAGAACACGTAACCGGTGCTTATGCAGATTAGTTAACCTCAATAAGTGTCAATTCCAATCCAAGTTGAATCAGTACTCGCACCAATCGGCAGCATATCAGGGACGTGTATACTGATTTCGCTTAGCAACTCGAATCACACATGTGGGTAGGCTGTGTCAGCCATATCCAAAGGAAGCCAACGAAATTTATACAAGCACGGTTTCTGCGAAGTCTTTGATAGGCATATATAATGGTTTACATCGCTTTAGCATAAATGACCTAATAAAGTATAAATAAATCAATCTCTGGTGGGGAGGGGGTTGGGGGGGTACAAACCCACAAGCAAATCCAATTTTATATTTACTTTACCGCATCTATGGGGTATGGTGTGAATAATGAAAAAAAATATATATTTGGAATTGTATATTGTATTTGGAAATATACATTGTGAGCGCGCACACGGCCAGTCCTTCAGGGTCATGTATAGGTACGGGGAGGGACCTGTAGGATTTATGACCACCTCAAATTGCACTGAATATACAGGCAGTCTCGGCAATTAGGTAAAACACGTGCGATGCAGTAGCATATTCTATATAGTAGTGTATCCTGCGTGCGCGATAGGCCGTTTGGACCAGATTATATTATTTCCTGTCCACCTGTGCTCGGGTATATTTTGTGTATAAAGAAAGTTTATCGTGTCATACATGTTCCAAGACATCATCTCACAAATTAATGTATATTCTGTCCTAAATATTGATCTGACAGTCATTAAAAGTGCCGATACGTCGAACCTTCGCGAGGCAAGATTTACAAACAATTGCCGATAACCCCCGAGCTCACTCGGCCATGCTCGCCTTATTTTCACCCCCCACTGCGGTTGTGCAGGGTATCACGTGATCGAACCTTTCTCTTGTTAGAAAACTAACGCACCTATTCTGAAATAAGAGTGAGCGAGTTAATTGTTAACGTCGAATCGGTATTATTTCAGCCATATGGCGACGAGTCCAAGTTAATATGTTTACATTTTGAACAGAGGTGCCTAATGCATGCCTTTCGGACCGTTTCAAATATTCTTTTACATAATCATATAGAGATGCTAATTAAACTGCGACAGTGAGGTGCATGACAAACACCATGCAAAATGACGCCAATTATTCGTTAGTTTTGATGTTAAATTGTTCGATAACAAGTATTACAACAGTCAATAACTACGTATGTTTGTTTTTATGGACATCTGTAATCTATGGATGTTGACCAGGCAGTCACGCTACAAGTGACTCCCCCTCAGGCCGTGTTTCACTGCTTGTTCGGAGAGCCGTCTCTCGTACGCGTAACGGGGCTGTGGGACGACTTGTTTAGCAATTGCGAGCAGTTTAAGGAAAGTAGATATGTTTCAACGCGCTGGCACATAGGTGTGCGTTCGTGTGCCTGAATAAGTATTTATATGTTGTTACACTACGACGAATAAGCTTTAAGAAAATACTGAAATTATGTATCTGAAAAATATGCACATAGGAGAAAATCGCTGTCCAAATCGACAAATTTGGCTCCAATTCCTACATTTCTCTCCAAATTTGACTCCTTTAATTTATTTTTCTACTTTGTATATCGTTCGATAACAAGCATCTAACAGTCAGCTACGTATATTTGTTTATATAATCACATAGGAAGTGTGTAGAAACGGTTTTTTGGTGTCACATGCAGACATCTGTAATCCTTCGACGGGCAGTCACGCCTACAAGTGACTCTCTCTCAGGCCGTGTTTCACTGCTTGTTCGGAGAGCCGTCTCTCGTACGCGTAACGGGGCTGTGGGAAGACTTGTTTAGCAACTGCGAGCAGTTTGAGGAAAGTAGATATGTTTCAACGCGCTGGCACATAGGTGTGCGTTGGTGTGCGTGAAATAATTGATATATGTTGTTATACTACGACGAATAAGCTTTAAGAAAATACTGAAATTATGTATCTGAAAAATATGCACATAGGAGAAAATCGCTGTCCAAAATCGACAAATTTGGCTCCAATTTCGTACATTTCTCTCCAAATTTGACCCCTTTAATTTATTTTTCTACTTTGTATATCGTTCGATAACAAGCATCTAACAGTCAGCTACGTATATTTGTTTATATAATCACATAGGAAGTGTGTAGAAACGGTTTTTTGGTGTCACATGCAGACATCTGTAATCCTTCGACGGGCATGCAGTCACGCCTACAAGTGACTCTCTCTCAGGCCGTGTTTCACTGCTTGTTCGGAGAGCCGTCTCTCGTACGCGTAACGGGGCTGTGGGAAGACTTGTTTAGCAACTGCGAGCAGTTTGAGGAAAGTAGATATGTTTCAACGCGCTGGCACATAGGTGTGCGTTGGTGTGCGTGAAATAATTGATATATGTTGTTATACTACGACGAATAAGCTTTAAGAAAATACTGAAATTATGTATCTGAAAAATATGCACATAGAAGAAAATCGCTGTCCAAAATCGACAAATTTGGCTCCAATTTCGTACATTTCTCTCCAAATTTGACCCCTTTAATTTATTTTTCTACTTTGTATATCGTTCGATAACAAGCATCTAACAGTCAGCTACGTATATTTGTTTATATAATCACATAGGAAGTGTGTAGAGACGTTTTTTTGGTGTCACATGCAGACATCTGTAATCCTTCGACAGGCAGTCACGCCTACAAGTGACTCTCTCTCAGGCCGTGTTTCACTGCTTGTTCGGAGAGCCGTCTCTCGTACGCGTAACGGGGCTGTGGGAAGACTTGTTTAGCAACTGCGAGCAGTTTGAGTAAAGTAGATATGTTTCAACGCGCTGGCACATAGGTGTGCGTTGGTGTGCGTGAAATAATTTACATATGTTGTTATACTACGACGAATAAGCTTTAAGAAAATACTGAAATTATGTATCTGAAAAATATGCACATAGGAGAAAATCGCTGTCCAAAATCGACAAATTTGGCTCCAATTTCGTACATATCTCTCCAAATTTGACCCCTTTAATTTATTTTTCTACTTTGTATATCGTTCGATAACAAGCATCTATAACAGTCAACTACGTATATTTGTTTATATAATCACATAGGAAGTGTGTAGAGACGTTTTTTTGGTGTCACATGCAGACATCTGCAATCCTTCGACAGGCAGTCACGCCTACAAGTGACTCTCTCTCAGGCCGTGTTTCACTGCTTGTTCGGAGAGCCGTCTCTCGTACGCGTAACGGGGCTGTGGGACGACTTGTTTAGCAGTTGCGAGCAGTTTGAGGAAAGTAGATATGTTTCAACGCGCATGCACATAGGTGTGCGTTGGTGTGCGTGAAATAATTGATATATGTTGTTATACTACGACGAATAAGCTTTAAGAAAATACTGAAATTATGTTTCTGAAAAATATGCACATAGATGAAAATCGCTGTCCAAAATCGGCAAATTTGACTCTTTTAATTTCAATATGTTATGTGCTTTACTCATTTTTTCACAGAAATACTTTGTTTTCCAACAATTTTACTTCCACCTAAAAATATATTACCCACTGCAAAATTGTTTTTCTAATACGTGATCAAAATACATTTCCTCCTTGTTCTAACCACGAAACTACGCGCTAAATAAATATCGTGCATATTACACGCATCATTCTGATTCAGACACATTTAGTGTAACAAGACGGATGTTCCGATTGAACATTTTAGTCAGGCATCGGTTACCTCCCTTTATCGGCTTGTCGACCAGTCACTTGTACGCGAGACGGTTCGCGCAGTTTCGAAGAAAGTAAACATGTTTCAACGCGATGGAAAATGGGTGTGCGTTGGTGTGCGTGAAATAATTTATATATTTTGTAACTCTACGATGAATAAGCTTTTAGAAAATACTACGTGTTAGTTTCTGAAAAATATGTACATAGGAGAAAATCGCTGTCAAAAACAGAACATTTTGCTCGATTTTTACACATTTTTCTCCCAATTTGACCGTTTATTATTTTTCTTATGACATTTTTTTCATGTCATTCGATAACTAGTAGGATAATCAATAACTGTACTTAATTTTGTTTTATTATTTTCACAAATAACGCTTGTAGAGATATTTTTGTGCAACAGGCAGAAATCCATGGTCCACTGACAGACCGTCACGCATACGCGTGACCCCTCTCAGGGGGTCACTTGTACGCGAGACGGGAGAGCCGTCTCGCGTACACGTTACGTCCTCTACTGATAATAATAATAATAATGATAATAAGAAGAATAAGAATGATAATGATAATTATTTTTTTTGTTAACCTTCAAAAATGTGCTTACAGAGCTTTCAAGAATTTAGGGGAGCTTGAAAAGAACATTACGAAAGAGATATTAAAAGATTTCCTGTCTGGCACCAAGACATCTTCCTCACAAGCATCAGTATCAAGGACACAGAGTAATCAAGGGAGATCGCCCTTGTTAGAAGATGATCCACTGCGAGTCCCAAGTCGTAGGCAGCCTGCCCCTCCCGACTGGTAGGTTCTCCATGTGTCATGATTATAGGATGTGGTTATACTGTGAGTTGGGTGTTTTAGTTATGTCATGGCCTGTCAGCTCAATGTAGGAGAAAAATAACTTTATGTGAAGGTCATGGATGTTTGCCACTATAGCGAAACAAAGAGTATGGCAGCCTTCAAAATTCACTCTAGTCCGCTAGCCCGAGACTACTGAACTGTGCTGAGGACAAGTGAGAATCAAGTGAAGGTAGTCCTTATTGACTGGTAACATTTGAGGACTGTAATTTTGAACCAGTTCTCAATGCTTCAGTTTTGCTACAAATAGGAATGGAATACAACTGACAGAAAATGTAAACATAGTAAACATTATTTTCTTGTTCAAGGACTGCCTCCATGGCCTTGTGATAGAGTGTCTGCCCAGGGAACGGAAGGTCGGGTGTTCGATCGATGGTTTTCATTTATTTCTCCACATAGTCCCCTTCCAGGTTTACACACTTTTGCCAGCAATTCTGGATGCCGGTCAAGAAGAAATTTTCTTCAGCCACCGTAAAAAGTCATTCAAAGCAGAAATAACGTCATCATTACTAGGAAAAGTTCCTTTTTCATTTTGGGAAACAGGTGGAAGTCTGACGGGGCTAAATCAGGTGAATAAGGGGGATGGTCAATGAGTTCGAAGCCACAATCATGGATCTCTGACATGGCAACCACCGATTTGTGAACAGGAGCATTGTCTTGGTGGAACAGGACTCCTTTAGTGAGCATTCCCCGTCGCTTAGGTTTGATAGCTTCACGCAACTGTCTCAGTAGGTCAGCATATTATCTTCCATTGATAGTCTTGCCTTTTTCAAGATAGTCAATCAGCAGAAAACCCTTGGAATCCCAAAAGACTGAAGCCATCACCTTTCCAGCAGAAGGAACCGACTTGTTTTTTGGGGGGGCTGGTGATTCCTGATGCTTCCATTGTTTAGACTGAATTTTGGTTTCTGGTTGAAAGTGATGAATCCAGGTCTCATCCATGGTTACAAATTGGGCCAAAAAATCATCGGTATCTGCTTCAAAACGGCAAAATTTGTCATGGGACGTCAGGAATCTGACACGTTTTTGATCTGCTGTCAAGAGCTTTGGCACCCATCTTGCAGAAACTTTTGTCATTCCCAACTCGTTGGTGATAATGTGCTCAACCCTCTCATGAGAGATGCCCACAACACTGGCAATATTTCGAGTGGTCAATCGTCGATCAGCCATCACCATGTCATGCAATCTGGTAATGTTTTCCGGAATGGTTGCTGTTGAAGGCCTTCCTGTACGCGGGTCATCGTCAAGGCTCTCTCTGCCATGCTTGAATTCCGCAGCCCACTTCTTTACAGTGGTAAAGGAAGGGGCATCATCCCCTAAAGTGGAGACCATGTCAGCATGTATCTGTGTTGGAGTTAGCCCTTTCAGTTGCAGGTACTTGATGACTGCCCTATAGCCAGTTTTGTCCATTTCTGGTGATTTCAATGGGTAGGTTCACAAGATGGTCTGGTACAAAGACAATAATAACACTACAGTTGCAGTTCTTATGTCTATGATTCATTAAATGATTGTACTTGTTGGTGGCAAAAGTTTGTTTCAATCCAATTGAGATATCCCACTTAGGCTGAGAACTTTTCAGCCAGCCCTCGTATATCAAAAGACGTGAAAAGATGGTACTTGTTGTTACTCTGCCTGGGGCTTGGCACTATGGGGCTAAAACAGGGACTGGTCGGCTCTGAGTCCGAGTGGGGTATTCATGTTAAACAGCAGCATGGTATCTCAGTGGGCTAGCGCTATGAAATCGGCATCAGTTCGGACTAGTACAAGCAGCCACACACACATGCATGCACATCGCTTTGTAAGTGCAATAATTTTTAACCCCATTTCACCTCACCTCTTGTTCAAGCAGGATCAGCTACAAACTCTAAGGATCAGTGTAATAACGTCAACACTCGTCCTCTGGACTAGTCTGGGGGGCACGGGTGGCCCAGTCGTCTAAGGCACCGCAATTCGCTGTGCAGAGTTGTGTCCCTTGGGCACGCCAAAATCCTATCATTTTGAGTTCAAATCCCGGTTTGCCATGATTTTGTGTCTAGGTTTGTCAGCACCATACCTGTGCTCATGGGTTTCACTGAAGTGGAAAATGTCTGAGACCTGCATCACTTCGGGCTTTCCTCCCACATTAAGCTAACACGCTGTGATATAACTGTAATACTGTTAAAAGCAGCGTTAAACCCAACTCACTCACTTAGGAAAACTGAACTTGTAGGCTACGTGGGTATTGTGCTCACGTGTGTTTGCGTTCCTATGATCTCATCTTCTAAATGTTTAAGTTTTCATTGACAGACTCGATGTATTGCTCATGACCACTCGAGTCCAGAGCTGTATATGTCAAAGTTTAAGTTTGTGCAACTATCCATCTACAAAAGACATGGCGTTGTCATTGAAAGACCCTTATGTAATAGGGAAATGCTTTCTGTTGGAACTGGTTTGCTGATCCATTTGTCTGAGATATAACTAGCAGCCCCTTCTGTATAAATCTGTGAGTCTTGACTTTGGTAATTTTATAAATATGGCTATGTAATATTACGTATAAAACAACTTTATGAAGTAAAGAAATGACTGCTAGAGAGACTCTTATGTAATCTCGTGGCCACGAAAGCTTGTAAAATACCCAGCTCAGCTTGTATGCAGTAGAGTAAATGCAACAATAGAAGGAACGCCAACACATTCACCATCTTCCCGAGACAAGGGAGTTAACTGACTATAGAAGTCCAGTTTTCATGGACTTATATAGTCAGTTAACTCCCATTGCTCAGGAAGACGCACATTCATTAACGGTCAAGGTTATAACTAGAATCTGGAGATTAATCATCATTGTACAATCTGGCTTACCGTATTCGACGTAATAAGCGCCCAGAGCGCTCTCAAAATTAGAAATAGGGGGCTCTTATTAGAATAATATTTTGTCGAAAAAAACAGAGTTGAAAGAAAAATTCCGTGGTTTATGCTGAAAGCCTGAAATGTTTATATATGAGAGATATATTTTTCCAGAATTTAATTGCCCATAATTAGGTGTGCATATAACACACGTGTGCGTATTATACGCGAATAAATAAGTATTGTGTACATTGATCAATCAGAAAGGATGCTAATTGGGATTGTTCACGCGCCAATATATTAGCAAATATCGCCGTGGGCGCTTATTAGAGCGGACTGTGTATTTGTTTCTGATTCTGATTATTTGATTCTGATGTTTCTTAGGTTTATGTGTACAGGGCAGGGCTCGATTTAAGGAACTTCATGTATCTTGCATCAGGTGCATGTTGACATAAAAAATTAGTTGCACCAGACAATTAAAAATGCACTCTTGTCCCATAAAGTTATCAAAGATGAAACATAGAACATAAACTGCATAAGTACATCTCAGATGTCTGATGACTGTGTCATGATTTTACATAATTATTGTTGTAAATGTAACAGGATGTGCACATAATCCTGAAGTTCCCACAGTTTGATGACATCACAACACAAGAAAGGATGACAAATTACACATAACCCAGGGATTAATGATGTACTATGGTGCATAAAGCTTGCAGGTATTCACTGTGTTCAGAGATAGTTGTCTGGAAAAGTAAGGGTTAGTCGGACGCAAATTTGAATTTTTTAAGCATGCACTTTGTGCATTTAGAAATAAATATTAGGTTGCACTTTTCAATAATAGGTTGCATTGGTGCATGTTTTATGTAGCTGAATTGAGCCCTGTGGGGTATTTTATCCAGTGAAGAAGCAAACACAGGTAGTGATTTTCTTCATCTGTAAGTATTTGGGGAAAATAAATTGATAGGATAAGAGTGGATGAAAGTCTTTAAAAATTTTATTTTCTCAATACCTTATCGTGAGTTGTTTTCATGTTTTAGGATGCCATCAAGTGACCCATTCGCAGTCGGGCGATCTGACCTTGACCCTCTAGCTGGTGGGATGGGTGGGATGTTGATGGACCCCCGAAGGTCGGGTGTTCCTGGGTTTGCGCCTGACCCAAATGCTGGTCTACCAAGTAGGCTCCCACCGTAAGTAGTGCCGGGACTTGAAGAAACAAGTGAGGTCCAGGTCACTTTAACACCTTGAAATGCTGTAATTGTTTCAGAATCACTCACTTTTATATCCCAGATCTAAAGATGAAATATTGTGCAGATACGTGGTTGTTACCCCAAAATGTTGTGACTTTCACTTTAGTACCCAGCTCATGGAGGTGTAGAATTTGAAAGAATCAACTGGTATTGATTTCTACTTAATATCTTGGACTAGCAGCGGTGTCCTTATGAAATATGACTGTACTTCGTGACGTTATCCTGCTCAGGTTCTCATGATCAAAGGTAGCCTTTACTCTCAATGAAGGAGTATGGTTTGATGATGATTTAGCAAAATACAAGCAATATCATATCAGGGATGACCAGAAGGAAACTCACTTCGTACCCATGTCGGATAACCCAAGTATTAGTTGTGTTTAGTGCTTTTATTTAGCCACTTGACTCCACATTTTGCCCTATAGACTACACACATGACCAAGTCATCATTGCATGTCATTCTGTCACAGATGTAGGTCCTGTGTTGAACATATCTGAGTGTGCTAAAGATTAAGTTATCAACAATGACTTCTACTTTCTAGGGGCTCTGTTCCACCAGGAGCGAGGTTCGACCCATTTGGACCCCCTGGAGCCAGACATGGGTGAGAACTGAGAACTATTGGCAGTCCGACTTGTCTATTTTACAGCTCATGCTTTCTAAAAATACATGTGCTTATGATTCATTGCAAAGTTCTAAAATCAGTCATAAGCTACATGTCAACAAGTTATCATTTTTTAAAAATTGTTCTAAATTTGATGTCTTTTAAACAATATTTTCTATTTCCCTTCACAGGCCTGATCCAGACCACATGAAACCCCCGGGCTATGATGACATGTTCATGTGAACTGGCTTGTAATAGATCATGTGACCTGGCTAGTACTGGATATTGTGACCTGGCTCATTCTTGGTCATGTGACCTGGCTAGTACTGGGTCATGTGACCTGGCTAGTACTGGATCATGTGACCTGGCAAGTACTGGATATTGTGACCTGGCTCATTCTGGATCATGTGACCTGGCTTGTACTGAATCATGGGACCTGGCTTGTACTGGAATATGTGACCTTGCTAGTACTGGATCATGTGACCTGGCTAGTACTGGATATTGTGACCTGGCTCATTCTGGATCATGTGACCTTGCTAGTACTGGATCATGTGACCTGGCTAGTACTGGATCATGTGACCTGGCTGGTAATGGATATTGTGACCTGGCTCATTCTGGATCATGTGACCTGGCTTGTACTGAACCATGTGACCTGGCTTGTACTGGAACATGTGACCTGGCTAGTACTGGATCATGTGACCTGGCTGGTAATGGATATTGTGACCTGGCTCATTCTGGAACATGTGACCTGGCTTGTACTGAACCATGTGACCTGGCTTGTATTGGATCATGTGACCTGGCTTGTATTGGATCATGTGACCTGGCTTGTATTGGATCATGTGACCTGGCAGTGAGGGACCACACACATGTTATAGCTGTCTGTTATACTCTTTCTTCCATGTCGTCATGGTGCTTGTTTTAACTTGTATATATTGTTTGTGGTCAAGCAGATCAAGTTCAAAATGTCAGTTATGGATTGGATGTAAAGTAACCTGTAAAACTACTCTCATGACATGTTCTTTGTTGATTCACATTCTTTGGAAATAAAACAGTTGTTTTTAGACATATCACCAGCCATTTTCTGGAGGTTGTTGTACATGTTGTAAGATGGTGAGATATTTGGTTAGATAGAGGATTTGTTGTCAAGGGGAAACTGCCATATAAAACTGTTTTATTTTGTGAAGACACTTCTTTCCCAATCCGGGTTAGAATAGATCCCCAGCAACCATGGCAATCTATGCTGGTTGTAAGAGGCAATGATCGGTGGGTCAGGCTCATGGGTCAGGCTCAGTGACTTAGTTGTTTAAGTGTCACCAGACCCAGATAGCATGGATTGTTGTTCGCAATGTCAATCACTGGATTGTCAGATCGATTATTTACAGACCACCTTCATAGAGCTGGAATATTGCTGAGTGTGGCGTTAACAACAAACAAACAACAGTAAAGAATGAGCCATCATTTAAGGTGCAGCTGTTTCCTAGGAAGCCTTAGGCTTATAAAAAATAAAAGAACTGGTTCTCAGGCAATGACTTTTGAAATTACAGTGCAGACAGGCTGTGTGTTTTTTGGGGGTTTCTTTTGGCTTGTTCAAACTAGTATGTAACCAAATAAACAGTTGTGTACCACCAACCTGGGAAAGAGCCTCCCTACATAAACAAGCATACAAACTCCTATTGCTGCCATGACCATAACACAAGACGCACAGTAAAGCAGTGTGCATGTAAAGGGAAGTAAGTAACTGTGTGCTATATTGGATTGCATTGTTTTGAAGTATTAGGATTTTTTATTTTTTTGAAAATGGAAAAAAAAGTAACGTGCGGCCGACTTTATGAGGATGTGGGCAGTGCCTGAGAACCAAGGATATTATTTATTCTAGCCTTATAGCCTCTGATTGTAGGTTTGAAAATCTGATTGGCCCTGATTATGAATATGACCCTTGGTCTATAAGCAACTGCGCTAATGTGTTGCATCCAAGTGGTAAACTGCTATAAACACTGATCAAAGTGATGGTAAACTCAACACACACACCTTGTGGGTATTCCAGGTTAGAGCAACCTCCCCAGCAACCTATGCTGGGCGTAAGAGGCGACTAATTTGATCGGGTATACAGGCTCAATATGTCATCGTATGCCACACCCGTGAAGATCCAGGTTAGAATAGGTCTTCAGCAACCCTTGCCTGCTATAAAATGTGACTATGCTTGTCGTAAGAAGCGACCAACAGGATTGGGTGGTTAGGCTCACTGATTTGGTTGATGCATGTCATCGTATCCCAATTGCGTAGATTGATGCTCATGACATCACTGGAGAGTGGTCTAAATTTGATAATTTACGGACTTCGTCAGACAGCTGGAATGTTGCTGAGTAGGGCATTCAACAACAAACTAATATTTCATCAGAGAAATAGAAAATCTTATAGGGACATAAAGATTTTGATTTTAGAATACAAAACCGTCAATCAGAAAAAGAAGTGTGAAGTATGTTGTATGAACAAATTTGATTACCACTGAATACAATCCCCATGCATCTCCAGCGAGTTTGTGTCTCAGTCTTAGAATACATTAGAATACATACAGATTATATATCATCTCAAAACTTTGACACTTTTATGCCAGGATTTTCAGAAGCAGTGACCTTTGCTGACACATTAACAACACCAGAGTTGCTGAGTTGGCCCCCAAATCCATGGTTTTAGAATCTCTATGTCTAAAGCTTCTACCAAACAACATGGTTGTTGATGTTTAATTGCCAAAACAGATTGAGGTACTTCACCTGGATTTGAGGGTTACATTTGAAATTCTATATTTTGGTTCATTAGGCATTTTAGGGGGATGGAAGGGTAGCCTAGTGGTTAAAGCGTTCACTCATCATGCTGAAAGCCTGGGTTTCGATTCCCCACATGGGTACAATGTGTGAAGCCCATGTCTGGTGTCCCCCGCCGTGATATTGCTGGAATATTGCTTAAAGTGGCATAAAACCAAACTCACTCACTCACTCACTCATTTTAGGCATGTCCTCAACCACCATATCATTCAGTTGCTGTGTGGTACGCAGTTCATCATTGTATCTGTTGATGAAAGTCACACAGAACAGAGTGTTGGTAGTGAGCTAAGTGTTCTGTCTCTTCCTTGCCTCCTGGTAACCCCCTGGTGAGTTTCAATACGGAAGTATTAGCTAGTGTGTAGTTTGCTTGCTGATAAATGTTTGTCACAAGGACCAGTAACATATCACAGTATTTTGGTTTATTTCAAATCTCAGGAATATACAACAAAATCAACTTCAAAATATATTACAAGATTTCAATGGAATGTTGCCGCTAGATTGAAACATGTTTGTACAATAAAATGAAAACCTAGTGTGAATATTATTATAGAATGTGATCATTGCATATTAACGACAAATACATAACAAAATGGAGATCCATATGACATTGTAAATATGTATATGTATACAAACATGAAAATGCTGCTCATTTAAAGAGGGACTAGTAAGATCAAATGGCAGCCCAGTGATGTTCCATTCAGGTTGGGCGGTCGGGTAGCCTAGTGGTTAAAGCGTTCGCTCGTCACGCCGAAGACCCGGGTTCGATTCCCGACATGGGTACAATGTGTGAAGCCCATTTCTGGTGTCCCCCGTCGTGATATTGCTGGAATATTGCTAAAACCATATTGTAAAACCATACTCACTCACTCACTCACTCCATTCAGGTTGTTGAACACCAGGTGTGTGTATATAGCAGGTAATCATTCCTCCATGCAATTACACAGAGATCAGATCTTAGTCTCACATTCTGAACTCATATTTTATTAGAAATGGGCACCAGCGTGGAACATAGTCCAATTTGGTAACTCAGCGTCAAAATAATTGATTTAATTCAATGTTTGACAAGAATACCTACATGTTCTACTGCCCTGAGAAGATCTAAGTTAGAATTTGGTCTTCGGGAACCCATGCTTGCCCTATAAGGCGACTATGCTTGTCATAAGAGACAACTAACGGATCGGGTGGTCAGGCTCACTGACTTGGTTGATGCATATCATTGTATCCAAATTGCGTTGATCATGACATCAATCACTGGATTGTCTGGTCCAGACTATTATTTACAGACCGCCATCATATAACTGGAATATTGCTGGAGTGCGGCGTTAAACAACAAACAAACCAGTTCTACTACATTGGAGATATGTACATTTTGGTGGGAGGCATGTTTCAAGGGAGTATGGACAAGGGTGTAGGTAAACAATAACAGGCCAAACATGTACCTAAAGCTTGTATGAGAGAGAATGATTGTTTGGCCCTAACAAATCAAATATGAGTTTTGCAGAATGTCCTTTTTATTAAAAAAAAGTGTTTTTGGTCTGATCATGAACAGATTTCAGTGTTTAGGTGGAATCGCTTACAAAACAAAGTGTATGGCGATATTAAACTCTCAGGTGGTAAATCTTGAAAATCTGAAACCATTATTATAAAATCCTTGGTATTCCATCAGCTTATGAGATGCTGCATGCCCCATGAAAAATGTATTCTTTTTGGGTAAAGCAATAAAAGATGTGAAGAACAAATACTTTTTGTGGCCTTCCCCAGAGGAGCCATGATACAGCATACAGTGCAACATGTAGTTACAGTTGGTGTGCATTAGAGGGCAGATTCACTAAGCTATTCACACATACATCAGACTTTACCCTATTACCGTGAGAATCCAGCGTACAAGATATTTACCAAAGGGATACAGGTCTATCATCTGTGTCACTTTGGCAGATCTCCCACATTAAACCAACACTGTGACTTGACAGAAATACTGTTCATAGATGTAGATAAAAAATAACAAACTACAAATGCATAAATGAATACTTCATCCTCATCATATTCATCAACCTCCTCCTCCTCCTCCTCCTCCTCATCATCATCATCATCGCTGTCATCCACAACAATGGTGAACCAGTATGAAAAAAAAACTGACTTCAGTATCTTGGTTTTCAAGGGAATTACCAAGAATTTTTTTCTGTCATTTGTGTGCTACAGCTCGCATACAATAATAATTTTACAATTATAAACAATAGCTAGATAGTTCTCTTCATTTGTGTAAGCTGTCTCACATGGTCCTCAGGCTGACAGAAAACTATGGTTGTGGGTTCGAATCCCAGATTCCCCCTGATCATGTTTCTACTGCTGCAGGACAAAGTGGTACTTCTTGAGACACAGTTCAGGATTTCCTCCCATATCAAGCTGGCACTGTGCGATTTAACTGAAATACTGGCCCACTGGTCGTTAAACTACAGGTTACTACACTCAATCACTCTGGAAAAAATCACTCACTCACTCACTCACTCTTCAGAGAGTCTGGAAATAATCATTCTCCAGATCTCGCATAGGGTCCAACTTGTTCTTCAGTTCCTTCTTTTCCACTGAAACACAGACGGAAATATGTGTCAAAACACCTTGCAAATCTCTGTGGGGGGACTCTTAGCCATATTCCAGCCATATGACGGCGGTCTGTAAATAATCGAGTCTGGACCAGACAGTCCAGTGATAGACATTATGAACATCGATCCACGCAGTTGGGATACGATAACATGCATCAACCAAGTCAGCGAGCCTGACCACCCGATCCCGTTCGTCGCATTTTACGGCAAGCATGGGTTGCTGAAGGCTATTCTAACCCGGATCTTCACAGGCCAATCAGTGAAGTATCACAAGGCTTCAATAAGTGAAGTAGCACCAGCTCCTTATGTTATTTCAGTATGACAGGTAAACACATTTATGTGGTGTCCGTGAGATTCTCACCCAAATGCACACTTTCTTACGATCTTACTATCTGTGATTGAATACTTACACAGGTAAATATGTTTTGGGTAGATTTGGTGGAACAAAGATTTGGGTATCTGTGAATGTATATTGTAAACGCGCTTTGGGTACCTGTGAATAAATACTTACACAGATAACGGGCTTTGGGTACCTGTGAATATATACTTACACAGATAACGCGCTTTGGGTATCTGTGAATGAATACTTACATAGATAAACGCGCTTTGGGTACCAGTGAATGAATACTTACATAGATAAACGCGCTTTGGGTATCTGTGAATGAATACTTACATAGATAAACGCGCTTTGGGTATCTGTGAATGAATACTTACATAGATAAACGCGCTTTGGGTATCTGAGAATGAATACTTACATAGATAAACGCGCTTTGGGTATCTGTGAATGAATACTTACATAGATAAACGCGCTTTGGATATCTGTGAATGAATACTTACATAGATAACGCGCTTTTGGTATCTGTGAATGAATACTTACATAGATAAACGCGCTGTGGGTATCTGTGAATGAATACTTACATAGATAAACGCGCTTTGGGTATCTGTGAATGAATACTTACATAGATAAACGCGCTTTGGGTATCTGTGAATGAATACTTACATAGATAAACGCGCTTTGGGTATCTGTGCATGAATACTTACATAGATAAACGCGCTTTGGGTATCTGTGAATGAATACTTACATAGATAAACACGCTTTGGGTATCTGTGAATGAATACTTACATAGATAAACGCGCTTTGGGTATCTGTGAATGAATACTTACATAGATAAACACGCTTTGGGTATCTGTGAATGAATACTTACATAGATAAACGCGCTTTGGGTATCTGTGAATGAATACTTACATAGATAAACGCGCTTTGGGTATCTGTGAATGAATACTTACATAGATAAACGCGCTTTTGGTATCTGTGAATGAATACTTACATAGATAAACGCGCTTTGGGTATCTGTGAATGAATACTTACATAGATAAACGCGCTTTGGGTACCTGTGAATAAATACTTACACAGATAACGGGCTTTGGGTACCTGTGAATATATACTTACACAGATAACGGGCTTTGGGTATCTGTGAATGAATACTTACATAGATAAACGCGCTTTGGGTATCTGTGAATGAATACTTACATAGATAAACGCGCTTTGGGTACCAGTGAATGAATACTTACATAGATAAACGCGCTTTGGGTATCTGTGAATGAATACTTACATAGATAAACGCGCTTTGGGTACCTGTGAATAAATACTTACACAGATAAACGCGCTTTGGGTACCTGTGAATAAATACTTACATAGATAAACGCGCTTTGGGTATCTGTGAATGAATACTTACATAGATAAACACGCTTTGGGTACCAGTGAATGAATACTTACATAGATAAACGCGCTTTGGGTATCTGTGAATGAATACTTACATAGATAAACGCGCTTTGGGTATCTGTGAATAAATACTTACATAGATAAACGCGCTTTGGGTATCTGTGAATGAATACTTACATAGATAAACACGCTTTGGGTACCAGTGAATGAATACTTACATAGATAAACGCGCTTTGGGTATCTGTGAATGAATACTTACATAGATAAACGCGCTTTGGGTATCTGTGACGGAGAACAAAGACGATAAGGACGATGCTCCCCACCACAAGCAGCAGCCCCAACACCACCGCCAACACCCACCACATGCTCGTAGAGGCAGCCTCTATGATGCCTGCAATGGAACAACGTGTAGTGTATCATATAGCAAGCGTTGAAGCCGCGTTAAACAATAACTAGCTGCTCAAATACACCCGCCATAGACCGAGTGGGAAGGAACCACATGTGACAGTTTCTCGGGGAGGGTCATAAAAAATGATACTGATTATAAAGTGGACATCTTTTTATAAAATGTAAAGTGCTTTTGCCTTTTTTTCGGGGAGGGTAAAAAAAGATACATGATCATAGGGAGCGTTATTAAAAAAATATGACAAGCATTATTGAAGGATAATTATTTTAGTATGTTAGTGCATCAAAGAGAAATTGACACCCTTATTTGATCACTAAATTGCTAATATTCCCGACCAGAAATCAATTGAAGTTATGTTATAATATACAGTGATTTCACGTAAATGCACAGTACAGGATAAGAAGGTTGCATTTCTGTTAAACCTACGGCGATCTTATATTCACACCTATATGCCCCTATTACGGACTGGAATGTGACATCTCAGATAAAGTGGATGGTTGTCTCATGTCAACACTAAGAGTGAGTGAGTGAGTTGGGTTTAACCAAAGACGTATATAGAATGTATATACGTCCGTGGTTTAACGCTCTAACACTCTTACGCCGCTTTTAACAGTATTACAGTTATATCGCGGCCTGTCAGCTTAATATGGGAGGAAAGCCCGAAGTGATGCAGGTCTCAGACGTTTACCACTTCGGTGAAACCAACGAGCACGGTGCTGACAAACCTAGAAACATAATCGGGATTCGAACCCACAATCATAGGTTTCTTGCGTGCCCAAGGGACGCAACTCTGCACAGCGAATCGCGACGCCTTAGACGACTAGGCCCCCCGGCCCCCGTCAAGGCTATAGCGGATATTAGAGCAATGTTATAACATAAGGTGATCTCGGACTGACTTGAACAGCTTGCTGACAGCATACGGTGATTTGCCTTGTAAACCTACTGCCACTTTTGCCTATTGTATTGTTGTAGGTATCTTGCTATCGCAGTGTAACCTTGCGCCAGGTACTACATGGATTCTTTTAATATGCATCTAATGTTGATTTTTGACTGGTTAAAAGTCAGATTCTTTTCTACCATGAAAATTACATGACGTAAATCGAACCTGCAACTTCACATATCATGTTTTGTATTGTAACCCACTGTTTTCCCACTGAGCAACCGGGGCAGGTGATGATAGGGTGTTCAATCTTACATGTCATGTCTTCAGTTGTGTGCATGCTTCACATGGTTTTTCTCTCGCCCGCTGTCATCGATTTCGTTTTATACTACGAGTGTTGTATTGCTTCACTCTAAGATATCCCTATGTTTTCTTATTCTTTCTGGTATTTCTTGCATTTTGACGGTTTATAAGTTAGTTGAAATAGTTTTCCACTGTTCTGTTCATTTCCCGAGCCCAAGGTTTTATATTTTTAACTAAACCCGCGGAGTCGTGTTTTAACTACAATACACCACACTATAATATCCTGGGCGATGTTGTATCCACAAAGCGAGGTTAGGGCTATGTCGATCGTAACTCCCATTCTTTAACACTGACTTACGACAGTCGTAGGGCTGAGATCGCCTATGGTAAGAGTTCTAAACGACACTGTCACACACGTATATACATACCTTCCGTGACTGGCTGCACCTCTGTTGTGGAGGGGTCTGTGGTGGGCGGCATCCTCATCACGTCGACACTGACGACCACATGCTGCACGTCGTGGCTGATCACACACGCGTATAGCCCCAACACAGTGTCCAGGTCCATGGGGTTGAGGTCCGTAGTGTTGATGGTGATGCTGCTGTGTGTGTCGTTGCTACGCAGTGAAATACCAGGACGAGATTGTCTTATGTCTTTGCTGTTGAGCGTCCAGCGGAACGCCAGCGTCCGACTGGGGTCAGTGACGGCGGAGACAGACAACGTCTTCACATCTCCATGTACCACTCGGACAACCGGAGACGGGCGGGACCCTATTGTGATTGGCGCTGGAAGGTTCCAAGAGAGTGAGTGAGTGAGTTGAAAGGGTTTTGCGCCGCTTTTAGCACTATTCCAGCAATATCAGGACGGGGAACACCAGAAATGGGCCTCACACTTTGAACCCATGTGGGCAATCGAACCAGCGTCTTTGGCGAGCGAACGCTTTAACGACGAGCCCCCCATCACAAAGAGGAATGGTAGTTGTATGCATAATCATAAACACCTATACACGCCATGCACTGAGTCACACGATTGTTGTAGATTATCCTGATTGGAACATCCTCGATTAAGTAGCATTATATCTCCTTTCTATTATGCTATATACCCTGGTCCCATTCGCCACGATGACTTAGTTTCGGAAGTGGCATCACCTCATACATCGTTCATGCCTCTAACTTAGCACAAAATTTCTTTCGACCATGAGAGTAATTTCATTGGATGGTTATTTTTAGTGTTGTACCGTTCGATTCGTGCTCAAAACGAACACATGCTATAACGAATAGGTCCGTGGTATTAAAGATAATAGTATAAAATACAAAGGATAATCGAGGTCGTGTTTGGACGTTCTGTTTGTTTGTTTGTTTGTTGTTTAACGCTGCACTCAGCAATATGCCAATCATATCACGGTGGTTTGTAAGTACTCTGGTGGTATTGGGTTTCAGTTTTATTTCGGGAATCAGTTTAATGTGGGGAAAAGACCAGTGAGAATCTAGGACTCGACACCAAGATCAGTGGATCCTGGCCCGGCCAAGGGACGCAAAACTACACAGAGATTGCACAGCCTCAGACGACTTGAACATCCGCCCCACCTCCCTCTGATTGAAGAATAATGTATTCACACTATATACCAGAGAGCAAGGGATGACATTAGTGCACCTACTTAGAATATTCAGATATGCGTCCTTAAAGATGCTTCCAAACTCGTTCTGTACCAGACACTGCACGTTCATGATGTCCATATCACGTGACACGTGAAGCAACCGGAACTTGGTGAAATTGATGATCCTCTTGTCGTCTAGAAAAAAACAACAATAACAGCAACCTCGCAGCAACATGTAACCATCAAGAGTAGCCTACTAAATGATATCCACTGTAACGGTCGAGTAAGTGAGTATGATGAGTTCAACACCGCTTTTAACAGTACTGCAGTTATATCAGCTTAATGTGGGAGGAAAGCCCGAAGTTATGCAGTCCACTGTAACGAATAGAATGAACACATCGCTTTTAGGCGTAGAATGGAGCGTAACACATCGCTATTAGGCGTAGAAATAAACGTAACACGTCGCTATTAGGCGTAGAATTAAACGTAACACGTCGCTATGAGGCGTAGAGTGAAACGTGACACATCGCTATAACGGGTAGAGTGAAACATGACACATCGCTATAATGCGTAGTGTGAGTGACTGAGTGAGTTAATGCTTTACGTCACATCAGCAATATTTCATCCATATCGTGACGACTATAACGCGTAGAGTGAAACATGACACATCGCTATAATGCGTAGTGTGAGTGACTGAGTGAGTTAATGCTTTACGTCACATCAGCAATATTTCATCCATATCGTGACGACTATAACGCGTAGAGTGAAACATGACACATCGCTATAATGCGTAGTGTGAGTGACTGAGTGAGTTAATGCTTTACGTCACATCGGCAATATTTCAGCCATATCGTGACGACTATAACGCGTAGAGTGAGAGTTAACTTTAAGGTTTGATTGATTTGTTTGTTGTTTAACGCCGCACTCAGCAATACTCCAGCTATATGACGGCGGTCTGGACCAGACAATCCAGTGATTGAAATCATGAACATCTACCCACGCAATTGGAATAAGATGACACGCATCAACCAAGTCAGCGAGCTTGACCACCCGATCCCTTTAGTCACCTCTTATGACAAGCATGGGTTGCTGAAGACCAACTCTAACCTGGATCTTCAGGAGGGTATCATGATTTTGAGTAAAATATGGCGATAATATGGTGATATGACATATCTATCTATCATGATATCTAACGGGGCGGTCGGGTAGCCTCGTGGTTAAAGCGTTAGCTCGTCACGCCGAAGACCCGGGTTCGATTCCCGACATGGGTACAATGTGTGAAGCCCATTTCTGGTGTCCCCCGCCGTGATATTGCTGGAATATTGCTAAAAGCGGCGTAAAACCAAACTCACTTACTCACTCATGATATCTAACATGTATAAGACATAAAGACATGAAGGTGTCAGAAATGTCGTACTGTGGGGAAGCTGTTCGCCGTTCTGGTACCATATAGGAGGAGAAGGTGTGTTCTCCCTGTCTGCGCCTTTCGATATACAGTCGAACGTGACGTTGCTTCCCTCCACGACTGTCTGCGACAACGGGGGCTCCACCCACATCGGTCGGGCTGAAAACCACACATTACAGTTATTAAGAAATTATATATGCATGATAATGTCTGTAACCTTGTTTGACAATGTATGTAACCGTGTATGACAATGTACGTAATACGTATGACAATGTATGTGACCATGTAACACAGTGTATGTAACCACGTATGACACTGTTTGTGGCCATGTATGACAATGTATGTCACGATGTATAACAATGTATGTAATATGTATGACAATGTATGTAACCGTGTATGACAATGTATGTTACCTTGTATGACAATGCATGTAACATGTATGACAATGTATGTTGCCATGTATGACAATGTTTGTGGCCATGTTTGACAATGTATGTCACCTTGTATAACAATGTATGGAACATGTATTACAATGTATGTAACCTTGTATGACAATGCATGTAACCGTGTATGACAATGTATGTAACATGTATGACAATGTATGTAACATGTATGACAATAAATCGACTATGTATGACAATGTATGTGACCATGTATGACAATGTATGTAACCGTGTATGATAATGCAAGTTACTGTGTATGACAATGTATGTAACCTTGTATAACAATGTATGTAACGTATGACAATGTGTGTAACCGTGTATGACAATGTATGTAACATGTATGACGCTGTATGTAAACGTGTATGACAGTGTATGTTGCCATGTATGACAATAAGAGTTACCATGTATGACAATGTATGTAACATGTATGACAATGTATGTAACCGTGTATGACAATGTATGTAGCCTTGTAGCACAATGTACATGTATGTAACGATGTATAACAATGTATGTTACCATGTATGACAGTGTATGTAACGATGTATAACAATGTATGTTACCATGTATGACAGTGTATGTAACGATGTATAACAATGTATGTTACCATGTATGACAGTGAATGTAACGATGTATAACAATGTTTGTGACCATGTATGACAGTGTATGTAACGATGTAAAACAATGTATGTTACCATTTATGACAATGATTGTTTATTGTAAGACAATGTCTGTAACCATGTGAGACAAGGTATGTTCATTGTATGACAATGTATGTAACCGTGTATGACAATGCATTGTACCATGTATGACAATGTCTGTTACCATGTGAGACAAGGTATGTTCATTGTATGACAATGTATGTAACCGTGTATGACAATGCATGTAACCGTGTATGACAATGTCTGTGACCATGTATGACAGTGTATGTAACGATGTATAACAATGTATGTTACCATTTATGACAATGATTGTTTATTGTAAGACAATGTCTGTAACCATGTGAGACAAGGTATGTTCATTGTATGACAATGTATGTAACCGTGTATGACAATGCATTGTACCATGTATGACAATGTCTGTTACCATGTATGACAACGTGTGTAACCATGTATGCCAATTTATGTAGCCTTGTATAACAATGTATGTAACCGTGTATGACAATGCATGTAACCGTGTATGACAATCAACGTACAGGTGACGTTGAGGAAGTTGATCTCCTTAAGTTTCCCTTGTGAGTTAGAGGCTTCACAGGTGTACTCCCCTTCGTCGTAGTCGGTGACGTTAAGAATCTTAACACGTCGCCCATGGTACTGGATTTTGAAGCGGGCGTTGTCGGGGAGTATAACCTTGTTGTACTTGTCAAACCAGTTGATTTCCGGAACAGGTCTGCCAGGAAGAAAATATTTACTTTGCAACGAGTAGTGTCAGAGCCTGTGTTGTAGAACATGTCTATCACTCCTGAATATCATGTGACCATGGCAGGTATTGATTCTAGTTCATGAAATACTTGTTTACATATCCAGGCGATTATCTTGGCATGGACTCTATACTTCGCTTGTATGGATTTCCTGCTTAGAAGTAAGGCGTACTTATATATAAAACGTCTACACCAGAGAACAATCAGTCACGATTATCAGCCGAATCCAATTCAACTGGGCGCAAGGACAAAATAGAGGTGAAAATTCTCGTGAAGATCCGGAAGAAATAGGTCTTCAGCAACCCATGCTTGCTATAAAAGGCGACTATGCTTGTCGTAAGAGGCGACTAACGGGATCGGGTGGTCAGGCTCGCTGACTTGGTTGATGCATGTCATCGTATCCCAGTTGCGTGGATCAATGCGCATGATGTCAATCACTGGATTATCTAGTCTAGACTCGATTATGTACAGACCGCCGTCATATAGCTGGAATATTGCTGAGTGCGGCGTTAAACACAAAACAAACAAACAAACAAACCAGGTGTTCACGAAAAGGGTAAGCATGTCCTGTGTTCAAACTGCTCGAATCAAACCATCATTGGACCAGACAGCGAGTCGTAACATGTTAACCTTGAGATGTTCTAGCTACATTATCTTACTTTCCACCGAAGAAACATTCCAGGGTGACGCTCTTGCCAATAAATCCTTTTTTCGGTCCGCTTTTGTATAGAAGGCGAGGTTTACTGTCATCGGTATCTGGGACAAAAGGGAAATACAGATGTAACTACACGTAGCAGAGCCTCGTTAAAAGGTCGACATAGAGGCCCGGTGAGTGAGTGAGTTAAAGGTTCACATCGCATTGACAATATTGCAGCCATATAGTAATGACACGATAATGATACATACATTCAGAATATATAACATCTGTCGACAAAGGACAGTAAAACAACTAGATTATCAAAGAACTGTATCTATAACGAGTATGTAAGCGTAAAAAGATATGACGATACATAAAGTAAAAGAGGCCAAACCCTTTCCATATTCATAAGAAATCGCGATTGTACGATTCCGACTATTAGTACATCATGAGCATGTGCTTATGAATCACTATCAAATAGTAACGATGCCAGTTATTCGTGAAAAGGTGAGAGTATCCTGCCACACCGGTAGCACCCATCACAAACACATGCAAAGTCAATTGTCGACTGAAAAAAACACGGGAACATACGGTACAAGTCACAATAAGGAATTGCATCGGGCATAATTTGTGTCACTGATGCGTCAAATTTGGAAATGTCCTCCACATGTCTGCCATAAAACTTTTTGAAAGCTACACTGCGGCCTTGAATGTTGTAACCTTGATCAAACAACTTTTAGGCAAGAATCGTATGACGCTGTTTAAATATACTACTCAAAAGAAGTTGAGGATCACCCGATTCTTTCATATTGGCAAAGTTAATCTGTCATGGCATGAGAGATTAACTATTGTAATATGAACGAATCAGGTGATCCTTAACTTCTTTTGAGTAGTATACAATACAAGACAGGCTATTCATTTGTAGATCATCAGTAACCAAAGTAAAGCCACTATACACGGTACCATGGGGTACCATTTTTTTTTTTTAAAAACAAACATTATACAGCACACGCCTTGCTCTCTGAAAACAGAAGTCGTCCAAACTAAGTGATACGGGCCGACTTTTAGAGATTTCCACATAAGTATGTCCTTGATGATTATTGAACAATTACTTTAAGGCAAGGGGCGGCCAGGTAGCCTAGTGGTTAAAGCGTTCGCTCGTCACGCCGAAGACCCGGGTTCGATTCCCGACATGGGTACAATGTGTGAAGCCCATTTCTGGTGTCCCATTGCTGGAATATTGCTAAAAGCGGCGTAAAACCAAACTCACTCACTCACTCACCCACTCACTCACTCACTCACTTTAAGGCAGACAAATCTGGAATGAGTGAATATAAAAGGTCAACGTCAGAGAATAAATAATCCCGATTATCCGCCGAAACACATTGGGCCTAAAAGGCAAAATAGCTGTGGAAGTTTAGAAATCACTAAAAATCAGTGATAACTCCAGATGTTCCCACAAAAAGGTAAGCATGTCCTTCCCTAACGGTAAACACGTATTTATTGCCTGACGCAAGATATATGACCACCTTCGACGTGAGGTTTGGATGCCGTACCTGATCCAGGAGCGACTGTGAGGTCGACCTTGCTGCCGAGGTAGATGTTGTTTGCCTGAGCGTTGTGGACGCCGCACGCATACAGCTTGGCTGGAATGTCGTCATCCACCTCCACGTACGCAAAATGTAGTGTTCCTAGAATACAAGGACACCATATAGACACCACACACCCAACTGTAAAACTGTCGCACGTTGTAGCAACAGCGTCTAAAGACTTAGAAGTCAATTCCTTTACCTCTCTCGTCCACGCCATGTCGCTTGGTAGGGCTGAAGCTGACTTGTTTGTCCTTGGCATCTGTGAGGTACCAGGCGAACGTGCCCGTAGGGACAGATTCAGGGGGATTCAAACACTCCATGGAAGCACTCTCCCCTGCAACCTTTGTCATCGACCGGGCATTGACGTCATCAAACCTTTCCCCACCTGGAAACCAAGGTACAACCTGAATCATCGTCGCATGTAACCATGTATGACAGTGTACACAGTGTAACTATGTAGACACTATGTAGACACTACTATATATCATCCTATATACATGTCAGACCAACTATATATCATCCTATATACATGTCAGACACACCTATATGTCATCCTATATACATCTCAGACCAACTATATGTCATCCTATATACATGTCAGACAATCTATATATCATCCTATATACATGTCAGACCATCTATATATCATCCTATATACATGTCAGACCATCTACATATCATCCTATATACATGTCAGACCATCTATATATCATCCTATATACATGTCAGACCAACTATATGTCATCCTATACACATGTCAGACCATCTATATGTCATCCTATATACATGTCAGACCAACTATATGTCATCCTATATACATGTCAGACCAACTATATATCATCCTATATACATGTCAGACCATCTATATGTCATCCTATAGACATGTCAGACCAACTATATATCATCCTATATACATGTCAGACCAACTATATGTCGTCCTATATACATGTCAGACCAACTATATGTCATCCTATATACATGTTAGACCATCTATATGTTATCCTATAGACATGTCAGACCATCTATATGTGATCCTATACACATGTCAGACACACCTATATATCATCCTATATACACATCAGACACATCTATATGTGATCCTATATACATGTCACACACACCTATATATCATCCTATATACACATCAGACACATCTATATGTGATCCTATATACATGTCACACACACCTATATATCATCCTATATACACATCAGACACATCTATATGTGATCCTATATACATGTCACACACACCTATATATCATCCTATATACACATCAGACACATCTATATGTGATCCTATATACATGTCACACACACCTTTATATCATCCTATATACACATTAGACACATCTATATATGATCCTATATACATGTCACACACACCTATATATCATCCTATATACACATCAGACACATCTATATGTGATCCTATATACATGTCACACACACCTTTATATCATCCTATATAAACGTCAGACACAACACATGGGTACAATGTGTGAAATTCATGTCTGGTGTTTTCCGCTGTGATATTGCTGGAACATTTAAAAAACTCACACACACACTCTTACACAAGACACAAGATATGCACACAATCTTCGTGATTGACTAACTATTGTGTGGTTATTATGCGTGATTGACTTACTGATTGCGTGTATTATGCGTGATTAACTTACTGATTGTGTATATATTTTGCGTGATTGACTTACTGATTGCGTGCAGTATGCGTGTATGACTTATTGATTGTGTATATATTTTGCGTGATTGACTTACTGATTGCGTGCAGTATGCGTGTATGACTTATTGATTGTGTATATATTATGCGTGATTGACTTACTGATTGTGTATAGTATATGCGTTATTGACTCACTGATTGTGTGTATTACATGCGTGATTACTTACTTATCATTGACATGTGTATCTCCTGTGACAGCGCCGTGCCCCACGTGTTGGTTGCTAGGCATCTGTACCTCCCCTGCTCACGTATCGTGGCGCTCTCCACCCACAGAAAGCCGGTGGTGGCGTTAAAATTGATGTAATCGGACGTGATGTTTGCACCATCTTTCTGCCAGGTGTACCTGTGACAACACACGTAGCATTGGGGTGAAAGGAGATGTTTCCTGAAAATAATACCGACTTGTAACTAAGATCGATCTGGACCAATGTCCACTACCAACACTGCAGGTTGTGGAGGATATGGTATCATCATATTTTAGACGTCCAGCTCAGCCCTCTACTTCTACCTCGTGTCGCCCTCCCCTCCTTTCTCTCTCGCTCTCTCTGTATCCCCATCCCTCTCTCTCCCACTCTCTTCCTCCCTCCGCTCCCTCTCTCTAACTCCCTCCCCATCTCACTCCCGTCTCTCTCTCTCTCTTCCTTTACCTCTCTTTCTCACTTCCTCTCCCCCTCCCTCCCGTCTCTCTGACCTTTGTCTGTCTCTCTTTCTTTCTCTCTCCCATCTCCCTTTCTCCCTCCGACACCCCCTCTCTCTTCCTCCTCTCTCTCCCTCTCTCTTCCTTCCCCTCTCTCTTTCTCCCTCCCATCTCTCTATCTCACTCACTCCCCTCACTCACCCTTCCGTCTCTCTCTCTCCCGTCTCTCTCTCTCTCTCTTTCTCTCTCTGTCTCTCTCTCTCACACACACAAACACACATACATTGTGCACCTGGAATATACTAGCTATTAAACTACTCAGGTTGTGGAGCTCCAGTGTGCACCTGGAGTATACTAGCTATACCTACCTAACCCCTCCCTCCCCTCTATAGCTATATACCTACTCAGGTTGTGGAGTTCAAGTGTGCACCTGGAGTACACTAGCTATACCTACCTAACCCCTCCCTCCCCTCTATAGCTATATACCTACTCAGGTTGTGGAGTTCCAGTGTGCACCTGGAGTACACTAGCTATATACCTACCTGACCCCTCCCTCCCCTCTATAGCTATTAAACTACTCAGGTTGTGGAGCTCCAGTGTGCACCTGGAGTACACTAGCTATATACCTACTCAGGTTGTGGAGCTCCAGTGTGCACCTGGAGTAAACTAGCTATATACCTACTCAGGTTGTGGAGCTCCAGTGTGCACCTGGAGTACACTAGCTATATACCTACCTGACCCCTCCCTCCCCTCTATAGCTATTAAACTACTCAGGTTGTGGAGCTCCAGTGTGCACCTGGAGTATACTAGCTATGTACCTACTCAGGTTGTGGAGTTCCAGTGTGCACCTGGAGTATACTAGCTATGTACCTACTCAGGTTGTGGAGTTCCAGTGTGCACCTGGAGTACACTAGCTATATACCTACTCAGGTTGTGGAGTTCCAGTGTGCACCTGGAGTATACTAGCTATATACCTACTCAGGTTGTGGAGCTCCAGTGTGCACCTGGAGTATACTAGCTATACCTACCTAACCCCTCCCTCCCCTCTATAGCTATATACCTACTCAGGTTGTGGAGTTCCAGTGTGCACCTGGAGTACACTAGCTATATACCTACTCAGGTTGTGGAGTTCCAGTGTGCACCTGGAGTACACTAGCTATATACCTACCTGACCCCTCCCTCCCCTCTATAGCTATATACCTACTCAGGTTGTGGAGTTCCAGTGTGCACCTGGAGTACACTAGCTATATACCTACTCAGGTTGTGGAGTTCCAGTGTGCACCTGGAGTACACTAGCTATATACCTACCTGACCCCTCCCTCCCCTCTATAGCTATTAAACTACTCAGGTTGTGGAGCTCCAGTGTGCACCTGGAGTACACTAGCTATATACCTACTCAGGTTGTGGAGCTCCAGTGTGCACCTGGAGTAAACTAGCTATATACCTACTCAGGTTGTGGAGCTCCAGTGTGCACCTGGAGTATACTAGCTATATACCTACCTGACCCCTCCCTCCCCTCTATAGCTATTAAACTACTCAGGTTGTGGAGCTCCAGTGAGCACCTGGAGTACACTAGCTATATACCTACTCAGGTTGTGGAGTTCCAGTGTGCACCTGGAGTATACTAGCTATATACCTACCTGACCCCTCCCTCCCCTCTATAGCTATTAAACTACTCAGGTTGTGGAGCTCCAGTGTGCACCTGGAGTATACTAGCTATTAAACTACTCAGGTTGTGGAGCTCCAGTGTGCACCTGGAGTACACTAGCTATATACCTACTCAGGTTGTGGAGTTCCAGTGTGCACCTGGAGTATACTAGCTATATACCTACCTGACCCCTCCCTCCCCTCTATAGCTATTAAACTACTCAGGTTGTGGAGCTGCAGTGTGCACCTGGAGTACACTAGCTATATACCAACTCAGGTTGTGGAGCTCCAGTGTGCACCTGGAGTACACTAGCTATATACCTACTCAGGTTGTGGAGTTCCAGTGTGCACCTGGAGTATACTAGCTATATACCTACCTGACCCCTCCCTCCCCTCTATAGCTATTAAACTACTCAGGTTGTGGAGCTCCAGTGAGCACCTGGAGTACACTAGCTATATACCTACTCAGGTTGTGGATTTCCAGTGTGCACCTGGAGTATACTAGCTATATACCTACCTGACCCCTCCCTCCCCTCTATAGCTATTAAACTACTCAGGTTGTGGAGCTCCAGTGTGCACCTGGAGTACACTAGCTATATACCTACTCAGGTTGTGGAGCTCCAGTGTGCACCTGGAGTACACTAGCTATATACCTACTCAGGTTGTGGAGTTCCAGTGTGCACCTGGAGTATACTAGCTATATACCTACTCAGGTTGTGGAGTTCCAGTGTGCACCTGGAGTATACTAGCTATATACCTACCTGACCCCTCCCTCCCCTCTATAGCTATTAAACTACTCAGGTTGTGGAACTCCAGTGTGCACCTGGAGTACACTAGCTATATACCTACTCAGGTTTTGGAGTTCCAGTGTGCACCTGGAGTATACTAGCTATTAAACTACTCAGGTTGTGGAGCTCCAGTGTGCACCTGGAGTATACTAGCTATTAAACTACTCAGGTTGTGGAGCTCCAGTGTGCACCTGGAGTACACTAGCTATATACCTACTCAGGTTGTGGAGTTCCAGTGTGCACCTGGAGTATACTAGCTATATACCTACCTGACCCCTCCCTCCCCTCTATAGCTATTAAACTACTCAGGTTGTGGAGCTGCAGTGTGCACCTGGAGTACACTAGCTATATACCTACTCAGGTTGTGGAGCTCCAGTGTGCACCTGGAGTACACTAGCTATATACCTACTCAGGTTGTGGAGTTCCAGTGTGCACCTGGAGTATACTAGCTATATACCTACTCAGGTTGTGGAGTTCCAGTGTGCACCTGGAGTATACTAGGTATATACCTACCTGACCCCTCCCTCCCCTCTATAGCTATTAAACTACTCAGGTTGTGGAGCTCCAGTGAGCACCTGGAGTACACTAGCTATATACCTACTCAGGTTGTGGATTTCCAGTGTGCACATGGAGTATACTAGCTATATACCTACCTGACCCCTCCCTCCCCTCTATAGCTATTAAACTACTCAGGTTGTGGAGCTCCAGTGTGCACCTGGAGTACACTAGCTATATACCTACTCAGGTTGTGGAGCTCCAGTGTGCACCTGGAGTATACTAGCTATATACCTACTCAGGTTGTGGAGTTCCAGTGTGCACCTGGAGTATACTAGCTATATACCTACTCAGGTTGTGGAGTTCCAGTGTGCACCTGGCGTATACTAGGTATATACCTACCTGACCCCTCCCTCCCCTCTATAGCTATTAAACTACTCAGGTTGTGGAGCTCCAGTGTGCACCTGGAGTACACTAGCTATATACCTACTCAGGTTGTGGAGCTCCAGTGTGCACCTGGAGTACACTAGCTATATACCTACTCAGGTTGTGGAGCTCCAGTGTGCACCTGGAGTATACTAGCTATATACCTACTCAGGTTGTGGAGTTCCAGTGTGCACCTGGAGTATACTAGGTATATACCTACCTGACCCCTCCCTCCCCTCTATAGCTATTAAACTACTCAGGTTGTGGAGCTCCAGTGAGCACCTGGAGTACACTAGCTATATACCTACTCAGGTTGTGGAGTTCCAGTGTGCACCTGGAGTATACTAGCTATATACCTACCTGACCCCTCCCTCCCCTCTATAGCTATATACCTACTCAGGTTGTGGAGCTCCAGTGTGCACCTGGAGTATACTAGCTATATACCTACTCAGGTTGTGGAGCTCCAGTGTGCACCTGGAGTACACTAGCTATATACCTACTCAGGTTGTGGAGTTCCAGTGTGCACCTGGAGTATACTAGCTATATATCTACTCAGGTTGTGGAGCTCCAGTGTGCACCTGGAGTACACTAGCTATATACCTACCTGACCCCTCCCTCCCCTCTATAGCTATTAAACTACTCAGGTTGTGGAGTTCCAGTGTGCACCTGGAGTATACTAGCTATATATCTACTCAGGTTGTGGAGTTCCAGTGTGCACCTGGAGTATACTAGCTATATACCTACCTGACCCCTCCCTCCCCTCTATAGCTATTAAACTACTCAGGTTGTGGAGTTCCAGTGTGCACCTGGAGTATACTAGCTATATACCTACCTGACCCCTCCCTCCCCTCCAAGCTATATACCTACTCAGGTTGCGGGGTTCCAGTCGCATTACAGGACACTGTGAAGTTTACGCCTTTGTTGAAGTACTGTGTCCGGGCGAACAGAGGAGCGTGCACGCTCGGGGGAGCTCGGACTGAAATCATAATGTCATATTTACTTCATAGTATAAATTCATAGCTGCACTGAACAGCAGTGTATATTGTCTGATGACTACTCTGTGAATGTGTGTGTGTGTGTGTGTGTGTGCGTGTAGGTGTGTGTGTGTGCGTGAGTGCGTGGGTGCGTGCGTGGAATCTGCCCCCGGAGCCACAATACAATGGCGGCGGTGTAGCGAGGAACGCAGGAAACATCCACACACATATACATATCCGTGAACATGTGGTGACGCACTCTGCTATCAGCCGGTTTTCTCACATCTGGTTTGGTCAGTGATATAAAAACTGACAATGGAAGTTCCCATGTATTGTGTCAGTGTAATCTAATATTAGGTGAAGCAAACCGCCCATATAGCAGTCTATAGCCGATCGATCTGTTACCTATAGGATCTATACGTTTGTGGTTGCATACACATCAATAACGTGAGGGGTTACTTCAGCTCATTCTGCCTACATCTCAGTCTGTCTGTGTACAGCTCATTCTGCCTACATCTCAGGCTGTCTGTGTAGAGCTCATTCTCCTACATCTCAGTCTGTGTACACCTCATTCTGCCTACATCTCAGTCTGTGTACAGCTCATTCTGCCTACATCTCAGTCTGTGTAGAGCTCATTCTCCTACATCTCAGTCTGTGTAGAGCTCATTCTCCTACATCTCAGTCTGTGTACACCTCATTCTCCTACATCTCAGTCTGTGTACAGCTCATTCTGCCTACATCTCAGTCTGTGTAGAGCTCATTCTCCTACATCTCAGTCTGTGTACACCTCATTCTGCCTACATCTCAGTCTGTGTACAGCTCATTCTGCCTACATCTCAGTCTGTGTACACCTCATTCTCCTACATCTCAGTCTGTGTACACCTCATTCTGCCTACATGTCAGTCTATGTACAGCTCATTCTGCCTACATCTCCGTCTGTCTGTGTACACCTCATTCTGCCTACATCTAAGTCTGTCTGTGTACACCCCATTCTGCCTACATCTCAGTCTGTCTGTGTACACCTCATTCTGCCTACATCTCAGTCTGTCTGTGTACAGCTCATTCTGCCTACATCTCAGTCTGTCTGTGTACACCTCAGTCTGCCTACATCTCAGTCTATGTACAGCTCATTCTGCCTACATCTCAGTCTGTCTATGTACACCTCATTCTGGCTAGATCTCAGTCTGTCTGTGTACGGCTCATTCTGCCTACATCTCAGTCTGTGTACAGCTCATTCTGCCTACATCTCAGTCTGTCTGTGTACACCTCATTCTGCCTACATCTCAGTCTGTCTGTGTACAGCTCATTCTGCCTACATCTCAGTCTATGTACAGCTCATTCAACCTACATCTCAGTCTGTCAGTGTACACCTTATTCTGCCTACATCTTAGTCTGTCTGTGTACACCTCATTCTGCCTACATTTCAGTCTATGTACACCTCATTCTGCCTACATCTCAGTCTGTCTATGTACACCTCATTCTGCCTACATCTCATTCTGTCTATGTACACTCCATTCTGCCTACATCTCAGTCTGTCTGTGTACACCTCATTCTGCCTACATCTCAGTCTGTCTGTGTACACCTCATTCTGCCTACATCTCAGTCTGTGTACACCTCAATCTGCCTACATCTCAGTCTATGTAGAGCTCATTCTGCCTACATCTCAGTCTGTCTGCCTACATCTCAGTATGTCTGTGTAAAGCTCATTCTGCCTACATCTCAGTCTGTCTGTGTACAGCTCATTCTGCCTACATCTCAGTATGTCTGTGTAAAGCTCATTCTGCCTACATCTCAGTCTGTCTGTGTACACCTCATTCTGCATACATCTCAGTCTGTCTGTGTACACCTCATTCTGCCTACATCTCAGTCTATGTACAGCTCATTCTGCCTACATCTCAGTCTGTCTGTGTACACCCCATTCTGCCTACATCTCAGCCTGTCTTTGTACAGCTCATTCTGCCTACATCTTAGTCTGTCTGTGTACAGCTCATTCTGCCTACATCTCAGTCTGTCTTTGTACAGCTCATTCTGCCTACATCTCAGTCTGTCTGTGTACAGCTCATTCTGCCTACATCTCAGTCTGTCTGTGTACACCTCATTCTGCCTACATCTCAGTCTGTCTGTGTACAGTTTTTTCTGCCTACATCTCAGTATATCTGTGTACAGCTCATTCTGTCTACATCTCAGTATGTCTGTGTACAGCTCGTTCTGCCTACATCTCAGTCTGTCTGTGTACAGTTTTTTCTGCCTACATCTCAGTATATCTGTGTACAGCTCATTCTGTCTACATCTCAGTATGTCTGTGTACAGCTCGTTCTGCCTACATCTCAGTCTGTCTGTGTACAGCTCATTCTGACTACATCTTAGTCTGTCTGTGTACAGCTCGTTCTGACTACATCTTAGTCTGTCTGTGTACAGTTCTTTCTGCCTACATCTCAGTATGTCTGTGTACAGCTCATTCTGCCTACATCTCAGTATGTCTGTGTACAGCTCATTCTGACTATATCTTAGTCTGTCTGTGTACAGCTTGTTCTGACTACATCTTAGTCTATGTACAGCTCATTCTGCCTACATCTCAGTCTGTCTGTGTACACCTCATTCTGCCTACATCTCAGTATGTCTTTGTACAGCTCATTCTGCCTACATCTCAGTCTATGTACCTTTGCCAACGCGGGTTTAGCAGTGTCGGCCAGGGTTTTGAATGAGTGAGTGAGTATGGTTTTACGTTGCTTTTAGCAATATTACAGCAATATCACGGCGGGGGACACCAGAAATGGGCTTCGCACATTGTACCCATGTCGGGAATCGAACCCGGGTCTTCGGCGTGACGAGCGAACCTCTAGGCTACCCGACCGCCCCCAGGGTTTTAAAATCCAACACAAGCACTTTAGATGTAGTCTGACAACGTTAGAGACATTTTACGTGATGGTGACTTTTGTAACTCTGTTTGCTAGTCTATACGTCATGTTGAATTTTCTTGCCGTTTTACATGTACATTACAATGTACTGTGGCAGCTTCGTCCGGCAATAAAACAGTTAACTCCTCATATTAATTCTTCCTCTTACATCAAGCTGGCACATAATGATACAAGCGGCGTTAAACACAACTCACTCACTCATACTAATGTAGATTAACATCTATTCTCTGAAATGAAAATAGTTTACAGAAAGTTGGTTTGTAGTTGGTAAATTATCGCAATAAGTTTAAAATCTCATTTTCAGAAACGGCATGTATGACAGACTAATATTAAAGCATAAGGCTATATCTTTGGTGTTTCATGTCAGGTTCTGTCCTGGTATCCTAGATTAACACTGGTTAACTCTGGTTCAGTTAATCCTAATTAACCCAAGTTGCCAGAATTATGATAACCTCAGTTGACGAAGCTCAGTCAAGTCTTAATAATCAACGCACGTCCATATTTCGCATTCCCCGACCAAGTCGCCTCTGCTCCGTCCTTCAGGAAATACAGGGCTTGTCATAGTGTGGCTTTGATCCCTGCTAATAATATGATAGGATTACTGTATCTCTGGTTGACGTTGGGTTCACTTGACGATCATAAAGTCTTCTGCTCTTTAATACAGTTAAATCAGTACTACTCTTTTCATCATAAAAACACATCTCTATGTTGCCCGAGGAGAACTCTCGCATCCTCGACCTATTCTTTCTTTCTTTCTTTCTTGCGATGCGACGCGACGCGACGCGATGCGATGCGATGCGATGCGATGCGATGCGATGCGATGTTGTTTCGGCCCTAGGCCCACCTTATACGACTCGGTAATGTGCTTAAATAATCTCTGGATCACTTTATACAGTTGATATTTGTTCTAGCGTGTATTCTGAGACGACACATTCCATTCTTAGTAGAGTACTTATTTAAAAAGTATAGATAAAACAGGTTTTGATCTTTATATTATATAACAGCATTTTTCTGTACAAAGTGCAATTCATAAAGTTGACCTGGGTATCCATGACTCTGGATATACAGTGTACTAGGTTTAGAGCATTAGACTAAAATCACCTACAAAAAAGACCTGCATAGGCAAAAGAAAGTTTACACTTGAAAATTGGCTTTAACCAAACAATTACAAACGTTATCACAATGTTCCTAGGCTGAAAACAGTCGCGGAAACATTGCAAACTTGAGTGCCAAAACACAACTATGATACCCGTATGATACCGGGGATGGGTACTTTCTTTTGCCCTGTAGGTTACATTTGACGATATTTATTTCACTAGATTATACTTACCATCGGACTGGGCTCGGCTTGAGGTATACCAACAGCACAGAATCAACACTATCGTCGACAGTTTCGTCTTCAACATATTCATCTCCAGTAAATAAGTACAGCAGTGTCTCTTATTCCGGTCTTAAATTTTCTGTCACCAACTCCGTGAATATTCACAGTCTTGTAGTCCGTTAACAGGTCCGGGTGCAGCTATTCCGTCCGCAGGCGTATTGTGAGTGCTGCTACTGCTGATGCTACTGGCCGCGTCAGTAGGCGTGCATGAACATCGCTGGGACGGGATGACGACCAGGATGTAGAAGACAAGAGTATGATGGCGCAGACTCGTCCACTCCCTGCAGGCTTCTCATGGCATGCCTCACACACATCAGGCGGAACTGCGCTCTTCCGACACAGAGTCGGGGGAGGGGAGCTAGCGTCCATCTTATGGCCTTTGGGGGGAGTAGGGAGCTAGCGTCCATCTAATGGCCATTGGGGGAAGGAGGGGAGCTAGCGTCCATCTCATGGCCATTTGGGGAGGGAGAGGGATAGGGTCCATCTCATGGCCATTGGGGGAGGGAGGGGAGCTAGCGTCCATCTCATGGCCATTTGGGGAGGGAGGAGGATAGGGTCCATCTCATGGCCATTGGGGGAGGGGGAGAGATAGGGTCCATCTCATGGCCATTGGGGGAGGGAGGGGAGCTAGCGTCCATCTCATGGTCATTGGGGGGGGGGGGGGGGGGGGGGATAGGGTCCCTCTCATTATCAGCTCATTATCAAAGCTGGCATATTAACTCACGGTTGAAGCTGGTACATCAACCCACGATTGAAGCTGGTATATCGACTCACGGCTGAAGCTGGTATGTTCACCTACTGTTGAAGCAGGTATATCAGGTCATTCTCTTAGCTGTTATATCAGTTCATTATGAAAGCTGGTATATTAACCAACGATTGAAGCTGGTATATCAACTCGCGATTGAAACTGGTAGATCAACCATCGGTTGAAGCTGGTATACCAACTCACGGTTGAAGCTGGAATACCACTCACGGTTGAAGCTGGTATGTTTACTCATTGTCGAAGCTGGTATATCAGTTCATTACCAAAGCTGGTATATTAACTCACGATTGAAGCTGGTAGATCAACTCACGGTTGAAACTGGTATATTAACTCATTCTCGAAGCTGGTATATCAGTTCATTACCAAAGCTGGTATATTAACTCACCATTGAAGCTGGTAGATCAACTCACGGTTGAAACTGGTATATCGACTCATTCTCGAAGCTGGTATATCAGTTCATTACCAAAGCTGGTATATTAACTCACGATTGAAGCTGGTAGATCAACTCACGGTTGAAGCTGATGTATTAACTCATTCTCGAAGCTGGTATATCAGTTCATTACCAAAGCTGGTATATTAACTCACGATTGAAGCTGGTAGATCAACTCACGGTTGAAACTGGTATATTAACTCATTCTCGAAGCTGGTATATCAGTTCATTACCAAAGCTGGTATATTAACTCACGATTGAAGCTGGTAGATCAACTCACGGTTGAAGCTGATGTATTAACTCATTCTCGAAGCTGGTACATCAACCCACGATTAAAGCTGGTATATTAACTCACGAATGAAGCTGGTAGATCAACTCACGAATGAAGCTGGTAGATCAACCCACGATTGAAGCTGGTATGAGACAAGTAGCGCTATACGCTTGGGCCAGTCTATGAGACACCATCGTTTCCACCAAAGCAGCCAGGGACACGCTCAACACACGAGAAGAATACACGCAGTTCATAATATTTGATTTCTTTGTTTGATTTCATCCCAGAACGGTTTTCTATGTCGAGGATCCGTGCCTGCATGATATGCAGGGAAGTGTCTGACGAATACTGGTACGAAGGCCATGTTGATGCCAGGTTTACCTATGCTGACCTCTCTCCCATGTCCTCCGCGGGGACCCGGCTGCCTCCCATGCTGTTGTGTACTGTAGCTAGAGTAGCCATCAGCTGATGATCATTTCGTGTATACAAGCCGCTGGCATGTATTTAGCTATCAAATGAAGACCATTGATTCTCATCTTGTCGAACACACGTTGTGGTGATAATTGGCGTCATTGCACGTTACATTGTTCTTATACAGAGTGTATTAATGGGATATTTCATTTTACTTTCACAAACACACATCCTGAATAGTGTAACCTAATGTCACTCGTGCTGCTGGGAGTCTATACTTGTGGACAGGGGAAGGTGGGGGCAGCTGGTATTTAAAGGCGCACTCTTCATCACTACAGATAAGGGGTAGCATCGTGGTTAGGCCGTTCGTTCGTGCTAAATGCCCTGGTTCAAACTCAGTGTGTAAAATCAGTTCTTGGAGATAGTGTCGTTACTGCTAATAGCGTGGTAAAGACACTCACACAATAACGTACATCTCCCACGAATGACGGGGCTGTAGGTGTTGATGAAGGTATTGTAACTACACAGACGTTACTTTATCAAAGCTGGAGGAGAAGTGGAGCTTTGATGGTTCCAGACAGTATGCAGCCCTACAAGATGCTCCACTTCAGGATGCTGCACTACAAGATGATGCACAATATGCAGCACTACAATATGCAGCACTACAAGATGCTGCACAACAATATACAGCACAAGATGCAGCACTACAATATGCAGCACTACAAGATGCTGTACTACAATATGCAACACTACAAGATGCTGCAATAGAAGACTTCAAACAAAACCAGATTTCGACCTTGGTCTTTAAATTTGTTATTAAAGTGATTCGATTGTTTTATATGAGGCAAAAACATATATGGGTCTTGTCCCCGGTAATCAGTAATTTGAGTGGAAGTGTCCAAATGATGGCTATAAGCGCTTCTTAGGGGTTAAAAAACACCCTAAACCATGTTACCAGAGTTGAATGTGGGCGATGTCCGTTTTATATCTATGCATAGAAAGGCCTTGTAAAATATTGGTGTCCACTTCAGAAAATGTCAGATTCCAGATATGTAAAAGAAGCTACTTCACGCAGCAGGCATTCTTCTGTAATGGGTAAATACACTGGTTCTAAAATGATGACTCTTTATCAGAACTACAAATTTCGGCTTTTTCATGACACCACCAAAAATCCCAAGGCTATCGAGGAATGTTTCATGAGACTAAAATCATCGTATGAACAAGACTGGCTTGCAGCTCTCCGTGGAAATTGTAAATGCTATCATTGCATATTTTATACGCGCGAACGTTTACCGTGGAACATTACGTAACACTGTAATGGATACATTTAGTGGTCTAGTCGTGTTCGATGTAGTTCTCATCACCTTGGGACTGAGTCAGGTAGACATCGGAAGGTTGAAACTCTGCTGGGATACCATGCTGGTAGCAGAGACATCGTAATTCCCCATGTAATGGTCCTTCGTGAAGTGGCCTACCTTTGGTTGGCTGGCGATCTGCAGCCTGAGTTTTGATAGTGTCCTTGTTTAATAGTCTGTTCTTAACATTCTTTTCAAACTAGTTTTAAATTCAAATCTGTGATGTTTCTCTAGCGGTTATTGTACCATCATATGATGACAGGGTGTTAGGAAATATAACTACATTATCTAGTCCGTCACGATATGGTTGAAATACTGCCGACGTAACTTTAAATTATAAATCACCAACTATCTCAGCTCCAATCACATAATCTTTCCGAAACTCCTCGGGTTTTGGCAATTGTTCATGTTCCTTGAGACGTCATGTGCACGTCCTCTGTTGTGAGATGCACATTGCTATGATGCATGTGATATCGCCAACGATACCCGTATCAAATACGAGTACATCGCCATAGATTAACCATTTCTCGTTTGCTTCATTTTTAGCAAGTGTATACTTTCGGCATTTTGTTTTAACTATATTTAGTCACCCGCTTTCCTCACACAGCTGACACGCAGTTTGGTTGAAACATAGTTCATTGTCCAAGAGGACAGTGGGGTTGGGCACAAATGCAACCCTTATTGACGCCTTCTCCATATATTTAAATACACTTTGTTTGTTTGTTGTTTAACGCCGCACTCTGCAGTATCCCAGCTATATGACGGCGGTCTGTAAATAATCGAGTCTAGACCAGACAATCCAGTGACTGACATCATGAGCATATAACCACGCAAGTGGGATACGATGACATGCATCAACAAAGTCAGCGTGCCTGACCACCCGATCCCGTTAGTCGACTCTTACCACAAGCATAGTCACCTTTTACGGCAAGCATGGGTTGCTGAAGACCTATTTATAAATACAGTTAAACATAATATTACATAATAGAAATAAGCAATGTACAATTGAAGAATGCCATTATGGAAAAAACAATACCATAGTACTGATATACTGTGTAATATTGTGCACTGTCTATCGACTATATCATTCTTTAAGGGTACATTGTGCTTTTCCATTATGTAATATTATATATAGTCTATATTTATAATGTGCTGGAAAGTGAAAATAGTGTACATCTCATAATTTGCAAATATACAGTTTAGTGTTTAAATATACATTTGACAATACATGTATTTATTATTATTTGGAAACAATGATATGGTAACAACCGAATGCCGTGACAATCACGTAACTAACACACCTCTGTTCAAACAAATGCAGTGCGTCCACTCAGGGCACTATTCATTCTGTGGCATACAGTTTACATATGGCCATATTGTACTAGCGGGGCTGCATAGGAAGGGACTCGATGTTAGCCTCTGGTGCGGTGACAATAGCAAGTGTTCGTCATAGTGTTAGGAAGGATATCCTTGCCTATTCCTAGTTCCTCATTGTGTTGCCACGAATACGAGTGGGTACAGTATGCCGACATTTTCAGTCAATTAAAATAGACAGCGGAAGGGAATTTTACACGCGTTTTTATAGTTACGACTGTATAACGAATGTCCGAATTATGGTTTATGTGGTATTGCAAAAAAATAAATTGTCCCCGAAAATTCTTGAAAATAATAATTATGCTTCAGAGTGTTGAAAACAAATATCTAATCTTGATACAAAATCCCAAATATTCGAAGTAACGAGAAAAAACTTGTTATTTAAAGAAACATCATCGAAAAACCGAGAAAATAATCGTTATTTCGAGTAAATAATTAAAATAACGAGAAATGTCAATTTATAAAATAAATAATGCAAGCAAAGTGGCACCATTAGGCCTTCGTATAATTACACATTTGGGCCCCAAATATCGTATGGTTCAGTTCAGCTACATCTTTTGTCTGCATCAGAAAACTGATATAATAGAGAATACAAATATATTCATACATTGTATGTTGATTGTTGAACAATTTTAATGTTATTGCTTTGTGTGATCTGCTTCTATATCGAAAGAATACTTAAGTAAGTGTTTCGAATTATTACTTAAATCATGAAACAGATTGGTTAAACGTCCCATGTTCATAATTCACTTAATTTGCTCTTGTGCACCCTGCGTAACCCCATACCACCCTGCGTAACCCTATACAGCCTGCTTAACCCTAAACCACCCTGCATAACCCTAAACCACCCTGCGTAACCCTATACCACCCTGCATAACCCTATACCACCCTGCGTAACCCTATACAGCCTGCTTAACCCTAAACCACCCTGCATAACCCTATACCACCCTGCGTAACCCTATACCACCCTGCATAACCCTATACCACCCTGCGTAACCCTATACCACCCTGCATAACCCTATACCACCCTGTGTAACCCTATACCACCCTGCATAACCCTATACAGCCTGCTTAACCCTAAACCACCCTGCATAACCCTAAACCACCCTGCATTACCCTAAACCACCCTGCATAACCCTATACCACCCTGCGTAACCCTATACCACCCTGCATAACCCTATACCACCCTGCGTAACCCTATACCACCCTGCATAACCCTATACCACCCTGTGTAACCCTATACCACCCTGCATAACCCTATACCACCCTGCATAACCCTATACCACCCTGTGTAACCCTATACCACCCTGCATAACCCTATACAGCCTGCTTAACCCTAAACCACCCTGCATAACCCTAAACCACCCTGCATTACCCTATACCACCCTGCGTAATCCTAAACCCTCAGCCCTCACTTTGTCTGTAAACAACCCTTGGTTATACAACAAGTACCCTCAGTTAGTCTGTAATCAGCCCTCACTTTGTCTGTAAACAGCCCTTGGGTATAAAACAACTTACCCTCAATTAGTCTGTAATCAGCCCTCACTTTGTCTGTAAACAGCCCTTGGGTATAAAACAACTTACCCTCAATTAGTCTGTAATTAACCCTTGGTTATCATATCAATATTATACAGCCCCAGACAGGACAGTTAATTCCCAATGTGCCTACATCCGAATTTGCCTAAAATTAATTACTAAGTTTCAACCCTATTTATGGGAAAAGACTGAACCACTTACCACTATTCTTTTATCTACTTTGGCTAAGAGAAACGTGTAAGAATAAAACTGTTAGTAAATAAAAAAGACTGGGAAGAGTAATTAAATACTTATTACTTTAATAAACAACAACAAAAATAATATAACCAATAACATCAAGTAACTATTTATAAGATATGTCTTTACAATTTAGGGGCGGTCGGGTAGCCTAGTGGTTAAAGCGTTCGCTCGTCACGCCGAAGACCCGGGTTCGATTCCCGACATGGGTACAATGTGTGAAGCCCATTTCTGGTGTCCCCCGCCGTGATATTGCTGGAATATTGCTAAAAGCGGCGTAAAACCAAACTCACTCACTCACTCACTCTTTACAATTTCAACTCTAATGAATGTAAATGTATTGCCATCACCAAAATTGTTCTATTTTTTTCTGTTAATATATGATAAATGTAATAAATCTGTGACTTTCATTATTATGTGTTCTGCTGATGGGACCACCAAAAAGTGTCTGAATTTGGAATACACAGACCTCTGATTACAGAGAGTCTACTGTAATCGAAAATTGGTCTGGCAGACCAGTGGTCAATAGCACAAGAAACAAACCAGGCCGTCTAGGTACGAAGACACAATACAGCAAATCTTACAAGCAAATATTGCATAACACAATTTTGAAACTATTCACCCCAAAATACATAACTTCTTTGAGAGGCATTTAGAAGTTGGAGTACTAACTAAGTCACCAACCTAAAAGGCTTCAAAATCAGAAAACTACAAGAAGCCATCAACATGAAAAGACTCCAACCATCAATCAAGGCTATTACATACCTCTTGCATACCATCAACTCATCAAAAAACCCAATAAGTTGTAATCCTTTTGGTTTATATTACTGTCTTCACCCATTTGTTTTTACTACATACTTCACTGGTTAATATGTTAACCCTTTTGTGTACATAACATGCTTCCCCACTCCCGTGTAACTAAATACCAATCTACTCTACTGTATAAACCCTGCCTCCAGAGCTCCAGATAAGCTGCGTATCTGCGTTAAATACGCATCAGAAATGCAGAAATACGCAGTAAAATAAAATCCAAGCGTATCAAATATGCAACGAACATTACAGATACGCTACAAAAATAAAACTTGTGCGTATCATCAAAATATTGTGAAGTAACCCTGCGTATTCGATTAGCAAATCAGCAACTTATTTTGAAATTATAAATGGGCATTCCGTCAACCTTGCCAAACGATGACAGTTACATCATGATGATTTGCCATCTCACTTTCTTGTGGAAGTATCGTGGTATTTTTTAGTCCTATAAAGCTCTCGAACCCACACGACACCAGTTTGCAGGGACTAGATGAATAGTGTTTTTAAATATTTAACTTAAATACCCACATGTGTAAAAACTAGTGGGTAACAGAAATTTGAATACCCAGATAGAATTACTGATACCCAATGATTTTAAAATGCATGGGTAAAATACCCACAACACCAAAAGCTTATCATGAGCTCTGACTGCCTCATACCCATACCTGTATATATATATATGCTTGTATGCTTGTATATATGTATACGCTTGCAACCATACTGTACATCACTTGCTTGATAACGATGTTAGAACCTACGCTGAATCGTCGCTCCTAATTGTAATAAAGAAGTTGTTCATCCGTATATCTTATCCTTACCCAAATACAAAGGTGAAGTAAAGGGAAACGGGGTTTTAAAGATTATTACACTTAGAGTGTATGTGTGTGTGTGTGTGTGTGTGTGTGTGTGTGTGTGTGTGTGTGTGTGTGTGTGTGTGTGTGTGTGTGTGTGTGTGTGTGTGTGTGTTAAGGTTGGGACGGGTAACTCGGGTCGCGTGGGTACTGAGAAGGACCTGGGTACCCACAGGACTATCCCAACTCCTGGTTAGTCACATGATATATTATCTAATGACAAAAATTATCTAGAACTCTCTGTGTGTGTGTGCGTGTGTGTGCGTGCGTGCGTGCGTGCGTGCGTGTGTGTGTGTGTGTGCGCGTGCGTGTGCGTGCGCGCTAGTAGCAAAATGGAGGGAAAGCAGAACTCACAAGTTATGTTTTTAGATGCACCAGGTGAACATTGTCCGCCCATGAACAGAGTCTACACCAATCAGAGTATATATATGGTCTTAGAACTGGAGCAGTCTCCATTTTATTATGCAAATAATGTATCAAAAACCTTTATTAAGGGTGTAAGGTATTACCTGTATATAGGTAAATTGAGCTTCTTTTTTTCCATGTATCACAATATCATTTTTTCATGCTCACCAGCATCAGAAATTGGGACTAGTCCTGTAGTCCTTGCCAAACTGTCCAATAGTTAAGGTATCATGAGGTCAAGTAGAAATTTGCCCTTTTTAGGAGTTTTGCTATTTGTTATCATTATAAGGACTAATGGACTAAAATAGCTAGTTTCTACTGCTGCTTGATATATCGGGTGATTTTTTTAAATTGGGACTTTTATCACAAGTTCAATATGGTATACTTGCCAAATGCCTTCGCTGCCCTGGGGCGAACATCCGGGGGCCCATGATGGCTGCGTATTTATTGAATGAGTAAACACTATGGTACCAGCATCTTGTTTAGTTCCATTTGTGAACTTCAGTTCATACCTTTATCATGTTAATGAATCAGATTGCTTCAGAATTGATACATTAGAATTATACAATATATCGTGATAGATATCGCATAGCCTTGTGCATTGCAAATTATTCTGATACACTTTTAACCTCCAATACCCATTCCTAATACATGTAAATGAAAAAATTGTCACTATTTATATATCACTATCCTTCTTTTGGGTTTCTTTGCCATCAAGCAAATGTAAAAATGTCCTTTCCCTTGCTGTAGTAGAAAATAATAACCAGTCATTTCATATACATATTCGTGTCAAGAACTAAAAACAAATAAACCATCTTCTACGTTTAAAAAATAAGAAATCGATCAACGATGATCAGTTTACAGTTTCTTGCAGAGACCATATACCGATATATCGGTATATGGTCTCTGGTTTCTCGGAGTCCTGATTGATCATCAAGCGATGAAAGGGAGATAACTGTTGAAAACCTACATACGGGCATTCCACATATCGCGGATAAATGGCGTCATCAAAGATGGCAGCCCCCACTGTGGAGGACGATGATGCTTTTGTTTTTGTGTTTGACAGACGATCCACAGATGCACCCGAAGTTAAAATTCCTACCGGAGGGTTGTTTAACTTCGTGGATTTCAAAGAGAGAGTCAGAGAGGTAATGTGCATTGCTAATATTTGCAGAGCACGGTTGTAAACCATCGCAATATGCAATTCGTGATTTCCAAAATATGTTTGTTTGAAAATGAAATACAAACTCTTTTCCGTGCCACTAGTCAGTGTGTTGTAATAACCTACTCTTGCAATTTTACAGGCGCTTGATATAACGAAGAGAGACCAGTTTGTCATCGCAACTACCAATCGCGATGAGATCAAGGATGATGAATCTTGGGGTTTGTTTTTGTTTTGATTTGATGTTGTCCTGTTTTCGTGCACGCAATCCCAGTCTTTGCTTCCGGTCATTTGGAACCGGCTTACCATGAGTACGAGCTGTAAAGTCATTATATGGAACGATAATTATGATTTAAAAAAATTAATTTTATTGATTTAATGCTAAATTTAAGAAAACGTTTTATTTATTTTATTTATCTTAACGTTTAACTGATTATTTTTGTCTTTGACTTCACTGGCAGTTCTCATTATTACAGAAACAAGAGTAGTGTACTTTACCAGGCGCACTTTTTCAGATCCAGTTAGTGCTGTGGGGGCTTAAACATGCTTCGCCGGCTCACCGCTCTACCACGAGCACTATCACATGTAATCAGTGCTCATTTGACGGGTCATTAGCACCCCATTAACATGCATGCGTAATTCAGTAAACATTGATGTCACGGTCCACTCTCCCATTGATCATTTCTGGAAACCACACCTTCCATTGTTTATGTCAACATGACCGACCAATTGGATTAACCGGATTAACCCTTAAAAAAAGGTAAGAATTGATGGTTAACCCTTGCCCTAAGCACTCTAACCCTAAAGATCGAAAAGGGGTGTTGGATCATAAAGACGTGTAAGTTTCCCTTAGACTGTAAAGGAGTGTTGGATCGTGAAGCGAGATTCAATGGAGCGCGAGGCACGGTAACGGTATAGTGAGACATCGGCCGCATTATAGAATGGTAATTGAGCCTATGGTAGGGCTCTGGCTGTGCCCTGTAATTGTAAACTGCATTGTTGCCCAGAAACATAGTGGAAAAACTTGCAAGATCTTTGAACAATTTCAGAAAAAAATCTGAATTGTTATGCATTATACCGGACCCCTATCCGCCATGTTTGTTTGATACCACTAATATTAAAGCCGCATGCGACAGCATCACTATTTAAAAAATAAAGGCTATACAGCTAAAAAAGCAGAAAAATTACCCCGATGCATTTGTACACAGGCTCGTGTTGACCAAGTAAAGAAAAATGGGTACACATGCATGATACCGAAAAACCTATCCGCCATGTTTGTTTGATGCTACTAATAGAGCATCAATATTTGAAAAATAGGGCGATAAAGCTAAAAATAAGCAGAAAAAGTTTCCCCGCTTGCATTTGTAATTTTTAATGTGATTAAACCTTGAAATTGAATATCAAGGTGATGCATAAACGTAGGAAATTGGGCATCAACATCGAAAAAGTACTCGAAAATAGAAGTTCCATCATTGCATGCGACAAGCTCATCAGCATGATCAGTGACAGCTGTCGGAGCCACATTTCAGCGAACACATATTTTGTATCTACTGTGGTAATTAAACATTTTATTTACCTAGAAAGCATTAAATTCAAGATGTTGAGTGTTATTTTAGTGGCGCCTTAAAAACTTAGAAACTTACAAAGGAATGAGCTTGTGCACATCCCTTACCAAAATGTCGGAAGGTGTCCGGTATGCTGCATTCATGCCAGTATTTACATGTTCACTTTTGTTTTTATCCTTCTGCAAGATATATGAAGATGTGGTGACAATATAGATCTGCCAAACAATGCTAATACAGATCTGTCTCATTTACCAGTGTTATATCATGAACACCTATGGAGATTTGCACAGCTATACACTTTGACATCCAAGTAATCAGAGCACTTAGTATTGAACATGGTGAAGATATGGCTTGTATGGACTCTCACCTGAGTTTCTTTTGATATTGAATATCGCATCACTTCCCAAATCTGTTTTTCTGAGTTTGTCTACAAGTGCAACAAGTTTTTATCTACACGATATCATAAGACATGTGGGTGAGATTTTTTATTATCACTTATCAAAACTATGTATAAATCATGTTAATTTGATGACCACTTTGATTTTTTTTACTCATCTTGATATTATTTAGGTGCATCACCTTGCAAGAAAATATCAAAATGCATTTCTTTATTTTTTTTCTGAAATATTTGCAGGCTAACTACATCATGTACATATGATGTAATGGTTTACTATCTTATTATTTCGTTACATTTTTGGAAGAAGAAGAATGGAAATGGAGTCTATGTCTTTCATGTAAAATGTTGACATGTGATAAGTCCTGTGAAGATTTGATTCGATTCGAAGGTTAGAATTGACCTTGAGAACCCATGGTTGTCGTAAGAGGTAACTGATGGGATCAGGTGGTGGGACTTGCTGACTTTGTTGATGCATGTCATTGTATCGCAATTGTTTAGATCGATGTTCATGATGTCAATCACAGGATCATCTGGTCCAGACTTGATTATTTACAACTGCTGCCATATAGCTGGATTAGTGCTGAGTGCAGCATATAACAACAAACAAACACAAGTGATGTTTCCTGCCTAAACCATTATCCGATAATAAATGTGCTTATTCTGACTTTGTTTTTCTCCACCAGATATGATTGACAAGGGGGACACCCTGTACGTCATGAAACATGTTCAGCAAGAGCTGTGTGCCCCAGCCCAGGAGCGTGTCAACTACCTGCCTCACTATGATACCATTGTCAAAGGTGGCATGTACGAGTACTATGCCTCTGAAGGACAAAATCCTCTCCGTAAGTTGCAGGCAAAGTGGGGGGAAACAAAGGAAAAAGTAACCGTGATCATGTTTTTTCTTGTGATATTGACATGACTGAGATTTGTATGCCATCTAAACATACTTCTTTTTTCCGACTCTAAAAGTTTAGATCAGAATGGGGAGGAATGAGGGGGAGCCACAGAGGCACTGCTGTAGGACAATGACAGCACAGCTGGGAGCGAGCTTCACATATTTAACTTGGTTCCTTTCAGAATGCATTGCCAGCCTTGGGACATGGCTTTCTATCATGTCTATTTGCAGTGTGGTTTATGCAACACACACCTGCGAAACTGTTCATCATCATGATTATTACAAATCAGGAGTGTTTATCAGGTTTTGAAGCCTTGGATGTCATTTTGGTACAACTGTGAATTTAGGTTGGAGTGGTTGGGAAATAAAAATAAAAATGTGATCCAAACTCCCTACCAATGTTCTTTCAAGAATTTATTTTGATCTTGTGGCCTTAAAAAGAACATCTCAACAATGCTTAAGCTCCTCTCTCTCTCTCTTGTAACATTTAAAGTGACTGGTGTTTAATCATGCTAATTTCACTGAAGATGGATCTGCAGTCTTTCGAGAGATTACTATGACTTGAAATTGTAATTACAACATTCAAATTCTGTCAGGCAGTGTTTGTGTTCTTTACAAAGGTAATGCTGAAAGGTGTTGCTATAATCGTTCCCTATTTGACTATATATAAATGTACATTTATTTAAACATGTCAAAGGGGAAAGAAACAATGAGGTCATGGCACTGTTGTATAACATGTATAAGTATGGACAATGTCTTATCTGCTTCAGAGTTAACATGTGTATTGTTCATGCATAGTGTCATCTGTAACCATGGTAACAGCTGTTACAATGCTTCAACAGTGGGGAAAGTACGAGGGGCGTTCATTGAGTTTTGCCACTTCAATATAAGACCAAGTCGCAGAATATCTTTTGCACTTTTATTTTTCAATATAATCTCCATTCACCTCAATACACTTATTCCATTTGTCCTTCAAGCTTTTAATACCACTTTTATAGAAATCTGCAGATTGGCCCTCCAACCATGCCTCTGAGGCAGCCTTTATGTCCTCGTCATCCAGGAGGCGTCTTCCACGTAGGGCAGATTTCATTTGCCGGAACAGGAAATAGTTACTGGGGGCTAGGTCTTGGCTGTAGGGTGGGTGATTTAACTGTACAGCCAAGACTTAGCCCCCAGTGTAAAAAGATATTCTGCGACGAGGTCTTATATTGAAGTTGCAAAATGTATTGAACGCCCCTCGTACCAAGGTTACTGTGTGTTGCAGCCTATGCGTTTGCAGAGCTGATCGATAATGCTCTGGCAGCTACAGCTGACAACAATGGGCCCAGGAAGATAGACATTAGACTTGTGAGTTATTTTGAAGTCTTATTTAACATATTTAACATGTTTTTAATTTATTCATATATATTTTTTTAATTTATTTCAATTAGAACAAATTCTACGTACAACATGTACAATACAAGGTTGTTATGTTTATATTTTAAAGAAAGTCACATTCGTATTTCTAGCTTAACATGCTTAAGTCCCGTGAAGATTCTGGGTTAAACTTGGTCTTCAGCAACCCATGCTTGTTGCAAGAGGCCACTTATGGGATCGGGTGGTCAGGCTTGCTGACTTGGTTGATGCATGTCATCGTATCCTAATTGCGTGGATTGATGCTCATGATATCAATCACTGGATCGTCAGGTCCAGACTTGATTATTTATAGACTGCCGTCATATAGCTTGAATATTGCTGAGTGCAGCATTAAACAACAAACTTCTAGCTTACCTGTAGTTTCAATATTAATAAATCAGTGAGAGATTTGCGGAAGATTGTTTCATTCACTGCTCTCAGTTTACTTTTGTGCATTGACAGTTTTGAATACTTGTATCTACCTTATCTAATGATAACTGATTGAAATAGCTGACTGATCTGTAACCCTAAACGTGTCTCATTGTGGTGGCATTAGAAAACATTTACTAACTCACTCATTCGCTGTTACAGCATTTTGACGATGCCAATCCAAGCAGGAGCTGCATCTCTGTGATTGACAACGGCAAGGGCATGACCCCACGGCAGCTGAATAACTGGGCCATCTACAGACTGTCCAAGTTCATCAGGAAGGAGAAAGGCCGAGGGTGAGTGTGGCAGGCAGGCAGTTTCTACAATATAGAAGTGATTCACCTGATAATAGCTACAGGATTTTCTCATACAAGTTTTACTTAACATGTTTAGCTGATGTTGACCTAAATAGGTCCAACATTTACCAGCTGGCTTTTGTTCTTCTTGATGTAAAATGTGCATACAACTTGCTCATCACTTTTTGTTGATGGCATGATATTGAACATGTTAATTGAGTCAGTTGGGTTTACACTGTTTTGAACAGTGTTCCAGTTATATCATGGTGTGTCAGCTTATTGTTAGAGGATAGCCTGAAGTGGTGCACGTCTCAGACATTTACCATTTTGGTGAAACCCATGAGCATGGGTATGGGGCTGACAAACCTAGAAACATAATCAGGGCGAACCAGGATTTAAATCCTCAATGATGGGTTTCTGGTGTGGATAAAACAATGTAGTGTGCGCAAGATTATGTTGGATGAACTGATGGCCTGTTCATAAGATTATGGTGAATGAATTGATGGCCTGTTCATAAGATTATGGTGAATGAACTGATGGCCTGTTCATAAGATTATGGTGAATGAACTGATGGCCTGTTCATAAGATTATGGTGAATGAACTGATGGCCTGTTCATAAGATTATGGTGAATGAACTGATGGCCTGTTCATAAGATTATGGTGAATGAACTGATGGCCTGTTCACGAGATTATGGTGAATGAACTGATGCCATGTTCACGAGATTATGGTGAATGAACTGATGGCCTGTTCATAAGATTATGGTGAATGAACTGATGGCCTGTTCATGAGATTATGGTGTATGAACTGATGCCATGTTCATGAGATTATGTTGAATGAACTGATGCCCTGTTCACGAGATTATGTTGAATGAACTGATGCCCTGTTCACGAGATTATGGTGAATGAACTGATGCCCTGTTCACAAGATTATGCTGGATGGACATGGTGAAGCAGTTGGTTTTTTAAATAATCAAACTCATCTTTCCAGTCCTGGCTCAGAGGCCCGAGATTCCAACAACTTGTCATTTGTTGGGGAGGAGAATGTCCCCCGCTACATGAACAGCGACATCTCCTACTTTGGTGTCGGTGGCAAACAGGCAATATTCTACATCGGCAGCTCAACCCGAGTAAGTATCCAAGTCCTACTGTGTATGTATGAGGACTGATTCAAGTGTGAGTTGCAAGAGATGAAAGTCTTTCAGATGACTTCCTTGATCTTCCAGTGAGTTTCATCTCCATTATGATCAATAGCCTGGACCCATTAGTTAGTTAGGATTAAGTTAAGGTGGCAAATGTGGCCAGGGTATATGTCATCATCCAATGGATATATGATACACTTGATAACTGACATGACAGTCAATGTGGTTTGGAGCATGTACAGTTTTGAGCCCTTTACATTGCTTCATATTGCAGGAGTCAGATCATTGACCCTGAAAAATACAAAGGAAACTCCATTTCAATATTGGTCTCAAGGCCCTATAATTATTAAACCGTGCCACTCATTTTCCCCTTGTAATGGCTCGCTTAACCTATTAGTTAGTCTGAAGCTCTGTTATCAGTCGGGAAATCCTAGCGTTTCGTCATTCACTGTGACATGTTTGTGACTTGTTATGTATCAGTGCAAGATCAGTTCCATGATATATTGGTACTGGACCCGTGAAGATCTGGGGTAGAATAGGTCTTCAGCAACCCATACTTGCCGTAAAAGGCGACTATGCTTGTCGTAAGAGGCTACTAACAGGATCGGGTGGTAAGGCTTACTGACTTGGTTGATGCATCCAATATCTTTGTTGATGCTCATGATCTCAGTCACTGGACTGACAGGTCCAGACTCGATTATTTACAGACTGCAGTCAGATAGCTGGATTATTGCTGAGTGCGGCATTAAACAGCAAACAAGCAAACAAACATTGGTGCTGATTGTGAAAGTGGTTTTTTGTCCAGATGATCAGCAAACCGAAAGATTCCAGAGATGTTCACGAGTTGACGATATCAAAAGAAGAATTTGAGAAGAAGGAGAAAAACAATGAAGCAATATACAGTGGATTTATCAGGAACAGAAAGGTCAGAGTTCATATGCAAATGTTAAGAACAAGACTATGTTGTACTATGAACTCAAAAAGGTCACAGGCGGTACTGGTACCTTTTTTGGTTGAGTCCAGGGGGGGCGGTCGGGTAGCCTGGTGGTTAAAGCGTTTGCTCGTCACGCCGAAGACCCGGGTTTGATTCCCGACATGGGTACCATGTGTGAAGCCCCTTTCTGGTGTCCCCCGCCGTGATATTGCTGGAATATTGCTCAAAGCGGCGTAAAACCATACTCATTCAAAAAGGGTCACTAGTCCAAACAAATGAGGATTGAATGGTGAGAATGTTGGACCTGCTGGTCGTGTGTTATTGCACTGTTTGTACCCCGATGATGTGGTTGGCTGCTCATGCCGGAACATATGTTTCTCTTGTAGCCATGTGACAACTCTCATATTCCTGTGGAGGATGAGATTATCCGACGACTCGTCCTGGAGGAGAACAAGCGTGAGAGTTTCACGGCTGTCGTGATCCAACTCATCAACCCGTCACACATTCCATACCTCAAACACAAGATGAAGGAGTGGACACGACAGCTATCGTATGTAGTCTTCATCCGAAGTAACATGGAGCATACCGGTTTTAAACATTAGATAGACTTCACAGAATCGTTCGTGATTATTAGTTTAGTACATGTATACTCTCTGTTAACCAATCCATACAATGTGTTTGTGTTATACCAGGTAGATAATAAGGAGATAAACCTATTCTGTTTCAAATTCTGAGGTGGTTCATTGTTGATTAAATACAGCTAAATGTTATTTATAACTGAATGCGTTGTTTATAACCAAACACGATAGCATGACGTTGCAAATGTAACTTTTAGCGTTGTTTAATCAACGATGAACCATCCAAAATTTAAAACAGAATAAGTTTATCTCCATTGTACCATAACTAAACTGTGTACTTTAAACAGACTCTTTTTGCGCACGTACTTGCTGCAGTGATGTGTTCGGAACTTTGTTGACTACCATTTCTTGGAATCGCAATTGTACAGCCCATTGTTAGTTTGGGGGGGGGGGGGGGGGGGGGACTCCTTGAGAGACATGATATCTTAACGATTTTTATGTCTTTGGGACTTTATTGTTGACATCATTTGTACTTGTAGTGCAAAATAACCGGGAAATAACATAACATTGATTGATCCAGGATCTAGTTTTGCATGGTGAGATCATTACAATCCAACACCCCTACATTAAAAGGAATCAACTATGACCTAGATCAGTACTTGATAACCTCACTACTGTTACCAATTTGAAATAAGCCAGACATTCCAGCCTGGATACTCTGAGAAACATTCAACATGGATATGAAAACACAATACCATTTAGGAAGTGGTCAGATTTTAACAAGTGTTATGTTTGGGATAGCACTTTCTTAGTAAAGTACAAATTCTGGTACTTTTTGGGGTTGAGTCCGGTGGCAGTCAGGTAGCCTAGTGGTTAAAGCATTCGCTCGTCACACCGAAGACCCAGGTTCGATTCCCGACATGGGTACAATGTGTGAAGCCCATTTCTGGTGTCCCCCGCCGTGATATTGCTGGAATATTGCTAAAAGTGGTGTAAAACCATACTCACTCACCCACTCACTGGTTGCGTCCGGGACAGTGCTACTAGTACTTTGGGCCGTATTTTGATCAACGTTGTGCAGGAGAGCTGAACGTCACAAGTTCATATTTTGATTACCAAACAGTGGACATGAGATCATTTTTATTTTTTTAGATGGATTGATTACATTCTCGCTTGCAGTTATTTGTACATATTTTGCAATTGCTAACGGCCCCTTCCATGTCTAAAATGTAAAACATGTTGCTGTTTGAAAAATTATCGATAGTCGATCATAGGTATCCCTCATTGAAGCATGACATTGCAGTGATTAACGCAATTGGTGTTAGTAATGAAAGTGATATGTTTGTGTCTTAAAGTTTATACATGTTAAAGTGCTGCTTGTTTGTAGTGTATTTATGTCTACCCTGCACCCACAGTCACATCTACCACTACTATCTACATGGACCTGACGGCAATGTAGATGACGACACTCTGGCAAGCAAGCAGAACAACCCATTCAAAAACATAGATATCGAGGTAGGGAGACTCATGAGATTGCCTTTATAGCCTATGTGATTGGGTAACGTTTTTTGTGTCATGGTGACCTCTTCTAGGCCAGATGTAGCCGTAATTAACTTACATTATTATTTTAAACTGCCTACCAACATGTTCGCATGATCGTTGTTTTCACAAAACTTTGGACTGTCCCCTCACAATAAGCTTACATGTCTTGATAAAACTATAGTCATGATAATGCTGTTTAGAGCAGTGTTAATCTGGACTTGCTCATTCAATGTAATTAAGAATTGATTTCAGTATTTTTGCTTTTATGCAGGTAGAAACATGATATACGTAAAAACAAGTGTTCACACTTTGTAAATTTGTGTAATCATTTTTTATTAATAAAAAGGTCAACAATAGCAAGTTTATAAACTGCTAATTTAATCGTTAACACACAAAAATGTTGGCAGCGATACAAAATCAGTGACATCGTTCAGCACAAATGGAACATGAGCCTGTCCTTTCTCTTGTCAGCCTATCCTGAAACAGTAGTCTTTTAGTGGGCGTGGCCTAAGGTTTTTTGTGTACTTTGTTAACCAGTTAAATGCCATGGAATCACTTCCTATGCATTAATTACAGTTGTTAGCAATTTTGTTATGTTGTGAATGTTTAGAGTAGTAAATGACAGGGATATTGAGGATGTGTTTTGGGTGCAGGTGAGCCTGTACACCAGAGGTGGGCCCCAGCCCAAGGTGGTCAATCTGCGAGATATTGAAGACGACATGCAGTCCATGTTCCTGCACACAGCTTCCAGCAACTTTGAGTTCAAGGCTCTCGTAGACGGGACAAACATTGTGGAGGGGGTCCTCCGGTACCACCCCTTCCTGTACGACAGAGAGACCTTCCCTTCAGAGGCTTATGATCCAAGAAGTAAGATGGTTTGAATTATTTAACATGTTTGGTTTTGAGAAATACTTACCCAGAACATCCCAGATGTAAATAAACTTGTATCATTTTACTTCTTGTCAGCATTGCCAAGGTTGTTAGCAATCTTCAGTAATGAAAAGATACTTTGCAGCAAGTCAATGTCTGTCAGAGGCATCATTGAAAATAAGTGTTTTTTTTGTCAATTATGGAAACAATTTGTCCTTCATTTGATGCTTTTTGTTTCATCCATTATAAATACATTTAACATGTAAGCATATTCAACATGTGCAAAGCTTCACCGATCATAAAACTATTTTGTTCTAGTAGTTTGCTTGCATCGTAGTGACCATGAGGTTGGTAAAGTCAGTAAAGCCTGTAATACTAACCAAATCGCCAGATTTGGAAATGTACTGAAATTATCAGGGTGATATTTTTTATTATATACTCAACACCAAAAGAAATATGAACCATAGAAACATATAGAGAAGTATGTACATTAAGAAGAGATGTTTCCAGTGTGTACCACTTACGGACAAAACTAACAATCAGTCAAGTGGTACCACAGTGGTCTTTATTCTTATCACGATATGCTGCACGTGATTTCTAAACTTTACATGCTAATCCTTCACGAGACAAATGGTGCATCTGGAGTCATGGGTCTATGATGTCACATGTGATGCGTTTATGAGTGTCGATTCACATAACATACCAGTATGTTTCGTTTGTGGGTCGAACCAATCTAATACCACTTGAATGTGAGTAATTCTTCATAGATTAACCAACAAATATGGTATTCGTGTTTCTTTTGTGTGTGAGTATATGTGTTGTTATTTGAACATGTTGACATGTAGAGAAATTTTAGCAGACTTTTCTAATGAATAAGGAAAGGATTTTGTCGATTTTTTTATTTTTTTTAACTGGACAGTTAATGACTTTTGTGGAACCTGGTCAGCTCAGAGTCAGAATACCGTGTCTGAGTGGGGTATTCATGCTAAACTGCGGCATGGTATCTCAGTGGGCTAGCACTATAAATTGGCATCAGTCCGGACTAGAACAAGCAGCCACACATACACACATGTGCATGCACGTGGCTATATTTATAAGTGCAATAATCTTAGACGCAAGGTTAAACCCCATTTCACTTTCACCTGTGGTGTAACCGCTGTATGTTCTCCAGTGGACCCCGAGCCAGAGGATGACCACGACTACGCCATCAATGACAGACCAGCTAGGGGAAGAAGACCTGTGTTTGAGTGCTACTGGAATGGACGACTCATACCATACACCCTGATTGAGGAGTAAGTTAGCCCCTTGTAAACATCCGGGTTAGAATTAGTCTTCAGCAACTCATGCTTGTCGTAAGAGGCAACTTAAGGGATGGGGTGGTCAAGAGGTGACTAATGGATCAGGTTTTCAGGCTCATGACGTCTTTGATGCGTGCCATTGTACCCCAATTGGGTAGATCGAGGCTCATGATGTCAATGGGATTATCTGGTCCAGGCTTGGTTATTTAGAGAATATTGTTGAGTGCGGCATTAAACAAAAAACAACAAACAAAGGAATTATACCCTCGACTCTCACTTAGGTAAAATCTTACTCTTTGTCATTGGATGAGTACCTGGTAGGATGATATGGCAATGTGACTGTTAACTTTCTAGCGCCTGACAGGCAGCTTGGGCTGTATACTCCCCAGGGAGCTGAGAATGAAAACAGAGTGCACACTGAATGATTGGCCGGAGTAATAACATCATGCCATGAGTATTCACTAGAGTGGATTTTGGGGCACTAGACAATAGACATTTTATTATTATTAAATATGATGATGATGATGAAGAAGAAGAAGATTTTTCATGGTATTGTAGCAGTTTCTCCTCACAGGTGCACTAGCCTTTACCCTATTTTAGTGAGTATTCTTTCAGGGAATGCAAACAGCACCGATGTCAGGGTTATTGTCTGTTAACCTCTGTTAACCCGATCTGGGGAGATCTGTTCAAGCTTTTAGATGGACACTGTTAGTTCTAGTGGTTCTGTTTTTGACTTGCTATGAGTAACTCTATTCATGTGGTGTGTCAGAGTATGTTGTATTTACCCACAGCTTTGAGTGGTGCTGCCCTCCCAAGAAGCCCAAGGCCATTCCATCCGATTGTTACAACAGGTAGGTGAATGATCAAGCTGTCCTTACAAGGTTTCAGGTAGGTGGACCTGTCTGTGAGGGGTAGTTATCAAGGGCATTTGATACAGAACCTCTCTCTTAGAACTATCATGCTCCAGGGATGTACAGGGGTGGACATGGTAGTCTGTGGCTTGTGGATGTACTAGGGGTAGGTGAAGCGGGACGATGAAGCTTCATAACTGACAGCGTGGGTGGGGGAGGAGGGTGCTCAATAACAGAAAAGTTGGGACAAATGTCAAAATAAATTGAGATGACAGGTCAAATATTGAGCATAAAGAAATTGAGTCTGTTTGTATTTAGTTACTGTTCTGGCCAACAGTTCCTGTGGACATTATTATAATGCTACTACTACTACTAGGACATGTGGCAGTGGCAATGAAGTGTGCATAGTGGGAGATGTAAGAGGATGGTTGTAGATCATTCCTAATGTATGCAGTTTGTCTTAGTTTCTGTTCCAACAGAACCCCTGTTTATGAAATTGCAGGAACTGTATTTATGGATGTAATTGGAGTTAGTTCTTGAAGGTGTTTTATTGATACCGGTATTTAACATTCTCCTAAATCTTTTCTTCCCAATATCCTTAGAGTGTCTGGGGTGCTCTGGACCAATGACAGCTTCCAAGTGAGCACCAACAAGCTGACGTTCCTGGACCTGGAGATGAAGCTGCGAGACAAGAGTACCAGCTTTAGCCGGATACACAGCGGCCATGTGAGTACAGTTGTCTACCCCATGAAGATCTGGGTTAGAATTGGTCTTCAGCAACCCATGCTTGTCTCCCTCGCGAAGATCCAAGCTAGAATTGGTTTTAGGCAACCCATGCTTGTTGTAAGAGGCGACTAATGGGATCGGGTGGTCAGTCTCCCACTACTTGGTCTGCCACTATAATCAAATTGCGTAGATTTTATGCTCATGATATGGATCACAGGACTGCCTGGTACATATTGTGTGTAATAACTTTCTGTTATTTGCACATGTACATGTTAGTGATTCTCAGCGCTGATTGGTCAATTCATCATGTTCATTGTTGAGAACTTGGTGCATACAGACATAAGTATTGGGTTGCATATTTCAATAAAAGGTTGCACTGGGGCATGTTTTTGTAGTTAAATCAAGCCCTTGTTACTCCTTATTCTTCAATCCTGGTGTGGAAATGTCCTAGAACAGAGTTTCCAGCTTCTTAAAACAACTCTCCCACACACATTCCGTACATCACTATTGTCACTACTGTAATAATGGGTCATACACCACTACAATTCTGCGATCCCTTGCGATCCAATCACCTGACAGTCCCTGCCAGATTTCAAACTGACATAGGATATATTTTATGATCATCCATTTTGTGAAATAGTCGAGGCATTATTAATCATGTTAATGATAGTCTGTTAAATACACATGAGTTTGATGAGGTAAGGATGTCAATGAAAAGATGGATGTCTGGTTTGACTGTACTGGGACGGGGGATCTTAACATGTCTGCAAACTTCCATCCAACAAAATCAGATTGTCAGGAGATTTACAGCTCAAGTAAATAAATAACAGCTCTAAATTCCATATAATGGAATGTCTCAAAACTGAAGGAGTCACATACAATATATAAATTGCAAGTGATTCCATTGGGTTTCGCTCACCAAGCAAATATTTTTGGATTAATCTTTCGACATTAAATTAAATAGGCTACGCCCACAGAGGAATGTTTGTTTCTTGATTGGCTGATAATATAGTGGATGTTGCTTGTGTCATCCTCTGTCATCCTCAGATGTTATGGGTCCTGATAAATTGTATATCTATATATCATTATCTCATATATTTGATGTTCATATTTTTTTGCATCCAGGAAAAGAGAACATCTATCGAGAAGGAGTTTGTGTCATGGCTGAAGGAGTGTCATGACAAGCATGACAAACAGATCTTCTTCAGTAGTTTCCGTGGGACCATCACCAGGACGGACCTCCCCAAACACAAGCAGTCGCCGTGGGCAGTGTACGACCAAGTCGAGTGGGACGGTAGACTCTACAAGAAGGGCTCCCTGGTGAGTCTACTGTCGTGTTCTGTGGGGGATGATAGATCGTAGAGATATCCAAAGTGAGATAGGTTATGCATTTGCTTGACTTGACTTTTAGTCTTCGCAGGTATTTACCATATTTCCTCGATTTAATGACCCTGGCGTAAATTTTACCCCCAGAGTTTAATCGTAAAAATAACAGTAAAGAGAAATGCATGCATGAAACCTGAGTTGTGTTTAATCAAAGATCCGGGGCAAAGATCTGAGGCCCGATGTTTAATCGATATGGTACAAGAATAAGCTTAAGGCGGGAACAGTGTAGGTGTAAAGTGGAGGTCAACATTGGACAAAGGAACCCTTTCAATAAAACCAGGATTAGGGTGTAAGAAATAGTATCCGTTATGTTTCAATATTGTTCAGAAAAAATCTGTTTGGAGAGCTATGCCGATACAAAAAAAAAGTTTGTTATTCTGTAGTACTTTTTCTGAAATGAAGTAGTACAAGTGAATGTTTAAGGTCATGTTACGGACATGATAGAGGGTGTGTGAAGTGAGAAGGTGTTGGAGGAAGTTGAACATGATGTTGTCTTTTCCAGGTGAAGATCATGCGCACCCTGCCGCCCATGATGGGGACAATCAAGTGTTTCATGTTGTACGGAGACCACGATGGAGAAGTATACTCCACTGGGGGCGACCTCGAGATCATACAGGTTGGAATCACATACTGTTAAACAAATGTATCATTGACTGGTTGCAAAGGATTATTTTGGCTGAAACATTTGTACAGGACAATTAGCATGATTAGAGTGCCTTCTGGCCATTAGGTTTGGGTGTGGTAACTCGGAAGTGTGAATCGTGTCTCTTGTAATGCCACAAATATGCAGCTGGAAGAGTGTGACTGTCTTCATTTTGTTGTTTGTGGAACCCTTAAGCATGTTAAGTATTACCCCAGTCTCTATACTTCCAGGAACCCAAATCGGTGTATGACGACACCAAGATAGTTCCACTGTCCCGCCTTGACCGTACAGCCTCCCACCACATGGTCAAGAAGTTTATTGAAGATGAAGAGGCCAAGTAAGATAACAAATTCAGATAGTGTACTGAAGTAAGGCAAAATTGTACTTTATTCCCTAGGCTATCCAAAGCAGCCATCACTATCTGTCATAATTGCATAAGGCCTCAAAACATTATCAGTGACACTGCCAGTCTGTATGTGGGGTATGATTGACTTACATCTGTTGTTGCAGACTCCCCGATAGCTTGATCATCAGTTGGCCAGAAGGTAATGAAGTGAAGCAGAATGGCCGCCGCCCAGCAGGAGAGACCGTTGGTAAGAATGGACTGTGGGTGGTGTTGTCAATTTGCTGAAATATTGTTACCTGAATTAGAGTGAGTGAGTGAGTGAAGTTTGGTTTGGGCTTCACACATTGTACCCATGTCGGGAATCGAACCCGGGTCTTCGACGTGATGAGCGAACGCTTTAACCACTAGGCTACCCGACCCCCCCTCACCTGAATTAGAGAAGTTCTACATACCAGGATTGTAGGTCCAAGTGGAAATGGAAATATCCTTTTGTTCCTCATCTGTTTGTTGTCTGTCAGGTGACTAGAAGCTGCTCCCTTTACCATGCAACTACAGAGAAGAGGAGGAAGACTGAATGTCTTTTAGAATCATTTTCATGTAAACCACAAGGCCTGAGAAGGGCCTAACCCTGTACAGACCCTGGTTAGAATGGGTTTCCAGCACCCATTGCTAGTTGCATGAGGCAATTATACTGGGAATCCATTTGGACTCTGGGTTAGAATTTGTCCCCAGCAACCTATGCCAGTTTACATGGAAAGTAATTAACACCATCATAACAGCCACCCTTTTCTTACTTGACGATTTCTGTACATACAACTTTCATCTTGCTCTGAATCTGTGTGGTGAGCTGCAACACCTTGGGTGAGGTGAGGTGAAATGGGGTTTATCGTCGCGTCCAAGATTATTGCACTTATATAGTGACGTGCATGTACGTGTGTGTGTTTGTGTGGCTGCTTGTACTAGTCCGGACTGATGCCGATTTATAGTGCTAGCTCACTGAGACACCATGCCGCAGTTTAACATGAATACCCCACTCAGACACAGTATACTGACTCCGAGCCAACCAGTCCTTGTTTAAGCCCCTTAATGCCGAGCGCCAGACAGGGTAACAACAAGTACCATCTTTTAACGTCTTTTGGTATGACGCGGCCGGGGATCGAACCCCGAAACCTTCCACTCTCCATCCGGACGCTCTACCACTAGACCACGGAGGCGGTCAAAACGCCTTGGGACTCATACTGGAGTTTATTGTGCTTACATATTGATGTGTTGTCAAGTGATGTGAACTTGGAGATTTCCACAACACCTGTTCAATGTAGAGTTGATCCTACACCTGATTGTCTGCAGGTGATGTGAAGGTAGAGATCTGTAACAAGAGGGGCGAAATGATTAGCAAGCTACCTGGGACAGCAGCCACATCCAAGAAGCTGCTGGTCGAGCTCAAGATCATCTGGCATTGTAAGTCTCACACTTGAACTTACGACTGTTCCTAATTTACATGGCAACTCCAAACATAATTCATCGTTGAAGCTTACAAAATTGTATGATGCTCCTGGAATCCCAGTGTGCACGATTCGAATCAGTTTGGTAGCTGGTGATAACCTAATGTTGTGATTTATCTATGTATAGAGTTACTGTGATTTGAAATAAACATGCATTATGGGATATTTAGACAACATAGGTTCCACTGAAACTGTATCCATTCAGTGACATTGGAAGTGTTGTCACTTATGACTATGTAATTGTTGATGCTGCAGCTCCAGATGGCGATGAGGTGATTGTGTCTCACATCAGTCAGCATGGCAAGAACTGGCCATACTGGTTCAGGAAGATGGGTATGTTCATCAATAACATTGAGACATGTCCCCCCACATCTGTCAGTGACATTGAGACATGTCCCTCCACATCCATCACTGAGACATGTCCCTCCACATCCATTACTGAGACATGTCCCTCCACATCCATCACTGAGACATGTCCCTCCACATCCATTACTGAGACATGCCCCTCCACATCCATCATTGAGACATGTCCTTCCACATCCATCACTGAGACATGTCCCTCCACATCCATCATTGAGACATGTCCTTCCACATCCATCACTGAGACATGTCCCTCCACATCCATCACTGAGACATGTCCCTCCACATCCATCACTGAGACATGTCCCTCCACATCCATCATTGAGACATGTCCCTCCACATCCATCATTGAGACATGTCCCTCCACATCCATCATTGAGACATGTCCCTCCACATCCATCATTGAGACATGTCCCTCCACATCCATCAGTAACACTGAGACATGTCTGTCCACATCCATCACTGAGACATGTCCCTCCACATCCATCATTGAGACTTGTCCTTCCACATCCATTACTGAGACATGTCCCTCCACATCCATACTGAGACATGCCCCTCCACATCCATCACTGAGACATGTCCTTCCACATCCATCACTGAGACATGTCCCTCCACATCCATCACTGAGACATGTCTGTCCACATCCATCACTGAGACATGTCCCTCCACATCCATCACTGAGACATGTCCTTCCACATCCATCAGTAACACTGAGACGTGTCCCTCCACATCCATCATTGAGACTTGTCCCTCCACATCCATCATTGAGACTTGTCCCTCCACATCCATCACTGAGACATGTCCCTCCACATCCATCAGTAACACTGAGACATGTACACCCACATCTGTCAGTAACATTGAGACATGTCACCGCACATCCGTCAGTAACACTGAGACATGTCCCTCCAAATCCATCAGTAACACTGAGACATGTCCCCCCCCCCCCCAATCTGTCAGTAACACTGAGACATGTCCCTCCACATCCATCAGTAACACTGAGACATGTCCCTCCACATCCATCACTGAGACATGTCCCTCCACATCAATCAGTAACACTGAGACATGTCCCTCCACATTCATCAGTAACACTGAGACATATCCCTCCACATCAATCAGTAACACTGAGACATGTCCCTCCACATTCATCAGTAACACTGAGACATGTCCTTCCACATCCATCAGTAACACTGAGACATGTCCCTCCACATCAATCAGTAACACTGAGACATGTCCTTCTACATCCATCAGTAACACTGAGACATGCCCCTCCACATTCATCAGTAACACTGAGACATGTCCCTCCACATCAATCAGTAACACTGAGACATGTCCTTCCACATCCAACAGTAACACTGAGACATGTCCCTCCACATTCATCAGTAACACTGAGACATGTCCCTCCACATCAATCAGTAACACTGAGACATGTCCTTCCACATCAATCAGTAACACTGAGACATGTCCCCCCACATCCATCACTGAGACATGTCCCTCCACATCCATCATTGAGACTTGTCCCTCCACATCCATCATTGAGACATGTCCCCCCACATCCATCACTGAGACATGTCCCCCCACATCCATCACTGAGACATGTCCCCCCACATCCATCATTGAGACATGTCCCTCCACATCCATCACTGAGACATGTCCCTCCACATCCATCAGTAACACTGAGACATGTACACCCACATCTGTCAGTAACATTGAGACATGTCCCCGCACATCCGTCAGTAACACTGAGACATGTCCCTCCACATCCATCAGTAACACTGAGACATGTCCCTCCACATCCATCAGTAACAATGAGACATGTCCCTCCACATCCATCAGTAACACTGAGACATGTCCCTCCACATCCATCAGTAACACTGAGACATGTCCCTCCACATCCATCAGTAACACTGAGACATGTACACCCACATCTGTCAGTAACATTGAGACATGTCCCCGCACATCCGTCAGTAACATTGAGACATGTCCCTCCACATCCATCAGTAACACTGAGACATGTCCCTCCACATCCATCAGTAACACTGAGACATGTCCCTCCACATCCATCAGTAACACTGAGACATGTCCCTCCACATCCATCAGTAACACTGAGACATGTCCCTTCACATCCATCAGTAACACTGAGACATGTCCCCCCACATCCATCATTGAGACATGTCCCCGCACATCTGTCAGTGACACTGAGACATGTCCCTCCACATCCATCAGTAACACTGAGACATGTCCCTCCACATCCATCACTGAGACATGTCCCTCCACATCCATCACTGAGACATGTCCCTCCACATCCATCAATGAGACATGTCCCCCCACATCTATCATTGAGACTTGTCCCTCCACATCTGTCAGTAACACTGAGACATGTCCCCCCACATCCATCATTGAGACATGTCCCTCCACATCCATCACTGAGACATGTCCCTCCACATCCATCATTGAGACATTTCCCTCCACATCCATCACTGAGACATGTCCCTCCACATCCATCACTGAGACATGTCCCCCCACATCCATCACTAAGACCTGTAGACAGTTATGATCAGTGTGTAACATGTTGCAGAAAATGTGAAGAATCTTGGCCCCCACATACTACAGCTGAGACATGTCCCCGCACATCCATCAGTAACACTGAGACATGTCCCCCCACATCCATCACTGAGACATGTCCCCCCACATCCATCATTGAGACATGTCCCTGCACATCTGTCAGTAACACTGAGACATGTCCCTCCACATCCATCAGTAACACTGAGACATGTCCCCCCACATTCATCATTGAGACATGTCCCCACACATCCATCAGTAACACTGAGACATGTCCCTCCACATCCATCAGTAACACTGAGACATGTCCCTCCACATTCATGATTGAGACATGTCCCCGCACATCCATCAGTAACACTGAGACATGTCCCCCCACATCCATCACTGAGACATGTCCCCCCACATCCATCATTGAGACATGTCCCCGCACATCCATCAGTAACATTGAGACATGTCCCTCCACATCCATCAGTAACACTGAGACATGTCCCTCCACATCCATCAGTAACACTGAGACATGTCCCTCCACATCCATCAGTAACACTGAGACATGTCCCTCCACATCCATCAGTAACACTGAGACATGTCCCTTCACATCCATCAGTAACACTGAGACATGTCCCTCCACATCCATCACTGAGACATGTCCCTCCACATCCATCACTGAGACATGTCCCTCCACATCCATCAATGAGACATGTTCCCCCACATCTATCATTGAGACTTGTCCCTCCACATCTGTCAGTAACACTGAGACATGTCCCCCCACATCCATCATTGAGACATGTCCCTCCACATCCATCACTGAGACATGTCCCTCCACATCCATCATTGAGACATTTCCCTCCACATCCATCACTGAGACATGTCCCTCCACATCCATCACTGAGACATGTCCCCCCACATCCATCACTAAGACCTGTAGATAGTTATGATCAGTGTGTAACATGTTGCAGAAAATGTGAAGAATCTTGGCCCCCACATACTACAGCTGAGACATGTCCCCGCACATCCATCAGTTACACTGAGACATGTCCCCCCACATCCATCACTGAGACATATCCCCCCACATCCATCATTGAGACATGTCCCTGCACATCTGTCAGTAACACTGAGACATGTCCCTCCACATCCATCAGTAACACTGAGACATGTCCCCCCACATCCATCATTGAGACATGTCCCCGCACATCCATCAGTAACACTGAGACATGTCCCTCCACATCCATCAGTAACACTGAGACATGTCCCTCCACATTCATGACTGAGACATGTCCCCGCACATCCATCAGTAACACTGAGACATGTCCCCCCACATCCATCACTGAGACATGTCCCCCCACATCCATCATTGAGACATGTCCCCGCACATCCATCAGTAACACTGAGACATGTCCCTCCACATCCATCAGTAACACTGAGACATGTCCCTCCACATTCATGACTGAGACATGTCCCTCCACATCCATCAGTAACACTGAGACATGTACACCCACATCCATCATTGAGACATGTCCCCGCACATCTGTCAGTAACACTGAGACATGTCCCTCCACATCCATCAGTAACACTGAGACATGTCCCTCCACATCAATCAGTAACACTGAGACATGTCCCCCCACATCCATCAGTAAAACTGAGACATGTCCCTCCACATCCATCAGTAACACTGAGACATGTCCCTCCACATCCATCACTGAGACATGTCCCTCCACATGTATCACTGAGACATGTCCCTCCACATCAATCAGTAACATTGAGACATGTCCCCGCACATCCATCAGTAACACTGAGACATGTCCCTCCACATCCATCACTGAGACATGTCCCTCCACATCTATCACTGAGACATGTCCCTCCACATCAATCAGTAACACTGAGACATGTCCCCGCACATCCATCAGTAACACTGAGACATGTCCCTCCACATCCATCAGTAACACTGAGACATGTCCCTTCACATCCATCAGTAAAACTGAGACATGTCCCTCCACATCCATCACTGAGACATGTCCCTCCACATCTATCACTAAGACATGTCCCTCCACATCAATCAGTAACACTGAGACATGTCCCTCCACATCCATCACTGAGACATGTCCCTCCACATCTATCACTGAGACATGTCCCTCCACCTCAATCAGTAACATTGAGACATGTCCCCGCACATCCATCAGTAACACTGAGACATGTCCCTCCACATTCATCAGTAACACTGAGACATGTCCCTCCACATCCATCACTAAGACCTGTAGATAGTAATGATCAGTGTGTAACATGTTGCAGAGAATGTGAAGAATCTTGGCCCCCACACACTACAGCTGCAGACAGTTCTCAATGAGAGTGGAGCCACAATGTTTGCAGGGAGGGAGCTTCCTTCATACAAGATCCGCTTTATTGTCACAGGTAGATACTCATATTCAAATGCACAGAAACAGCCTATCGCATAGAGGAGCACCTGCCCATCCGCCAAGATTAAGGAAGTCTGCTGGTCTGGATTCAGAAGGTTTTACTTTCCTGATAAGAATTAGTTAAACCTCAAAGACATGAATTTTTCCAACTGAAAAAGGATGGGGGTTAGTGTGCATTATATTTCATGCTACACATTTTTTAAAGACCATGCCATATTCACACTTCACTATAGGCATAGGCCTGTAGGGAAATAACTCACAGTGTTAACAGCTTCACATAAAAGTGTGATTGATAACATTTAAACGTTTTTAGACATTTTGATTTTTCTGTATGTTAGAGCTAATAGACTAAAACATATTCCTTTACGTTCTTGCTACTGCTGGGACGAGTCCAAATTTATTACCCGGGCGCCCACCCTGCTATTACCTGACCCTACCGGGGTACCCGATGTAAGTCTCAAGAGTTGGGTACAAAATGTCCAATTGGGAATAGTTTGACCGTAGCCCTGGCAAAATGTATTTATAAACACGTTAAAAGCGTTCTGGTCATGCATACACTGAAGTTGACGAAAGTCATTTGTGACTTGTAGTAAACCTTAATTCTAGATAATTTTTGTAATAAAACAATATATCATGTGACTAACCACGGGTCCGGGTAGTCCTGTGGGTACCCAGGTCCTGCTCAGTACCCACCCGACCCGAGTACCCTAGTTACCCGTCCCAGCCCTAGTACTTGCCTTCATATCTAATGTGCAGTGACGTTCCACTGATGATGTCATACAATGTTTTAATGCAGTGATGTCATAGCTTTTAGAACATTGCAGTGCTAGGCTCATTCACATTTGCCGTAAGCAAAACGGAAATTGCTTCCCTTTTTGTTTAGTATTTGACTCATTATTCTGAACGATTTGAAGGTTAGTCTATGATTCTTGCCTTCATATTGTGTTAAATATATCTATGACAGACTCACGATACAAAACAATTCAGGATGTACAGTGAACATAGTGTCTTACCAGCAGACATCTTTATTGGAAAGACTGAGATAGTCCTTCAGTGTTTGTTGGCAATACAATTTAGCATTATAGCAATAATTAACATATTGGCACGTGTTTGAGTTCCTGTCTTGGGCCTATGTTTTTAGTCTGAATGTATTTCACAAATAGTTCACATACAGTTTGGGGATATGTGTAGAAGCTAAATCTTTAGCAAGCAAGCTAAAAGTGTTAGTTGTTTTGACATAGGCCACATCAGACCTACACTCATAGTGGAAAACAGCCCATGCCTTCCATTATTCATACAGCCAATAAGCTATCCTGTACAGCATAATGAGTGAAGTGTACATACTTCTAGAGGCAGAGCCAGAAAGGTTTACTGTGGGCCTGCTGGATGGCCCGTTCAAGGTGGGCGTGCCCTTCCAGATACCGCTCGAGTTCCAGGACAAATACAACCACCCAGCCAAGCCTCCCTCCAAACTCAAGCCGGACTTCACTGCTGCGTAAGTCTGTTAAATGCAAGGTGTATGTATGTTATTTTATGAACAGCAAACACTAAGGATTGAATCATGGAGGGCAGTATCCATGAACTGTGAATCAAGATACACCTGCATTGAACAACATGCACGCACTCCTGTGTGTTGACAAACAAATACTGGTACATTAAAACTGCAAGTACAAGAACGTGTCTAAAACCTCACATAAAAATAGACCATTCTTCAATGTTATGAATTGGCAATGCTTTTGTGGTCAAATGTAAATCTTATGCTTTTAGATAAAACATGGCTTACAGTAGATTTCAAATTGTGCTGACATCACTGTGATGTATACAGTAGATGTTGATTGGTTGTCTTAAGTTTATGTAAGACACATATGACCTAAGCTCTTATAATATCTACAGGTCCTGTGAAATGTTTTTGTATGTAAGCAGTATGTTTTGTATACCAGTCAGTAGACTGCATCAATATTTCAGTGGAGAATTGGTTCCAATTAACCTGTGGTTGTTGTAAGATGACAAAGTTAATTGGAAGTTCTGGGGCGTTGCTCATAATATCAATCACTGTTTTGTGTGGTCGATACTCCATTGTTAACATTGTTATCATTGTTATACTGCTGGAATGTTACTACATGTCGTTCCGGAGAGCGGAAGGTCTGGGGTTGAAGACGTTAAAAGATGGTACTTGTTGTTACCCTGTCTGGCGCTCGGTATTAAGGGGCTAAAACAAGGACTGGTCAGCTCGGAGTCAGTATACTGTGTCTGAGTGGGGTATTCATGTTAAACTGCGGCATGGTATCTCAGTGAGCTAGCACTATAAATCGGCATCAGTCCGGACTAGTACAAGCAGCCACACAAACACACACACGTACAGGCACGTCGCTATATAAGTGCAATAATCTTGGACGCGACGTTAAATCCCATTTCACCTCACCTACTACATGTCGTTAAGCTACAAACAAACAGTGACTGTTGTCATGCTGCTGTTGTTTACAGGGGACTAGAGTTGTCCTACAGTGATGCTCACATCAAGGGGAACAGCATCATCATCCGGGGAGTGGAAGCAAGGGGCACCGTCACAACCAGTGCCGGCAAGGTGAGGAGGGATACACTGACACCAACAATATACTCTTCTCACCTTGTAGCAGGCAGCAGGCCATGAGGGGCTGGTCTCCATGTGCTGATAACCTTAGGCTAGATATTATCAGTGCTGGGTATGAACTCCAGACATTGTCTCTGTGTATTCAGGGTAATCAAAAATTGCTTGATTGATATGTACTAGTCAATATTTAAAAGGGATATTCTGTGTCCAGGTTGGGGGAAATCATGCTGTTGTTTGGAGATATTGTTGTATGAATAGGATGTGATTTAGTTCCATGCCCAAATCACATCCTATTTGTCGGTCCTTCACCAACATCCCGTCAGATTTATCCCCCATCTGTACACTCAGAATATCCCTATCAAATGTTGTGTTGTATAGTTCATGGTAAGATTTGAAGTGCTTGGATCACGCCGGCTATGACCCCTCATGGAGCCTTGCCTGGTCCTCCTTCAACAAATACTCTCTTGGGTAGGATCCTTTGTGTTAGGTATCAAGTGTAATCAACTGATCTCTTGAAATGATTGTTTATGCTCTCATAATGGAGTAGTCTCTTCTTTGAGCAGATAATTCAGATCCACTTGCCCGATTATTAGTAAACTGAAAGGATGCTAACACAACTGGACTGAATGAATGAAGGAAGGTTTGGAAGTTGTGTTGAGGTATTCCTATTTGGGGTGTACTGGCCAGACTACTGATGTGTGGCAATTGTTGCTGTCTGTGTTCCAGAACTTTAATCTGACTGTGAAGATCCCAGGGCTGGAGGAAGATTCACAATCTTTGAAGATACGGCTGTTGCCAGGTACTGTTTCCACACAATCTCTAGCTGCTACGTAGCCAACTGTTTCATATCCTTGTGGTCGAGTGTATACACTACCCTGAGAGGGGAAGGGGTGTGGTTCGTTCATGTCATACCAAAAGACATTATGAGATGGTACTTGTTTCCCTGCCTGGCGCTCGACATTAACAGGCTAAAATTGGTCAGCTCGGAGTCAGTATACTGTGTCTGAGTGGGGTATTCATGTTAAACTGCGGCATGGTATCTCTGGGCTAGCACTATAAAACTGGCATTAGTCCGGACTAGTACAAGCAGCCACACACATACACACATGAGCATGCATGTCACTATATAAGTACAGTCATTTTGGAAGCGACGTTAAACCCCATTTCACCTCACCTCACACACATGTGCTTGCACATCATTATGTAAGTGCAATAATCTTGAACAAGATGTTGAACCCCATTTCCTGTCTCCTCACCTCTTTCTATCCTCATGCCTGACATCACAGAGTAGGACACATGAAAGTTTGCCTTGTCCATTGAGATGGGGGTGCCCCAGGTGGCACAGGTGTCTGAGCTGCATCAACTTGTGGTCTCAACTGACCCTCAAAACTTTAAGCCAAATTTTATTGCAAGAATTTCAGCTGCAGAAATATATTTTCATACCTATTTCAATCTACCCAAGTTATTTGGTTGGCTAAATCTGTTAACATGAATGAAATGGTGTGGCCTCAGTTGTACACCAGGCATATATCTAGACCTGATCAGAGGCCAATGATCGGCCACAAGTCTGCAGCAGATGTCATTAGAATTCCCAAATTTGAATTATAAATTTACCAGTTCATGCAATAACTAGTTATGTGGCTTTACAGAGGTAACCTGTATTTTACTTATAACACGATCAATGAAGAGTAAGAGGTTTTAATGTTAGGTTAATGATATTGTATTGAATACAATCCCATAATACAATGTTAAAATATCTCTGTATTTAAGAAAATAAGAACTTCTAAAACATCCCTGTTTGAATAATAATGATTTTTCTCCTCAAATTGGCCGCCAGGGGCACTTAGTTTTGATTTCTAGCGATATCCCTGTACACTGTACAAGTTGAGTGAGGGGCTGTACCTCCATGTTGGGCAATGTTCCAGGTCCCGCCAACGCACTGGTCGTCACTCCGGAGGATATGCAGGAGATCGAGAACGGCAGCCCTGTGTCCTTCAATGTGGTGGTCCAAGACGTAGCCAATAATGTCACATCTGAAGGGAAGCAGATTATAACATGCAAGGTAAGAAAGACATTCGTCGTTTCTATAGCACACTGGTTTGTCTGGTACAGTCTGGATATACTGCTAGGATTGTGACAGTCTCAACCATTAATGTAGGGCTGGTATTGTTGAGTGCTGTAAATTCCTTCAATACCCTGTCCCTGATCTGCCCCCCATATGCTGTATGATACTATTCTGGGGTAGAGCAGCTTCCAACACAAACAGTCCCAGCTTAGGATTTCGGTGGTTCAATGTGTGACCTGGCTGAGTCTTTGTACGATGGGAGCATTTTATCACTCTATCTGATGCCAATTACAGAGCATAATAGGCCCCTAGTACCCTTGTTTTCAGAGAGAGCTGATTAAAATTAACTTGACCAGGGATCCGTTCCTCAGAACTACCGTAGCACTAAGGTGATCATAACTCCCATACTTTAGCATAGAATTGCAACTGTCGTTGGAACAGGGCTCAGGCTGATGTCTTCTGTTGTTCCCAGGCTGCGTGGAACGTTGCCCATCATGTCAGCAGTTTGTTGGTCACAGACTTCAATTGTCAGAATTATCCTCACTTGCTCGGATGCCTGCCAACCCACTCATTAACTTATTGTTATACTTTGAATAAAGTTCCCCAGCAACCTATGCTTTTCGTAAGAGTTGACAAAATGGACCGTGTAGTCAGGCCTGTGATGTCATCGTATCCCAATTGTGCGATTATTTACAGACTGGAGTCATGTGGCTCAAACAATGTTGAGTGCAGTGTTAACAAAGAAACAAACACTCATGAATGTTGATACAATGGAGACTCCTCAAGGAATTCCACGAATACTCCCTAGTCGTTTGCTTTTCCTAAAATGGGTTTCATGATTACAGTGTCTCTATGGTGTAGTGGATAGAGCCTCTGCCTGAAGAGCGGAAGGTCAATGGTTTGATCCCTGGCCGCGTCATACCAAAAGACTTTAAAAGATGATACTTGTTGTTACCCTGCCTGGTGCATGGCACAAAGAAGGTAAAACAAGGACTTGTCAGCTCAGAGTCAGTATGTTGTCTGAGTAGGGTTTCCATGTTAAACTCTGGCATGTAAAACCCATATTAGTCGGAACTACTACCAGCAGCCATACGCACACACACACACATGCACATTACTATATAAGTGCAATAATCTTGAATGCGAAGTTAGACCCCATTTCGCGTCACCTCACTCTGAGTTACTGTTGACAGTTTTCCGGTGCATCAGGCCTTCCGACGTACACAGCTGACTGCAGCAACAGCAGCAGCTGCACCCTGACTGGCGACGCCCTCACATTGAGGAAGCTTGTCAAGGAGCAGATCATCACAGCCAAAATAGACATTCAGGTGAGGCAGACATGTTAAGTATGAATGTAATGATCTCTTTCGGCTTTGCTTATGAATATTCGTTTGCCCTGGACTCTTACTAAAGTCATATGTGTATTTTCTAGGGCATGAAGAATGTCCAGTCAATCGAGAAGAAAATCCTTGTGAAGCCAAGTTTTCGTGTGACCAGCTTTAACTTGACCTATGGTTCTGAGGCTAACAACAAAGTTACCAGGGTCAGCATACCTAGCTCAGGGGAGATAACTGGTATTGCTGGGCAGCCTATCAAAGATATCTGTGAGTGAGGGGGTATACATGGGTGCTCTGGGTGTTGATATTCTCTTGATTCTGAGTACATTCTACAACTTCATGTGTTATGCATGACTGATGAACAGAGCAGCCACTATGAGACCGGACTGCCTCCGTGGTCTAGTGGTAGAGCGTCCGCCCGGAGAGCGGAAGGTCCGGGGTTCGATCCCTGGCCGCGTCATGCCAAAAGACGTTAAAAGATGGTACTTGTTGTTACTCTGTCTGGCGCTCGGCATAAGGGGCTAAAACAAGGACTGGTCGGCTCGGAGTCAGTATACTGTGTCTGAGTGGGATATTCATGTTAAACTGCGGCATGGTATCTCAGTGAGCTAGCACTATAAATCGGCATCAGTCCGGACTAGTACAAGCAGCCACACAAACACACACACGTACAGGCACGTCGCTATATAAGTGCAATAATCTTGGACGCGACGTTAAACCCCATTTCACCTCACCTCACCCACTAAGAGACTGGTCATTTATTACTGGGAGGTGATGGGTCAGAGGTTTTTTGTGCACTAATGTACAGAAAATAATGACCCTCCTCTTATGCTTGTCATGTTTTTCATTAACCTCTCCATGTCCTTTGGACATTCTTTTCATGACGTTATATTTTTTGGTGACCCTCTTTCCTTCACTTTTTCAGCCTTCATGATCATTTTTTTTTCATGATAAATTAAACTCCTTGATTGTTTTGCTTAATAATGTATTTATGTGTGATTATTTACACATTTATTGACACCCACACTCCTTTATTTACATTTATTGGTACAAATTTTATTGATTAATGGCACTTACAATTGATCATTGCACAGAGATTAGCTTGCATCGATTATAATTACTAACTGTCAGATGACTGGCATGTACCACTGTATCCTGGTTAGCGATCTCCTCCCTGACGGAGAGTGTTCACCCTTTGTTTGCCAGGTTTCAAGCTGTTCGATGAGGGAGGACGTGAAACTACACTCGATGAACAGCTGGCAAGTAAGGTCAAGGTCAGTAGTTGTTGGCCTGAAATAGACCAGCTTTTAGATCTGATGATGTTCTGTCTGAGACCCACATCGGCTCCAGTGTGTGAGTGGTAGGATGTGCTGTTTACTCTAAGTAAATACACTAACTTAACTATAATATGGAAGACATATATATTTTGGATTTACATCAAGTTTTCTTTCTCATCTTTTCATTCCTCATAATTGGATTTGTTATCAGTTCCAAATATCAGGATACATTTGTGGGTTCCCTTAATTGTTTCATATGTATTAACAATTTCATTAATTCACTTGATGAGAAACTGGTCAGGGCTACTGATTATAAGAGTGTGTTGTGTGTCAGGTCAACTAATAATAAGAGTGTATTGTGTGTCAAGTCAACTGATTATAAGAGTGTATTGTGTGTCAAGTCAACTGATAATAAGAGTGTATTGTGTGTCAAGTCAACTGATTATAAGAGTGTATTGTGTGTCAAGTCAACTGATTATAAGAGTGTATTGTGTGTCAAGTCAACTGATAATAAGAGTGTATTGTGTGTCAAGTCAACTGATAATAATAGTGTATTGTGTGTCAAGTCAACTGATTATAAGAGTGTATTGTGTGTCAAGTCAACTAATAATAAGAGTGTATTGTGTGTCAAGTCAATTGATAATAAGAGTGTTGTGTGTCAGGTCAACTGATAATAAGAGTGTATTGTGTGTCAAGTCAACTGATAATAAGAGTGTATTGTGTGTCAAGTCAACTGATAATAAGAGTGTATTGTGTGTCAAGTCAACTGATAATAAGAGTGTATTGTGTGTCAAGTCAACTGATTATAAGAGTGTATTGTGTGTCAAGTCAACTGATTATAAGAGTGTATTGTGTGTCAAATCAACTGATAATAAGAGTGTATTGTGTGTCAAGTCAACTGATAATAATAGTGTATTGTGTGTCAAGTCAACTGATTATAAGAGTGTATTGTGTGTCAAGTCAACTAATAATAAGAGTGTATTGTGTGTCAAGTCAATTGATAATAAGAGTGTTGTGTGTCAGGTCAACTGATAATAAGAGTGTATTGTGTGTCAAGTCAACTGATAATAAGAGTGTATTGTGTGTCAAGTCAACTGATAATAAGAGTGTATTGTGTGTCAAGTCAACTGATAATAAGAGTGTATTGTGTGTCAAGTCAACTGATAATAAGAGTGTATTGTGTGTCAAGTCAACTGATAATAAGAGTGTGTTGTGTGTCAGGTCAACTGATAATAAGAGTGTATTGTGTGTCAAGTCAACTGATAATAAGAGTGTGTTGTGTGTCAGGTCAACTGATAATAAGAGTGTGTTGTGTGTCAAGTCAACTGATAATAAGAGTGTATTGTGTGTCAGGTCAACTGATAATAAGAGTGTGTTGTGTGTCAGATCAACTGATTATAAGAGTGTATTGTGTGTCAGGTCAACTGATAATAAGAGTGTATTGTGTGTCAGGTCAACTGATAATAAGAGTGTGTTGTGTGTCAGGTCAACTGATTATAAGAGTGTATTGTGTGTCAAGTCAACTGATAATAAGAGTGTATTGTGTGTCAAGTCAACTGATAATAAGAGTGTATTGTGTGTCAGGTCAACTGATAATAAGAGTGTGTTGTGTGTCAGGTCAACTGATTATAAGAGTGTATTGTGTGTCAAGTCAACTGATTATAAGAGTGTATTGTGTGTCAAGTCAACTGATTATAAGAGTGTATTGTGTGTCAAGTCAACTGATTATAAGAGTGTATTGTGTGTCAAGTCAACTGATAATAAGAGTGTATTGTGTGTCAAGTCAACTGATAATAAGAGTGTATTGTGTGTCAAGTCAACTGATTATAAGAGTGTATTGTGTGTCAAGTCAACTAATAATAAGAGTGTATTGTGTGTCAAGTCAACTGATAATAAGAGTGTATTGTGTGTCAAGTCAACTGATAATAAGAGTGTGTTGTGTGTCAGGTCATCTGATAATAAGAGTGTATTGTGTGTCAGGTCAACTGATAATAAGAGTGTGTTGTGTGTCAGGTCAACTGATAATAAGAGTGTATTGTGTGTCAGGTCAACTGATTATCAGAGTGTGTTGTGTGTCAGGTCAACTGATTATAAGAGTGTGTTGTGTGTCAGGTCAACTGATAATAAGAGTGTGTTGTGTGTCAGGTCAACTGATAATAAGAGTGTGTTGTGTGTCAGGTCAACTGATAATAAGAGTGTATTGTGTGTCAGGTCAACTGATAATAAGAGTGTATTGTGTGTCAGGTCAACTGATAATAAGAGTGTATTGTGTGTCAGGTCAACTGATAATAAGGGTGTATTGTGTGTCAGGTCAACTGATTATCAGAGTGTGTTGTGTGTCAGGTCAACTGATTATAAGAGTGTGTTGTGTGTCAGGTCAACTGATTATCAGAGTGTGTTGTGTGTCAGGTCAACTGATTATAAGAGTGTGTTGTGTGTCAGGTCAACTGATAATAAGAGTGTGTTGTGTGTCAAGTCAACTGATAATCAGAGTGTGTTGTGTGTCAGGGCTACTGATAATAAGAGTGTGTTGTGTGTCAGGTCAACTGATAATAAGAGTGTATTGTGTGTCAGGTCAACTGATAATAAGAGTGTGTTGTGTGTCAGGTCAACTGATAATAAGAGTGTGTTGTGTGTCAGGTCAACTGATAATAAGAGTGTGTTGTGTGTCAGGTCAACTGATAATAAGAGTGTGTTGTGTGTCAGGGCTACTGATAATAAGAGTGTGTTGTGTGTCAGGTCAACTGATAATAAGAGTGTGTTGTGTGTCAGGTCAACTGATAATAAGAGTGTGTTGTGTGTCAGGTCAACTGATAATAAGAGTGTGTTGTGTGTCAGGTCAACTGATTATGAGAGTGTATTGTGTGTCTAGTCAACTGATAATAAGAGTGTGTTGTGTGTCAGGTCAACTGATAATAAGAGTGTATTGTGTGTCAGGTCAACTGATTATCAGAGTGTGTTGTGTGTCAGGTCAACTGATAATAAGAGTGTGTTGTGTGTCAGGGCTACTGATAATAAGAGTGTGTTGTGTGTCAGGTCAACTGATAATAAGAGTGTGTTGTGTGTCAGGTCAACTGATAATAAGAGTGTGTTGTGTGTCAGGTCAACTGATAATAAGAGTGTGTTGTGTGTCAGGTCAACTGATTATAAGAGTGTATTGTGTGTCTAGTCAACTGATAATAAGAGTGTATTGTGTGTCAGGTCAACTGATAATAAGAGTGTATTGTGTGTCAGGTCAACTGATTATCAGAGTGTGTTGTGTGTCAGGTCAACTGATTATAAGAGTGTGTTGTGTGTCAGGTCAACTGATAATAAGAGTGTGTTGTGTGTCAGGTCAACTGATAATAAGAGTGTGTTGTGTGTCAGGTCAACTGATAATAAGAGTGTGTTGTGTGTCAGGTCAACTGATAATAAGGGTGTGTTGTGTGTCAGGTCAACTGATTATAAGTGTATTGTGTGTCAAGTCAACTGATTATATGAGGGTGTGCTGTCTCTTAGATCAACTGATTGTAAGTGTGTGTTGTGTATCAGGTCAACTGGGTGCCGAAGGTGTCAAGAGAGGTGATTCTCCAGGGAAAGCTGCCAGACATCAAGATCCCCAACTCTGTCAGCGAGTCCAAGTACTGTCACGTCAACCTGCTCCAGGGGCCGGGGGTAGAGTTCACCTTCACCGTCAGGTCAGTTGTATTCAGTGTTAGGACCTGGCCTAGACTGGGCGTCCACCACTCTTTTGATTTGTCTAAAGAGGCAACTTAACCACATATTGTTGACTCGGTCTCATTGTACCTTGATTTATGGAATGCTGCTCATAATATATGCTACTTACTTGTCCAGCCAAATCTTGAAGCTGTTTTTTGCTGACTGTGGTTCAGGTATGTGTGTCAGGGTAACACCGGCCTCTATAGACATGTTGATGTTGTAGGAGTGTCTCCGCTCACAGCTCAAGTGTGTGTGTCAGGGTAACACCGGCCTCTATAGACATGTTGATGTTGTAGGTGTGTCTCCGCTCACAGCTCAAGTGTGTGTGTCAGGGTAACACCGGCCTCTATAGACATGTTGATGTTGTAGGAGTGTCTCCGCTCACAGCTCAAGTGTGTGTGTCAGGGTAACACCGGCCTCTATAGACATGTTGATGTTGTAGGTGTGTCTCCGCTCACAGCTCAAGGGTGTGTGTCAGGGTAACACCGGCCTCTATAGACATGTTGATGTTGTTGGTGTGTCTCCGCTCACAGCTCAAGGGTGTGTGTGTGTCAGGTTAACACCGTCCTCTATAGACATGTTGATGTTGTAGGTGTGTCTCCTCTCACAGCTCAAGGGTGTGTGTGTGTCAGGGTAACACCGGCCTCTATAGACATGTTGATGTTGTAGGTGTGTCTTTGCTCACAGCTCAAGTGTGTGTGTCAGGGTAACACCGGCCTCTATAGACATGTTGATGTTGTAGGTGTGTCTCCGCTCACAGCTCAAGTGTGTGTGTCAGAGTAACACCAGCCTCTATAGACATGTTGATGTTGTAGGTGTGTCTCCACTCACAGCTCAAGTGTGTGTGTCAGGGTAACACCGGCCTCTATAGACATGTTGATGTTGTTGGTGTGTCTCCACTCACAGCTCAAGTGTGTGTGTCAGAGTAACACCGGCCTCTATAGACATGTTGATGTTGTTGGTGTGTCTCCACTCACAGCTCAAGTGTGTGTGTCAGGGTAACACTGGCCTCTATGGACATGTTGATGTTGTAGGTGTGTCTCCGCTCACAGCTCAAGGGTGTGTGTGTGTCAGGGTAACACCGGCCTCTATAGACATGTTGATGTTGTAGGTGTGTCCCCGGTCCCCCCTCACAGCTCAAGTGTGTGTCAGGGTAACACAGGCCCCTATAGACATGTTGATGTTGTAGGTGTGTCTCCGCTCACAGCTCAAGTGTGTGTGTCAGGGTAACACCGGCCTCTATAGACATGTTGATGTTGTAGGTGTGTCTCCGCTCACAGCTCAAGTGTGTGTGTCAGGGTAACACCGGCCTCTATAGACATGTTGATGTTGTAGGTGTGTCTCCGCTCACAGCTCAAGTGTGTGTGTCAGGGTAACACAGGCCTCTATAGACATGTTGATGTTGTAGGTGTGTCTCCGCTCACAGCTCAAGTGTGTGTGTCAGGGTAACACCGGCCTCTATAGACATGTTGATGTTGTAGGAGTGTCTCCGCTCACAGCTCAAGTGTGTGTGTCAGGGTAACACCGGCCTCTATAGACATGTTGATGTTGTAGGTGTGTCTCCGCTCACAGCTCAAGTGTGTGTGTCAGGGTAACACAGGCCTCTATAGACATGTTGATGTTGTAGGTGTGTCTCCACTCACAGCTCAAGTGTGTGTGTCAGGGTAACACAGGCCCCTATAGACATGTTGATGTTGTAGGTGTGTCCCCGGTCCCCCCTCACAGCTCAAGTGTGTGTGTCAGGGTACCAAGGCTCTCCAGGTTGGCCAAGAACTGGACCAACCCATCCTGGTCACTATCAAGGACAAGCATGGAAACACCATCAATGATGTGAGTACTGAGATTTGCTCATGCTGGTATATGTGAACTCTGTACTCATGTACTTTGGGTTCTGTTGAAAGTCAGGAGTTGGCTGTAAAATATGAAAATGTACACATTAGCAAAACTAAATGTTTTTAAGTTTCTTTACTCGTTCTGTGATGCTTTTGAGAAGTATGTAACTCAACAGTCCTCATTTACTTGAAGATTTCAAATGTGCTGATGTTTAGTGAGGCTGATGATGCACAGGGGTATTGGTACTATTATTATGGCTGAAGACATGAAACTGATGGATAACTACTTCTGTATTGTTTGTAACAACGTTTCAGGGCTACTTCTTGCCCATTCATCAGATGAATACTGAGTAGGTGTAGTGAGTTAATGTTTACTCACACGCAAAAGAAACGCAAGTCGAGTATGCAGTATACATGTTATTTATTTTCAACAGTAAAGACAAGAAATACTAATAGGGCAAGATTGACAAAAATTTGACTGAAGACCGTTTAATGGATTAAAAGGCAGATGACATAATTGTTTTTTTCAAATGTTAAGGGTTTACACAGTTTGGGGTCAATACCCAAAATGTCAGTCAATACCTGGTGTGACCACCATTAGCATTGATCACTGCCACACATCTCCTGTACATTGAGTGGATCAGACAATTTGTGAAGGCCATAGGGATCCTCCTGCACACATCCAGAGCAGCTGTGCGTAGTTCATCGGCAGTTGCAGGGACCGGGCACACATTGTGCGGACGCCTTTGAACCTCATCCCACAAGTGTTCGATGGGGTTCAGATCAGGGCTGAGGGCTGGCCACGGTAGAACACGGATGTTGTGTTGTTGCAGAAAGGCCATGGTAGCTCTGGCAACATAGGGACGAGCGTTGTCCTGCTGGAAAATGTGTTGTTGATGTTGTGCAAAAAATGGAACAACGTGTGGTCTGATCACTTGGTCGATATACCGCTGAGCAGTGACGCCGTGTCCCCGACCTTGACCAACATTCAGAAAGCACATGGGTCCAAGTCTCGCATTAAGTCCAATCCCTGCCCATATCATGACGCTAGGTCCACCCCATGGATCCCTTTCCACAAAGTTTCTGTCAGTGAAACGCCACCAAATTCTGACTCTTCCGTCTGCATAGGAGATACAAAAGCGACTTTCATCAGAGAAGATGACACGCCTCCACTCACGAAGACGCCAATTGCGATGACCCTGTGCCCACTGAAGTCGTGCTTGCCAATGCCGTGGTTGGAGAACAGGACAGGGTGCTGGTCGGCGACATCTGAGGTTGCTGGAACGGAGACGTCGTATCACAGTGTCCCGGCTAATGTGTCGATTATGTGTTCCTTTGGTCTGTCGAGCACTTTCACTTGCAGTTAGGAACGGATGTCGCTTGTGTTGACAGGTAATCTGCCAATCTTGTCGAGGTGTGGTGACCCTAGGACGGTCATCTGTGGTCTGTGTAGCATTGTATCGATGCAGGAGACGGTAAATTGTGGTTATGTTAACATTGAAATGATGGGCAACATCTTGGACAGACTCTCCAGCTTCCAAACGTCTGATAGCCTGGTTTCTCTGAATTTGAGTTAGGCGTGGCATTGTTGACCAAGGAGTGGTAGGTCCAAGAATCGGCCACAGTTTTATACCCACTACAGTTCGTGACAGTTCGTGCATTTTCGATTCCGCAAGAAATGGGTGCATGCTACCAACATATTCATTGAAATGGTGCGTTTTGGGCCATTCGTCTTTTATGTTGCGTTTTTACTCGGGGCTTCCAAAATGCAACCAAAAATATTGATAACACCATCAGGCATTTCTACATGCTAAAACTCGTATCAATTTATGCTTCCGTGTTTGTTACCTATTTGCTTAAAAACACTTGCGTTTCTTTTGCATGTGAGTATACATACATGCTGATTACTGATCGGTATTGGCCTGACTTTCCTATTGGCAGTTATTACAATAATGATTCATCTATTATGTACTACAATATATTGCATAATTCTTTTTCATCTATTGTTTGTTATGGACCTATCAACTTCATAGTAGTCTGCCATTTTGTTGGATGTTTGCTATTGTCACAATAGATGTGTAATAGATGCATAATAAATGGGAATCTGGTCACAAAAAATGTCACTTTTTCGATCACAGGAATCGATTGCTAATTTCTGAATTTCTTAAAAAATTTTACCTTTCCTATCTCACACTATGCATTTCTTCCTTTCTGTTTCGATCTTGGTTTGGAACATGTGGAAACGCCCTAAAACAGAGTTTCCAGCTTCTAAACCATTTCACCTGAACATCCCTTGCATCAACGAAGTCACCACCCAAAGAAACGGGTCATGCACTTCAATCCCGTGCGACCTGATCTAAGAGGTTTGATTACCTGACACCCCATGCCACATCATTGTCTTTCTCATTCCAACATTCTGGCAGTATCCCATTGGCAGGAGATCTCCGGGCGTTGCACCTCATAATCCAGTCGGACAAACTCTCAGTCATCTGGTTGCAACAAAATGGCCTCCATCTAGTCATCGCACCTTCTCTATGGCGTTTTACGATCACAAATGGAAAGCCTTTGAGGGATATTGTTGTGGCTGTGACATCACTTCTGTAATCACTGCTTATCCACAACAGGTTGCCGAATATTTCCAGCATCTCTGGTCTACCATGACTGGCACGAAGATTTCCAAGGTTGCAGAACTCCAAGCTCTCATCTGCTCTTACAAGCTTGCTGACCAATTGTCCCGGTTTTGCTCACCTACTTGGAACCTGAATGTCATCCTGTGTCACCCAACTAGAAAGATCTGGAGCATGTCACCCTGGCTCTAGCAACAGCTGCTGGATTCGGTGAGATTCATGCTCTTGACGTCAGTAAAGTCAGGTTTGAGAGGCACAATCATGGCAAGGTTCATTTGGGTCTGCTGGGGCTTCATTTGTAAAGAATCAACTTCCGGATCAACCAGACAGGCTGTTCATCCCATTCCTGGCATCCATCTTAAATTTGGAGGAACGTGAAGACATCTCCTTCCGTCATAGTATGGCGTATGTACCTCAAGGCTTTGGCGACGTGCTGGCGTTCAGGGAAGGGACTCTTCATCATGTTATCCACAGTGGCCAACTCAGAAGTCTCTCGTCCCAGGGTCTTCTTCTGGTTACGCTCGACGATCCTGTGAGCTTACACCTGTGCCGGCTTGCCTACCCCTACAACATCTAATCCCCATGAGACGAGAGCTGTTGCCTCAATGATGGTACTGCACAGTAACTGCACTGGTTGCCATCATGGAGGGCTGCTTTTGGAAGTCTGACATAGTCTTTGCTTCCCATAACATATGGGACATATCCGTCACTGATGTTCAAGGCCTCCACTAATTTGGTCCGTTGGTGTTTGCACAACAGTTAACGACAGCTCATCGACACAGATAGAAGATACACATACCTGCTGCCACAGACTCATACTTCGTATCCTGCACATACTGAATATATGTTGGAACCCCATTCCTTTGTTTATTATTGGTACCACTAGGGTTCCCAGACTGAGTACCAATTGGAGGGTGACACCACTCGTCTGTAGAGGCTTTGGTCTTCAAGGGAGTTGCCACAAGCCGCGGTGTTTCGGAGGTGTCCCAAACCTTTACCTGCTCGGCTCTGCCTTTAGCATGTGATGTCTTAGTACTGGTTTGATCAAATAGTGGTATGCTGGTAATTGCACACGTCTAATGGTGATATGTTTACACAAGGTAGGATTAATGTACAAAGATAACAATATGATGAGGAAGCCAACAGGATTAACAGGAGAGAAGAAAGTCAAGTGCAGTGTGAAAGGCTGGGTGTGTACATTATTCCTACCTTGTTCAAATATGCATACTCAGTATTCTCCTGATGATAGACGATGGTAAATAAGTTGTTATCCACAAGTTTCATGTCTTCAGCCATTATAACAGCAGACCAGTGAAGACACGGGGTGGAATAGGTCTTCAGCAACCAATGCTTGCCGTAAAAGGCGAACTATTGGGATCCAGTGGTCAGGCTCGCTGATTTGGTTGATGCATGTCATCGTATCCCAATTGCGTAGATTGATACTCATGCTGTCAATCACTGGATTGTCTGGTCCAGACTTGCTTATTTACAAACTGCCATCATATAGCTGGAATATTGCTGAGTATGGCATTAAACAACAAACAAACAAACATTATAACAGTTCCGGTTTTAATAGATGAAGGGGAAAGAAGTAACCGTGAAACGTCATAACAAACAATACAGAATTTGTCATCCATTCTTTCGTGACTTTATGTTCTTCCAACTTCTATATATTATTTAAAGTCTTTATTATGATGCCTTTCAATGAAGCTGTGGTAAATTATGATGCAATATTTCAGCTGCCGCCATCAACAGCTCGTGAGATCAAGGTTTCTGGGGCGTTATTGAACGCTGACAGCATCCGAGTGTCATCACAGCAGGTTTGTGTATTTAATGATGAACTATCATGTATTAGTACCTGTGACCATACACTTGGAACATCCATTATCCCCTGATTATGTACAGCAGGAACTATCTTGTGGAACCTTTTTTCTTTCGAATATCTCAGTATCTGTAATTGAGCATCATCAACGACTGTCTATTTCATCCAGTCATAGTCACAGTGACTTTCACAATCACTATAGTGGGTAACTTTAGCCTTCCTTTCCACCCGTGAAGATCCGGGGTAGAATAGGTCTTCAACAACCCCTGCTTGCCCTAAGAGGCGACTATGCTTATCGTAAGAGGAGACTAACGGGATCGGGTGATCAGGCTTGCTGACTTGTTTGAAGCATGTCATGGTATCCCAATTGCGTAGATTAATGCTCATGATGTCAATCTCTGGATTGTCTGGTCCAAACTTGCTTATTTACAGACCGCCGTCATATAGCTGGAATATTGTGTGAGAGCTGCGTTAAACAACAAACAAACAAAACAAATTCTTATCACTTTTCAGAAGTCTTTATATTTTCTTAATAGAGAATAGAGAATAATTAATAAGATGCACAATTAAGCAGAGGATTGTCAACGTAACATCATTGGTGTAATAGACTAGACTGATATATGTGTATTTTTGTGCTATATATTTTTAGCAATTGTACCATGTCAAGTTTACTGTGTCTGTGTTCCAGAAAAACTTTGTAGTTCATGGAGTGAGGTTTGACAAGGCTGGTGTGGGAACACAGGAGCTGGAGGTCACCTGGAATGGCCTCAAAGACTATGTGCGGCTCGAGGTCGCTGCAGGACCCCCAGCCCAGCTGGAGCTGATTGGCTGGACACTGGAGCAGGTCAGTGTCGCCCCAACATCCTGTGTGCTTGTCAGTATCTTTTCTCAGCCAGATTAGGCTTCTGGGGCACTCTTGCTCACTGTAACGGAGCACGCTTGCTTGCTGTAACGGAGCACTATTGCTTGCTGTAATGGAGCACTCTGTTTTGCTATAATGGAGCACTCTTGCTTGCTGTAACGGAGCACTCTTGCTTGTTGTAATGGAGCACTCTTGCTTGCTGTAACGGAGCACTCTTGCTTGTTGTAATGGAGCACTCTTGCTTGCTGTAATGGAGCACTCTTGCTTGCTGTAATGGAGCACTCTTGTTTGCTGTAACGAAGCATTCTTGCTTGCTGTAACGGAGCACTCTTACTTGCTGTAACGGAGCACTCGTGTTTGCTTTAACGGAGCACTCATGCTTGCTGTAATGGAGCACTCATGCTTGCTGTAACGGAGCACTCTTGCTTGCTGTTAAGGAGCATTCTTGCATGCTGTAACGGAGCACTCTTGCTTGCTGTAACAGAGCACTTGTGTTTGCTGTAACGGAGCTCTCTTGCTTGCTGTAACAGAGCACTTCAAAGGTTTTGAGACATCACCCCTCACGCACTTTAACAATTTTGACTTCCTCTAAGAGATAATTTTAGTCCTTTGCATATAATGTAATAAAATGTAGTACACATTCACACATATAAAATCTTTTTTCAGATTCATCGTTTCCTCCATTTGATGAAATGTCTCTGTTGTATTGCAGGCTGTGGCTGTGTACAATGACAGCAAGCTGCCCCATTCACTCAAAGTACAGCTTTTGGATGAGGCAGGGAATCCATCAAAAACTGCAGATATAAAAATACAGATCGCTAAGGATCCCAAAATAAAGGTAAGGAGGCTTACTTACGTCAGTTGCTGACAGATGTCATTATGAGGCATTGAGAAGCTGCAGGATCAGTGGATTGGTCATAGAGATAGTAGTATATGTATCTAAACATCACATTAAAAGCCTTCATTGTTACTGTGAGAGTGGTCCCAATTTGTATTATCATGGTACCATATGTGTAACCACACTTTCTATATATTTTCATTATTAACGCAAACATTTTGAAGTTTGGGTATTTTCCACAAAACAAAGTATTTGCGTGTTTTTTACCCTTGCCAGCGTACAATTAATTTTTTGCATATTTCTGAACAAACTATTCATTTTATGAAGTTTCCTCTCCAGCTTTGAAATCAAACAGATGCTCCAATAGGTAATCGTTATGCAGTAGAACATTATTTTATCCTGATGTTACACCACACGTGTTGTGTTCCTCCAGCTGATACCAGCACCGCAGCCTCTGAAGACAAATGCTCAGGGTATTACTGATTTTGGGCTGCTCACAGTCAGTGCCACAAGGTAAGAAGTGAGATGGGTCATCACCAGTAGCCATTCTGGGTAATGAAAAGTATGATATCCACATATCCCCTCCCGCAGTTGTCATTTCAAAACTCTAAGTAATAGAAAGAGAAATGGCTAATTGTCTGTCATAGGAACATGTCCAATAGCTTTCATAACAATTTCAAACGGCTTTTTTGTAACTTTGAGATCTGACACTTCAAGTGCTGCAACAATATAAGTTGTAGCAGGGTCACGAGGGTTACATGGGGTTTTATGCGTCCAGCGTTAGGTTTCAAACCACTCCCCTCCAGCTCATGGTATAAAACCTAACATGGGACGCATAAAATCCCCTGTACCCCTCGTGATCCTGCTGCAATGAATTTATCTTACTAGCATGTTTTAATGTGACATTGAAAAAGAATTACCGTATTCGACTTAATAAGCACCCCACTCTAATAAGCGCCCATGGCGACATTTGCTAAGATATTGGCTAGTGAACAATCCCAACTAGCACCCCTTCCAATTGATAAATGTACTCAAGACTTATTTATTCGCGTATAATGCACTCTCGTGTGTTATATGCACCCTTAATTATGGGCAATTAAATTCTGGAAAAATATATCTGTCGAAAACATAAGCATTTCAGGCTGTCAGCATAAACCACGAAATTTATCTTTCAACTCAGTTTTTTCACCAAAATAACAATCCAATAAGAGCCCCCTATTTCTAATTTTGAAAGCGCCCTGGGCGCTTATTACGTCGAATACGGTAACACAAATTCAAAAATTGATAGAATACAGCTGTTTGATAGTGCGGAGGTTTGATAGTGCGGAGGTTAACTTGTTCTATGTCATGTGTCTTCCATTGACTCGGGGAAAAGCGTGCGGATTTTAGTTTGAAGCGTGGTATAAGGGATTTATTCTGCCTCTCAGAAATTCACATGCAGACTGTATTGCTCATGGCAGGGTTTATGAAATTTATTCCCCCGCTGAGAAATGTATTACACAGTATTTTATCAAGATCACGTGGACCAATCAGATCTCATCATTCTGACATGGAGATATGATAATGAGTTGTATTTGCCCTTCTCACATTTATATTTTGGGAATTGTTTTGATTTCCTTTTCTATATCATAGCTGGAAAGTCTATGACTTTGTAAGCTAGAAGGTACTGAGTTCTGTCTGTTCAATGTGGGTTTGAATGTCCTGCATGTAAAACTAACCCAGTACTCAGTCACTCATGTTGGTACTAGTTTATTATTTATGGTGTGCAGCAATTGTTCATGGAGACAAAAAATATTGGTGCTGAATTTGTATAATTTTAGAGGTGTGTATGACATTCAACCGAAAGCATTCTACAACAAGTCTGTGATATCAGGACCAAAAATAAAGCTGAACGTGCAGTCCGATCCCACGCGGCCTGTGGAGCTGCAGGTGGACTACAGCAAGAATGCAGCCTTTGTAGCAGGCGACATCTTCCCAGAGTTCTCAGTGAAGGTCATGGCTGAAGATGACAGTGTAATGGCGACTGCCAACCCAACACATCTCAGCATGAAGTTGTGGAAGTGTGACTCTGCCAATCAGAATATGCCCCCCTCAAGGGTGAGATTTATTGTGTGGTAACACTTTCTATGTTTTTCCTTATTTCAGAATCAACCAACTTGAGCCAAGAACACATGTACAGAAAATAATATGAAATCTTAGATGGATAAGAAAAATAAATATGTAATAATAATAATAAATAATGATAAATAATAATAAATTCATTTGTATTGCGCAGCATTCACTGTGCATAAGTGCTCTGTGCGCTTTAAAAAATCTAAGGAAAAGTATCTGTTTAGAAATTTACTATAATATATTGTGTCTCTTGGTAGGGCACGGACGAATCCAAATTTAATACCTGGGTACCCGACCCTACCCGGATATCTTCTGTAGCTTCAATGGTTGGGTACAAAATGTCAGATTAGGAATAGGGGGCATGGGTGGCCCAGTCGTCTAAGGCATGGTGATTCGCTGGGCAGAGTTGCGTCCTTTGGGCACGCCAGAAACCTATGATTACGGGTTTGAATCCTGGTTAGCCCCAGTTATGTTTCAAGGTTTGTCAGCACCATACCTGTGCTTGTGGGTTTCACCGAAGTGGTAAACGTCTGAGACCTGCATCACTTTGGGCTTTCCACCCACATTAAGCTGACACGCCACGATATAACTGGAATACTGTTAAAAGCGGCTTTAAACCCAACTCACTCACTCACTCACTCACTCACTCACTCACTCACTCACTCACACAAGCTTCTCACACAGTAACCACTTCTCTGTTTCCTAGTAATAAGGTTAGTTCTGTTCCAACTGAAAATGTTATGACTTTGATGTAATGTATTACGTGAACCATCAAAACACTGTTGCATCTTGTAAATGGCAAATTTACAAATTTGAATATCTCTATGACACTGATGTTTATAAATGGGAATCTCAACCCAGAAATATATGTGGAAGCCAGTTTTGGATGATGATTGTGTTAGCACTACACAAAGCAACTGTTTCAGACTGCAACGTCCATGAGCCCTGACACCCCACTGAAGTCAGACAAGGGAGTGTTTCATTTTAGGTAAGTTTAGAGAAAACATGTAAGTTTTCACATAGCTACAACACATGATGCCATACTCACAACTTACAATAACATCAATTCCATTCACATTTGAGCACATAAACAACTTCATGGAATGAGAGTTTTCACCCTTTCATCCTCACAGTGTGACGTCTGTTTTCTGGTAGTAACAACTCCGTTATGTAGGGATATGTTATAGAACAGCATTTGTTGAATCACTTGGAACCAAAGTTGTTGACCAGTTGAAGTTCACGCTAATCGGCAAACCTGAGACTACTAACAAGAAAAAATCCAATCATGGTAGCCCTTTTTGACTAGTAGCATTTGAGAGCTATTATTCTGAACCAGTTCTCAATGCTTCAGTTTTACTACAACTTGGAACTGAAAGGAACTGACAGAATACGTAAACAGAAACCATTTTTGGGAGGTCTCATTCAAGCAGGACTAGCTGCAAACTCTGAGGACTAGTGACATAAGGTTTACACTAGTCATCTTGACTAGTCTTAAAAAAAAGTTCTAAGGCTGCACTTGCTACACTACTTTGTATGCTCAGCTAGTAGTGACATACAGTCAGCTAGTAGTGACATACAGTCAGCTAGTAGTGACATACAGTCAGCTAGTAGTGACATACAGTCAGCTAGTAGTGACATACAGTTAGCTAGTAGTGACATAATTTTCAGATAATCCTCTGGATTAATGAATGTTGATTACGTATAGGTGAATCTCTGAAATCTCGCTATTATTTTCACACGTAACGTCCGAGAACAAGTTTCACGTGCGAAAATATTCACGAGATTTCATACCTTCCCCTACTTACAACAAAGTTTGATCAAGTTAATGTCCCAAACTAATCTTCAAGGAATATTCACTATACTATGCTACACTATGGGAGGGTGACCGCTCTTGTTTAACTATGGGAGGGTGACCGCTCTTGTTTAACTATGAGAGGGGAACCTTTTAATGAAGACTATGGGGCGATTTCGTACCCATATTCAAACTATTGGAGTGTTAGCAAAATGATTGGGTCTGTCCTACTGTCATTTAAGTTCACGTAAGTTTGTTTTAACTGTAAGCTAACACTGATCTTTGATATGACTTGTTTATCCCTGACAGGAAGAGGAGCGTCCCGGAGCAGGCTGGAGCCTATAATGTGATGTTTGTGTTCTTTGATGGGAAGCATGAGCTGTACAGCACAGTGGTAGGTCAGGTCCCACAGCACAGCTTCACAATAATTAGCCTCAATAAGGGACCACAAAGTAGACACAATTTATGGATAATAACTTCTTTAACATTGTTTAAGACTATCAAGATGACGTTTCGATATAGATTAAGGAATTTAGATTTTTATCCATCATAGCACTTTATAACTGGTCCCTAAGCATGTCTAGCTTACTTTCTGATCACATCCATGTCAGCATCTAGCAGTTGAATCAGTATGTGGGCTAAGGCACGTCTTCTTTCATATTTGCTCTCAGTAAGAAAATATCACAAACAGACAATTTTCAGAGTTATCCTTTTTTCTGCTATTAAACTTAATGCAACCCTATTGTTGAGATTCCAGGGTGCACTTGCACAAAGTGAATTCTGCACTAAGATGATTGTGACTCCCATGTTTGAACATAGACTTATGATGGTCAGAGCTGAGATTGCTTTGTGCAAGTGGGCCCAGGGAAGAGTAGGTCCCCAGTATCCGATGCACGTCATAATGTCTGTCTGAACAGAAGACAGGGGATTAGCCTGTATGACCAGGCTGATTATGTGTCATTGTTCCCTGAGAGCAGGGATTGTGTCTCATGTTATCAATCACTGGTTTGCCAAATCCATAGTCCGGTGTTTACTTGTGATATTGTTGGAGTATTTCCGATTGTGGTGTAAATAAATTACTCACTAACTTGTGTTGCAAGTTGCCACCTCTCTCTGTTATCTCCCTTATACCAGCTATTTAGGGATTACATTATCAGTGTTTGAAATTAGGGGGTTCTGTTGTCCTTTGGGTTTCCTGTTGTAGTATTTGAAACTGGGGACTCCCTCATTTTAAAAAATGTAGAATTAGGGTTATTACAAAGTCCCCATGATTTCGAGACCCGATTTTCAAACACCCTTGAAGATCCAGGGTAGAATAGGTCTACAGCAACTATGCTTATCGTAAGAGGTGACTAACGAGATCGGGTGGTCTTGCTTGCTGACTTGGTTGATGATGCATGTCATCGTATCCCAATTGCGTTGATTGATGCTCATGATGTCAATCACTGGATTGTCTGCTCCAGACTTGAATATATACAGACCGCTGTCATATACATGTAGGTGGAATATTGCTGAGTGTGGCTTTAAACAATAAACATTCAAACACTGCATTACCCGCAATGCATGTTTGTTGTTTAATGCCACATTTAGCAATATCCCAGCTATATGACTGCAGTCTGTAAATAAATAAGTCTCAACCAGACAATCCAGTGACTGACTTCATGAGTTTTGATTAAAGCAGGTGGGATATTATGACATGCAAGCACCCAAGTCACCGTACCTGACCACCTGATCCATTTAGTTGCCTCTTAAGACAAGTATAGGTTGCTAGGGACCTACATTCTTACCTGGAATCATTACTTACCACTCCCATACAGTTTTCATTGTCACAAATCCTGACAGAAAATGTGTTATGTTCATGTAGATCTCCATCAATGTGATGCCTGGGCAGCCTGTGGAGATATCACCCCAAGACTCCCCAGGTACACCGACTGTGTCCAACACACGCAATGCCGCCTCACGCTGCCTCATCAGACATCTCAAGCTCACATTGAAGGATAAGTTCAGCAACCACATGGGGGAGAAGTACAATGGCCGACTGACGCTAGAGATTACGGCCCCCGAGGGAGTCAGCGAGATACCCTGCTTTGTCGGCGGCACCAAGTCCCTGGACATGTCCATGCTGAATGGACAGGTGCACCTTCAGGTAACACTCTAACACGGCCAAGTATTATTACATTAATAGAGTACAATTTGTGTTGGGTATCTATGTATGGTGTTGCTCAATATACATGGTGTAATGTCACTGTGAAATATACACTGCGATGTTAACACTGTGACAGGTACACTGGGATGTTGTCATTGTGACTGATGCAGTGTGATGATGTCATAGTGACTGATGATGTGATAGTGACAGATGCAGTGTTATGTCATGGTGACTGATGCAGTGTAATGTTGTCATGTTCACTGATACATTGTGATGCCATGGTGACTGAATAGTGTCATGTCACTGTGACAGATGGAGTGTGATGTCATGGTGACTGATGCAGTGTAATGTTGTCATGTTCACTGATACATTGTGATGCCATGGTGACTGAATAGTGTCATGTCACTGTGACAGATGCAGTGTGATGTCATGGTGACTGATGCAGTGTAATGGTGACTGATGCATTGTGATGTCATGGTGACTGATGCAGTGTTATGATGTTATTGTGACTGATGCATTGTGATGTCATGGTGACAGATGCAGTGTGATGATGTTATGGTGACTGAATAGTCTGATGTCACTGTTACATATGCAGTGTGATCTCATGGTGCCTGATACAGTGTAATGTTGTCATGGTGACTGATGCATTGTGATGTCATGGCGACTGATGCATTGTGATGTCATGGCGACTGATGCATTGTGATGTCATGGTGACTGATGCATTGTGATGTCATGGTGACTTATGCATTGTGATGTCATGGTGACTGATGCATGGTGACTGATGCATTGTGATGTCATGGTGACTGATGTATGGTGACTGATGCAGTGATGTGTCATGGTGACTGATGCAGTGTGATGTCATGGTGACTGATGCAGTGATGTGTCACTGTGACTGATGCAGTGTGATGGTGTTATGGTGACTGACACACTGGTTTGTTGCAGAACCTGATGTTACAAGAGAACACGCCTGGCAAAGATGGACTGGAGTATGTCCTGAAGTGCCACGTATCATGTGACATCATCCCCAGAAACAGATCCATTCCACATTATGAAATACCATTCCTCTTCTATAATGGTGAGTACCAGACAGGTTTCAGGACATCTTCAAGGTCACATACAACTTCAAATGCAAGATAGAAAAAACATTTATTCTACATACATACACAACAATCTTCATGCAAATACACACTTTTCACCGTCACAGTGACATGTCCACATTCTCATACCCCAATATGTGACAATTTGACTGTCCACATAAGGGATTCATGTCTGTATCCTCATGCCTCCTCTGTATTCATAAACACAAACTAAACTTTCCAGGGAGCTCTACATTGCCACAGAGTCCATCCTAGATTTAATCATGTGATCCTTCATCCCAGTTTACTACATGCCCATTCTGATGTGACTTTGGTTATTTGAAGTAGTCACACCTACATTAACATGCCTCAAAATACCTCACTTCACTGCAAGAGAATGTTTTTATCAGAAACTATAGGCGTTTTATTTCTTTCACAAACTCAACCTGCAGAGAAAATGTTTCATACTTTTGTAAACTTACTTTTGAGAAAAGCCAGTCACAAAACTTTGTTGAAAATGTAGCAACACAAACTCACAGACACTACATGTCTAGGGTGTTCAAACAGTGGTGTTTTTCATCTTCTTCCAGCAAAGGAAGATATGTTTCTTTAACAATAGTTAATTAAAGTGCAGTTGCATGTAAGAGTTGGCTGGTGTAGTGCCGGTGTTGCTGCAACTGTAGCATGTCTTCAGGTCAGTTATTCCATCTGAGATTGACCAGCTGTACATTGTCAGCCAAGAGATTGTGCAAACTGATGATACAGGGACAGAGTAAAACAACTGGAGAACATCAAATTGTGAGAGGTTTGAAGATGTGTCGTTTGTTGTGTTATGCTGCAGTCAGCAATATTCCAGCTGTATGGTGGAGTTCTGTAAATAATCGAGCCTGGACCAGACAAACCTGGGGATGATATGATGACCATCACAGAACATCATGTAAGTGACCAAGGCTGACAACCCCCTATCCACTATTGACACCTCCAATGAAGGCCTCTTGACTCCCTTCCAGGCCACTGATGGTACTGATCAGCTTACCACACACTGTCACCAGCCACCAATCAGTTAATAAAGAGTGTTATAGCACAAACGAGGCAGTAGATAGAACCTCACAACCTGCATAACACACAGTTCCAGTGAATCCACAGGGAACACAACTGATGTGATTCACAACACACAATAAAGTTCCAGCAACACCACATCCTGTTACCACATTTCATCATTCTAGCAGTCCCTTTTCGATATTGGCAGAGAGAATACCAAAAATGTCATTCTAGATGGCACTTCTGTTATCCTACACAGTCTTTACAGAATTTTCTCCTTATTGTATGACTTCAGTTATCCACTCCATCCTGTTGGACCTCAGTTATCTGCCCCTATCTGCTAGACCATAGTTATCTGCCCTTTTTTGTTGGACTTCAGTTATCTGCCCCTTTCTGTCGGACACCAAGACTCTGAAGCAGCTCCTCCACTGACTTGCATGCCTTGTACTTACACTTGGCCTTTGTCACCACCGCCACCTTCCTGAAATGGCATCGCAACAAGTTCAGCAGTTTTAATGGACTATATTTTGACTTGGCATGCTTGCTAAGAGAGTGTGGTTGTTTTTACATGTTTTTAACATGAGTGGTAAAATGCAATCCATTTGAAACTGTGTTGAACTCTAGAAACTCCATATATAAGATGATATATCTTTGTTGTCCTAGCAGAATCCTTTTTGGCAGTCTGTTTGATGTCAACACTCGGTTGTCTTGAACAATGGATAAGTCAGTATATTTTCCATGCCCCTGTGGACTTGGGATTTTAAAACAATTTCAGTGTATTATGATGGCATCTTGTGATCATAAAAATCTGTCAAACATCCTGTGAGAAACCCTGAGGGGGAGAGTCTCGCATATCACCTCCACTGGATTTAACGGATAAGTGAGTGAATGTTGTTGCAAGTGGCCTGTAAATATTGGAGTCTGAACCAGGCTGACAGTATGAGCAACCCTCCATGTCACTGAGGCACAGGAACTACAATAACACAGGTCACAGATCGTAACCACACAATCTTCATCCTCTGTCACCATTCACTCAATATTCTTGCCCATAGCTGGAGAGTAATTGTGGAATTAACCAGACATTTCCCACGGATATGTTGAGTCAGTGGGATGCAGTGTTGTGTAACATGTTGTAGAGAAGGAAACAAGTTGTAGAGAAGGAAACAAGTTGTACTCACCCTGTCAAGTGCCAGGCATTGAAGGTGACCGCTCCTTTTGCTGACTGGTAGCCACTTGAACAAGGCGTACAGGAGTTGTCTGCCCTTACAGTCACAACCATCAAGTGACCACGTCTCATTTCGGGCGGAGCTGGGATGGTGATTGTCACAGCACTGTTGATGACAGCCTGTGACTCTAGGAGCTTGAAATAAATTACTGGGCCAAAGGCTAGCAGATTTTCGACATAACGGTCCATGGACTTGATCTTTGCCAGCAGGCTGTGCTTGATGCGAAGGACCTGATTTAAGATCCAATGTTTATCATATTTTCAAGTGAAAACACATGAATATCACATTTTGATGGAGTAGATATTTTGATGGAGGTAGATATCTAACATTTGATGTTTGTCAATTATGAAAAAGATGAGATAAAATTCCATGACTTATTTAAGCCAAAATACTTTCAAAACAGTAACTTCAAACGTCCATTCAAAAATAAAAGTGTTTTAATAATAGTTACCAAGGAGTTACATACCCGTTTTACACTATCGTGTTTACTGTAGAAAGATCTGTGATATGCAAAAATAAATCCAGATTGTCAGTTTTCTTGTTTAGTAGTGAGTGAGTGAGTGAGTGAGTGTGTTGGGTTTAACGCCGCTTTTAACAGTATTCCAGTTATATCGCGGCGTGTCAGCTTAATGTGGGAGGAAAGCCGAAGTGATGCAGGTCTCAGACGTTTACCACTTCAGTGAAACCCATAAGCACAGGTATGGTGCTGACAAACCTAGAAACATAATCGGGTTTAGTAACAGGCACTCAAGGTCTATGGTTGTTAGGGGGTACTCATTGGTCAGGGGGCGTTTGATACAGTAAACATTGTAAGTGTGAATGGTGTGGACGAACCTGAAGTGTAGCATGTACCGTGTTGATGAAGGCATTGGTGGGAGCAGTGACCTGTATGCGGCTGTCGAAGCTGGAGACATAGGAGCCTCCGGACTGCGTGATAGTGAATGTCTCAGGCTGACTGTACTCCAGGCCATAATTCTCCACAGTCGCATCCTGACTCAGTCGCCACACCCCAGTCTGGGTTTTCTGTATCGTGCGGTCATCAGAGAATCTAGAACACATACAACGTCATTGGTATGCAGGGCAATGTGTGACAAAAGGCCAGTTATCAGTGAATTATGAGATACAGTAAATCAAATTCCACGGCAGAGTAGTTCCCTGACACTGTGGATTGTTGATGTAATACAGCTGCAATATTACTGACCCGGACTTGACAGATAGACCAGTCTATATGTAATTGTATTGAGTGAGAGAATGGCTATTGTCACTATGTACCAGCTATTTCAGCAGCCTGTAAATAACCAAGTCTGGCCTTGCAAAGAATTTTGGTGAAAAATACACAAATGGTTCAGTCACAAAAATCTTCTGTGGTAGTCCCACAAGTGAGCAGTGGTCCTACTGAGCAGCCATTGAGACCTCCATATCCACACTGTAGTCATCCCTAAACATATACAGAATCTGGAGATTAAATGTTTGATTGTGCTATAACTGTTGACTGTATGTAATAAGATTAACTTTTCTATACAGAGATCACTATGGATTAATTATGGGTATACACATTTTAGGGTAAAAAACCTAGAAAAGAGTCCACAATGTTGTACTTTACTGACCTCTTCCCTATGGTGTTGTTGGCAATGACAGGATGCAGTAGCTGCTTGTTGAGCATCATCTCGAGCTGGTTGCAGACACCCAGCAGCGTGTAGTCAGTCACCTGTGGCATCAGGTCACCGAGTGGTGGCTCAGTCCGGGCCACGCCTGAGTCGGGAGACTTGCCAATCTTTGTCAGGTTTGGCTCACTGCGATAGGTCCTGATCGATGTCCTGGAATCCAGACTCATACTGTCTTCCTCAAGAAACAGTGTGCTGAGTTCCTTAGTCTGATATTCCAAGGCTGACTTCTTCCCCTTTGTCTGGTATTCCTTGGCTGACATCCTCCCCATGAGCGTTTCACTTCTAGACCTTCTGTTACCTTTCGGTGGAGGCTTGGAAAAGTTATGACCGAGAGTCTTTGAGCCATCTCTTGGGATGGGTCTTCTTGTCAAAGGTCTTGATGATCTGAAAGTATTTGACTTTGAATTCTCATCTGTTACAGGGTCTTTCTTTTTGAAAATTCCAAACAGCCTCTTTGACTCTTTCTCTGGCTGAACATTCTTGGGCATGTTCTTGACATGAACAATGGTGTTGCCCTTGATATTAAACTTGTGCAGGTTCTCCAACTTGTACATGTTGTCAGGCAAGGCGTTGATCTTGTTATAGCTGAGGTCAAGGGTTTGGAGTTTGGTCAGCTGGACAATCTGGGGGTTGATGTCATAGATCTTATTTTGCTCCATACGCAGGTACTTCAGATGAGTGAGGTCAAAAATACCCTGGGGTAGAGACTCCAGTTTGTTGTGAGCAGCATTCAGGCAGATCAGGTTCTTCATGCGTGACACTGAGAAACTGGTGAAGTCATTGCTGGAGATGTTAAGGTATTGCAGGTTATCAAATTTGTCGGGGATGGTTGTGAGCTTGTTGCCCTGGACATGGAGCACTCGGAGTGCTTGCAGTCGAGTCAGTTCATTGGGAAGAACAGTGAGTCTGTTTTTGGAGATGTTAAGGAACTTGAGATGTCTCATCCGTGTAACCATGGTGTTGAGTGATGTGAACTGGTTGAGGCTGATGTTGAGTTCCCTGAGTTGCTTCAAGGAGTCAAAATCTGGTGGGAGAGCAGCCAGCCTGTTCTGAGAGAGGTTGAGGACATGGAGGGAGGACAGTTTGCATACCGGGACTGGGACCTGGTCCAGGAGGTTGTTGGCCAGGTTCAGGAACAGTAGCTTGCTGAGACTCTGGATGGAGAAGGGCAGATACCACAGCTTGTTCTGGTGCAAGTCCAGGTGTTTCAGGTTGGTCAGTAGGCCCACTTCATGGGGAATCTGCTCTAAATCGTTCTCTCCAATCTGGAGGACTTTCAGGAGATGCAGCGAACCTCGATAAAAAACAATGTTGATTAACCAATGCTTGGGAAAAATATGTAGTCCATTTTCCGTACACAGTGCAACTTTTTTAAGTATAATAAGTTTGGAAACTTCACTACATTTCAGTTGGGGATGTCCTGTAATTATGACAATATTCCGTAACAATGATTCATTAATCAGGAATCCAGTTTCACTTATCAGATTTATCTTATTTCTTCAATCTGATTCAATAGTGGTTTGAGTGGTTTCAGTCATATTTTGTTAGGTTATTTTTCATAGTACCTGATGAATTATTTGAGGCAATGGTAGCATGGAGGAAAAGATTTCAACATGCCAAAAACCCAGGGTTAATTCCCAATAAGTTTACAGTTGTGCCATTTCCCTTGCTGTGAAATTGTATAACATTGTCAAATGTGGCATATTACTGCCTTCATAAATACATTACATCAAGGGTCTCAGACCTGAAAGGATGTGGTTGCTTTGAACATAATTGCAACTTACATACACTTTTGGGCAGCGATGACAGCCTGTTGTTGGTGAGGTTGAGCTCGGTCAGATGTTTACAGTTGATAAGGGTCTGTGGTAGAGATGTGATGAGGTTATTCTGGAGCTGGAGGAGCCGTAGACCTCGGAGATAGGACAGCATGACCGGGAGCTGCTCCAGCTTGTTGTGGGACAGCTTGAGGACCTCGATCCTGGTGAACTGGAACACCTCGGGGGGCACCACGGACAAGTTCCGGTTGTGCAGGTCCAGCTCCACATAGCCTTTTGAGTTGGTCACCACGCGCAGGCGGATACGTGGTTTGCGAGGCAAGGTGGATGCATGATCGAGCCAGGCGTCCACAGTAGCTTTGCTCATGATGCTGTCTGAAAAACATATTGTTTAATGGTTCAGAATTTTTTAATCATTTTTATTGGAAAAGTTGAAATATGTTAATTTTTGAGAAGAGAACTTTTCATCTACCTTAGGGACTTCCATGAATTAATGCCTGAGATAAGGGTGATCTGTATTGTTAGCGACTGAAATAACCATTCTTGTTTAATATGACCAGTTAGTGTTATATAATCAGCATTGAGACACTCCTCTCTTATGTCATCTGCTGCTGTAGTTGGTTGGGTTGAAACTACACACTGCTTACCTTGGGAGAGAAAGGGTAACTAAATCTAAATGTATTGGGGAAGTTGATGTTACCGTATTAGACGTAATAAGCGCCCAGGGCGCTCTCAAAATTAGAAATAGGGGGCTCTTATTAGGATATAATTTTGGTGAAAGAATTGAAAGATTGTAAATTAAGTGGTTTAAGCTGACAGCCTGAAATGATACAAAAGAAAAGTCTGCGTATTTTACACGACAGATATGTTTTTCCAGAATTTAACTGCCCGTAATTAAGGTTGCATATAACACAAGAGTGCGTATTATACACGAATAAATAAGTCTTGTGTACATTAATCAATCGGAAGGGTGCTAGTTGGGATTGTTCACTAGCCAATATATTAGCAAACATCGCCGTGGGTGCTTATTAGAGCGGGGCGCTTATTACGTAGAATACGGTAATTAAAATCTGGTACTCTATTCACCTAACAGTGAATGGATACCAAGTCGGAAGAGGTTGTTAACCTTCCAGCACCTAACAGGTAGCTTTGGCTGTATGCTGCTCAGGGAGCAGAGAATGATTGTTAAGTGCAAACTGATCCAGTGACTGTAATAATAGTGCTTTGAGCATGCCTTTGTGGTGTGGAAATATGCTCAATATAAATGTATTATTATTATTATTATCATAGCTAGCAACAATACTATTTATAGGGAATGATGTAGAGGTAGAATGACAACAAGGTGTTGTATTTCAGATGCCAAGAAGCAGTCTCAGATGGCGGCGCTGTCGAAGGAGCGGGACAACCTGCAGTCAACCATCAGAGCCTACAAGTCTATGTTCGAGACCCAGCAGCAGCTCGTTAGTGAACTCCGGAGTAAGTCTAGCATGATAATGTCATTTTGTCCTAGCAGTAGTGTAGAATGAGGGCTTATATCCTGGTAGAAGTGAAGAAAGAGGGCTGATATCCTGGCAGTAGTGTAGAATGAGGGCTTATATCCTAGCAGTAGTGTAGAATGAGGGCTTATGTCCTAGCAGTAGTGTAGAATGAGGGTTTATATCCTGGCAGTAGTGTAGAATGAGGTCTTATATCCTAGTAGAAGTGAAGAATGAGGGCTTATATCCTAGCAGTAGTGTTGAATGAGGGCTTTTATCCTGGCAGTAGTGTAGAATGAGGGCTGATATCCTGCCAGTAGTGTAGAATGAAGGCTTATGTCCTAGCAGTAGTGTAGAATGAGGGTTTATATCCTGGCAGTAGTGTAGAATGAGGTCTTATATCCTGCCAGTAGTGTAGAACGAGGGCTTATATCCTGGCAGTAGTGTTGAATGAGGGCTTTTATCCTGGCAGTAGTGTAGAATGAGGGCTGATATCCTGCCAGTAGTGTAGAATGAAGGCTTATGTCCTAGCAGTAGTGTAGAATGAGGGTTTATATCCTGGCAGTAGTGTAGAATGAAGGCTTATGTCCTGCCAGTAGTGTAGAATGAAGGCTTATGTCCTAGCAGTAGTGTAGAATGAGGGCTGATATCCTGCCAGTAGTGTAGAATGAAGGCTTATCTCTTTGCAGTATGTAATGAATAATTTAACGTAGTATGAATACTTCAGTGAAGATTGAAAATCTACCACTTTTGCAATATTCTCACGTTCTGTAGAGGAGAGTAAGGATATGAGGGTAAATGTTGAGTCTAAACTTCCAGTTATTACTGCTTTGTTTAGCTGACAAGCAGTAGGTGTTGAGCTGACAAGCAATCAGTGACTGATAACATCTTGATTAGAATGGCTGATGTCCCGGACACACGGCTACTCGCTGATCTTACAGGCTGCTGGTAAAACATCATGACAACGTGCTTATGTTCTCTCTAGTACTGCTCTGTGACACGTGAAGTTGGATTGAGAAAATATAAACTGATTTTAGAATATATTTGGTTTCATTTAATGATGGTTCAGCCAGAGACCATTCCTACACTTCCTGCGAGTCTGTTGTTCATGAATGTTATTCCTTGCCTTCCAGTCTCAGTTCTTGAAGCTACAAGGGAGGAACAAAACATTCGGGGTGAACTCCGCAAACAAAACATTCCTGCATCCCAGCTTCAAGATGTAAGTGTGATATTCTGAGTCCATGAGTATGCTTTTTATGCCGTTTTTAGCAACATTTTAGCAATATTCCAGCAGGGGACACCAGAAATAGGCTTCACGCATTGTACCAATGTGGAGAATCAAACCCTGGTCTTCGGCATGATGAGCGAACGCTTTAACCACTAGGCTACCCCACGGCAACTTGATATTTGTAATAAGGTCCCAATATCTAAATGTATATATATTGTTTACATTTCGGTGTCAAAAGCATGACATTTTGTATAAATTTTAGCCATGGTGTGTTTCAGATTGGTGTGGTAGACAAACTTGTGGCAGCCCGTGTTAAAGAGAGGGAGCAACTGCTGAAAGTTCCAAGACGGCTCTGTGGTCTGCCCCCAGCACCCAAGGACCATGAGGTCTTAGGAAAAGTAAGTTTCATAAGTTTGTGCATTAATGAGGTGGTTTGTCACCATTTGTAATAATATACTCATCGCCAAAAGAAACAACATATAGAGAAGTATGTACGTTAAGAAGAGATGTTTCCAATGTGTACCAAATAATGACAAAACTAACAATCAGTCAAGTGTTACCACAGAGTGTCTTTATTCTTATCACGATATGCTGCGCGTGATTTTCTAACTTTACACGCTAATCCTGCACGAAACAAATGGTGCATCTCGAGTCATGGGTCTGTGACGTCACATGTGTTGCATTAATGTACGTTGATTCACACAACATACCAGTATGTTCGTTTGTGTGTCAAACCAATCTAATATCTTTTGACTATGAGTAATTTTTCATATACGAACCAACATGAATGGTATTTGCGTTTCTTTTGTCAGTGAGTATATATCAGTTTTATCACATTGTGTTATCTTTATGTTTAACACTTGGATACCCCTGATTAAGGTGCTGACAGACAAGCAGATCCTCGCATCTAAGGGATGCAGCTCTGCTTGTCACCAGTATCCCCAATGTTGTATGTATAGGATAAAACACGTCCAAGGGTTGTTATGATATTAAAAACCCGCATCCCGAGGCGCTTGCCCCGATGGATTTTCCGAGGGAAAGGGTTTTAAATATCAGAACAACCCGAGGGGAAGTGTTTTATCTTACTTATAAACCGATTTTGAACCTTAAAACAACATTTATCAACATTTTTATGTTTCGAACATACTTTCCATGAACCTTAGGAAACGGGCGTAAAATATCTGTTGCTGGCATACGGATCTTGAAAAGGACATTCTAAAAAGCTGTGCGGCTTATCAACACCTCTGTAGCCTTGTGGTACACTCACTGGGCTACAGACATGAAGGTTGCGAGTTCGATCCTCGGGAATATAAAGAAAACATTTGTCATTTGATTTTACATTTCATTACATGTTTCAATCTGAACAGAAGTTATATTAATAAAATACCCAGGACATTATATAAAATCCCTGGGATATTATAACACATTATATAGCAAATATGACTTGAATATCCTATAAAATCCTGGGGATATTATATAAAATCCCATGGACATTACAACGTCCCTGTGTATGAGATTTAACCCGACTGGAGAACAATAGGATGACGTCACCGGAGGTTTATAAGCGAGAGTATTAGAGGTGCTGTGGAGGTACGCCATTCCTCCTGAGACTGTGTGGCAGCATGTTAACTGTTGTGTTGTTGTTACAGATAGCACACCTGGGTCGGGTTGAAGATAACGACATTGCACGTGTCATGTCATGGCATATGTCAGCTGACATGGACTGTGTCGTCACTCTCTCCACGAAGAAGGTATGTTAACATAAGAAGATGGCTAAGTTAAGACTTATCCCAAGGGAAGTTCATATTGCACAGTTGATTAGCACTAAAATATATAAAAAAGACAGTATGTGATGTTGCTCTCACACTACTAACTATAATTACTGTAATCGTTGTAATATGTGCCCTCCTTATAATGGCTCCACTGTTTGTAATACTGAGCTACAAGACACCAACCCAGCTCAATAATTCAATCCATGCTGATATTACATTTAGGACATACAAAAATGACTCAAGTACACTTGTAGGTGATATTAATTAGTGTATGTTAACCACTGCATTGGGGGCGGTTGGGTAGCCTAGTGGTTAAAGCGTTCGCTTGTCACGCCGAAGACCCGGGTGCGAATCCCGACATGGGTACAATGTGTGAAGCCCATTTCTGGTGTCCCCCGCCGTGATATTGCTGGAATATTGCTAAAAGTGGCGTAAAACCATACTCACTCACTCACTCACTAACCACTGCATTGAGGTTCAGGGGGAAAAGGTTTGTTTACCAGTCTGGAAACATCATGTGACATAACTCCTTTTTTTCTTTTCTTTTTTTTTTTTTTTTTTGTTTAACGCCGCACTCAGCAATATTCCAGCTATATGACGGCGGTCTGTAATATAATCGAGTCTGGACCAGACAATTCAGTGATTGACATCATGAGCATCGATCCTCGCAATTGGGATTGATGACATGTATCAACCAAGTCAGCGAGCCTGACCACCCGATCCCGTTAGTCGCCTTTTACGACAAGCATAGTCGCCTTTTACGGCAAGTATGGGTTGCTGAAGACCTATTCTACCCTGGAATCTTCACGGGTCACATAACTCCTAGACAACAGCCTAATGCACTCCATATTTTGCCACTGACATGGTACATACCAGGGTTCTAGGTGTGTTTACAGCAGTACTTCAGTGTATGTTTTGTTTGTTGTTTAACACCGCACTCGGCAATATTACAGCTCTGTGACGGCAGTCTGTAAATAATCGAGTCTGAACAGTGATGGATATCATGAGCATTGATCCACGCAATTGCAATACGATGACATACAACCCAGTGGGTATGCCTGACCACCCAATCCCTTTTTACGGCAAGCATGGGTTGCTGAAGACCTATTTTACCACGGATCTTCAGGGGTCACTTCAGTGTATGAATATATCTAGTTTATGCAGTTGTAGTACTTCCAAATACACTGAACATGATGTCTAGCTTGAGGACTGTGTTTCCTCTCCAGGCCAAGGAGATCTATCACCAGACCAACGGGAAGCAGCAGGTGCTCCCCCTGGACTCCATCTACAGGAAGAACCTGCCAGACTGGGGCAAGTGAGTACACATCTAGCACTGGGAGGGAGTAAATATTGGTTTTTATTACCTACGAGGGCAAACATATTGGGGTTATTACTATGATGTGTTAATGAGTTCAGAATTTCAGAGGACATCAGCCAATCAGCAATGGGAAAATGATATAAAATATTATACAGATTATGAATGGAAAAATATAAATGAAATACCCTTTCGATGTACTGATAGTGTGCAATTGCGTTGGCTTCAGTACAGAATCATTAATCAAATACTTCCAGTTGGTAAATACCTATTTAAAGTGGGATATAAAGATTCCCTCTTGTGTAGAAGTTGTGATAAAGTTATTACTGACATTTCTCATGTACTATGGAATTGTGAAAACGCTAACTCTCTCTGGGCCGAACTTGAAAGATGGATAAATATTAAGGCGGAAATTCATATCAATTTCACCAAAGAAAACGTTTTACTGGGCTTTCCATTTAAAGGAAATGATCCATTAAATGCTATATGCCTTGTCATTAAGGATACTATATTCAAATTTTATCTTAAAAAGAAAAAATTGTCTTTCAAGTTGATCCAGAGAGAGTTGGCAAATTACTACTTTGTAACTAAAGCGATAGCTTACTCTAACTGTAACTACAACAAGTTTGTGAAGTTTTGGTCCAGTTGCCACAAACTATTTTTGTAACCATATCAACTCAAATACTGAATTATCTGAGTTCATATGCCCCCATGATGTATGATGTATGAATTTTGGTGTTTACCTACAAGGACAGCAAGTCGCAGCAGCAGCGGAACCACAATTTGTCGAACGACGTCAACAATCTTCAGCTATGACATCATTTCTAGTGTGACGTCATTCCGACCTCACACCACAATAAGATTCGAATGACGTCAACAATGCTGTCTGGATAACGGAAAAAACACACTGTTTGTCTCATGACGTGATATGACCGTATGTATCATACGTGCCCTAGGGTCATATCACGTCAGGGGCGGTCGGGTAGCCTAGTGGTTAAAGCGTTTGCTCGTCACACCGAAGACCCGAGTTTGATTCCCGACATGGGTACAATGTGTGAAGCCCATTTCTGGTGTCCCCCGCCGTGATACTGCTGGAATATTGCTAAAAGCGGCGTAAAACCAAACTCACTCACTCACTCATATCACGTCATGAGACAACAGTTTGACAGACAGCATTGTTGACGTCATTCGAATCTCATTGTGGTGTGAGGTCGGAATGACGTCACACTAGAAACGATGTCATAGCTGAAGATTGTTGACGTCGTTTGACAAATTGTTGTTTCCGCTGCTGCTGCGACTTGCTGTCTTTGTAGGTAAACACCAAAATTTATCTCTGTATATAGACATCTTCTTTCGGTAATAAATAGAGAATTATATTCTTGTTCATGTCATACCATGTTTACAACACTTGTGCCTTAATTCCGGTATTTCTGGAATTTAGACAATCGCCTCGTAAACATAGTATGACACTCATATAATATCCTTTATATGCTTCAGTCAGTGTCTTAACAATTGGCTGAAGGCATGAACAATGGCCATGTGGTCGGGTGTGATGACATGCAATCAGGCAGGTCAGACACTGTGGGCATCCAGTCCCATGTTATCATGCACAAGAGTTCCCATGGACATCCCAAAGTAAACCCATTCCAATTCAGGTCGGTCTGACATGACCCATAATGGGATGTCCTCAGATCTTTGTTTAGTGGTAGCGAGAACTAAGATCTGATTTTAATGAGATTGTCCAGTGGTCAGGATGTGCTTGGATCTGAGCAGAGATTGTGGAGTTTCAAGTTACAAAATGACATTCCATTAACAGGCTCAGTGCTGTCCTTATGCAGAGAGGGCTAGGGATAATGGGGATCATATTACCAAGCAAAAACCACTGTGCAACAAAGTATACAAGTAGTTGGGATATAGAGAATCTCATCCGAGTGTCTTTTGATATCAAATATATCAACACGAGTTGATAAAAGTGGGAAAACTCCGAGGCTTGCCGAGAATTTTTTTCCACTTTTACCAACGAGTGTTTGTAGAAAGTAATAAGCAGGGTCTTAAGTGTAAAAAGTACTGCTAACAGCTTTAGTAGCAGAGCCATTAGTGCATTAGCCATGTCATTTGATTGTGACGTCATGGTAACCAATGACGTCACAATGGTCTGCAAAGCATTGTGATGCATTTTCATTGCAGCGATATCTATAGTATAGATATCGCTTGATCTCACCCAAGTGATATCTCCTGTTGAGCCAGTTTTGGATGATAAATTGCCTTTCAACAACAATCACTCACTAGAACTCTGGACCACCCTGTTATTATTCCACCTTAAGAAGCATTGTGAGAGACCAGTTGTTTGTGTATAGCTGTTAATTAGGCTGCCAGAATGTGCTCATATTGGTTAAAGAAGAGAGTCTATTGTGAACACATGAATATTGAGAAATCTTTACATGTGGTCAATATTGCATGGGAATATCACAAACATATGGTATTAATGACATCAAAATAAATTAATATGGAACCACATACATGAATTTTCAAAGAAAATATTTGTGCTCAATAGAGTTGTTAGAGAAAAGACAGGCCCTTGTTTGTAAAGTGGAAGTATTGGAATATTAACTGTAGTTGTACAATAATCAAGGTAGTTTATCAGAAATACTTGACAACTTGATTATAAGCCATGTGTTGTGGTTGGTGAATGAGTGAGTGAGTATGGTTTTATGCCGCTTTTAGCAATATTCCAGCAATATCACGGCGGGGGACACCAGAAATGGGCTTCACACATTGTACCCATGTCGGGAATCCAACCTGTGTCTTCGGCGTAACGAGCAAACGATTTAACCACTAGGCTAGTTGTGGTTGGTATCTCACTACCGGTACTTGAGAGCTGGATAGGACTGAATTAATCAATATGTGTATGTGCTAGGGCTGGGACAGGTAACTCGTGTACCCACAGGTTTACCTGGATCCGTGGTTATTCTTGTGATATATTATTTCATGACAAAAAATCACCATAACTACATGGTTAAACAAGTAACTGATGTTTGTATCCATGCCTATGAACGCATTCCTTATGACTTAAATATGTTTGAATAAATATAAAACTTTAATTTAACTTTAGTGTATATGCTAAATACAGTTTGTTGAGGCCACTGTCAAACTCTTCCTAATCGGACAGTTTGTACCTATCTCTTGAAACCAACAGCGGGTACCTGGGTAGGGTCGAGTAATAGAGGTGTGGGTATCCACAAAGATTGTCAATACACTTTCTGTCTGGGGGAGGGGGGGGGGGAGGGGGAGATGCCCCAGACCCCCCTAGACTTTTCCTCTTTTTTCGGGAAAACCTGCTCACATCCCTATGTTTGTGTGTGTGTGAAATTCCATATTCCAAAGGCAAGGGAGTTAACTGACTTTAGAAGTCTAGTTTCAACTCTTGCCGAACTAGGATGGTATTTCTGGGCTTGATGGTAGAGCCAGCAGTGGTTATTATGAGTTATGTCCCTTCTATGTCCCTCCTATTAACCAATCAGATTTCAGATTTCATATCACTTGCATTTGTTTTTCAAACAAAATGGCGGCGCACAGTCAAGAAATTCTGTTTATATCTGTTCCATACTCAAAATCTATATTGGGATAAACTGGTCTTACTTCACAAAGTGCATCAAATCACAGCAGTTTACGACCCGGATGTCAATTTTGCTACACGATTTGGATTGGACTATGTATAGGCTTGTTAGTCCACCCAAAATATAACTATTAATACCATCCTAGTTCAGCAAGGGTGGAAACTGGACTTTTATAGTCAGTTAACTACCTTGCTTCGGGAGGATGTAGAAATGTTTTGTAAGACTACCCAAGAGGACTAGTGGAAACTTTATCTCAGAGCTTGTAGCTAGTCCTGCTTGAACAACACTAAAATAGTTACTATGTGTACATTTTCTGTCAGTTTTATTCACTTCCAGTTTGTAGCCAGATTGAAGCATTGAGAACTGGTTCAGAATTGTAGACCTCAAATGTTACTGGTGAAGGAGGACTACTGTCATTGGATTTTTACTAGTCCTCCCCAGAATTGAGTAGTCTCAGGCTAGTGGACTAGAGTGAATTTTGAAGGCTGTTGTGAACACAAGTTCAAGGAATCATTCATTGTTTGCTGTTCTCACTTTATGTATTATCAGTGAAGTCATCATTCAAGGTGTCTGAGATCGACACTCGTTCAGTCCAGACAAATAAAAAAAGATTTGAATTCCTTGACAAAATTGACAATAGTTAAACTATTCTTGTTGAAGTTATAAATATACAAATATCATTGGTTGTGGGTTATGGAAGGTTCATTGACCTGTCTTGTTTCACATTTAAAACTATCAAGCCCATGGGTAAGCATTGTACAACTTAAATACATTAATGAAACAGTATTTGGCAACCATTTGTGGACCCCAAACATGGCAGGGACATGCCCCCAAATTGTAAGTTCATGACATTGTTCAAAGGCTGAGACACAATGCTTCTGAGTGATGAGTGAGTGAGTTGGGTTTAACGCCGCTTTTAACAGTATTCCAGTTTTATCACGGCGTGTCAGCTTAATGTGGGAGGAAAGCCCGAAGTGATGCGAGTCTCAGACGTTAACCACTTCAGTGAAACCCACGAGCACGGGTATGGTGCTGACAAACCTAGAAACATAATCGGGTGAACCGGGATTCGAACCCACAATCATAGTTTTCTGGCGTGCCCAAGGGACGCAACTCTGCACAGAGAATCGTGGCGCCTTAGATGAATGCTTTTGGAAGTATCTGCTTGGTTGAGGAAAGTGAGGTAGCTCAGTGGTTAAGGCATTTGTTCATCACACTGAAGGTAGGGGTTTAATTCCCCACATGGGTACAGTGTCCCAATACTGGTATACCCTGCAGTGATATGGCACAGTCTAGTGAGGACCAGACAATCTAGTGATCGATATTGTGAGCAACAATCCACACTGTCAGGGTATGATTATACACAATCAACCAAGTCGCCAAGCGTGACCACCTGATCCATTTGGTTGTATCTTACAACCAGCATAGGTTGCTTGGGTCCGGCTCTGACCCAGAATCACTACGGGGTAAACGTGGTACTACTCACCGCCAGTCTATGGTGTTAACCTGTAGTGTCCTGTCTGTGTTGTCTTTACAAGTCTATCAATGGCCGCTCCCCTCTAGCTCCGTGGCCCAACTGATGCCCCTCGTCATCAGCTTCAGGGATGTTATAACCATGGTTTCAGCCAAACTGACCTGCTTGATTACTGGCCTCATTATTTATTGATGGCTGCTTGATTAAAAGTCAGCCATGGATTGGCCTTGTAATTATTGATTGAGTGATGCCTCGTTATCGTGTAAGAGCAAGCTGGTGGCGTGTTTTTTTAATGTGTTATTGTGTTTAGTGTAATTTCTTGATAGAGTTTATTAATGATGAAATCTAAATGGTCAACAAGTCACTGAAAGCTATTGTGTTGTTTGAGCTATGGTTTGGCATTGAATATATACTACTTAAAAGAAGTTAAAGAACACCCAATGTTTTCTATGACTATAGTTAATCTGTCATTATCTATGGCCATGGCAGATTAACTATAGTCATATGAAAAAATCAGGTGTTCTTTAACTTTTCTTGAGTAGTATATCTGAATTATATTTTACTGATGAATGCATTTACGACCACAGGATCTAAGGGTTTTCATTGTGTGTGTCTTCAATCTTTGTGTTTTGATGTTTGAAGTATTATTAACTGAAATATCGTTGTTTTATTTCTATAGTTCAAACTAAATGTTACAATTTTTGGAATCAACATTTTTTATCAATGCTTCACATTTTTATTGAATGAGAATTTATCTTTGAAGATAATAATAATATTAACTGCAGGTTCTGAAGAAGATCAAATAATGAATGTAAACATAAGAAAACATACAAGTTTGTGGATGACAGTGTTTGGTTTATTGCATTAAGTGATGTTTCGATGTAGGGTCTTACACCGTTATCAAACTGGAGAGAATAGTAGCATCTAGGAAAATATGCCTTGAGCATGATTTAGACTGGTACATGACTGGTTTTGATAAGCGTGAATGGTATACTTCTATACATCAGCCTGGAACCATCACAATGATCACGCGATCAAACAAGAATCCATGGAGTGGAAGCACTTCTGGTCTCCCCAAACCAGTGGGGAACAATGATTGGTGAATGGTATACTTCTATACATCAGCCTGGAACCATCACAATGATCCCGCGATCAAACAAGAATCCATGGAGTGGAAGCCCTTCTGGTCTCCCCTAACCAGTGGGGGACAATGATTGGTGAATGGTATACTTCTATACATCAGCCTGGAACCATCACAATGATCCCGCGATCAAACAAGAATCCATGGAGTGGAAGCCCTTCTGGTCTCCCCTAACCAGTGGGGAACAATGATTGGTGAATGGTATACTTCTATACATCAGCCTGGAACCATCACAATGATCCCGCAATCAAACAAGAATCCATGGAGTGGAAGCACTTCTGGTCTCCCCTAACCAGTGGGGAACAATGATTGGTGAATGGTATACTTCTATACATCAGCCTGGAACCATCACAATGATCCCGCGATCAAACAAGAATCCATGGAGTGGAAGCCCTTCTGGTCTCCCCTAACCAGTGGGGAACAATGATTGGTGAATGGTATACTTCTATACATCAGCCTGGAACCATCACAATGATCCCGCGATCAAACAAGAATCCATGGAGTGGAAGCACTTCTGGTCTCCCCTAACCAGTGGGGAACAATGATTGGTGAATGGTATGCAAACTTTGAAAATATGGAAAAGATTGTTTTGCAAATCTGTCAAAGAGAAGCATCAGGCAGCTTTGATGTGGTACTCTCCTCTGATGCATGTTGCTTACACTTGTATAGCTATGGTACACAACATGAGAGAGAAGGTAGGGGTCGTCTCAAAAAAAAACCGGGACGTAAAAGTTTATTAGACAATGTGATAAAAGGACGATAAGGCATACAGTGTACAAGCTCTACGAGCAGAAGGTACCCCCAATTTGTTGTAGAATTCGGGAGGAAATAATAGACTATTAATGTTTCCCGGACTACATTAGTTATTTCTGTCAAAGAGATGGGGTTTCGATACACTGCACGTGGCGATGACAGAGCAGTTTTCAGGGGAAAATATTCTGTCCTGTCCATGAGGTCACATTATCTCGGTACCCTTCGTAAATATCACAGTCAGAGCTTCCAGACCACTTACCTTGATGAAACTTGGGTGAATAAGAATCATTCCACTGACTACATGTGGCTACCATCAGATGGACAAAAAGCACTCATGGTACCATCAGGTAAAGGTTATCGTGTCATTGTTTTGCATGCCAGAACCCATCATTTAGGGTTGGTGATTACCAAAAGAAAATGAATAGTGCAGTGTTCATAGACTGGTTGGAACATCAGCTACCGCCCAATCTAAACAACCCCAGTGTCATTGTCATAGCTAACACTAGTGATCATAACGGCGGGGAACCAGATACTGTCGCGCCAACCATGAGTAGTCTGAAGGCGACCATGCCGAAATATCTGACAACTTGCAATGTCGACTCCAGACCATCTGAAACAAAAGTTCAACTCATGGAGAAACATCCTTCTGAATAAGAAACCAGCAAAGTACAAGACAGCTGTGCTGGCGGCACGACACGGTCACGCCAGTATGTGATAACAGACGACTGATGACCTGTTTGTATTTCAGGCCGCTGCCCCACACGAGGTTCCGCCCCAGCTGGACTCCGCCCGGCAACCCTGTGTATGCCCGAGATATGCTGCTGTTTCCGCAGGATCAGGAAAACTGCAGAATAGGTGAGATTCAGGACAGACCCAGTTATTGCTCCTGGAAATCTTGAGTTTATACTATTCATTGTCTTTGATGTAAGCAACCGATCTAAGTGGGTGCCATGACTACATTGTTGTGTGAGGCAATCTGAAATTGTCTGTCATATTAGGCCCTGTGATGTGTGTTATGTGAGGTGCTGTGATGTGTGTCATATTAGGCCCTATGATGTGTGTTATGTGAGGCGCTGTGATTTGTGTCATGTGAGGTGCTGTGATGTGTGTCATGTGAGGTGCTGTGATGTGTGTCATGTGAGGTGCTGTGATGTGTGTCATGTGAGGTGCTGTGATGTGTGTTTTGTGAGGTGCTGTGATGTGTGTTATGTGAGGTGCTGTGATGTGTGTTTTGTGAGTTGCTGTGATAATGTGTGTCGTGTGAGGTGCTGTGATGTGTGTCATGTGAGGTGCTGTGATGTGTGTCATGTGAGGTGCTGTGATGTGTGTTTTGTGAGGTGCTGTGCTGTGATGTGTGTTATGTGAGGTGCTGTGATGTGTGTTTTGTGAGGTGCTGTGATAATGTGTGTCGTGTGAGGTGCTGTGATGTGTGTCATGTGAGGTGCTGTGATAATGTGTGTCATGTGAGGTGCTGTGATGTGTGTCATGTGAGGTGCTGTGATAATGTGTGTCATGTGAGGTGCTGTGATGTGTCATGTGAGGTGCTGTGATAATGTGTGTCATGTGAGGTGCTGTGATAATGTGTGTCATGTGAGGTGCTGTGATAATGTGTGTCGTGTGAGATGCTGTGATGTGTGTTATGTGAGGTGCTGTGATGTGTTGTGGTAGGTCCTGTGAGGTGCTGTGATAATGTGTGTCATGTGAGGTGCTGTGATAATGTGTGTCGTGTGAGATGCTGTGATGTGTGTTATGTGAGGTGCTGTGATGTGTTGTGGTAGGTCCTGTGAGGTGCTGTGATAATGTGTGTCATGTGAGGTGCTGTGATAATGTGTGTCGTGTGAGATGCTGTGATAATGTGTGTCATGTGAGATGCTGTGATGTGTTGTGGTAGGTCCTGTGATGTGTCATGTGGGTTCTGTGATCTATGTACAGTGTCATGTGGGTACTGTGATCTATGTACATTGTCATGTGGGTACTGTGATCTATGTACAGTGTCATGTGGGTACTGTAATCTATGTACAGTGTCATGTGGGTACTGTGATCTATGTACAGTGTCATGTGGGTACTGTGATCTATGTACAGTGTCATGTGGGTACTGTGATCTATGTACAGTGTCATGTGGGTACTGTGATCTATGAACAGTGTCATGTGAGGTGCTGTGATCTATGTACAGTGTCATGTGGGTACTGTGATCTATGTACAGTGTCATGTGGGTACTGTGATCTATGTACAGTGTCATGTGGGTGCTGTGATCTAAGTACAGTGTCATGTGAGGTGCTGTGATGTGTGTCATGTGAGGTGCTGTGATAATGTGTGTCATGTGAGGTGCTGTGATAATGTGTGTTATGTGAGGTGCTGTGATGTGTGTCATGTGAGGTGCTGTGATGTGTGTCATGTGAGGTGCTGTGATGTGTGTCATGTGAGGTGCTGTGATGTGTGTTTTGTGAGGTGCTGTGATGTGTGTTATGTGAGGTGCTGTGATGTGTGTTTTGTGAGGTGCTGTGATAATGTGTGTCGTGTGAGGTGCTGTGATGTGTGTCATGTGAGGTGCTGTGATAATGTGTGTTATGTGAGGTGCTGTGATGTGTGTTATGTGAGGTGCTGTGATGTGTGTTTTGTGAGGTGCTGTGATAATGTGTGTCGTGTGAGGTGCTGTGATGTGTGTCATGTGAGGTGCTGTGATAATGTGTGTTATGTGAGGTGCTGTGATGTGTGTTATGTGAGGTGCTGTGATGTGTGTCATGTGAGGTGCTGTGATGTGTGTCATGTGAGGTGCTGTGATGTGTGTTTTGTGAGGTGCTGTGATAATGTGTGTCGTGTGAGGTGCTGTGATGTGTGTCATGTGAGGTGCTATGATAATGTGTGTCATGTGAGATGCTGTGATGTGTTGTGGTAGGTCCTGTGATGTGTCATGTGAGGTGCTGTGATAGTGTGTGTCATGTGAGGTGCTGTGATCTATGTACAGTGTCATGTGGGTACTGTGATCTATGTACAGTGTCATGTGGGTACTGTGATCTATGTACAGTGTCATGTGGGTACTGTGATCTATGTACAGTGTCATGTGGGTACTGTGATCTATGTACAGTGTCATGTGGGTACTGTGATCTATGTACAGTGTCATGTGGGTACTGTGATCTATGTACAGTGTCATGTGGGTACTGTGATCTATGTACAGTGTCATGTGGGTACTGTGATCTATGTACAGTGTCATGTGGGTACTGTGTTGTGTGTTGCAGTGTTCGGCATGCTGCTGGGGGACACACTCATCCTGGACACACTGGACCACGCCAACTCTTACAGACAGGAGGTCAGTCTCTCACACATACCGTATTCCACGTAATAAGCGTCCCGCTCTAATAAGCGCCCACGGCGATAATTCTTGTGAATACCTCACCTCTATCACATCAGTGCCATAAATTCCTGTTTATGCTGAGAACCACACTATAAATTTTTATAAATTTTCAACAGACGTCCACTACACTGCCAATATATCCATAGTTGTGAGGGAAACCCTATCCCTTGCCAGAGGCGCCACTGCGCATGCGCAAGGCGGGAATCTAGTCACTTCTTTCCTGTGTGTCCTGATGACAACAAGGAAAATTTTTTTGTTGCACATCCGAACACGTGATTGCGTTCCACACTACAAGCATTAGATCATCTCAAGCTTCATAGATTACAAGCAAAGAGCAGTTCTACAAGCAGAACGGGGGTATAGAAGATCGGAGTCTCTAGTAAGTAATTAGTTAAGAAAGGTGTTGTGGGATGAGATCTTCATCTCATAAGCAGACACCTGTCTGTTCGGGCTGTGGACAACACCAAGCTCCGGGGGATCCTCACCCTAGATGTCTCGCATGCAAGAAAAGCAGCTGTACACAGAAGTCAAGGTGCAGTTATTGCGAGCATCTGTCAAAAGAAAAATTTGACAAGCTCTCCAAGGCATGGATCAAAAATCCCGATTTTAAGAAAGTCACTAGAGCATCTACATCAAGAAAACAAGTGATTAAGCCCGAGGCGGCAAAAATTAATCACGTGGGTGACAAGCGAGTGTCGCGCGAGGGCGCCATCTCACCTTATGAGGAGAAGAGATCACGTCGCTCATCCCACTCTCCCTATAATGTTGAGGAGCAGATGCATGTTACAGGTCAATCAGAAAGTACCTCTAACTTGCATCCGGCAACGTCTGGTACGGTCGATCGTCGAGTTTGGACAGAAACTAACGACTTTCACCCTCTGCCGCGTTCCCCCTTTAACGTAAATGAGTTCACGGAAAGAATAACAAATTCTATGTCTGTTATGATTGACACACGCATGCAATCTATGTCTCGAGAAATCTCAGATCTAAAAGAATCAGTTAATCAAACTCGGCTTGGCCAATCAGGGATCGATCACGAGAGTAAACAGAGATCTAAGGCTGAATATGGCAGTACACCCTCATACAGCAGACATGTAAAGCAAGGTTACGATGAATCAGACTATGAGGACAGTAGGAGAATTATACTAAGAGACCGAGAATCTCATAGATCTTCTCCCTACCACGCATACCATAGGGATCACCGTGAATCACGGTCTTCACACCGAAGTATGCATAGAAATACGCACCAATCACCGTCAAGCCACTATGATAGACGCACTGACAAAGCTCGTGCATATCAGGATAGTAATCCTAAGCGTGCACCCTCTCATACTGCCACACAGTCCTGTTATACGGGCGAAGAAAGCGAGGGAAATATGACATCACCATACAGTTATAGACCACGTGATTCTCGCACAGCTTGTCGTAAATTAGACGGCCGGGATTACGATACCCTCAGCCATACGACCCACTCCCAGCACAGCCAGAGTAGGGGGTGCCGATCTACACAGGAGCATTCAGGCTATGGGGACACTGCTATAGAGGAGGATTTTAGATCAAACAATTACTCCCTTAGAGACATCTTAGCAGAACTTTATGAACTAATGCCCACATTAAAACCAGATCAGGACTGTACACCCGTTAAACCCTTGATTGAACGTGCAGGATATGAGGGACCCGATAAAGGGACCGAACCATACCATACGCTTCCCCCTCCGTCATATTTGGATGACGTCATCAAGAAAATTGAAAATCAATTGAATTGTTCAGCGGGACCTAGTGCGAAACTGAGACCTGTATTTATAAAATCTGCTTACAAAACACATGATGATCCGTTCTCACTACAGCCTAGCATTGACGAAGATTACTTCGATCTGGTTAAGAAACCTAACCCCAATATGCGCATTGATATGTCCAAGATCAAGAGCTTAGATAGGGTCAATAGACAAATGATGAATACCAGTTCTTACATCAACTGGTTAGCAGCTGGTATTCGCCATGTCATACCACCGTGCAACCAGAGCGAAGATCTTACCTTAGACACTTCCACGGAGATGACTAGTCAGAAGACGGGATTTATCCACAGCTCGTTAGACCACATACTGAAGATGCAGGAAGACCTCCTATCAACTCAAGTATGGATGTCATCGCAGTTTTTGATCATGCAAAGAAGACACTTACTTCAGCAAGTTCATCATGTGATGCCAGACCCCTTAAAGAGATCCATGATGTCACAGCCCATTACGTCATCGCAGATTTTCAACGGTAGACTGAAGTCGGTGAAGGAAGCCATTATCTCTTCAACTAACCAGAGATTTCAGGAATCCACCATCTCATTAGCATCCAAGTTACAGAGACAACCGGCGGTTACTCGACCCCAGCGACGGAGTCCTGGACCCCGACGTGAACAGCCCAGCCGGGATTCTTTTCGAGCCTCTACACAGAGAAACAGATCGTATCAACCCAGGTACAAGAGCTCCAAAGTTGATCTTCCCACTTCACAGAAAGGACTTGGCAGAGGAAGAGGCAGTTCCCGTAGGGGCCCCCTCCGGAGATGACTTCACCATAAATCTACAGACCCATCCAGATCCTACCGACTTCGCCTGCCCTACGGACAACGATTTAGCATTACGGAAGACCAAGGACAAGTCTATTCCAAATCCAGTCGAACTAGCCAACCTTACAAACATCGACTCAAGACTTCCCAAGTTCAAATCTCATCCTATCCCAGGGCCTGTCGGGGGCCGTCTTATGCAGTACGCAGACAACTGGGAGACCATCACAGACGACTCATGGTTAATCGAAGTAATAAGAAGAGGCTACAAACTTCACTTCTTAAAACGACCAAAACTAGTCATTCATCCTACCGGACCCCGATTCCAGCTATCAGGACCCAAGCTCATCGCAGCAGAAGTGGCCATACAAGAATTACTCACAAAAGGAGCTATCAGCACCCTAGAGGAGTCAGACACCACCCTCGGATTCTACTCCCCAGTTTTTCTGGTACCGAAGAAGAATTCTTCACAGATGAGATTAATAATAGACCTAAAAACTCTGAACAAAGATTACCTGGAAAAACCACCCACATTTCAGATGGAATCTATAAAGAAGTTAAAGAATTCCCTAAGACAAGCAGATTGGATGATAAGCATAGATCTCCAAGACGCATATCTTCACGTCCCCATCCATCCAAGCCATCGTCGATACCTACGATTCGCTGTCAACGGTCAGAGATACCAGTTCAGAGTACTACCATTCGGCATTTCCATCGCCCCATGGTTATTCACCAGGATCACCAATCCCGTCATTGGGTTCGCCCATATGAAGCTCATAAGGCTGCACGGATATATAGACGATTTCCTATCGGTCGATCAGGACAAATCACAACTCAGTCTAAACACAGTGTGTCTCATCCAACTTCTCACACATTTAGGTTTCCTGGTTCACTCTCAAAAATCAGAGCTAGTACCCACACAGACCATCACTTACATCGGCGCAAGATTTATTCTAGACAAAGGCATAGTCGCACCCCCAGAGGACAGATATGCAAGGGTACAGCACATGATTACGAGCGCACTCGATCAGCCCGTCAAGTCGAGAAGGTGGTGGATGTCTTGCCTAGGCACGCTCACATCTATCCAAGACCTAACCTACAGAGGCAGGCTACAATTGCGGTCCTTGCAGATTTGGATGAACACCACCAAGAACCTAGAGCTGGAAGCACTAATCCAACCCCCAGAAGTTCGAATCTCAGAACTCCTTTGGTGGCTAGATCGTCAAAATGTCATGCCAGGTATTCCACTAAACTACCCCACCCCCCTACATCAACTCTACACAGATGCATCAGGAGAGGGTTGGGGTGCCCATATGGACGATGTCACCATTCAAGGGAAATGGTCCTCCCAAGACAAAGAGCTGCACATCAATTGTCTAGAAATGAGAGCAATATATCTAGCATTAACAGCTTGGCTAGATCGTCTACACCACTCGTCAGTGAAGATAGCTACAGACAACTCAACCGTGGTCGCTTACATACAGCACCAAGGAGGCACAAGATCTCAGCCTTTACTGAAGGAGGTTACACGTTTATATGCCTTGGTAGACTCAGTGAGTTGCAAGATCGAAGTAAGACACATTCCGGGCAAGCTAAATATACTAGCAGATTACCTATCCCGGAAGAACAAGATAGTACCCACAGAATGGTCACTACATCCCGAGGTGTTCAAGTGGATAACCCAGGTATGGGACAGTCCAAACATAGATCTATTCGCCACATGTCTCAACAACAAACTACCAGTCTATGTCAGCCCGGTACCAGACCCACTAGCACTCCAAGTCGATGCGCTCTCCATGGAATGGAACGGAATGTTTGCTTACGCATTTCCCCCATGGGCTCTCCTAGACAGAGTACTGAGGAAAATAGAGGAAACGGACTGTGTCATAATCCTCATAGCCCCGGCCTGGCCAAAAAGGGCTTGGTTTCCGAGACTCCTACAACTGCTGCTAGAAGTACCTCTGAAACTCCCAGTACGTCCCGACCTATTGAGACAACCAAAGACGGACATATTTTACGGCCGCCTCGACAACCTCCATCTTCACGCTTGGAAGTTATCTCGCATAAGATGCAAGCAGCCGGTTACTCTGAATCAGCTGCACGAAGAGTGGCTAGCTCATGGAGACCAACCTCATCTGCATTATACAATAACAGATGGGACAAGTTCGTCGAATGGAGAAGAGGAAAACAGTTACATGGAGATATAACCATACCTATAGTAGCCGATTTCTTGCTCCATCTCAGAAATGACAAGAAATTACGACACGGCACTATCGAAGGATATAGATCAGCCCTGTCATCAGTATTACAACACGATGACCTATCTATAGGTACCCATCCAGTACTAAATCGACTTATGAAGTCTTTTGCCCTGGAAGATATAAAAGTACCACGTACTTTTCCTAAATGGGATCTATCTATAGTATTGTCGGCATTGATGAAAGCACCGTATGAACCCATGAGTAGTGCGACATTACTATCAGTCTCCAAGAAAACTGCTTTTCTCTTAGCCATGGCTACGGCGGCTCGCGTGTCAGAACTACACGCTATTGACATCTCCACTGTAACCCATACCAAAGAATGGAAATCAGTGTCGTTCAGATCGCTCCCTGAATTTATTGCCAAAAACCAGTCGTCAACCTTCGGCCCACTCGGACATCGGCAATACACAATTCCAGCCTTAAGTAAAAGTGTGGACTTCCCGGATAGATTGCTTTGCCCCATAAGAGCCTTGAGATATTTTATCACAGCGACTCAACCCCACAGAAAGCAGAGAAAACGCCTATTTATCTCTTGCAAGCCCTCGTCAGAAAAGGACATCGCAAAGGGCACTGTAGCGGGATGGCTAAAAACAGCTATCACAGATAGCTATAAAACGGCACAAATCTCAACTCCGATTTGGGGTAGCTGCAGACCCCACGAAATCAGAGCACTGGCAACAAGCCTAGCCACATGGAATACTGCATCCATCGAACAAATCGTGGCCAGCTGCCAGTGGAAGTCCCACAACACCTTTTCAAACTTTTACTTACGAGACATACAGACCGATCTAAATGGACTATACACTCTGGGGCCTTTGGTGGCCGCCCAGGTGATAGTTACCAAATAAAGTAACCTGTTCCCTCCCTCTTCCAGGAAAGGGAAAAGAGAGGGGGGGGGGGTGAAGATTTCAGAAGTACCTCAGGAACTCAGGGTAAGTTGTACTTTGTTACTGGACTGCGCTATTGAGTTAGTAAAACAGGGCAAATGTCAACACTGAAATCAGAGATCGAAGGATTAAGTGATATACGGTAATCTACATGATAGGAAGGTTAATGTATTACCACCGGAAGTGACGTCATAGGAGTCATCACACCGGAGAAACGTTAAGATACGTTAAATATCACTATCCAAAAAGGGCATAACGGTAAACCACGTCATAAGTGATACGGGAGAATAGTGACACCGGAAGTGACGTCACAGATGACGTCATCACCGGAAGTGACGTCACAGATGACGTCATCACAGGAAGCGACGTCACAAAAAGTCTAAGTATCACAAGGGAATATACATATACCCTTCACATGACACCTTGAAAATTATATACGTCTAAGTCTTGTAAGTAGACTATTAGACACATCCGTTTAAGACCCCTTTTGGCATATAATCCTTGGTTTTACCACTCCACTAGCCAAATATCTATGGGATGCTAGATACCAGAACCCACCGGTCCCTCTGGTGTATACTGGCACTGATGTGATAGAGGTGAGGTATTCACAAGAATTATCAAACAATAGTTATCATTGTGAATAATTCTAAGAATACCACCTCTATCACATCAGGAATTAATCCCTCCCACCTCCCCAAATATCTGCATCTAGTTGATGAGAGTATGGGTTGAAAGAAGTGACTAGATTCCCGCCTTGCGCATGCGCAGTGGCGCCTCTGGCAAGGGATAGGGTTTCCCTCACAACTATGGATATATTGGCAGTGTAGTGGACGTCTGTTGAAAATTTATAAAAATTTATAGTGTGGTTCTCAGCATAAACAGGAATTTATGGCACTGATGTGATAGAGGTGGTATTCTTAGAATTATTCACAATGATAACTATTGTTTGATATTTGCTGATATACTCAACAACCAACAAGCTCCTGTGACACCAATATTTTAGTGTATTTTTTAAACAAGTAAAGTTTGGTTTTCAATATTGTAGTACATGTATGGAATCAAGTCACAAAAACGCAACTGCTACAGAAAAGCATGCATTTCTTGCAAAAGTTGACTTTTATGCAAGCCCCATGCATTTCACTACCCAAGAATGGGTATAAAAACATGTGCATTAATGGGATTCCATATGCATAGTTTAGCATCGTGCTGACAACCACTCAGAAAAAGATCAAAATTACGCAATTATTCAACATTACGAAATGCCACGCCTGTCCGAAAATGAGCGTCTGCGAGCCATTAGTATGCTTGAAGCAGGATCGAGTCAACGTGATGTTGCAAGGCAATTTAACGTCCACATTTACACCATTTGGTGTTTATGGCAACGTTGGCAACAGACGAATGCAGTCAGAGACTATCCTCGGAGTGGCAGGCCACGCGTAACCAATAATAGACAAGACAACTGGATTCGAACAACACACCTACGAAATCGATTCCAGCCAGCAACAGTGACTGAAAGAAGCATCCCTGGCCTTCGACGATTTCTTCACAAACTGTACGTCTTCGCCTCAGATGTGCAGGGATTGTCGCCAGAAGACCCGCCAGACGTCCCATTTTGACAGGAAACTACCGTCAAGCATGTCTACAGTGGTGCAGACAGCGTCTACGCTGGACAGTGGAGACAAGTTCTATTCACTGACGAGTCTCGTTTTCACCTCATGGACAGATTCAAGTGTACCGACTTCGAGGTGAACGTTTCGTCAATCATTGTGTCATGAAAGAAGATCAGTTTGGGGGCGGCAGCGTTATGTCATGGGGTGGGATTACAGCAAGACAGAGGACCCGTTTGATAGTGGTAGAGGGAAATCTCAATGGACAGCGCTACCGCGACGAGATCATCGACCCAGTTGTTCTACCGTTTTGGGGTGAATGTCATCCCCTGGCCGGCTCGCTCCCCTGATCTTTCACCAATCGAGCACATGTGGGATGAGATGGATCGGCGCCTTCGACATCAACCACGTGTTCCACAGACACTCGAGGAACTTCGAAACATGCTCCAGCAGATATGGACAGATATCCCACAGGACTTTGTGCGACGCCTGGTCCATTCCATGAGACGGAAATGTGTTGCTTGCATCGCAACCAGAGGTGGACACACACGCTATGGATTTTTAAATTGATATTTTGGCATGTTCATGTTTTTTTTTGAAATAACGCTTTTTCTGAAGTCAGTATGGCAAATTAAACCATTTGAACACTTACCTGAGTCTTTTATCTATTGCAAACCGAAATTGTTTCCGATTTGGTAAAAAACATAACTTTGCATTAAATCTTATTCAGTGTCGCAGGAACTTTTGTTGTTCAGTATATATTTGCTAGTGAACAATCCGAATTAGATCCCTTTCCGATTGATCAATGAACACAAGACTTAAATTAATTTGTGTATAATACACACTCATGTGTTTTATGTGCCCTTAATTATGGGCAATTCAATTCTGGAAAATATGTCTGCATATAACCATCTGTCATTAAAACCATGAAATTTACGATCTTTCAGCTCTGTTTTTTTCACCAAAATAATATTCTAATAAGGGGCCCGTATTTCTAATTTTGAAAGTGCCCTGGGCGCTTATTATGTAGAATACGGTACTTGACAACCACTGTGTCTTTTACCTCAGCAGTGGTAACTCAGTGTCACACACATACTTGACAACCACTGTGTATTTTACCTCAGCAGTGGTATCTCAGTCTCACACACATACTTGACAACCACTGTGTATTTTACCTCAGCAGTGGTATCTCAGTCTCACACATATACTTGACAACCACTGTGTATTTTACCTCAGCAGTGGTATCTCAGTCTCACACACATACTTGACAACCACTGTGTATTTTACCTCAGCAGTGGTATCTCAGTCTCACACATATACTTGACAACCACTGTGTATTTTACCTCAGCAGTGGTATCTCAGTCTCACACACATACTTGACAACCACTGTGTATTTTACCTCAGCAGTGGTATCTCAGTCTCACACACATACTTGACAACCACTGTGTATTTTACCTCAGCAGTGGTATCTCAGTCTCACACACATACTTGACAACCACTGTGTATTTTACCTCAGCAGTGGTAAATCCGTCTCACACATATACTTGACAATCAGCTTGTTTTTTTACCTTAGCAGTAGTAAATCAGTCTCACACATATACTTGACAATCAGCTTGTTTTTTTACCTTAGCAGTAGTAAATTAGTCTCACACATATTAGACAACCACTATGTATTTTACCTCAGCAGTTGTAAATCTTTTCTATTGGGGCAGTAGACCTATAACATACCCCGGTATATGGAACATGTTGCAAATGGGCTCAAGAGCACAACCCAATGATTGTTGCCAATGATCCATTAACAATTCAGGATTATCTGGTCCAGACTCAATACTTTTCAGGCCGCTGTGATATAGCTTGAATATTGCTGAGTGCAAACAAACAAAACAAATTACGGGGAAATGTATCACTAGAATTTGATTGTTACAGATCATCAAACACACACACTGCCCCACCATCTTGACCCGCAATGGAGACAGAATCCGCAGCAATGGCAAGTTTGGAGGCACAATGAACAAGGCCCTGCCTGTAGAAAAGCTGAGAGGTGCTGTGTTTAGTGAGCCTCTGCCTATGGCTTATCATGCGTTATGTACCCAGATAGGTGAGTGACTTGAGATAGCAGAGATGGGAATTTTGATACAGTTTTAAATATCCTTTATTCTAATTGTTGCCCCCAGTGAAGAACCACGTTAGAATTGGTCTTCAGCAATCCATGCTTGCTGACTTGGATGCTGCATATCATCGTATCCCAATTGCGTTGATCAATGCTCTTGATGTCAGTCACTGGATTGTCTGGTCCAGACTTGATTATTTACAGACTGCTGTCATATAGCTGGAATTTTGCTGGGTGGGGCGTTAAACAAAAGAAACAAAGCTATTTAATTGTTGCATAATATGATTACAACATCTTTGTATGTAGGTATGAAGCTTCTTGTGATGACAGTGTAGCCTTGTGTGACATGTGATTTACTTAGGACTTGCACTCCCACAGTTTGCTTTCTGCTGTTACAGACACACTGCAGAGTTACAAGGGGGCCTTGGAGAGACAGAGCAAGGCCAAGACTGACCTACAGGAACAAATAGAATGCCAGAAACTACCAGAGATGGTAAACAAATACACAGAGTGTCAGGATGCACAGAGGCAGCTCAAGGACATAGAACACAAGCTGGGTGAGTTCCGACTCTCGATGGTGTGAGGTGGGGTGGGGTAGGTATAGTGTGTGGTGGGGTGGGGTAGGGTAGGTTGATGTGAAGTGAGGTTGGGTGGGGTGAGTTGATGTCAGCGAGGTGGGGTGGGGTGGGGTAGGTATATGTGGAGTGAGTTAGGGTGGGATGGGTTGATGTCAAGTGGGGTTGGGTGAGGTAGAGGGCTCAGCTTTTAGTAGCTTCTCAAGAATGTCGGGCATTAGCAGTTACAAATGGGAAGGAGTTGGGCAGTTGCTCTGATGGACAGCCCTGGGTGAGTTTTTAGCATTGGGTCTGTCTTTCGACATGAATCAGTTAGCACATTGTGTTTTCTTTTTTCCCAGGTGTGGGGCTCCAGCCTCGACAACGACCTCCTAGCAGCAACAGCGATCCGAGGCTTAAGAACAGTAATACCATAGAAACACCGTCCAAACGTCAGAGAACATTATCTGGCTCCTCCTCATCAACAACAGTGTCCAACAGCCATCAGAATGGAGAAGTGACAACGCCCACTCGAGCCAGCAAGAGGATTGCCTCGATGACAACAGTGGTGGCAGAGGATGGTCGGAAGAAGCTGCGCAAAACATGATAGAATTGTGGTTTATTCCTCTGTGCCTTGTGGACTGTGTTGTGATGGCATCCTGATAGTCTGCCTGCAGGACCACCTCAGCGTTCTCTCTTTCTTCTCCACATGTGATGTGGGTAAACCAGATGAGGTGCTGGGGTGTAAGGGGAGTAACTCCTCCCTCTCATGGAAATACAACTCTACAAGCAACTGTGAGGCAATGTTTGAGTGTATTCATGTTACAGGGCCTTAGTGATTCCCAATTTGGCCCTAATTCTGTATCCTTTCAACTTCATTGACACTGTTAAGGGGTTGTCAAACAGTTAAAGGGAATGATATAATGAATTAACTTACAGTTTACAGGAAATAAGCTGTTTGATCAATTTGTCTGATGGGAATGAGGAACTGTCGGGCAAATTGTGACATTTTGGGGTTTGGTCAGTCAATAAACTGCATATTCTATTGACGTAAGATTAAAAGTGTCTTAAAAAAGGCACATTAATGGGGTAAAGATTGATATTTATGATAATGGTATGTGTGTAGTAATTTGTGAATCATGTCATTTCTCTGTCTACACAGTTGTTTTTTGTATGAGTTTGTAGGTCAACATTGTTATGTTAAGGTGGATACAAACTGCAATAAGTATGTTACAAGTCTGTGACATTTATATAGAAAGAATATTTTCATATTAATTGCTAGTCACGAGCTTGGTGCAGACAATAGACAAACCATAAACTGTGTCATCTCTTGATGTTCATTTCACATGATATATACTTGTCTGTCAGTCATGATCCTGTGTGACCTCACTCCCTCAACACAATAATATAGACTTGCAGCATCACATGTTGTCATTCATTTCATGTCGTTAATGTCAGCCTGGTTTATCAGTTTTAGAAATCCAAAATTTCAGTTTCACTTCATATTTCAACACTGTGTTCATTTGCCATAAATTGTATCATTTAAAGCTACTCACCAAGTGAGACCATGGAAGTATACATTTTGTTATGGTGAGGAGTGTCATGAGGATGGATTGTGCATCATGATGGGAGGGGTGTCATGATGGGAGGGTGTGTCATGATGGGAGGGTGTGTCATGATGGGAGGTGTGTCATGATGGGAAGGTGTGTCATGATGGGAGGGTGTGTCATGATGGGAGGTGTGTCATGATGGGAAGGTGTGTCATGATGGGAAGGTGTGTCATGACGGGAGGTGTGTCATGATGGGAGGGTGTGTCATGATGGGAGGGTGTGTCATGATGGGAGGTGTGTCATGATGGGAAGGTGTGTCATGATGGGAAGGTGTGTCATGACGGGAGGTGTGTCATGATGAGAGGGTGTGTCATGATGGGAGGGTGTGTCATGATGGGGTGTGTCATGATGGGAAGGTGTGTCATGATGGGAGGGTGCATCATGATGGGGGTGTCATGATGGGAGGTGTGTCATGATGGGAGGGTGTGTCATTATGGAAGGTGTGTCATGATGGGAGGAAAGTGTCATTATGGAAAGGTGTCTTGATGGGAGGGTGGTTCATGATGGGAGGTGTGTCATGATGGGAAGGTGTGTCATGATGGGGGGTGTCATGATGGGAGGTGTGTCATGATTGGAGGCAAGTGTCATTATAGAAACGTGTCATGATGGGAGGTGTGCCCTGATGGGAGGGTGTGTCATGCTGGGTGGGTGTGTCATGATGGGAGGTGTGTCATGATGGGAGGGTGTCATAATGGGAGGTGTGTCATGATGGGGGGTGTCATGATGGGAGGTGTCATGATGGGTGGGTGTGTCATGATGGGAGGTGTGTCATGATGGGAGGTGTGTCATGATGGGTGGGTGTGTCATGATGGGAAGTGTGTCATAGGTGTGTCGTGATGGGAAGGTGTGTCATGATGGGAAGGTGTGTCATGATAGGAGGGTGTGTCATCAGACCAGCTGAGAGTGTACGGGTTAAGAGGAGCGTCGCCGAGGGTGGTTGAGCCTTGAGGCAGGCATCTCCAGAATGAGTGTTCTAGAGTCGCTAGGGTGAATGGCCCGGAGGATTCAGTTTGGGAGGACGAGTGTCTCGTGATGAGGATGGAACATGCACGTCTTTTCCCAGTGTCCATTCACATTTCTTTTGTCAAGCATCAATAGTTTTGTTTATAGACAACTGTTCAAATACATGTATTTAAAGTGCTGATACAGTGTATGTTTATATGTACTGGAGGAGATCTGTCCTGAGTTTTCCTTTGTTTGATAGATATATGCAAACCAGAACCATATAGCCACCTTGATATTTATTGTAATTCAGATCAGACAGATATTGTGCCCAACCATATGTGTTGTTTGTTTTCGAAGGTCATTTGAACCAAGGTCATTTGAACCAAGGTCATTTGAACCAACATAAAATGATGATCCAGTTGAAGACTTGAATGACTCTCTAGCAAGTCACTGTCCTGATCTCGGGTTGCAGGTATATTGTTGAAGTTGATGAGAACTTTCTTGATCATCAACTTTAGGCTATGAAATAAGGCAGCATTATGTATCATAGAGTGCTACATTATCAATTTCCATTTGAATGTTTTTGTGATTATTTGTAGTATTAACCGACTTGTATGTGTGAGGAAGTGATGGAAACTGATGCTGTGGTATCACAATGTTATTGTCACAGTCTTATGCAAATTGGAGAGTAAAATGTTTATGAAACAAATTGTTTCGATGTATTACAGACATGTTGATGTAGTGTTGGAGACACTTGGTTTGGTGTTGATAGTACATTTCATAAAGGGCTCATTCAGCAATACAACACTGAACGTTCCACATGTAAAGACATCTCAGAGAGTTTTTTCAACAAGGGTAGACACCACTGGTCAAATCCAACCAGTCTGCAGCTCATTTCAGACTAGTGTCTCATTTGAAGTAATTCCATTTGGTGAGAACACAACAAGTCTCTATGGATTTTCACAGTCTCTGGCTAATGGACTCGTGGCCGTGTCTATCTCTTGTTTTCTACTCTCTAGTGTTGAGATAATCGGAAGACAGTTAAACACTGGATATTGGTTTCCAGATCTGTATGAATCATAATGGGAGTAGTAATTGTTCTTTGACTGTAATCTGCTGATAGATGAGAAATATTAATTACTGATTCTCAAACAACACTAAAGCATTTTATTTTTAATATAAAAATCAGACACTTTGGAATCATATTTGGTTATTACCTGACAAGGTTTTATTCCGGCCTTTTGGGAACTGGGTACTGTGCTTTCTCTTGTGTTTGTATGGGAAGCAGCTCGGCCAATACTCACTAGCAGTTGAGGTGACTTGTCTGTGTTCACCACTTTTTCCTTCACTTGTTTAGCTCACCTGACTGAAAGTCAAGTGAGCTCATGTAATGGCCTGTTTGTCCAGTGTCCACTGTAAACATCTTCTCTTCAGAAACCACGAAAGCTGAAATATGACATACTTGGTCCCACAATGATGACATCTCAATTTGTTCAAGAGTTTCGAACCTGATTTTCAATAAAAACCTTGATTTGATCTTTGCTTTGTGACTTTGCTCCTAAATTCTCCCAAAATGCATTCCCTCACACTGCAAGCATCCTCTCCTCGGAAACCATGGGACCAATGAAACTTCACATAAATGGCCTCACCAAATAATGTCACCTGAGGTTGTTCAAAGATTCAATATGGCACCACAGCCATATTGAAATATCTATTTATGGCCATACATGTTTGTACAAAGTGGAAGAAAAGTAGGTATTTGTGTTGTTAATTTGTGCAAAATTTTGAATTCTGACTGTAATAACCTTGTTTGTTCTGATGATGACTTCATATTCTGTTCAAATCATTAGATTACAGTGATTTTTGTAGTTCTCAGCAACGTTTGTTAAGTGGCTATCTTTTTATGACATTTTAAACAGTTGACTACATATCCAGGTGAGCTACAGTGCTGTGGCACTATTTTTCCTTCTGTAGGATACTACTTGTTCATGTTGGTCTATATTTCTACAGATATCATTCTAACATGCTTTGTATGTTTACACACAACATTTTATCATTCCATTGTCAACTTATCACTGTTCCATTTTAAATAATAAAGTCCTAAGGAAGAGGAAATGGTTGGTTGTCTTTGTCACACCAAAGAATTGAAGCAAGAGTGTTTGAAATATGGTGTTTATTCCTTTATTATTAAATATTAATATGTGTTGTTTTGGCCATGCTGAGCACACTTACAGATATATCACAGCAGTCTGTAATTAATAGAGTTTCAGGTCAGGCACACCAGTGAGTGATTGCATGTAAAGATCCACATTCCACTTGGAACCAGTCACAAATCCTTATTTTAGGCATCTCTTATGACAAACATTGGGTAATGGGAATCGTAACTGACCCTGAATCTCCAGAGGAACATGCATCAGGTACTTAGGACCTCTTTTGGCCAGAATCTCCACAGAGGAACATGCATCAGGTACTTAGGACCTCTTCTGCCCAAAATCTCCACAGGGGAACATGCATCAGGTACTTAGGACCTCTTCTGCCCGGAATCTCCACAGAGGAACATGCATCAGGTACTTAGGACCTCTTTTGGCCAGAATCTCCACAGAGGAACATGCATCAGGTACTTAGGACCTCTTCTGCCCGGAATCTCCACAGAGGAACATGCATCAGGTACTTAGGACCTCTTCTGCCCGGAATCTCCACAGGGGAACATACATCAGGTACTTAGGACCTCTTCTGCCCGGAATCTCCACAGGGGAACATGCATCAGGTACTTAGGACCTCTTCTGCCCGGAATCTCCACAGGGGAACATGCATCAGGTACTTAGGACCTCTTCTGCCCGGAATCTCAACAGGTTTGGTGTCTGGAGCATAACTGCGCTGGGACGGGTATCTTGGGAACTCCGGTTGGATGGGTCCTGAGTAGGACCCGGGTACCCACTGGACTACAAAGACCCGTGGTTAGTCATGTGAAATATTGTTTAATGACAATAATAAAATTTCATTGTTACACAAGAACAAGTTGCTAATGTTTGCATATCTTTCTGACTATGCCCACATTCCTTCTGATTTTATATTTTTGAGTAAAGACAAAAGCTTCAGTCAAATTCAGTGTATGCACAGTCAGATTGTTTTATACCATATCTAAATTCTTTTTGCCAGGGCTGAACATTTTTTACCCAAGTTGAGGTGAGGTGAAATGAGGTTTTACGTCGCGTCCAAGATTATTGCACTTATAAAGTGATGTGCATGCATGTGTGTTTGTGTAGCTGCTTGTTCTAGTCCGGACTGATGCCAATTTATAGTGCTAGCCCACTGAGATACCATGCCGCAGTTTAACATGAACACCCCACTCAGACACAGTATACTGACTTCGAGCCGACAAGTCCTTGTTTTAGCCCCTTAGCCAGACAGGGTAACAACAAGTACCATCTTTTAACGTCTTTAGGTATGACGCGGCCAGTGATCGAACCCTGGACTTTCCGCTCTCCGGGCGGACGCGTTACCACCAGACCACGGAGGCGGTCCATAAGTTGAGACCTACAAACTGTACCCAGGAGTTCAGGTAATATGGGGACGGTTTTCGTTCAGGCGTATTTCCAGATTCGTGGTCGAAGGGCATTGTTATACCTGTTCATAAGAAAGGAGATGCTAGCAATGCAGATAATTATAGAGGTATAACATTAAACAGTATTTTTGGGAAAGTATTTTCGAGTATATTAAACAACAGACTAACGTTATGGGCCAATATGAGGGATAGAATTCCAGAATATCAGGCCGGGTTTAGAAAACACTATTCTACAGATCATATTTTTACATTAAATGCAATTATAGAAAAATATTTGATGAAACGTGGGAGAAAACTGTATGTAGCTTTTGTTGATTTCCGGAAGGCTTTTGATTCTGTGAATCGTCATAAACTGTGGGTGTGCCTAAGGAGAGCTGGATTACGGGGCAAAATGTACCTGATTCTTAAAAGTATGTACTCTAATGTCAGGGCGTGTGTGCGTTGTAAAGGTGATTTCACTGACTTTTTTGATTGTCCGCTTGGCTTGAAACAAGGATGCGTATTAAGTCCCATTCTATTTTCATTCCTTATTAACGAATTGTGTATAGAAATATTGAAAAGTGCCAAACACGGGGTCCAATTATGTCCGGATATTTTAGAATTGTTCTTATTATTGTTTGCTGGTGATGTTATTCTTATATCACACACAGTCTCGGGTCTTCAGAACCAATTAAACATTTTGACTGATTACACTGATGATTGGAAGTTAACTGTAAACTTAGAAAAGACAAACATAGTCGTTTTTAGAAGAGGTGGCCCATTAGCTTCAGTCGAAAAATGGTTATATAAGGGTTCGAGAGTTAAAGTTGTTAGCAAGTATAAATACCTAGGTGTTCTGTTTACCAACACTTTAAGTATGGGTAATCTTGTTAAGGATTTATCTGTAAGGGGTAAAAAAGCCATTGTCATGTTATTGTCAACTTTATCTAAACTCCAGCCTTTATCCCCAAGTATATTCTTTAAATTGTTTGACACACAGATACAACCAATACTTTTGTATGGCTCTGAATTATGGGGTTTTAAACATTTTAATACAATCGAAAAAGTACATCCTCTTGCTTGTAAAAAATGTTTAATGACTGGAGTCAACTCCCCTAATAATATTGTTTACGGAGAGTGCGGTAGATATCCTCTGTACGTTAATTCATATATTCGTTGTATCAGATATATTATCACTTATGTCTAATCAATCTTCTGGTGTAATCTACAGTCTAGCTCAATTTCTCCATCAAGCACTCAATATTCGGCAAGAACTTGTAAATACAAATGTCTCCTAGAACGCACATATATGTTGAAAGTATGTATACATTGTGTGTATTTGTATATAGGCCGGAGGCCTTTCATACAATAAACTTCTTCTCTCTCTACGCAGGTAGTAAATTTGGACTCGCCCCAGCCCTACTTTGTATACATACATATCATACAACCCACAATGATGTTGGGATTCTGGGTTAAAATAGGTCCCCTCTGTGTATGCTTGTTTTGAGAGGCGAGTGGATGGATCAGGTGATCAGACTTGGTGATTTGGTAGACGTCTTCACCCAGGTAGAGTAGGTCGTTATCCATAATGCAGTGTTTATTAAAAACAAGCAAAGCATCAAACCTCAGAATTGTAGCTTTTCGCTATATTTTTTTATGGAATTATGACTGAGTTTGGAAAATATATATGTAACATTGCTATTAAATTAAAAGTTCTGTCTATATGAAAGTACCATAACTCATTTGGTAATGGCGACAGTATTGAAAGCATTTAAAGAATAGAGGGAATTATTAGTCATCAGGCATAATGTCAGTACTCACAAGCTTTGGGATTAATCCTGTTTTGTGTAATGATCATGGTGATTGTATGACATACTTTTAAGTGACTTTATTAAACATATACCACTCAAAAGCAGTTACATAACACCCGACTCTTTAATATTACTATAGTTAATCTGTCATAACATAATATGAAAGAATCAAGAGTTCATTAACTTCTTTTGAGTAGTATAATTAAAAGCGTGGTGCAATCTCATTAAAATCAAATCTTAGTTTTCGCTACCGCTAAACAAAGATCTGAGGACATCCCATTACGGGTCACGTCAGAACAACCTTTCGCAAATTTTGACCAACCAATGAAATGACTGACAAGAAATCGACATTGGCCAATCAGAAGGCAGCTTTCTCGAGCTTTACGACACTAGTTTCAAACTGGCGACTACGCTTCGAAATATATTTTGACGTATTCTCGATTAAAATTTTTAAAACTGATAAGAACATTCTTGAATGGCTTATAGATGGCCTAGATGTATGGATATAATCATAAAACCCGTAACTGTCGTTCGGAATACCCCGTGTTAAATATATCGTGGTTGCATGATTAGAAAACACTTTCCGACTGTCACTTTCAAGATCTGGTACGCGACGCTCTGATTGGTTGGATGAAAGATTGTTGAACTCAGATCTTTGTTTAGCGATAGCGAGAACTAAGATCTGATTTTAATGAGATTGAAGCGTGGTGGATATTGGTGACTTTATCTTCATGTTTTTTCAGTGAGTGAATTTTCTAAAAAAAATTAGTAGGTCGATCTAATATGTTACTTTATCATGTGTATATTCTTACCTACAAAGATTTCTTTTCATAGCATTCATAAAATACTCTTGGTAACACGCTTGTGTTGTGAGTCATCCAGGTGACCCCTGGTTGTGCGTGAAGTAGTGAGTACGGTTTTACGCTGCTTTTAGCAATATTCCAGCAATATCACGGCAGGGGACACCAGAAACGGGCTTCACACATAGTACCCATGGCGTGACGAGCAAACGCTTTAACCACTTGGCTACCTGACCGCCCCTCCCTGGTTGTGAATGAAATCACACAACATTAAGTCATCTTCATTATAGTTTATTATCAGAATATATTTATTTCTCCGGGAAATAGTGGAGAAACTGCATCTTTCTGAATAGCATTCACACAATTCAAGCATCCAGAGGCACTTCCCGATATTTCAGTCAATCTGAATAATTCACATTCAAATCAGAAAATCACATAACAATGCAGCAAACACGTCAACCTGAAACAAAGAACCACACGTGATCACCCATGTTTACTGGCTCCGAATTTATCATGTCTTCATCCAAACCCAACATCTCTTCAGAAGTCAGTGAAGGTGAACTACACAATAGTGTAGTATAAGGGGAGGTAACTTGTGTTACGATACATGTACAGGCAGTGTAAGGGGGATAACTCTAAAAGGATGTAGAGCCATTATGGCTGACAAAGGGGATGGGTAGCTAGGTAAGCAGATGCACGGTCAGAATAGAAGGAAGGAGAGGCCAGTTAGGCCATCTTCAATCACCCAGTCGCTTTTACTGAATATGAGACATCTTTCAACACACACAAATCAGTGGATTCAAGAAGAACCCCAAACAGATAATGATAATACAGATGAGTAGCTGCAGATATTTGAATGCACCTGTTGAGAGATCTTGTCCAGCTACTTGTCATCTTTCAATCATGCGTCACACTTTGTTGAACCCTGATCACATGATGATGAGGATGCAATACACAATCTAGATTTTGTTTGTTGTTACTCACCAACATTCCAGCTATATGAGAGCAGTCTGTAAATAATCGAGTCGGGGCCACACAATCCAGTTAATGACATCATGAGCACCAAATAATGCAATTAGGATACGATGACATGCATCAACCAAGTCAGCGAGTCTGACCACCCGTCTCTTATGACAAGCATGGGCTGCTGAAGACCAATTCTAACCTGGGTCTTCATGGGGAACACAATCTAGAGTCTAATGAACCTAATGTACGGATGTGAACGTATAGTGAAAGGAGATCATATGATGAGAGAAGGAGTTCTAAAACATGGATTTTCATGTCCAGCTTATCACACACAACACTGGAAAGACATAACAAATAACATAATTATCACAAATCTAAAGTGGCGATGCCTAAAAATGACTGTACATCATTCCCTACTGTGGAGGAACATTCTCACCCTCTGTACAAAACAATGCTGTACACTATGGACTGTACAGTCATACTGACATCAACACACACACCAAACAAATTTAAAATCATCTCCAACTTACCATTAAAACTATTGCTGTACATATGATAACTCTGAGTAAGATAACAAACCATCTTCCCCACCCTCCAGGAGAAGCCCTGTCACCCTCAAGGATGACAAGCTACATCTCATGCCCACAAATAACATCCTCATCACTGGATGGCATCATATCTAGGATAACATATCATGTAGCACAGTATGTTCTAAAACCAGAAAGGTAGCATTAAATAGAAAACGGGAGTGTTTGGATAGGGATTTATACTCAGCATCATTACTGCAGGGTCACCAAGACATGCAGGATGTCAACCAGGAACATATGCCAACAACGTCAATAGGTCCGAGTATACTGACAACGTGATTAACAGTGGAAGAATAGGTTGTTTATGCCTGTCACTGATTGGATGCCCTTTACAAACTAGAAAGCAAACAACAACTACTAAAAACATTAAAAAGTCCAAGATTGAAGGTGATAGAAAAAACTACCCAAAACACACGCCTGCAGTCAGTTCACCCAATGCACATGCAATGCATAAGTAACATTTAAAGTTGGTATAAAATGCTTAATTCCAAGTACAACTAACATGCACTCTTGGAATATGAAAATGAGATATTTTTAATATATTTATTATCTATGTGACCCCTCAATAATGATGCTCAGTATGTATCAAGATGGATGCCGCGATAAGTAAGCTTCACATTTTGTACCCATACAGGGAATTGAACCGGGGCCTCAGGCATGATGAGCGAACACTTTACTCACTAGGCTACCCCTTTGACTGAAGAAAGGAAATACACAAAACAGTGATGTCCTGGTTGCCACACATCTCAATAATTTAGAAAATCATTAATATAACACCTCCATACACTTTCACTATAACATACTTAGATGGGATTAGCTTGGGGTTTCTTTTCCTGCCTGCTTCTGACACAGAAACCCAACAACAGGAAGGTGTCGTGGTTGATTGTCTGTCAACAATATACTGCTAAAAAGAAGTTAAAGGACACTGATTCGTTCCTACAAAGTTCCCGCGATATTGCGCTCTTCAATATAGCGCTAACTCGGTTATAGCACACAGTAAAGCATGGCTCCCACAATTTACTAACATTTTCAATAAACTCAAGTTTTCCAATGACACGCTGTTTTCCCAATCTCAGAAAACGTTATCAGCTGATCACTGCGATCACGTAACACCGGAAATACCAGTCATCAAATCCGAACTGTAATACGCAATTTAGTCCTAAATTATAATAATAACTGGTTATAAAATAAATGTTCATTGATTATCTAGACTAATGTTTGCTATATATTTTATTAATTATATTCGACATTTCATTCAATAATTATAATAATGTTTACAATAATTTCGGCGAAACCGTATGCGAAGTGATCGGTAGATCGCACAACTCACCGTTATTTACAGCAACCACAGTCAGATTACCGCTATTGACGCTATCCTATGTTTTACTATAGTTAATCTGTTGACAGCAGAGATTAACTATAGTCATATGAAAGAATCAACTGTTCTTTAACTTCCTTTGGGTAGTATATAACATGAGATAATATTAGTGATACACTCTAGTAATCAGCATTCTTTTACACAAGCATCACTGTCAACATCCTAAACAGCTGTATCGTGATGTGGAGCTTGTAGCAAGGAGTGTCTCAAATCAACCAGTATTTTGTCCATGCAGCATGACCTTCGTATCCACCACTCATCCACGCTGCTACAGGTGCTGCTTGTGCTGGGGCTAGGACGGTTTGATCAGCATAGTGACCATGTTCTCATATACCACAAATGTGATGGCACATGCTGGCGTCACTCGTAACAGGCTTGGAGCCAGACCTTTGTAGAACCCATACACGCCCTCGTATCTGGTGAAAGATGATAAAATCTGAAGTTAAAACTTGACACAGTCCAGGATAGCAGTAGACTACTTGCTCACGAGAAAGACGGGGACTATTCTTTGCATTTCTGTGGATTGGGGAATTCTCCCTTTATTGATAAATACTGTCATATGAATACAAAAACGGGAACAGCAGAAAATATTTGATTTGTTGTAACAATACATGTTAATCAGGAAGAAGCAGTTCACATCAACAGTTACACCAAGCAATGGCCCTGTACAAGTTGTGAGGGACAGTTCAATTCTCTGAGCAAAGCATCTGTTGCAGCCACTTCAGTACATCACACACACTATCAGCATATCACCATATCTCTCTATGGCAGCAATACAGGTCACTGGACAATCATGATGCCATCCTTGGGTATTCATGCTAGTACACTGGCCCGAGACTACTTGGTTGGTTGTTTTTTTGTTTAACGCCGCACTCAGCAATATTCCAGCTATATGACGGCGGTCTGTAAATAATCGAGTCTGGACCAGACAATCCAGTGATTAATATCATGAGCATCGATCCATGCAATTGGGATTGATGACATGCATCAACCAGGTCAGCGAGCCTGACCACCCGACCCTGTTAGTTGCCTCTTACAACAAGCATAGTCACCTATTAAGGCAAGCATGGGTTGCTGAAGACCTATTCTACCCCGGATCTTCATCCAGAGTACTAAATTGTGCAGAGGAAGACTAAAAATCTAATGATCATAGTCCTCTTTGACTTGTTGCATTTCAGGGCTATTATTCTGAAACAGTGCTCAAAGCTTCAATTTTGCTAAAAATTGAAACTGGATAAAACTGATTGAAAATGTTAACATAGCAAACAGTTTTGTCTCAATCAAACAGAACTAGCTACAAACCCTGCGGACTAGTGACATAAGGTTTCCTCTGGACTTGGCTTAAAAAAATATAAATTTCTAAGGTTGAGCATGCTGTATGTTATGTATGGACACTGTCCAGGTGTATCAGTAAGTGTAGATGTGTATCTGATAATGTACATGTTTAATCCTATCCATTTCTGTCCTGTAAAATCTGCATGACATGCAAGATCAGATCTGTAATCATGTTGTTGTCTTTGCATATTCTGATTAAGAACTTTTATCATGTGGTTATGCACACATATCTTTTTCCATAACAAGGAAGTTCAAGAACACCAGATTCTTTCATATTACTAAAGTCTGTTATGAACTGGATGTTCTTGAAATTCTTTTGAGTGGTATAATACTTGTTCCCTTATTAGTGTATGACTAATGTGTACAGATGTACTGACATTTAATGCTTGTCAGAGACTGGTGCCTGGCTGTACTTGAGTTGCATCACTATGTGATCAGACACATCCGTGTTTAGACTTCCCCTTAGGACAAGGCCCACTGAGACTCAGCTGATATCTTTGTACAGGACAAGGTAACGTATATGTTTGTATTGAATGTTCCCAGATCAAACAGAACTCGCGCAAAATATTTAAGATTGAAAACCTGATCGTGTTCATTTAAGTAGTGGGTGCCAATATGTCTGTCAGTATGTGAACTTCTCCAGCTGAAAGGATGACTATAAACCAAGTCACACAATGGATCATCGCAACATGTAATTTAATATCATTTTTTATTTATGTACACATGTACACATCACACATTTCAATCAATCACATCACCTGAATATTAGACATGACAAAGTACATAAAGAATCATTTCCTACTTCCATGAGGACAAACAATGCCCTCAATAACAGTAACTGTCCAAATACACTGACGTCATGGACTCTGAAGCTCACCTGGCTTTATCAATAGAAGTGTTCCAAACTAAGGAGTGTCCTGGGGTCCTTGAAGTCTTGCCCCATGTATCAAGGATCCCCTTAATCCTTAACATTTAACATTAGGGATGTGACAAGGACCCGTGGACGTTTGTGCTTAATTTCTAACACTGAATACATGCTATACAGACAAATAGGACTCACTCACTCAGAGTGGATGAAACTTCAATAAATAATAGCTCTGCTGAATAAGGTTGTCATGACAACTACAATGATGTCTGATCAAAAGGAATAAAAATGCTTTTTATGTCGGTTTAAGCAATATTGCAACAATATCAGGGAAGGGAGACAACTCGGGTAATCAGATGTATGGTGAAAACTTAAACCACAAAGCTACCCAATCGCGTCAGATCTGACATTCAGGCACTGACACATCATACAGTGTTCACCTGATTTATATTACAGCATTAGGAGTGAGTTAAGTGAGTGAGTTGAAACGGTAAGTACAATCGGCAATATTTCAGCCATATTTCAGACAGTAATGAATAATGATGAAGTTGTAAGATTTGTCATCTATGTTCAAAACTTGCTATAGAATACACAATATGCTTATATTAAAACAGAAGTTCATGTGAATGAGCTGACGATTGTGATTGATGATGCTGAGACTGGAATGTAATGAGATCTGTGGAAACATCACTATATGTCCCTTTGTTCATACTGTCACCAATAATTACTTCATATGTGGGATAATAATATAATATCAACATGGTAAATATGGAAAATAATCTACATATATGTACCGTAAGTCAATGTTACAATATGGTACTATACAATAAAGTTCACAAACATGACGGCAGTACCGCAGAACACCAGTTACCTGGGCTAAACCAGACACAATGTATGCACCGGTAGTATTAGAACTGGATTTACACAATACACGATCGCAAAATTGAGAGTTCTGCCTCACAATCCCCCCCCCACCCCCCGCCCCTCTCAAAAAAATATATATCAGAGATGGGTATTGGAGGTTTGAAGTGTATCACAATGTTTTACAATGCCCAAGGCCGTATTGTGATACGTATCACAATATATTGCATAATTCTAAATTTTGAATTCAGGAGCAATTTGAAACACCAGTGTATGAATTGAAGTTTATAAATTGAACAAAACAAGATGCTGGAACAAATTAAAAAAACATGCACGAATGCACTATCAGGATGCACGCTCCGGGTATTTGGCAACCTTTGAACATGAAACGCATGATAAAAATAGGTTTTTGAAATAACCCGATATATCGAGCATTAAAATATGATATTGTTATACGTATTGTGGAAAGAGTAAACCTCAATATACCGGTAATACCTTGCGCCCTTATATGTATGTATGTATGTATGTATGTATGTATGTATGTATGTATGTATGTATGTATGTATGTATATGTATATATATAAGAACTCTCAGGCACAATATAGTAATAATTAAATAAGTGGAGTCAGTTTTAATAGGCTAGCGCTTTCAACTCGTACCACGTATGAGTCTCATCAGGCCATAACTGAATAACGGACATGAAGTAGTAACGTATAGTTATGTGACGTCATAACATTTAGGAAACTATGACGTCACCATACCAATGTGACAATGGACAAATAACTTACACCTTTACATTTAACTTAGGCGCATATTTATATGTATATGTGTGTGTGTGTGTGTGTGTGTGTGTGTGTGTGTGTGTGTGTGTGTGTGTGTGTGTGTGTGTGTGTGTGTGTGTGTGTGTGTGTGTGTGTGATGATCATCTAAACGATGCAAAATAAAGTGATACAATGATGAAATGTGTCTACATTACCTGTACATGGCTCCTTTACAGGGACTATAGATAACTGGCCAATGTAAGTTTTTCAAAAAGATATGTCACTGTATGTAGTGATTACAAGTACATTGATAAACACAGGATATTGCAAGTACAACCAGCTAGTTTACCTGTAGATTTTACCACGCTAAATTGAATTTGGAACAGAACGTGCAGCGTGAGGTTTCAAGTGTTAATTGAGCGCGGTTAAATCTACAGGTAACCTACCTCCACATTGAGAACACTATATGTTTCTCTCCATTCTACTATGGCTAAATAAAATGTGAACTCTTTGGTGTTAGCAATTACATTGAGCTCAAAATTCCAAGCTCTCTGTTGTCCTCAAAACTTAAAATACATTCTATTTGAAGATTTCTTTCGTGTTTTCTGCACAAAATGTATTGCCACACATTTTGTAACCTGTAATTGTAGATATAATTATTTAAATATGCCTACTGACAATGACTGAAATTAGCTCGCGGTGATGCGACAGTCAAAACAGCTGTTTAAATCAGAGGGGCTTTATTGTGATATAGTAGCCTCTGATTGACCAATCAGAAACGAGTAATTTCCTAATTCATGGTAGAATGCAATATATACTACTCAAAAGAAGATAAAGAACACACATTTTTTCATATGACTATAGGTATTCTGTTATGGTTGGTGGGTATTGCAACCCACAGCCCTTCAATTGGGGGTGTTCTGTAACTTCTTTTGAACAGCATAGGCCTATAAGAGATTCCACCAGCATGTCGCAATCAAAAAGAGAGTTAAATTAGTCTGTTTGTTTATTGTTTACCTGACTGCTCTGATGGGTTAGAGAAAAATATATTCAGCCATGATAACTGTCAACAATATATTCTCTGGCCATTGTAAACCCCCCATATTTAACTAGGCCTCAGGTAGGCCTTTGTCACAGGACACGGGAGTTATCCATGCTAGCTGGATGTGACTCAACTGTGGTGTTCACATCATGGCTGCGGAAGCAGAAATATTTTGGGTTCTAGCTCCATCAACGTTAAACAACAAAACCTACCCAATGATGAGCATGTCCTGTTGACATGATCATGAAGATGTGTGATAACATATGTACTGGTACAGCAAACTACATTTATAACGAACACGCTTTTAACGAACTGACCAATATAACAATCTGCTTTTTTTGTCCCGTCCATTCACTGTTTACATGCTTATAACGAACTATGGTAAAAACAAACTAAAATTGGTGGTCTCTCTGAGTTCGTTATAATCGTAGTTTACTGTAAACATATCAAATTAAATGAGATTCAGACATTTGACAATCTGTCATGATATAACGATTCACAATTGCACATTTGTAAAACAACACAAGAAACAAAAGTCCCCTCGACAAATACATCCCATTATCTTCCAACGATGGTCATAACAATGTGTTGAGGAAATGAAATACCTGTAACGCAACATGATAAAACTTCAAATGACAAACAAAGTTGTTTTAAATAAATAATTCCTTTTCATGAGCAGTAACAGGCAAGATTTACATATTCATGATTGTTACCCAAAACAACCAAATGTTAGAATAATCGAGTGACTTCCCCATTAAAATCGGGTAAATTATCAGAATGATCGAAATATAGCAGAATCTGTATGCACTGTCTGCCATGCACAGTGTGGGTGCAGACAAACGGTGCTGTTTCCACGTACATGCACACGATTGGCAATACACCTGGCCTGCCACCCAAGTATAGGGCAGCAAGCTGTACAGTGTCCCTTCACTTGCCAGATGAAGCTCACTTAGAGGATAAGCTATGAACAGCTATTTTCATTTGACATATGGATATAGGATGAATTCCCTGAAGCCTTGACCTCATCAGTTTCACAGGACTCTGGGTCGTAAATAGTCATCATCCACCTCTTCATCCATATTCCAGCGCACACAAACATCAAATTGCCAATGAATTTGTTGCCTACCATGAATATAGCTCACAGTCATGTAGCTGATACTGATGTCAAGTTTTCTTGTTGTAAAAAGTCTTGTATTTATTATAAAGAAAAATCAACATACAAAAGATGCATTAATTCCGCTGGCCAAATATGTTGACGTTTCTTGTTTCCCAAAGCGTGAAGTCCAGTGAGAAGAAAGGCCTCTGTGAAGGGTTCGATCAGCTGTGGTTCTCAGGGAGGCTGCTTTTCCAGTTTGTGATATATTCGTACAGCAGAAACACTATACATATGTTAGGGGTGACGTGCCACAGATAGACGCCAAGGCCTTTATACAGCCCTCGTATACCCTCGTACCTGGTGAAAATAAGCTACGTGCAACCACACATCTGACCAGGAGTACATGGAGTAATGGCATGCTAAAACAACTGGGAAAATGTTGGACCAATGGGATATCTAACGTATCATCTACCCAGAATGCAGCAGCACTGCAGCAACTAGTGAGTGAAAGTTCTTCAACAGTCAGCAATATTTCAGCTACGTAACAGTGACCTGTAAGTATGAGTCACTGGTTGAAAGCAAGAACACCAATTTTCTGAACAAGATTCGGTGACACAACCTTCCAAGTCAGAAATAATCACTAAGTCATTAATACTTGAATCTTACAACCATCTTCCCGAAGGTAAGGGAGTTAACTGACTATAGAGTCCAGTTTCCACCCTTGCCGAGCCAGGCTGGAACTCTGGAGTTATATTTTGGCTTCATTAACAAGTCTATGCATAGTATGATCAAAATCATGTAACGAACGAGACATTCAGTTTGTAAACAACATGGATTTCAACATGCAGATTTCATCCAACTGCAGGATTTGCAAAGCATGCGTACCATCGACTGGGCGTCGACAGACAATTTCCTATTTTTTTCATGTTTTTAATCAAGGTACTCAAGTGATTTGATGCACTTCGAGGTAAGACCTGTTTTATTACAATATGGATATTGATTATCGATGAGAGAATCTTGACAGGGTGCCACCATTTTGTTTGAAGCAAATGCAAGTGATATGAGAGTTGGAATCTGATTGGTCAAAAGGTGGAACATAGAAGGGTCCTAACTTGTCATAGCCACTGATGGTGCTATGATTGGGCCATGAAATTCCAGCCTAGTTCCGCAAGGGTTGAAACTGGACTTTTATAGTCAGTAAATTCCCTTGCCTTGGGAAGATGATGATTTAACAAGCTTATTAATATCTAAAATATTTGATATCTTTGTATACTTATTCCGCATTACATATACTGCAATCTCTTGCCACTGAGCTAAAATCAAAAACCCTAAAAGACATCGCTATCCCAGAGACTTCCATAAAACGAATAGCACAAACACACCCAACCACCAGGCATCACATGTCGCAAGCTGTACTTCCATGTAATGCAGGATAAGTTAAAAGTATGAGTTACTTGGGACCATCTAAAGTAACCATGGTAACGGTCAGTGGCTGTCTAAGCCTTATACCCATATGAACCTAAGTAAAGCATGTATACTTAGACATTCGTACTTGCTACACAACTGACTTGGAAACAAAACACAGCACACCCAGTAAAGTAGTAAACAAAATACTTACTTGAATATCTGTCGGATTATATCTCGTATGCCTCCATACTCTCTGTGCTGGTCCTGTATGCGAGACCGGAGGACTTGGTAGGGATATGTAGTTGAAGCAGCAAACATCTTAGACAAGGCAGCAAATACAACATATTCAGCAGAGCCCTGGGGATTAAAGACACAACTTCACATCTTTCATCAAGTCTTCAAATGCATTCTCATTCATTTAGAAAAAAATTAAATAGCAAAAGGCGCCAGTTCAGCTGTATACAATGCATATGCCAAGTTTTCAAGTTATCATGGTTATTGCTTGGAACAGGATCGGATGGCAATGCCAATGAGAACCAAGCCAAGAACAATTCATCTACCCTCCCTCTGCGGGGAGACATAATGAAATAAGATATATAGAGAATACTACACTCATTCTTGTTAGATACCATTTTTACGAGACAAGTAGACTTTCTATGGTATCTGACCAAAAGCTGACCATGTACTCTGATGTCGATCATGTCTGTGTCGAGGTGATGTTGTGTGACGTCGACCATGTCAATGTAGAGGTGATGTTGTGTGACGTCGACCATGTCTGTGTAGAGATGATGTTGTGTGACATCGACCATGTCTGTGTAGAGGTGATGTTGTGTGACATCAACCATGTCTGTGTAGAGGTGATGTTGTGTGACATCGACCATGTCTGTGTAGAGGTGATGTTGTGTGACGTCGACCATGTCTGTGTAGAGGTGATGTTGTGTGACATCGACCATGTCTGTGTAGAGGTGATGTTGTGTGACATCGACCATGTCTGTGTAGAGGTGATGTTGTGTGACATCAACCATGTCTGTGTAGAGGTGATGTTGTGTGACATCGACCATGTCTGTGTAGAGGTGATGTTGTGTGACGTCGACCATGTCTGTGTAGAGGTGATGTTGTGTGACGTCGACCATGTCTGTGTAGAGGTGATGTTGTGTGACGTCGACCATGTCTGTGTAGAGGTGATGTTGTGTGACATCGACCATGTCTGTGTAGAGGTGATGTTGTGTGACATCGACCATGTCTGTGTAGAGGTGATGTTGTGTGACATCGACCATGTCTGTGTAGAGGTGATGTTGTGTGACATCGACCATGTCTGTGTAGAGGTGATGTTGTGTGACGTCGACCATGTCTGTGTAGAGGTGATGTTGTGTGACATCGACCATGTCTGTGTAGAGGTGATGTTGTGTGACGTCGACCATGTCCATGTGGAGGTGATGTTGTGTGACGTCGACCATGTCTGTGTAGAGGTGATGTTGTGTGACGTCGACCATGTCTGTGTAGAGGTGATGTTGTGTGACGTCGACCATGTCTGTGTAGAGGTGATGTTGTGTGACATCGACCATGTCTGTGTAGAGGTGATGTTGTGTGACGTCAACCATGTCTGTGTTGAGGTGAGGTGAGGTGAAATGGGGTTTAACGTCGTGTCCAAGATTATTGCACTTATATATAGCGACGTGCATGCACGTGTGTGTGTGTGTGGCTGCTTGTACTAGTCCGGACTGATGCCGATTTATAGTGCTAGCTCACTGAGATACCATGCCGCAGTTTAACATGAATACCCCACTCAGACACAGTATACTGACTCCGAGCCGACCTGTTCTTGTTTTAGCCCCTTAATGCCGAGCGCCAGACAGGGTAACAACAAGTACCAACTTTTAACGTCTTTTGGTATGACGCGGTCGGGGATCGAACCCCAGACCTTCCTCTCTCCGGGCGGACGCTCTACCACTAGACTACGGAGGCGGTTTGTGTAGAGGTGATGTTGTGTGACGTCGACCATGTCTGTGTAGAGGTGATGTTGTGTGATGTCGACCATTTACATCAGTCTTTGCTGAATAAGGTATTTGGTAAGGATCTGGGGTGGGAATAGGTCCACAGAATCCTACAGTTGTAACGGACCAGGTGGCTGAACAGATCAACGAGTCGTTCACTTGTCATCATACCCATCCTAATAGCATGGGATATTGTTCATGATATCATTCACTGTTTTGTCAAGTCCAGACTTGATATAAGCTGCAGTAATATAGATGGAATATTGTGGACAGACAACAAACAATCAAACCTGGTAAATGAAAGACAAATGTTAATGCTAGTTCCTGCATGAAGGCTTACCAGTCGCGTGTCGTTGGCTTGATTCCTGTAAGTGTTGTATACTGTCTTCATCTCCTCATAGGCCATGAACTGAAGAGCACCATGGGAGATCCCAAACACACCAGGCACAAAGCCCTGTAAATCAGATGACACGAGTCAAACATTTTCATTATATGTACATCCATACTTGCAATAGCATTACAATAGGAACAAACACTATTGCCATGCTTGTGCAATAGTAGTGTAACAATGGCAATAATCTTAGGATAGTACGATTTACCTCCCAAAATGAACATTTCCTTAGTTCAGCAGGTTGCAAGGGATGTTCTGATTATTATCTGATATGAATATATGTACATGCTGTGAATGAACACCCATATTCATTCAAACAGCATATTTTGGATACAAACAAATGCAAAAATAACTGATTATCAATATCTAGTCAATTTATTATACGTAAACTATCAAATGTAGCATGATCGCTGTAATGATCCATATCTGAACTCATGAATGATGTATTTCCTAATTTTAAAGTCCATAGATAGTTCAGTGATTGTTACACTTCACACCCCATTACTACGCTGCATGCATATTTTGAAAGTTACACTCTGCATGCATATGGCATCCATATATCTTGAATAGATGCAGAAACATACCTTGTAAAGACCCCTAATGCCCTCAAACTTATAGATCTTGAAAAGGGCATCGGCCATTCCCTTGTAGTGCACACTGGACGTGGGTGCACCTGGCTTGTCATACTGCAGGCACAGGCGGGTCTTGGTCACCCAGATAGGGTTAGTCAACACCAGGGTGGTGAATCCTACAACACACAGCCCAACATCAACCCACTACAGTCACCTAGATAGGGTTAGTCAACACCAGGGTGGTGAATCCTACAACACACAGCCCACTACAGTCACCTAGATAGGGTTAGTCAACACCAAGGTGGTGAATCCTACAATACACAGCCCACTACAGTCACCCAGATAGGGTTTGTCAACACCAGGGTGGTGAATCCTACAACACACAGCCCACTACAGTCACCTAGATAGGGTTAGTCAACACCAGGGTGGTGAATCCTACAACACACAGCCCACTACAGTCACCTAGATAGGGTTAGTCAACACCGGAGTAGTGAATCCTACAACACACAGCCCAACATCAGCCCACTACAGTCACCTAGATAGGGTTCGTCAACACCGGAGTGGTGAATCCTACAACACACAGCCCACTACAGTCACCAAGATAGGGTGAGTCAACACTGGCGTGGTGAATCCTACAACACACAGCCCACTACAGTCACCTAGATCATGTAGATAGGGTTAGTCAACACCAGGGTGGTGAATCCTACAACACACAGCCTACTACAGTCACCCAGATAGGGTTTGTCAACACCAGAGTGGTGAATCCTACAACAGCCCAACATCAGCCCACTACAGTCAGCACTGAGTACATGGATGAAAGCATTCTTGTTTCATTTTCACTAGTCGACCCCTGGACCCCCCTGGATCCGCCTATGTCAGTAAACATAGTGGAGATATTATGTGGTCACAAAAGTAACACATATTCAACATGTCCAACTAACTTACTAAGAAGAGCATTGAGCTTTTTCCTTTGTTTGTCTTGTGCTACAGTTAGCAATATTTCTGCAATGTTCATGGTGTCTGTAACAAGGGTATATAAGCACATCTAGCCACACCAGTTCTTGTTATCATGGTAATGTCCCATGTCATCGGTTCATCCCCAGACCGGTGGTGTGCACACTCCAGAGCAGTGAGGACCATCATGACATAGCATTACACTGCTACAAGCTAACTTGCATATCATGTGATAGACATTTCTTTCATATGCACTCAAATGCACTTTTTCTGAAATCAAAGCAGCCCAGCCTACTGAAAGCCATTCAACATGTTCAATGCAATTTGCAGATTGTTTTGCATAATCACAAAAATATACTACCATAACTGCGACATGGAAGTGTATGACTATATCTTGACACATCAAAGTATCCTGGCATTGCCCATTATCCAAAGGTATTTGAGGTCTGCATTCGGAACCATATAACCATTGTAAACAAAATTGTTGGCATGTTGGGAACTAGTTTTTCACATAGGATATTCTCTCAATGAACAATTTCATGAAATATATTTATCTAAAGGAATGAAACAGATGAAAAACATTGTAATTTTGTTGGATGGGCTGCATACCATAGTACCTCGGCCACAAGCCAACGAGATGTGGGTAATCCTCACATGTCGCCGACTTGTGGCAGAGGCACTTGGTCCATCGCAAGGACGTCTGGGTGGGAGTGTGATGTTTGAGCACTGGCACCTATGTCACAGACAGAATGTGTGTTTACCTGCGCCAGTGGCTGCCATGATGTGACAGCCAGGTCCCAGGTTGCGCTTGGAGTCTCCCTCATTCATCTTAGTTTTGATGGAGTTGTAGCTGAAACAGTAGTTCTCGTGGTTAACAATCTCATACATGGTACAAACATAAACATAACCTGATTACAAATAATGTGATGTCTTTTACTGAGCATGCCAAGTAGTTGTCAAGCTGAACAAGTGAGAATGAATGTTGCTTAACACCACAGTCAGTAATACTACAGCTATGTCATGGCGGCCTGTGAGCAATAAAGAGTCTGGACCAGACAAACCAGTGATAGAAAGCAAGAGTAACTGTCCCTATCATCTGGACATGACACACGATCAGCCAAGTTGCGGAGTTGGACTACCCAATGAATTGTCAGCCTTCAGGTTTCTAATGCTATTCCAGAGGACTTGTTGAAACAGTATTTCACTAGTCCTCAGAGTTTGTAGCTTGTGCGGCTTGAACGAGACAAAAATGTTTACTATGGTCACATTTTCTGTCAGTTTCATTCAGTTCCAAGTTGGAGAAAAACTGAAGCACTGACAACTAGTTCAGAATTATAGCCCTCAAATACTACTAGTCAACTAGCATCATTGGAGTTTTGCTTTTGCTTGAGTAGTCCCATGTTGGCAGACTAGCATGAATTTCAATGCTGATATATATACAGGACATTGTTCAAAATTAAGCATGAACAATGATGATCATGATGGAAGTTGAGGGGTTGTTGCCGTAACCATGACGATAACCTTAAATTTAAAAGTTAAAGGTTTGGGGGGTCCCTAAACATGATAGTTACAAATACCATAAGAGAATATTTTGCTTTGTTTGTTGTTTAACGCCACACTCGGTAATATTCCAGCTATGACGGCAGGCTGTAAATAATTTAGTCTGGACCAGACAATCCAGTTATTGATACCATCGGCATCTATCTACACAATTGGGATACGAATGACATGCATCAAGTCAGTGGGTCTGACCATCCAAAATGTGTTAGTCGCCTCTTACGAGGAAGTTGAAGAAAGCAATTTTAACCGGAATCTTCACAGGCCATGGCTTGTGGGAGTATATAACTGCTGGTGAAACTTACAAGAAGAAGTACAATCCCCAGGACATGCCAGCACCCCAGATGTTGGGTGTGACTCCCTGATAGAGGCCCACAAAACCATCACTTCTAGCTATACTGCGCAATGCATGGACAATTCCATTGTACTTCGGTCTTTTAGTCACACCATAACCTTCGTTTACTGAAAACAGACAGAGAAATGAACATGACAATAAAATCAGAATTAACATGATCATATAACTATCAGCCAACTGAACATCATGATTCAATCATGCTCATTTAAAACATCATAAAGATGTGAAGGGCCTACCTTTAGGATACAGTACCACAAACTTTTCAAACACGTGACAATATTCTATGATGTAATTTGTAGTATTTTGTTGCCAGTCACACCGTCAGGGGTCATTGAGTGTGCATAAGCTCCTCCCAGTGATCTGTCATCTCTACATGCAATGTCATTGAATACGCCCAGCGGTGTTGAGAGTTTTTAATATTTGTTTACTAAATATAGCCTGTGGCGGCACATTTTAGAGCAAGCACTAGTTTACGAAAGCACTTGTATTTTTTATATATTTTTTATTTTCACGTAATTCAAGTGGCTAAAATGGTTATAATATACATATTTATAATTTTTTTGGTTCATTAATTTTCATTATTATGCACAAGAATGCAGTTTATTAGGGATATTATATTGGAGTGAACACATCCAAATGTCGCCAGTGTTAGGGAAGGTTGGCCCGAACCCTATCCTGAGCCCTTGGATCCCCTTTACGATCAGTCACCCCTTAACAATCATTAGGGTTAGGTACCTGTTTAGTGGCTATTATAGATTCTATAGCAGCTCTTAATATTCTCCGTACAAAAACGTCGAGTAGAAAGGATGAAATGGTTCGAGTTCGACGTCTGACGCCTGGAGCCATTTTTAATTCGCGCCATATCGGGTCATTCCTCACCACTCGGTATCTTGTAGATTACGGAATGATATGAGTGTGCCAAATGGCATTGGGATCATTTGTAAGTGTCCGTAGACTAAAGTCATGATACACCATGCCTACCCATAACCTTCGTAAATGTCCGTCACCTATTCGACCCTTTTCATTCAGTTCCGTCACAGACATGACCAGGTAAATTTGCACTTAGCTTCACAGTGTGGATGTACCTTAGTCGGCTAGCTGTCAGGCTAACAATTCAAAGGTCGCGAGTTCGCGTCCGACGGATTCTCACAAAAACTGGTTGCTTTGAGACATGTGACCTATGGCAGATATCGTCGTCACGAGAAGTTGTGGTACTATATTCTAAAGGAGCTCCAATGTGAAGCTTTAAACATGTTAAACATGATAAATATCTCCTCCACCATGCCCACAACTTATGGGAAGAGGTGAAATGGGATTTAACATCACATTCAAGATTATTTCACTTACATAGCAATGTGCACATACTTTTTATAGTGCTAGCCCACTGAGATACCATGCAGCATATTAACATGGATACCCCACTAAAAAACAATACACTGGCTCCAAGCTGAGACCTTGTGTTATCCCCAAAACAACATAGTAACAACAAGTACCATCCTTCAACATCTTTAGCTAGGCGTGGCTGGGGATCGAACCCCTGACTTTCAGCTCTTTCTATCATGTTCTATGTGCTCTATCCACAAGACGACAGAGGCGGACAGAAGTACGATGAAACAGTTGTGTCAATTTTAAGAAATGCAGAGTACATGGTAAAGACCTAAAAAAGAAATAAACGATGTCACTTTCCTTGTGGCCGATTGGAACTCTATATAATATTGACTGTAATGTCCGACGTGTGATGATGCAATCTTTCCCAAATTCTCTGCATTCGGGTAATAGTGGTACATTAATGTGTCTGCTTATTTTGGATGTCTTGTTTAATTTAAAAAATTACTTGCCTTGAAATCTGATTTTAACCAAGTCCAGAGGATGAAGTACCAGCGTGGAAACCACCCCACCAGAGATTCCAGCCACCAAATATTCCCATTTGATGTTTCTGACCATCGAGTAGAGGCGCGACGACCCAGTATCCGTTTCTACCGATGGTCTGGCCATGCTGTATAGTTTATTAAACAACAAAAATACGTTTTGTTAAATACTGTAAATCAATCAAAATATTAATCCTTGGAAACCAAGGATTTTGTGTTCGTCAACTGCCACCCGTGTTTGTGCCGACGGCCATCTTTGTCAGTAATAACGAATGCATAAATAAAATTACAATAACAGAAGTATATTATATGTATATCAGACCAGATTTCATTACACACTAACAAGTATACTATATAGAAACATAAAAATGAAATCAATGAACCTTTAATTTCATAAAACGTTTAAAGGATCCATACACTTATTTTATAGTTTATCCCTTAGTATTAAATAAAACGATCTCGTTGTAACATATAACCTCGTGAGAAATTGCGAGAACTCCTGTTGTATTTTCTTAAGAACTCCTATTTATGGTAGAATGTAATTTGTGTTATACTGATGAAATCATAATATCTTCTTCATTTTGATATACCTTTATATTTTAAAAATGAAGCGTTATATACTGATTATTTATTACAGTGAACGTTTATCGTTTTGAATATAAGTTTGTATTCCGTTAAACTACTTAATAAAATAAGCTATAAGTATAAACGATGCACTATTTCAGTGTGTCACATGATCACATTAGCAGATGATAACCTTGATGTTCTCAAAGTGATCTTCATTTTAAGTGCCAGATAATTTCTTATATACTGCGACAACTGTTTTCTAGAGCCACCAAAAATAATGGCTGGCATTGAGAGTTTCGGTAATGTTATTTCAAATATAGAAGATCTGGAGAAAGGTAAATGCAATTGTCATCTTGTCAGAAAATATGTCTCATTGAAAAAATACATTCATACGGACATGTATCAGGATATACTATATAGCCTGTTTGAGAGTCGTGTCCGATATAAGAAACTTGAAACGTATTAATATTCATGAAACATAAATCTTGTAATTATTGGGAGGTATTGTTTTGTGTGCGGTCAGATCATAATGTTAATACTGTAACATACCCCCATCATGTATGTTTTTCACAAGATTACCATCATAATCATGCACCCTCGCAATCATCATGATCATAGGGTCTATGGTGCCATATGTATAATATCCTGATAACATTTAATTACAACACTCTGTACAGCCAACATGAATGTATACTTAATATGTGAACACAGTATTTACTCATTGCGAACAATATAAACATAGGTATAATACTGTATGATAGTACACTCGTATTAAGGGGTTTTCAGACATTTAAGAAACATTCATAGCTTTATTGCTAATTACATGAATAACTGTAAAACATCTCACTCGTCAAAAGAAGTCAATTTATCTTAAAAATGGCCTACCTTTAGAATACAGTACCACAAACTTTTCAAACACGTGACAATACCCTATGACATAATTTGTGGTATTTTGTTGCCAGTCACACCGGCAAAACAATGCCCTGTGACGTCAGGGGTCATTGAGTGTGCATAAGCTCCTCACAGTGATCTATCATCTCTACACGCAATGTGATTGAATACACCCAACGGTGTTGAGAGTTTTGAATATTTGTTTACTAAATATAGCCTGCGGCGGCACATTTTATTGCAAGCGCTAGTTTACGAAAGCACTTTTATTTTTTATTTATTTTTTATTTCGTTTTTTCTCGTAATTCAAGTGGCTAAAATGGATATAAATGGGAACTAATATACATATATTATTTTTTCGGTTCATTAATTTTCATTATTGTGCACCAGAATGCAGTTTATTGGGGATATTAAATTGGCGCTGAACACATCAAAATGTCGCCAGTGTTAGGGTAGGCTACCCCAAACTCTATCCTTAGCCCTTGGATCCCCTTACGATCAATCACCCCTTTACGATCATTAGGGTTAGGTACCTGTTTAGTGGCTATTATAGATTCTATAGCAGCGCCTAATATTCTTCACACAAAAGCGTCGAGTAAATAGAATGAAATGGTTTTGTGTCAAATATTTTGGCTACTGGAAACTGTCCTTGGACATTCACACAAGCCACTTTCACCGGCTACATTTTTTCAGTACTGATTCAAAAGTGAACTCACCGTTGTGTCGTCACTAGCCATGCTCATGCTTCCCTCGTTCCTTACTATTATCCACATCATCGTTACAGTGTTCACTACCACACTTTTCTGTCACAAAATCCACTCAACGAATTATTAAATACCATGTCATTCATGCGTACCCGCGAGTTCGAATCTGACGTCTAATGCCTGGAGCCGTTTTCACTTCGCGCCATATCGCCTCATTCCTCACCACTCGGTATCTTGGCATTGGGATCATTCGTAAGTGTCTGTAAAGTCATGAGACGCCATGCCTACCCGTAACCTCCGTAAGTGTCCGTCACCTATTCGACCCTTTTCGCTCAGTTCCGTAACGTCGTAGGCATGACCAGGTAACTTTGCACTTAGTTTCACATTGTGGACGTAGCTCACTCAGTAAGCTGTCAGGCTAACAATCATAAGGTCGCGAGTTCGCGTCTGACGGATTCTCCCAAAAACTGGTTGCTTGTCTTTGAGACATGTGACCTATGGCAGAGATCGTCCTCACGAGAAGTAGTGGTACTGTATTCTAAAGGTGCTTCTTAAAAATATGCTATCACCTGAGTATCTACAACGTCACGCTCCTCGTTGAGGCGTGAGAAATTGTGATAAACATGTCCATCCGGAAACGGACGATGTCAGAAAACATATAATCTGATGATTAACAGAATCAGAAGTCATCCTTTCAGCATTTATAGGGTCAAGAACTTTTATTTCAGTATCGAACAGAACATGTAGGTCATTGACATGCTTGGCATAGTCAGTATTACTCAGTAGATGACTTCAGTCTTATTTACATTTATGTACAATTCAAAACAGGAAACATGAATTTATGTAGCATCTGTGAACACAGTGTTTACTCATTGTAAGTATGATAGCGTATTTAAGCTCCAGGAACTTTAGCTGTTGAGTCATTGTTTGTAGAATTAACACCTAATATCAGGCTTAAACATCACCTGGCAAAGAAAATAGTGTAAAAAGAAGCTGTTATGTTCTAATAAGAACCTCCAAACACTCGATTACCATTCTGAAACTCTATGGTGTCTGTACATTACCATTGGAAGCATGTTTAGTTGTTTATGTACGTACAAACTCCTACAATATAAGAGATATAGGAAGGACCAATTTTCTTTTACTTAACATGCTTTAGCATTTAGTTTAGTGACCAATGATTATGGCTGAACATTTATTGTGTATTTTTATAGATAGTAGAAACAATCTACATGGCAAAATGTCTATGGACACTAAAGTTACATGTTTAGAAGATTTGTTTTGTAGCATGAATCGTAAGTTTTGCAAGTATTTTGGCTTGGGATTTTGATTGATGACACTTTGCTTTTTCATCATGTTTAAAATATGGCTGTATTAGAGGAATAGTGGCACTGACCTTCATAGATGGAGCATGACAGGTTTCCAACCATGTATTATGGTTCTGTTCTGATCTTCAAAACCTTCCAAATGGCATGCTGGTTTTCTTGGGGGAATTAGTCAGCAAAGAGTCAGAGTCACAGGAGACAAATTACAATTTTATTTGCAAGAACAATGGACAATTTACAATATCTTAAAATATAGCTGAGGTCTGCTTGGTTAGAGCAACAAACCCCTTCTGCTTAGCATTTTGCTTCTGTATGTATTTAACAAAAATTAGAACAATAAAAAGGAATATGATACACAATGAGGTGTGCCCTACAGTTAATGATCTTATCTTTGAAATTTAGCTGTTAAGATAAGGCTTAACAAAGATCATTTCGAAAATCTGGACCTTGTACCTGCATGCAGTTATATCATTACCAGTAGCTTAGTAATTGTTTGATTTTCTCTTATCTAACTTCCAGGAGCAGGAAAAGGCTTTGGTGAGCATGGCAACATGATGCAATATGATAGTTAACACATATCAGTATGTCCTATGAGGTATAACAACAGTAGTTCTTATCTACTCACCATACATCAGTGCCGTGATATATGTTAATCTGTTTTCATAGTAGAGAGTTTGTGAAAGGGAAGGTGTGTAAGAATCAAAGAACAAGTACTAGTCTAGTCCCTCTTGCACTGGTAGCTGCACCCTTGTATTTCAAGATTTATTTTTAAGTTAAACTAAATTTGAGTTTTGTGCTTAATCATTATCATGATTATGCACCTGCACTTTGTTTTCAAATGCCATTATGCTAAAATAAAAAGGGAAATGTTTCTCGGGCACTGGTGCATACCTTTTTTTCCTGCATGTCAGTCATTTTTATTGCCATTAAATTACATACTTTTCGAATTCCCCACATTGTATGATGCAGAGTTACTCATGCTTGAAACTGACATTGTATTGAAGAGCCGAGTTCGATATGTGCCCACTTGTTTGTTTAGTTTGTATTCTAGTAGGATCATAGCAAAGGTATTACTCCCTCACCATGTTTGTCTTCAACACAAAAATATATAAAAGTTCTACTACCTCTCTCATCTCATTCAGTGAAATGTGCCCGAGAAACATTTTCCTCTGCAGCATTATCAGTCTTTTTGTAAGATGTATTTGGATGAAGAGGCATTTTGTCCGTACAATGCAGAGATGGTCGGCCAGAATATATGTTTGACATATCTCCCTCATACACCAATTGAATGAGGTCAGTAGTCACCCTATTATGTCATATTCTGGGTCGGGGGCACGGCTGGCCCAGTCGTCTAAGGCGCCGCGATTCGCTGTGCAGAGTTGCGTCCCTTGGGCACGCCAGAAACCTATGATTGTGGGTTCGAATCCTGGTTCGCCCCGATTATGTTTCTAGGTTTGTCAGCACCATACCCGTGGTCGTGGGTTTCACCGAAGTGGTAAACGTCTAAGATCTGCATCACTTCGGGCTTTCCTCCCACATTAAGCTATTACGCCGCGATATAACTGGAATAATGTTCAAAGCGGCGTTAAACCCAACTCACTCACTCACTCACTCATATTCTGGGTCACCTAGGTTGACTGAATTCATCCATTCTAAGTCAATCAGTCGACTATTTTGCTGAAAAATGTATGTGACTTTGTGAAGTGACACTGATCATGTGATGTGGACTGCATGTGTGCATGTTTCTGTACGAATGAAACTGTTCAATCTGTGGACCCCATAATACTGCATGACTGAAATGTATATATCTGTTCTTATCTGTACGTGTTGTGTGCTCACGAACAACATGATGGGCCAGGGAGATGAAGCATTCAAATTGCTTCAGACACGATTTCAGACAATGCTTCTGGACACTTTCCTCATGGCGAAAGGAAATAGTATAATCATAAGTGTAGGTTATATTGATAGGTTGGAATGAAGATATGTCCTCGAAAAGTATGTACATTGTTGAAATTTGCTGTAAAAAATTGATATATTTGTACAAATTTAGATGACAGCCAAAATTTAAAACTTTCATTTACTTTTGTAATTTTCAAAATGGTCCTCTATAACTGTTATATGGTTAATATATTATGCTTAGTGTGAGGTAAAGAAACATTCCATGAATTGGCCATAACACAACCAGGTGGTGCCTCTTACATGAGTCACAGGGATCAGATTATTAGGACGCATGTACTACTCTACTATTAGACAGACCATGAGACTCGTGAAGATCGGGGTAGAGAATTGGTCTTCAGCAACCCATGCTTGCCATAAGAGGCGACTATGCTTGTCGTAAGAGGCGACTAACGGGATTGGGTGGTCAGGCTCGCTGACTTGGTCATATCCCAATTGCATGGATCGATTCTCATGATGTCAATCACTGGATTGTTAAGTCCAGACTCTACTATTTACAGACCGCCGCCATAAAGCTGGAATATTGCTGAGAGCTGCGTTAAACAACAAACAAACAAACAAACAAACAAACAATGGGAATGTTATTCCATGTCCAGATGGGTGTTGAGGAAACTATAGAAGTTAGATTAATAGGTTTTAGTAAACATGGTAAACAAGTATTGTTTTTATGTGTAAATGCATATGTGGTGTCACACCTGATGTGTGCCTGATACATTGACTGGAGTGCTTGTATGTAGAGCTCTGATGCATGCACTGTGTATAGCGTAGTGAGCTCTGATGCATGCACTGTGTATAGGGGGGCACGGGTGGCCCAGTCGTCTAAGGCACCGCAATTCGCTGTGCAGAGTTGTGTCCCTTGGGCATGCCAGAAACCTATGATTGTGGGTTCGAATCCCGGTTCGCCCCGATTATGTTTCTAGGTTTGTCAGCACTGTACCCGTGCTCGTGGGTTTCACCGAAGTGGTAAACGTCTGAGACCTGCATCACTTCGGGCTTTCCTCCCACATTAAGCTGACACGCAGTGATATAACTGGAATACTGTTAAAACCGACGTTAAACCCAACTCACTCACTCACTGTGAATAGTGTACTGAGCTCTGATGCATGCACTGTGTATAGTGTAGTGAGCTCTGATGCATGCACTGTGTATAGCATAGTGAGCTCTGATGCATGCACTGTGTATAGTGTTGTAAGCTCTGATGCATGCACTGTGTATAGTGTAGTGAGCTCTGATGCATGCACTGTGTATAGTGTAGTGAGCTCTGATGCATGCACTGTATGGTGTACTCTGATGCATCAAGTATTAGTACTGTACGAACACTTGCTGGATATACAACCGTCCTATGCAGAGACAGGCACATACTAATATTGTCACTGCAAGCTTCATGTTAACTAACACATAAAATATACCTCCAACTAATATAACACTGTATTATCCTAATGTAACCAAGTCACACATATCACTTTGAGATACATGCACATATTTATCCATGAATTTGACTCAAAATCTGTGTAGGCACCTCAAATGGAGACCTTTTATGGTGAAAAACTTGTATTTACCAGGTAAGACTATTTTACTTAGAAATAATGAATTTAAACAGCCCCAGAGAAAGCCTAGGTAAATCTGTGCATGTTCTCTGTATTTTGATTTCACTTTGTAATTGTTGAAGAAAGGCCACTATCAGTGTTTCTCACAAAGCCAGTTTGACGAGCCAGCTGTTGTAGTGATTGTTTGTTTCTACACTGATGACCATACCGCGATGACCATGTTTGCCTGACAACATGGCTGTGTGGCCTCGTGGCTGGCCATATCAACCAGTCATCTGTCACACTTATATCAAACCATGCCAAGCGTAGTTATGTAGCAGGATATAATATCTATTGTTTCTTATTCCAAGTTTTAATATATTTTTTTAAGTACCAATAGAAAGAACATAGGAAATCATTTTTTTTCTTAGGAAATTGTTAATAATTTTGGTAAAACTTATTTTTTAAAGTTATTATTTTTTATTATCTACTACTCCACTTTTGATAGGGATATTTTATACTCTCCTTGACACAAACTAAATCTCATAGTATGTCAAGTGTATATTTAAATATAATTACATACCGTATTTGACATAATAAGCGCCCAGGGCGCTCTCAAAATTAGAAATAGGGGGCTCTTATTAGAATATTATTTTGGTGAAAAACAACAGGGTTAAAAGATCATAAATTTCGTGGTTAATGCTGACAGCCTGAAACGTTTATATACGACATGTATTTTTCCAGAATCTAATTTCCCACAATTAAGGATGCATATAACACACGTATTATACACAAATAAATAAGTCTTGTGTACATTGATCAATCAGAAGATTGTTCACTAGCCAATATATTAGCAAATATCGCCGTGGGCGCTTATTAGAGCGGGGTGCATATTACGTCGAATACGGTATCTGTTTATCCCTGTCAAAAGTTGAGTAGTATATTTACCGAGAAAAGTGTATATGTTGCAGTATTACACATGTGAACAAACATTCCAATATGTCTGTGTAGTGTAACATGCTAAAATTTCATAGTGGATGGTTGTGCAAGGAGGTCTGCCTGCACTGTGTTGGGGTTCCACTCCACATCGATGAAGTCTATCAACAGATACTTTCCTCCCACACTACAACGGTTTAAACTGAAATGCTGTGTAAATCAGCATTAACCAAACACACACATTAATGAAATACCCTTCAAGAACCTTTCTTGTCAAAAGATGACCCCCTCTCATTAGTGGATGGGGCATCCAATACCAAAAGACGCTAAGATGCTACTTTTTGTTACCTTGCCTTGTACTCTAAATTAAAGGGATAATACTCAGAGTCGTTGTCTGAGTAGGGTATACATATTAAACTGTAGCATGATATCTAGTACTATTAAACCAGCATTAGTCCGGGCTAGTACAAGTAGTCCTACACAGGCATGCACACATGCTCGCTCTCTCGCTGACAGACACACACCACTCACACAAGCACACACGTGCAAATCACAATATAAGTGCAATGATCTTGAATGCAACATTTAACCCCATTTCACCACACCCACCGTGTTAAAAGACAACAATACCAAAAGAAATTAAGTTGTCATGGAATATCAATGATCTCACAAACACAGAGGCATCTATAAAGAAACGGTTATCATTGGACATCCAATGACACGAGCTGTGTCATGGATAGATCTCTGAATGCTTAATAATCAGTACAGTTGTAATAACAGTATGATGGTCAACTCGGTCAGTGGCAGACATGTTTGTATATACAGGACTGTGTGTGGGGTGATTTCTCATGCTACTGCTCTGTAGAGTGGTGCTGACAGTGAAGCATTGTATCATTCAGGTGCACAAGTAGCCACCAGTCTTCTACAAGAAAGAGCCAACGATGTCCGAGCCAACAGAGTCAACTGGCAGTCGTACCTACAGTGAGTTGTTACTGGGTTGGGGTCGGGTACTCAGTCTGGGTGGGTACTGAGTAGAGTCAGGGTATCCAGATGACTACCCGGACCCGTGGTTAGTCACATAATATATTTTTTAATGACGAAAATAACCTACATTTACACTACAAATTGCTTATATTGGCTTTTCTTTCAGACAGTGCACGCACAGCTTCTGACTTATATATGTTTGAATAAAGATGAAGCTTCTGTCTTCAGAAGTGTATATGTAATCAGATACTTTTATAGTGTAGGAGAGTAAGTCTAAACACTATTTGTCAGAGTTCCGTTCAAATTCTCAATCGGACATTTTGTACTTATCTCTTGCGACCTACAGTGGGTACCTGGGTAGGGTCGGATAATAGGGATCGGGTACCCAGGTAGTAACTTTTGACTTGTCCCAATACTAGTTGTTACATACCCCTCAGGTGACCAACGACAAGGTTTCCCTGAGTTTCTGGAAACTGGGAGTGGTCACTGCACAATTTAGAGAGACCTGCTTGAATTGAACTTTTCATCTACAGGAAATCATACACAACAAATAACTTCAAACAAGACATGGTTTTGTTTCATCCCTGCCTTTGAACATGTTCAAGAATGTTCAGTTCATTGAAGCAGATTATAGTTTAAAAAGTCCTGTTTCAGTCCATGTATGTTTCTCTAGGAAATGTCTGGATGTACTGACCAATAATAATATGTTGCATAAAAATATACCAATTACCATTTGGATGAAAAATATATCTTGGCATTCTGTATGTATATTCTGCCCTACTCTCTTGTTTCAGTAGATTTTACCATGAGCTGTCATAGACTCGACTTAGACCAAAAGAAATTTAACTAGACCATGTAGACTCTTGTCTTTGTTCTTGTGGTTGAATGTGAAAGATTGATAAGTATTGAATTTAGTCCGAATTCAACCCTAAGGAAGAGAATATATGGATGTCAACTTCTTTATCATGTTTATAATGAGGAACACAACGTTTCTAAATGCCTTTCAAAGACCTATTTCAACCCTGTGTGGCTTCTGGATCAGAATAGATCCCCAGTATCCAACTTGCCCAATGCTTGTCACAAGTGTCAAATATTGTTTGATATCAAATCTGGACCATCTCAACTGGCCCACTAATGGTTGTCTTTTGTTGTGTGAAGAGGCCAGATGATCTCCCCGGAGGTGTATAACTTCATCTCTAAGTTTGACATGGCGAAATTGGAGGTCCGGACGGCCATGCTGCAGGAAAACCCACAACAGGTACACACAGACAGGGACAGGCCATCGCCATACCAATACATGTTGAAAGATACTACTTGATGTCATCCTGCCTGCCGCTTGTCATTAAGGGGCTAAAACAAGGACTGATGAGCTCAGTCAGTATACCGTGTCTGATTGGCGTATGCATGTTAAATTGTGGCACTATAAAATCAGCAAAATTCTGGACTAGTACAAGCTGCCACACACTAGTGTACATGCATGTCACTCACTATATGAGTGAAATAATCTTGAATGTGATGTGACATTGAGCCCCATTTCACCTCACCTCATTTATCTACAGCAGCATATATAACCTGTTGACGTAAACAGTTTGACTCAGTCGGAGGGAAAAACATTGCAAGCTACTTGCCCAAAATGGTATTTTGGCATCACTTTCAGGAGATGTTAGTGTTAATATAAATAAATGGACTATTATTAGCTGAGCCTACTAGATTGAAAGGAATTTTACTAGATTCACATTTTGAGAAAATGGTAAAGTAGCGATCAGTGAAAATTGTGTTCTTGTCTTTTTGTTTTGGTCACATGGTAGGATTCCTGTTGAGATGATTTGATGTGAGGTGAGATTATTGTGATGATTTTGTCTGTACCTTATACTGAAGTGCATGTATATATGTTGCCAGTTTGCGGCGACATTCTACAGCCTGATCAACCAGATTGCCAAGGACCAAACACTGGAGTACATTCTCACCATGCTGGACGATGCCCTGCAGGTATAGAAATCTGAAAGTTTGTGGTGAAAACTTTCCAATCTATTTGTTGTTCCAATTATTGAATGAATATTGATGTAAGTTGTTATAGTTTTTGATAATCAGTATAATATATGTCTTTAAATATACTTGAAAGTTTCTCAAAGAGGAATCCCACTTTGTGAAGGCTGTGTTGGAAATAACGAGATCTCTGATGGTATTTAAATTTTTGGACCCCCTAAATCTTTCATGCCTTGTTTCCAACTCGGACGGGCTTCAATGATGCAGTGGACACAATACGATATGTTTCTTGATACTGAGAACCCAACCTCCATGGGGATTCCAGGGAAAAGTGGTCCAGATATGCCATGTGCTCTCCTAAGAGGTGATTAAGAAGCATGGGGTGGTCGGACTCAGTGACTTGGCCGATGATTGTGTGTCAACACGCTCAGTCGTGTGTCAAGTTGCTCATGCTTCCAATCACTGGATTGCCATGTCCTGACTTTATTGATTACAGTCCTTTATCATATACCTCGAAAACTGCTGACTGCAGCACTGAATGCAACGCTCATTTAGGTGATAAGATGGAGTGAGTGAGTTGGGTTTAATGCTGCTTTGAACAGCATTACTGTTAAATCACAGCATGTCAGCTTATTGTGGGAGGAAAGCCCGAAGTGATGCAGGTCTCAGATGTTTACCACTTTGGTGATAATTGAGCACAGATATGGTGCTGACAAGACTGAAAACATAGTAGGGGGAATCCAGGATTCGAACCCACAAGCATAGCTTTCTGGACTGCCCAAGGGACATAACTCTGTACAGAGAATTGTGACACCTTAGACAACTGGGCCACCCATGCCTCCTGATGGAACTCAACATTTGCCATATCAGAGAGTATTCGACCATCTAAGAAAATGACTAGAAACCCGAACAAAACATATGAGTAAATCTGCATCAATTAAACAGGTTCACAGACTTTTATAGCAGTAGAAATGGTACTTTTACAAATCTATACTGTTTATTGTTTGTATCAACACATTACCTTAGATATTACAGATCATGGTATTGCATGTATGGCCATGTACCGCGCTGTCCATGAATGGCTACAACTTGGTTTGTATGTGTTCCAGGAGGATAAGGCTCGTGTCGACTTTTTCAAGGAGTACGCCAAGAAGAAGAAGGAGTCTGTATGGAACCCCTTCTTCCACCTCCTGGACAGAGAGGACAAGTTCATCGTCTACCAGGTAACAACTTGTCAACACTGCTCACCACACACGATATGTCGGCCCAGCAGTTCACAATGTTGGTGTCTGTCCGAAGAAGCAGCTAACATTGGGATCAGGGCTCCGTTGCACAAAGATATTTTAGCACTAAGGTGATCGTAACTCCCATGCTTTAACATAGGCTTACGACAGTCACAGCGCTAAGATCGTTTGGTCACTGGGGCCCATGGCCTCATTTCACATAGTGATCTTACGCACTAGCTCTAAGGCAATTGTAACTCCCATTCTTAAACATAGATTTATGACAGTCAAAGTGCTAAGACTTTGTTGTGAAGTAGGCCTAGATGATCATTGTTCTAAGGTGTTCAGAGTGGGAACACCTTATGAACAAGGGGATCACCTTTAGAATTCAGTACCACAACTTCTAATGATGATGATCTCTTCTCGGATTGTTAGCCGACTGAGTTATGTCCACACTGTCAAAATCAGTGGACATTTACCTAGTCAACGATTATAAAAATGAAAGAAAAAGGACGAAGTGGTAACAGACACATACAAAGGTAGTCATGGGGTCGGTTGACTTCAGCCTATGGACACTTACAAGAGGTCATGCTGCCATTTGGCACGACTGTCCCATTCTGTAGTCTACTGGATCCCGAATTGTAATGAATGATCTGATAACGCTGATTCACTGACGACAGCTCCAAGCATCTGATGTTGAGTTCAGGAGTAGGCATTACTAATTCGTTGGGTGATTTTATGACAGACAAGTGTGGGAAGGATAATGTGGATCATAGTAAGGAACACAGAAGGTATAGGCATTGATAATGAGGGTGAGTTGGCTTTAGAATCATATCTGGGTAGATGTAGCGAGTGCAAGTGGCATGGGTGGAAGTTCGATGACAGTTCCCTCTTGCACATCTTACCACTTCCTCTTGCTGGCTTAAAGTGTTTGTGTGAAGAATGCAAGTGAAATCAATAAAATGAACAAGAATACCATGACAAGTTCGACTCCCTTGCTGTAAAATGCATAGACTGGTGCTTTCTATAAAATGCGCCACCGCAGGGTATGTTTAGTCAACAATATTGAAAACTCTCAACATTGCTGGGCTTATTCAATGATAGGTGTAGATATGATAGATCACTGAGTGGAGCTAATGCCACACCTTATGACCCCATCAAACCCTGTTGCTATGCTGACATCACAGGGCATTGTGGGGGCGGTCGGTAGCCTAGTGGTTAAAGTGTTCACTCCTCACGCCGAGGACCCAGGTTCGATTCCCAACATGGGTACAATGTGTGAAGCCCATTTCTGGTGTCGCACCCTGTGTTATCTCTGGAATATTGCTAAAAGTGGCGTAAAACCATAGTCACTCACTCACTCACTCACTAAATTCTATAGATAGGCTGAAATGGGCTTCATGTGAATTCCATTTCACACTTAATTATATAGATTATCAGGTGAGCAGGAAGAATATGTGACTGGTACCAATAACTCTCAGCTGTGTCCTGCCTGATGGTATTGCCCTGCTCCAAACTGATCTGTCCAGTTCCCTAAGTTACCGGATTGTCAGGTCCAGCCTCCATTACTTTGCTAAATGTAGTGGCCGTAACATTTTCGAGTCCTGTGATTGGATTCGAACCACAGACCTTCTTATCCAAAGTCACACACCTTGTCCACATGACAAAGTAACGACATCATCTGTGGGATGACTCCATGCCACACACTCCACACTCCATGCTACATACTACCTCGTCAACAGAAGGCATGTCTCGGGCAGCATAGTAGGGTACTGAGACTTATTTTGTTCAAATATATTATGAACGTGCTCGGCCCCACGTTGGGCGCCAATGTAGCGGCCATAAAATTTCCAAGTCCCCCAATGGGATACGAACCACAGAACTCATCCGAGGTCAGAGGCCTTGTCCACATGACCAAAGAGGCTGACAAAGTAAGGATGTCATCTGTGGGATGACTCAACGCCGTGCTACAGGAACATGACATTGTTGTAATGTTGTTCAGTAAAGTATAAGACTCTCTCCATATATTTCTTCTTCTCCAGTCCAGTCGAATTATTGGTAAGATTGCCTGCTGGAGCAAGGAGCCCATGGACAAGAGGAATCTGCAGTTCTACCTCAACTGGATCAAGGATCAACTCAAGTCACCTGTAAGTTGACAGGAAAATACCTCTTTACTGTGCATATGATGACGTGTTCCTTCCTTCAGCTATGGGGCGAAAGGGTAGCTTAGCAAGACTTGGGTTAATTCCCCAATTGTATAGAAGCCATATCTGGTGTTCCCCATCATGCTATTGCTGGAATAAGCAGCACAAAACCATACGCACTCAGTCCTTCAGATAGTGTTGATGTATTTCCTTCAGAGAGTGTTGATGTATTTCCTTCAGAGAGTGTTGATATATTTCCAGAGCAACGAGTACCTCCAGACAGCTGCCCGATGTCTGCAGATGATGCTGAGGATTGACATGTACCGTTGGGCCTTCGTGGACGTTGAGGGGATCTCCGCGTAAGTATAGGCTGATTACTTTAGTGAGTGTTAAAACAGGGGCTTAAGATATAAACATTCTTTATTTATGATCTTCTTAAGTACATGATGTATGATCATAGATGGACCATATTGCAAATGTTGTGGTAAAGGCTCTATCAATGGATTCATCCAATTTAATGTTTTTGAAATTGTCTCAATGGCATATGCTTACTTACCAGAATATAATATACAGCAAATGGCCGGGACCAAAACATGATAACAACAACAAACCAACAGATAAGCTCATGTTTTGGTCCCGGCCATTTGCTGTAAATATGCTGTACATATGCTTTTAACGACCAAGGGTTATAACAAACTAATATTAGTGGTCCCTTTGAGTTTGTTAAAGCTGTAGTGTACTGTGTTTATCCTTCATTTTGCATATTATATTCAGCTGATCCCAGAGTGTAGTAAAATGTTGTTTGGCCCTCAACTGATGATAGTTCACGCTAAATTCTACTGAAAATGATGCCAAGGGACAATTTGCTCGTAAACTAAGACGATTTTGACACAGACTGACACTATATTGAGTTATCCCTAGTTTGAGACAACCTGTTTGCAACTATAATGCCATGGTCCCAATAAGGATTCTGTACATTGTGCTGCACATGCGACATCCAGTTGGAGTTTGTGATAAAAAGGTTTCACTGTATACATGGTATAGGCAACAGGTCTGAACAGGTTATTGTGTTGTTTGGAACATTTACTCATATTGGTAACAGAAGTTCCCTGGATGTTTTGGTGAGGGTTTAAGTTCCCCATTACTGTTCCAGGATCGTGTCTGTTTTGGCCGGCAGCAAAGTCGGCTTCCAGATTCAGTACCAGCTGACCTTCTGCCTGTGGTGTCTGACCTTCAACAGCATGCTGGCAGAACGCATGACGAGGTACTTCTGGCTAGGAATGTTACAACCTTGAGATGCATGGCTTCAAGTAGTGTCCAGTCCAAGTACAGAAAGATGAATGTCCCACGACTGATTGAAATGTTTCCTTCCTGTCCTTATCCTGTTTTTTTACAAATAAAGAACAAATTATTTTAGATGTAAGGGATCATTCACATGGGTTTTGTGGTATGATGCATTTAGAGGCTGGTCACTGATACTGTGTAGAGAGAGTGAGTATGGCTTTACCCGCTTTTAGCAATATTTCAACAATATCATAATGGGGGACACAAGAAATGGGCTTCCCACATGTCGGGAATTGAAGTCGGGCCTTTGGCGTGAGGAGTGAATGTTTTAACCGCTAGGCTACTCCACAGCCCCTTTTTGAGAGAATGGGATTCACCTTGGCTGTTGGGTGAGGGATAAGAAATTATATCCATGCTTGAAACAGCCTAAAGTTTCACTACATGTCAGCCTGTCCGAAACAGCTGTTGACAGCCATGTTATGAAAGCATTGGTTTCTTCCTTCAGCACTCAATGTCCCTGTTTTCCGAAACTCCATGAAAGAGTTTCACCTACAATTTTCTCTTAATTTGATTTTGGGTTAATATTTTAAAATATATTCAGCAGTATTGGTATGTTCCTTCACTTATGATGGCTTTTGTTATATCTGCTTCTTGTCTGCTCCCTAGATACAACATCATCCCCATCCTGTCTGACATCCTCAGTGAGTCGGTCAAGGAGAAGGTCACCAGGATCATCCTAGCCACATTCAGGGTAGGTCGACCTCAAGGCAAACAGGGACGGAGTAGATAGCACATGGACATACATCACACTAGCTTAGAGAGCTACACAATGTTAACAGCTTCCTTTCTCTTTAAGGGGACAGGTGGCACAGTATTCTGAAGTAATACAATTCGCTTTTATGAGTTTTGGTTTGTCAGCATTATACCTGTGCTTGTGGGTTTTTCAAGGGATAACATTTTGTCCTGCATTTCTTTAAGTTTTCCTCCCATATTAGGCTGAAACACTATCATGTACTACTGAAAAGAAGTTAAAGAACACCCACTGTTTTCATATGACTGTAGTTAATTAGTTATGGCTGGTGGTAGGCCTGGGGCAGATTACTGGGGTTTGGAAGGGTCCTGAGCAGGACCCAGGCACCTATAGGACTACCCAGGCCCGTGGTTAGTCAAATGATTGGTTGGTTTGTTGTTTAACGCCGCACTCAGCAATGTTCCAGCTATATGATGGCGGTCTGTAAATAATCGAGTCTGAACCAGACAATCCAGTAATTGATATCATGAGCATCGATCCACGCAATTGGATTGATGACATGCATCAACCAAGTCAGTGAGCCTGACAACCCGATCCCGTTAGTCGCCTCTGTTAATCACATGATATATTGTTTATTGACAATAAAAATAAAAACCCATGGTTACACTACAAGTCGCTATTGTTCACATACTTCAGTGTATGCATGATCAGATCACTTTATATGTGATCAGATCACTAAATACATTGTAGTTTTTGCCAGGCCTCTGGTGAAACGATTCGTCATCAGACATTTTGTACCCGACTTGTACCCAACTTGTACCCAACAACAGGGACGGGGTAGGTTCGGGTAATAGGTGGTCGGGTACCTGGGTAGTAACTGTAGACTTGTCCCAGCCTTAGCTGGTGGGTATTGCAACATACAGCCTTCCAGTTGTGGGCGTTCTTTAACCTGTGTTGAGGAGTATCTGTTCAAAATGAAGTTAAACCCAACTCCTCCCTCCCATGTGGTTGTAGAATCTGTTAGAGAAGCCAGAGGACCGTGAGATTGTGCAGGACCACGCCCTGTCCATGGTGCAGTGTAAGGTGCTCAAGCAGCTGGAGCTGCTGGACGGACGCAAGTTTGACGACCAGGACATCGTCGACGACCTCGCCTACCTCAATGAGAAGCTGCAGCGCTCTATTGCCGACCTCAGGTTGGTGGTGTTGATGTTACCTGGCTACCTTTGCTTTGTTAGTAATGTGTTTGGGGTAGAATCTTGAATCTTTAGTTTGATAACGATGCATTATTTGTTAATAGTTAACATATTGCTGTACAAGGATTTAAAGCAGATGGTTTCATATCTGGATTTTGTGTATGTTCCAGCTCATTTGATGAGTATTCTACTGAAGTGAAATCCGGACGACTGGAGTGGAGCCCAGTCCACAAATCTGACAGGTTCTGGCGGGAGAATGCCATCAGACTCAATGAGAAGAGTTACGAACTGCTCAAGTAAGTTTGTTTGTTTGTTTGTTTGTTTGTTGTTTAACGCAGCACTCAGCAATATTACAGCTATTTGATGGTGGTCAGTCGACTCTGGATCAGACAATCCAGTGATTGACATCATGAGCATCGGTCTACGCAATTGGGATCGATGACATGCATCAAACAAAGTCAGCAAGTCTGACCACCCGATCCCGTTAGTCGCCTCTTACGACAAGCATAATCGCCTTTTACAGCAAGCTCTAACCTAGATCTTCACGGGTCACTCAAGTAAGTCTCAGCACGGCATGCTGACATGTAAAGTGTGTAACGTCGTTCCAAGTAATGAAAATGTAACACTGATCCCTTGTTCACTCTACTTGTAACAACACCTTCCTTTGTCTCACAGTTTGTCATGCAATATTCTAGCTGTGACATTACAGTATTGGCATGAAGGACGAGGGGAGTTACAGCCGCTAGTCTGCTAGTCCAAGCCTGGTGAAAATCCAGATGGACCAGTTGTTTTCTACCCAAATCTAGGTACTTTGCATAAGCCACTAGTCCGAAATTGTGCTCTGGACTAATTCGATTTGACCAATGGTGCCTACCCCTTGGGTCCTTGTCACAACACTAGTGTAAATAGTTAGCAGTGTGTATGGTGTCCCTAGATTCAGTTACTATGGTAGTAACCCTCAGGATCCCCTTATTAACAGACCACCTCCGTGGTCTAGTGGTTGAGCGTTCCGCCCGGAGCGCAGAAGGTCAAGGTGCACATATATGTACAATGATCTTGGACGCGATGTTAAACCCCATTTCACCTCACCTTATTTACAATGGGATTATATACCTTATTTGACAGGGTTTGACCAGACAAAAATGTATGCATAATAATAAATATTATCCACTGTGATTTATGTACATAAGATTTATCTTACATTTCTGGGTACGGTGGAGTATGGTTGACTCCCTTTTCAATGCCTAGGACCCCAAATATTTAGTACCAAGAGTCCTCCGGATGTGCAAATATATAAACCATTTCAAATCCTTGCTTAGAAGAATCATGATGGTTCTGATACTGAACTTGACATTGACTCTTTCCTAGGATACTTGTTCGTCTGCTGGAGACCAGTAAAGACCCTCTCATCCTGTCTGTAGCGGCACATGACATCGGGGAGTACGTCCGGTACTACCCTAGAGGCAAGAAGTAAGTGAGGAGCTGTCATGCCATCTTGTTACCATCTGCACATAGCTGCCAACTGTCCTGATTATTCCGTATTTGTAACAAATTTGCGACTGAAATACAAATATATGACTTCTTCCTTAATTCATGTGCACATCACATGGATGATTTTTTTCTTGACAAGAAGGGGTAATTATTGATCTGTATTTATTTAGCCTTACGCTTACATGTATGCATGGTTTGTGTTCTAAGTCAAGTAGGAAGTTAATGAATGATCTCAGTCTTGTGAAAAGGTGTCGAGTTAGATGACTGTCAGTGGGTCAGTGTTAGGCCTGAACATATGGTTTACATGATGGCATAGGTGTGCAGTGGACAATACCTGTCTGGGGAGCTATACACAGCCTTCAAGTTCACACTAGCCCGCTAGCCCAAGACTACTTATTTCTGCTCAACACAAATAAAAATCGAGTGCGAAATACGCTACAGTCGGAAAGCACACGTTAAATCTCCTATATCAGTCAGTCAGTCAGTCAAATAAAAATTGACTGATGGTTGCACACTTTAACTAGTAGCATTTGAAGAATATGATTCTGAACCAGTTCTCACTGCTTCAATTTTGCTACAAATTGAAACTGAATAAAACTGACAGAAAGCGTATACACAGCAAACAATATGATCTCATTCAGCAGGACAAGCTCCAGACACTGGAGATTAGTGAAAGTTTTCTCTAGTCCTCTGGACTAGTCTTAAAATGTGAATTTCTAAGGCTGAATACATGTGCTGAATCTTCTCCTGCAGTGTGATCGAGCAGCTGGGGGCCAAGCATATCGTCATGCAGTATCTCAGCCACGAGGACCCCAATGTCCGATATGAAGCGCTCATTGCTGTACAGAAGCTTATGGTCCACAACTGGTGAGTGGTAGAAATGTCTTTGTCTAAGTCACTGTCTTACCATGCATTATCCCAGTGATATCTTTTTTCGAGAGGATACTTATCTTGATTAAACAGACCTGGCACGTTTTGGCCAGGTCCTGTTTTGATTAACATTGTCGTATGTGATATATCATTGTTACCAATCACTGCAATAGAGTGAGTGAGTGAGTGAGTATGGTTTAATGCTGATGGTACTTGTTGTGACCCTGCCTGGCGCTCGGCATGTCCCTAGTACAGGTATATGCAGATATTCCTATTAGTAATTATCAACATGGTTTGCTGTAGGTTAAATTTCACATGCCTAAAAGTTGTATTTTTGGCTGTGTGGCGTTCATATATTAATTATTAGGATGTTAAGAAGAATGTATCTGTAAGAAAATGCAACAGAAGAATTACTTTTGTGTTTCAGGGAATACTTGGGCAAGCAGTTGGAGGCTCCAAAGACGGACACACCAGTATTGTCAGCAGCTAAAGCATAGATGATAACATCGACAACATCATCACAACATCGCCTGTAGATCAGTCTCGGTATTCACCTGGTGCAGTAGAAGATGAAAACTAAATATTTAATCTATGAAGCAATGAACCTGATATTATGCACAGCTGCTGTAGATGGTGGCACATGCTGGTCTATAGTCGGGGTCTGTGTACAGCTACAGTAGCATTTGACTAGACATGGCACTCAGATGGCAGGAACTCATTTTGTTCTTTGGACTATCAGTACAAGAATTTATCAACGATTCCAAACAATGCCTCAGGCAGGCTATTTGGGAAAAAAACCGTAACTTTATTCAGAACTAGGATTTTCTTAAAGTCCATATTTTCTTGAATTCAGGGGTGTCTTTATATTTCATTCTAAGCAGAAAATGTAAAACTAACCATTATAGCTTCTTCTTGTTATTGGTCTTTTAGTTTGCAAGTCACCTCTGTAGATCCATAACTTCAGTTAAAAAAATAATAACATGACTGTATTCTAACTTAGGGATATTTGCAGACATTTGCTTCAGACTTTGCTCCAAATATCGGTCTCTGTAGCCTTGATAAATCCCTGCAGTGGCTATGTCGTTATTTACTTGTAACTAGTGGTTTTGAAGACACTGAAAACCCAGTTGTACAATGCATCAGAGTGTCTTTGTGGGAAAGTTAGGACTGTGTACAAATGGTATGTTAGTGTCAAGAGATTGAATCAAATGCTTTGTCTTAGTGCTATATCAGTCATAAGTTGACAGTTTCGAGTACATGTATATGTAGACATAATACGCAATATTGGGGTTGTACAGCAATGTGTCATGGGGATATATCTATCATGATAACCTGGAACTATTAGTCATGCTCTGGTTGCCACGGTGCCTGGTAGACATGGTGGAAGTATGTAGACACTGAGCCCTAGACAGCTGGGTCCTGGACTTCCAGGGATATAAGTAGACAAATAGTAGTACATGTACATGATCAGGTCACTTCGACTGCAAAATGTTTACTTTTTCTTTTTATTAACATTTTGTTTCTTTGATGATAAGTTTTCCTATTGCTTATCTAGTTAGTTACTGTATCTATTCTTTCTGGTGTATGTCTTGGAAATCTTTTTAATGATTTGGGTTAGGTTATTTGAAAGGATTTTATAAAACTATATACATTTTTCAAGGTATGTTTTACTAATTACTGCTATTCAGATATGCTGTGTAGAGGGTACTGAACATTGCCTACGTCCACCAACTCGTGTACTGCCATGTCCCCCTGTACACAGGGTAGATGTACTTGTAGATATACCTGTAACAAGGTAGTGGTGTCGTATGTTTTGTTGAGACTGGGGACTTGTTTGACATGAATTCCTTGACATGTACATTCCACACAATGTCATGTTTTGGCTGTGAACTATGTTGGTATATGTGTGTATATATCGGATCTGATTGTCTAGTCAACTCTTCCGGCACTCTGTACGTGTGCATATGTATGTAGGGCCTTGTATTTTTTAACAGTTGCTTTAATTTTGGAATTTCAACTTCCAGATTAGTACAGCTACTAATGAATGAAAAACAAACTCTTGGGTCAAGCCATCACGGAAGTATAAATATGAAATGATACTGAAAGTTTCACCTCATTATCAAAAGAATTGAATCAAGAAAGGCAATTATTATTTTCTATTTTCAGTTGTTTTTTTGTCGGTGAGTCAGTCTCTTAAACCAACTAAAAAAATAAAAGGCCTGGATGTAACTCTCCTGCCACAAAGCTGGTACCGCCCCTGTTGAGGAAGTACCTAATCTTGTTTGTCACGTGATGAAGCATGCACACATAAACAGGCAAGGTCATTAAAATCAGATCTTTTACTCCAATACAATACCTCTCTACATAAACAAATTTCTGGTGTCCCCTGCCGTGAAAATTGCAAGAATATTGCTAAAAGCGGCGTAAAACCAAAATCACTCACTCACTCTACATGAACATCTGAGGACACCTTCATAGGTTACATCAGGTTAAATTTCTAGTCAGTCAATCGGTGATGATGCTTCTAAATTGTAAAGAAATTAACACGAATCATTTTAGAAAACTGACATCAGATTCGCTGAAGAACCTGTACAACCTTCACTAAGATTGGGTGCTCAAATTTTGCACAGGGTTCACCCGGCCTGACCTTCTATGAAGGTGACCTTGGATCAGATCATGACATGGAGAGGTAACATCTGGCAGTAAAAGATCTTCTTTGACATAGCTTGCATTAATGTCATTCTCATTTTTATATGTTGATTGAGTTTTGTCTGTTCTATATCATAGCAAACACTTGTTCACCTTGACATTGTGTTGTGGGACTGTTCCCTCACGCTCAAACATATCAGTGTATCATCCAAGTAGCCATCTGGCAGATTTATGTAGCAACCATGAACAAAATATCGGCCACTTTGTTTTGTCGGATCCATGTGGAGTTGATACTTGTAATTACTGTCTTTCTCTGTTATATTATCATCAAATGATCAAGCAAATAAATAATGATTTTTACTTATTATATTTGGCTCTTGAAAGTTTTGTACCAGCAGTCACGAGTGATAAACAGCACTAAATGCTGTCCAATGTTTCATTCCCAGATTACCCAAACCTGCTCATGGGTCTCGCCAAGGGTGTAAATTTGTAAACTCTTCATCACTCGGGGAGTGGCATGGATGGCCTTGGTCGTCTATGGTCCCACAGTCCGCTGTGCAGACATACTTGTTTGATTAACGCCGTACTCAGCAATATTCCAGCTATATAGTAGAGGTCTGTAAATAACCAAGCCTGGACCAGACCATCCAGTGATTGACATCATGAGCATTGATCCATTCAATTGGGATACGATGCAAATCAACCAAGTCATCTAGCCTAACTAACAGATCCATTTAGTCGCCTCTTGCGATAATCATAGGTTACTGGGGACCTATGTGCTTACCTGTAACGTTCAATGCTTCATGCTGTCATAGGTCAACGGTACACATGAATTTTGTCGACCCGGCGTGATGAGCATACGCTTAAACCACTAGGCTACCTGACCGCCCTGTACCTTTGACAAAGTACTGAAGGTATATTGGACAGGTGATCACTGGGGGAGATGAAAATGTGTGAGAGTAACCACACCCCATTTGTAATTTGTAAGGAATAATGGTGTGGAAAAGTTACTACTAGCTATAGATTAAAACCATATTCTATTCTGATGCAGCATGAACCATGACCAGGGAATATTAAGATTTAATACCAGTAAACATGGTACCTGATGGATAACTGCCTTTTGTTATACAAGTCTACAAGCCCCAGGGAAACCTTGTAGGCCAAAATTGAACCATGTTAAAACTGACATTAATCCGGATTAGTACTAGCAGTCACATATACACGTGCATGCACGTTGGTGTGTCAATAAAATCATCTTGAACATTGCTGTTGGGACTTGTGCAGAACTGCATGGAATATATGTCCAGGTTCCACGGAGGGTCCACGGATACATGTGCAGCAGAAGACTAGATTGTGGGTATTCCGGGACTAAATGGGTCAGTTATACCACATGCTTTGTGTATAATAAGCTGACAGAAGAGTGTCGGCTGGTTACAATATGGCTGCCTGTGGTGTAGCTTGAATATTGGCGACAGTTGCCTCAAACAGCATTATTTATTTTTGATACCAAGGATGCGTCAATTTTAATTACTGTTTTGCAGGGAGTCATCAATATATGAAAACCATAAAATATATCGATCAAAGCCACTTCAGCGGGACATTTGTTTTAACAGGGAGTATTAGGTTTATATATTCCCCGAGTTAAGTATGTTAAATATAGAAATATCTAAATATTCACTGAAGTCAATTCAAATTAGATAACAGCAGGGGACACGAGGGGCCCAATCATCTGAGGCACGCAGCTGTGCAGAGTTTCCTCGCTTGGCCACGCCAGAAGATATGATCAAATCCGGTTCGCCCCGATTATGTTTTTAGGTTTGTCAGCACCATATCTGTGCTTGTGGGTTTCACCAAAGTGGTAAAAGTCTGAAATGTTTGGGCTTTCTTCCCACATTAAGCTGACACTGATATAATTTGAACACTGTTTAAAGAAGCCTTAAACCCAACTCACTCCCGAGATAACAGCACCTGGGTTCTTGTTATCACGAGAGCATCCAAGCGTCATGGTCAGCTCCCTGTAATTAAAGGTAAGGTGAGGTGAAATGGGGTTTAACGTCGCGTCCAAGATTATTGCACTTATATAACGATGTGCATGCACGTGTGTGTCCGTGCGTGTGTGTGTGTGGCTGCTTGTACTAGTCCGGACTGATGCCGATTTATAGTGCTAGCACACTGAGATACCAGTTTAACATGAATACCCCACTCAGACACAGTATACTGACTCCGAGCCGACCAGTCCTTGTTTTAGCCTCTTACTGCCGAGCGCTAGACAGGGTAACAACAAGTACCATCTTTTAACGTCCTTTGGTATGACGCGGCCGGATCGAACCCCGGACCTTCCGCTCTCCGGGCGGACGCTCTACCACTAGACCACGGAGGCGGTCCTGTCATGAAAGAGAATGGCTGGTTGGCCACTGAAGCTTGGCATTTTGGATGAGGTGCGGGATACTGCAGGCTGACATACAGGTGTGGCATGTACAGGTGGCAGTCAGTGATTCGCCTTGTGATTTCGCTTAATAATGGTATGCTTTGAGTTAATCGAGACTTGACCCTGGGACAGCCGGAAGGCTGGCTGGCTGACCAACTCCTCCAAGATGCCTGGCCACTGTTCTATTCTATTATCATCATGTATTTATTAACATCGCGAATAAAAGTGTTGTAAACTCAAACATGGACTTTTGTGATTAAAGAACAGATTATATTCAAAATCTAATAAGCTCGGGATCCTTGTTCATTGAACTCCTTTATTCCACCATAGCACTATTTGAGTTCAACAGTCCTGTCTAACAAAGACCTGGTTGCCTAGCCAACAAGACAGCTGCCTGGCGAAGTGCAGTCTGAACATAGATTGCAAAATTTCGGACAGTAGTGTTTAGCACCATCCGGGTTCGTGCAGATGCCTATGGATGCGTTGAGGACTTTGCAGTCGACACCAGGGCTGTCCACACAAGTGGTGACTGTGGTGGCTGGTGTTGGTGTATGTGGGCCTGGGTGCCGTGTGGGCGGTGCGTGATCTGGAGGAAAGGAACATGTCTAGACTGACGCATAAAATAATGACTTTGTAGTATGATATATGGACTTAACGCCGATTTGAACAGTATTTCAGTGATATCACGGTATGTGAGCTTCATTAGGCAGGAAGGAACAAGGATGTCAGTTTGTTGTTTAACGCCGCACGCAGCAATATTCCAGCTATACGATCCAGTGATTGATATCATGCGCATCGATCTACACAATTGAGATACGATGACATGCATCAACCAAGTCAGCGAGCCTGACCACCCGACCCCGTTAGTCGCCTCTTACCACAAGCATGGGTTGCTTAAGAGGAATAGTCACGCGACACGTGCACACGTAGGGTGCTGATGGATTGAGTAGCATAATTAGTGCAAATTGAAGGATCGGACCTGTGATCAGCGGATCCTGGTAAGACCAAGGAACACAATTATGCACAGTGATACCTGGTTCGATTCTCAGATACATACAACGTGTATAACGTTCCTTATCTGTGTCCTGTCGTGATATTGCTTGAATTTTTAATAAGGGCGGTATAAACCCATAGTCACTCGTACATCTATGACTTAATCAAGTTTCGAACTTTACACATGTAACACGTACGAGGAGGTAGTTTGTCGAAGTAGTATCCTCCCTGGAAGGCATAGGAAGACACGCCATCATAGCCGTACACTTGCGCCATGAAGTTGTCGTCTGCTTCTATCCGGTGGTTGCCAGGGGGTATGGAAACAATGGCCACGGAGTACCCAAGATCTCTCACGCGTTGCCATTTTGAAGGATCTACTGCGGACCCGTCTATGGTTACAAAAGGCGCTGAATCGCTATCTACCACGAGATTTATGTAGCTGATGAAGAATTTAGACGTCGGGTTGTCCATGGTGGAGAATGTGTAGTTCCAGCCGTAGCTCTTCACAGGCGGGATCGGGATGCTGAAAGGTGTTGAGCTGCCATCATACTGGGTGACATGGATCCCGTTGTTGGAGAATATCTCTAACGTTGTACCGTCTGGAACCGTGTACTCCCTGAAGTTCCCCTTGTCGATGTCCTGCTGGTAGCTGTGGACGGTGAAGTCTTTGTGGTGCTCATAGACGAAGATGTGGGTGGAGTCAAAGGCTGCCACCACCTTCACTTTGTAGTTACTGTTGTCGAAGAGGTCGGGAATGATGAAACGATCGCCTAGCAGTTCATTTGGAACAACCTTCAACACAAACATTTAGTGAGCGAGTGTGTTTGATTTACGCCACTTTGAACAGTATTCCGACCAGTTATATCACGGCGTGTCAGTTTAATGTGGGAGGAAAGCCCGTGGTGATGCGTGTCTCAGACGTTTAGCACGAGCATGGGTATGATGCTGACAAACCTAGAAATATAATCGGGATTCGAACCCACGATCATAGGTTTCTGGCGTACCCAAGGGACGCAACTCAGCCCGGCGAATTGCAGCCTTAGACGACTGGGCAACCCGTGCATCCCATAGGTTTAGTAGTGTATTAATGGCCAAATGGCTGTTTATATTATTTTATAGTGCTAGCCCACTAAAATACCATGCCGCGGTTTAACATGAATACCCCACTCAGTATACTGACCCCGAGCCGACAAGTCCTTGTTTTAGCCCCTTAATGCCGAGCGCCAGACAGGGTAACAACACGTACAATCTATTAACGTCTTTTGGTATGACGCGGTCGGGGATCGAACCCCGGACCTTCCACTTTCCGTGAAGATGCTCTACAACAACGGAGGTAGTTTGAAAGACACAGGCAACCCTCAGTATACTGACCCCAAGCCGACCAGTCCTTGTTTTAGCCCCTTAATGCCGAGTTCCAGGCAGAGTAACAACAAGTACCATCTTTTAACGTCTTTTGGTATGACGCAGCCAGGGATCGAACCTCCGACCTTCCACTTTCCGTGAAGATGCTCACCACTAGACCACGGATGCGGTCCAGAAATAAAGGTGAGGTGAAATGGGGTTGAACGTCGCGTCCAAGATTATTGCACTTATATAGCGACGTGCATGTACGTGTGTGTGTTTGTGTGGCGGCTTGTACTAGTCCGGACTGATGCCTATTTATAGTGCTAGCTCACTGAGATACCATGCCGCAGTTTAACATCAATACCCCACTCAGACACAGTATACTGACTTCGAGCCGACCAGTCCTTGTTTTAGCCCCTTAATGCCGAGTTCCAGGCAGAGTAACAACAAGTGCCATCTTTTAACATCTTTTGGTATGACGCAGCCAGGGATCGAACCTCCGACCTTCCACTTTCCGTGAAGATGCTCTACCACTAGACCGCGAATGCGGTCCAGAAATAAAGAGTTATTGAAGACAATATATCAGACAAAGCCCACCTGCTCCATGAAGTGATCACACCCAGCGGACCTCGTGGTGTAGAAGCAGGCAGACCCAGAATACACAGCCACCGGCTGACTAGCGTTCACAGCGGTACCAGCAAAGTCACAACTACTCTTCGTAGAGAAGGAAGAAATAATCTGGAAGACGTCCGACTTTCCAACAGTTTCTGTGAAAGTACTGCCACCTTTATATGTATGCCCCTTGTATTTTATGCTGCAGGTAGACGCCAGTGACACTGTTACAACGGTATTGGCTGTAACTCCAGCGACAAGGATGATGGGGTTTTTAGACGGCGTTGGAATGACGTAGTTGACAGACAGCGCTGACACAGGCAGGATTTCGGCAGCGTCGGCCGCGGAAGCGTTGACGTTGTCATTCATGGCGTACACAGAAATGTCCACATCAGAAGTGATGGTGATGCCCCGGGGCTCCAGTGTCATCGTCTTGGGCATCTCGGACTGGTTTGGGATGTCAACTCTTAGGGTAGTTCCACCTGTCAGGTTGTGGGTGGACTTCCAGGGTGGGGCACTCGCCACCTGTGACATACTCAGCTGCACCGTACCGTCCGCCTCTGACGATATGAACACGTAGTTCGCCGTAACGTTGTCTTCTCCCACGCCGTAGTTATACATGAAGCCCACCACGAACTCTCTTCCTTTGGAGAAACCTCCATCTGTAAGCAATCATGGGATACATTTATTGAACAATTTGACAAGGTGACTTCATATACTATTATATGTATCTATCATTATTGCCAGAAATGTACTTCAGTAGCATGTTCTGAAAACGAATGAAAATCCATCCAGGTATTTTAGGATGCCAAACTTTGTTGACCTTGACCTATAAATACCCCCAAACTCTATATATCTCTATGTTTCACAGCGATCAGAAAATCTAGAAACATCGTCCAATTTCATAACTTTATTTCACGTTTTTGAGGTCATGCTCGCCACATTTTGTTTTTCTCTTCTTTTAGGAATGACAGCAGGGAAATATTTGCTATAAAATACGTTTGGCCCATGTGGGAAATGAACCAGCAAAGTCCAGTGGGATGGCCCAGCTAAACTGGAAAATAATGCGTTATTGATCAGGTGTATCTTCACAAAATCGTCTGATCAATATGGACAGGTAATATGACGTTAACTGAAAGCAAATTAAAAGCCTAAACAATAATGAATAAGTGCACGAGCATCCAGCGCAGACAATATACCGTGCACCAGGCCAGATTCACAGGGGCTTGTAACGCTAAATAGCAGCAAGATATATATTTTTATATAGCGCTATGACACCTGTGGTGACAATATTTGCTTTCATTAGGAAATAGTTTATTAAGACTGTAGTCATCATAACGACGCTTGTAGTCTGTAAGTCATGTCAGTTAATGATCCAAGTTGCAAATCTATATACTATAGTCTACTAGTATCGGATTGGTTTATGGCTTCGACAACGCTCTCCATTATGGGATAAATATTTCTTCTAGATTCAACATTAGACCCATGTTCATCTTAATAATATTTAGAAACGTAAACACCACTTCTTGTGAATTAAATTGTGTCCGCCTCTATCAGATGGAGGTGAGGTGAAATAGGGTTTAACGTCGCGTTCAAGGTTATTGCACTTATAAAGCGACGTGCATGCACGTGTGTGTGTGGCTGCTTGTACTAGTCCCGACTAATGCCGATGTTATAGTGCAGGCCCACTGAGATGCCAGACCACAGTTAATGCCGAGGGCCAGACAGGGGAACGACACGTACAATCTATTAACGTCTTGTCGTATGACGTGGCCGGGGATCAAACTCCGGACCCTCCACACTCCGGACGGAGGTAGTTTGAAAGACACAGACAACCAACTTGAAACATCAATGAACTATCACGGCAGGATAAAAACGGTCGTGAAACATATCTACCATACATACTCCTGGAAATGAAAATCACACACAACGATAAGTTTTGAAAATGAGAAAGTATATATTAGATATTATGGCTCTTTTCCTACACCATACCATTGCTAATACCACTGTCAACGCGCTTGATGTTGCACATACTGTTCGTGAAGCACAAAACCTATCAAATATCTAAATACACATATTGGTCGTGAAACATTGCAGGTGCACATTTCTCAACACATTAGGGGCACGGGTGGCCCAGTCGTCTGAGGCGCCGCGATTCGCTGTGCAGAGTTGCGTCCCTTGGGCACGCCAGAAACCTGTGATTGTGGGTTCGAATTCCGGTTCGCCCCGATTATGTTTCTAGGTTTGTCAGTCCCATACCCGTGCTCGTAGGTTTCACCGAAGTGCTACACGTACGTGACCTGCATCACTTCGGGCTTTAATCACACATTAAGCTGACACGCCGCGATATAACTGGAATATTGTTAAACCCAACTCACTCACTCTTGCTAAAGCAAGCCATTACAACAGTCCCACTCCTTGCATTTCCCAACCAAAACAAACCCTTCATCCTCACATCTGATGAATCTCGAACTGCTATAGGGTATACATTTTATGCGTAACTTGGAATGATGTTGTTAATTCATGTCTTTAGACCATACAAGTATCTTCCTGTTCTGTTTTTAGGGACAAACAATGTTGATTGGTAACGTTTCGTTTGCTCGTCAGTTTCCAAGTAATAATATAAGTTGCCTAATGGTCATTTCCCATCACAGTCAACTACTGTTACTGCCTCTTGAAATGACAGATTTGAAATTATTAATAAATAAGTGTCTCATGGCCATGTCTCTATCAAAGATTATGGCTTTGCTTACAAAATTTTCTGTATTAATGAGGATGGCCAAAATTGAGGCTGAGTTGCTTTTTTAAAGCAGATGGAGGCTGTGTTTTTTTATTTACACAAAATCGTGAGCTGTGTTTTGTTTTTCCCAAACCCAGCCCCCTACCCCCTCTTAAGGAATCAAATGGTCTGCCCCTTAGACGACGTCCATTTGACAACAATACAGTTTTATATGCAAAATGGCTACCAGGCAGCCTGATTTCAACCCGAACCATCAGAAATCGTCTGAAAACAGATGGATAGAGAGCCAGAAGACCAATCAAACGTCATGCATCATGGTGTAGTGTCCATCTTTCTGATAAAGGTCGGTTTCTGTTACACATGGTAGACGGCCGTAGACGTCTCTGGAGGCTGGCAAATACAGAGACCCATCCTTTTAGTGGGGGGACGGTAATGGCATGGGGATGTGTTTCATTCATTTGTAAACTTGACTTCATCACGGTGCAGGGTAAATCTGATTCTACACCAGGCAAGACATCCTGGAGACAGCAGTTATCCTCCATTTTGACAACCATGCGTTGACCTGTCTTCATGGATAACGCTAGATCACTGCTGATCACGTGCTGTTCTGGAATGTCAGATTACCATCGATACACTTCACTGGCCATTAAGAAATCCAGACCTTAATCCAACAGAACATCTGTGGGACATTCTAGGGTGTCACGTTCAAGACCCACCTGCCTAGAATTTACGTAAACTTGCTGCTGGTCTGCATGCGGGATAGGCTAGAACGCCTCAACGTCAAGTGCTACGTCTGATTCCTGGAACCGCCTGGCGGCAGTCGTTCGTGTGCAAAGTGGTTACACCAAGTATTGACGAGAACTGTGTTTCTTGCATCGACTGATATTGGTATAGGATTTCTATGATACAGATTGGCGTGAAGCAGTTTAGTTTTTATAGTACGACAATAGTAATTCCCACTTCGTTTTCGATGAATATAACGTCTTACTTCAAAATGCCAAAAATTCAGACTCAATATGTCATTGTTCCAATTTAAACCCTCGTTTTCATCTTGATTGATAACTCTGGTAAGCAGTAAACATCACTAGATACTGTTATCTCGAACGCATTTTGCACTGGGCCGCAAGTAAATTGACTTATTCATGAAAAATCAATTTCCAGGTGTTTATGTCTAACGCATGTTCAATGGAAAGAGTAAACTATATTGTATAGAGAAGATTGGTTTACCTGCCTCTACAGCTACTGCCCCCAGCAGAACCAAACTTATCAGAGCTGTCGGACCCATGGCCGCTAGTGAACTCGTGGCATCGAGCGAGATTCGCACCTGTACGTGTTGTTAGTTATATATACTATATCCTATTTGATAAGAATGTTTTCGCGATTGGAGTGTCCTCTTATCTTGGAATCTGACTGAACTATAGTTAAGTAGTTACAGTTCAAGTTAGTGATATATTGGGAGTCAGGTTTTACGCCGCTATTCTAACCATCATGGCGAGGTATTCCAAGAAGGCGACGTGGTGAAGACACATGTGGTTACAAAAGGATGCATAGCGCTCATGATGCAAAGTGACGCAGGTCACTGATGTTTGTCACTTTATATCCCGTGACGACTCCGGGTTAGAACTGATCTTCAGCAACCATGCTTGTCGTAAGAGGCGACTAACTAAATGGTTCTGGAGGCAAGGCTCGTATCCTAATTGTGTGGATCGATGCTCGTGCTCCCAATCACTGGGTTGTCTGGTCCAGACTCGACTATTTACACGAAACCCATGTCAAGGAGCCGACCAGAGATCGTAATGGGAGGGAGGGGTATTAGTCTACCACCATCTACACTTGGTAGGCGCTGCTGTCATGGTGAAGTATGGGCGGAACAGTTCATTTGTGACAACATGGGGCACATAAGCTTAGTTATGCATAAAGAGCCATGCTAATAGATATGTTACAGCAGTTAACAAGTGGAGGAAAATCCACAGTGACACAGGGTGTGGAAGTTTGCAAGGTATGGTGTCTGACATTACAAGGATCGTAGTCGGATCTCATGATCACCGGATCCTGGTATGGATCTTATACATCAGCTGCATCATACATATCAGCTGCATCACACACATCAGCTGCATTCCTTTTCGGAAGTAACTTATAAACCATTTGGGTGTTTATTGTATATAACATATATCTTTTTAAAGTGCAAACGGGGCGGTGGGGTAGCCTGGTGGTTAAAGCGTTCGCTCGTCACGCAGAAGACCCGGGTTCGATTCCCCACATGGGTACAATGAGTGAAACTCATTTCTGGTGTCCCCCGCCGTGACAATGCTTGAATATTGTTAAAAGCGGCGTAAAACCATACTCACTCACTTACTTAAAATGTAAACGCTGCAACTAATCATTATGGCCTTTATATAATGTCCATTCATAATGCGTCATTCCACTTAAGTGAAAGCTCAATGCGATACATTATTATTCCCGGTCAATGGATCAGTGGACACTTGATTTTCATTCTCAGCTCCATGGGGAGTGTACAACCCAAGCTACCTGTGAGATGCTAGAAGGTTAAGTCACATTACCATCTCATCCTACCGGGTACCCATTCACTGCTGGGTGAACAGAGGAATTTTGGAACAAAGTCTCTTGCCTAAGGAGACACCACATGTGTTTCAGCGTGGGACAGGAGCGAAGCTCTAGAACTGTCAGGAGTCAAGCTGCCGAACTCGTTCACCCCTCCAAGTACTCTCTGCGAACTAACTTCATCTGATTTGTGACATGTGAGATGTGCACTGTATGAATGAGTTTGGTATAATGTCGCTTTGGACGGTATTTCATTTATATCATGGCGTTTCAGCTTCATGTGGGAGGACAGCCCGAAATTATGTAGATGTAGATGTAGATGTAGATGTAGATGTAGATGTTTGTTTATTTGTTGTTTAACGCCGCACTCAGCAATATTCCAGCTATATGACGGCGGTCTGCAAAATAATCGACTCTGGATCAGACAATCCAGTGATTGACATCATGAGCATCGATTCACGGAAATGGGACCGATGACATGTATCAATCAAGTCAGCGAGCCTGACCAGCCGATCCCGTTAGTCGCCTCTTACGACAAGCATAGTCGCCTTTCACGACAAGCATGGGTTGCTGAAGACCTATTCCACCCCGGATCTTCACGGGTCAGATGTAGATGTAGTTCGGAAGCAGTGGCAGTAACGATAGGGAGGCTGCATCAATGATGTGTGGGTGATGGCGTAAGAGTGAAGCAGTCGTAAAACTCTAAATTACTACATTAATAAGGCGCTGTCGCTCACCTGACATGCTTTTGAATATTTAAGAAACAGGACCGAACTATTTTGATCAAAATATGTTTTTTTATGGTAGATCTGAAAGGATCCTATAGAAAAAAGCACAAAATATCCTATAATAATGTGATGGTGTTCATGAATACACTACTGTTGCATTGTGCCCCACCAAACTAAACATTATTGACTTTGTTTTTTTTAAAAAATGTTTATGTTTGTTTCTTACTTCTGTGACCAGAAATAATCAACTCAAAGTCTCAGTGAAACATTCTTCTTAATCCGGGACGATGTCAGAATTTATACATACCAATTTTAACACGTGAAATTACACATTGAAATAGAAGGAAAAGACAAACTAGCCTTTAGATTATGGGTGACCCAGCGGTCATGTTGAAATTCGAAACAGTTTTCTTGTACATGCCCGCCGACATATAGCTGGAAGATTGCGGCGTAAAGGAACATCAGAAACAAGTATTTGGGTATTCCTTTCGAAGGCGTATACGAACAGTTAACGAGGTTTAACGTTAGCAAGTGGCTCATTGTATTGCCCATAATTGTGAAACCAATATAAACTCAACTCTGAACATTCTCAAGAAAACATTTCACAATGTTTCATTAATAAATCATGAAATAAGCTTGTTGTTGTTTCGTTTGATTGTTGTTTAACCCCGGACTCAGCTACATGACGGCGGTCTGTAAATAATCGAGTCTGGACGAGACAATCCAGTGATTGACATCCTGAGCATCGCTCCACGCAATTGGGATATGATGACATACGATCATCAACCTAGTAAGCGAGCCTGACCACCCGATCCCGTAAGTCGCCTCTCACGACAAGCATAGTCGCTTTTTACGGCGAACATGGAATAAGCATTGTGTACCAGAAACGCGGCATTCATGAATTAAACACAACTACAGTCCATGTGAAATTTTTACCTGAGCAGGCAGGGCAGATCAAAGCAAAAGACATCACAACGAAGGCGACTGTTTTCATTGCAACTTCTGACTTAATTAAACAGATGGTAATAGTGCTGGGTATTATCTATTGTCGGTGACCTTGAGGAGATCGGATAAGGATGACCAGTGATTGACCCACCAAGGGTCAAGCTGGGTTATCCATTGTATTAAGCTATATATGATTGTTATACATACAAGGATTGACTGAAAAGTTCTGACCCTTTGTATGACAGACTGCGTTGATGGCATTGGTTACTAATTATATTTCATCATAATCCCTTCCGATGTCCACACACTCCCACAAACGATGCTGGAATGCCTGGATCCCACTGGTCTAGAGGGCTTCCTTCGGGTGGTGTAAAAAGTCCTCAACTTCAGGAATAATGCTTGCGCGATCCTTCTTTTTCAAGTTTGGGAAGAGGTATAAATCTGACGGTGGCAAATCTGGTGATGACGGAGAATGTTCAATGAGTTCCAAGCCACAGTCATGCATTGCACACACCTGCATTGCCCTGGTTGAAGAACGCACCTTTGGTGAGTGTTTTCCCGCGACGTTTAGCATTGATAGACATACGCAGTTGCCTAAATAGGTTTGCCCATCATTGGCCATTAATGGCCGGAACTTCGTGAGGTAGTCCACCAGTGGGATTACTTTGAAAACCAAAGCCATCACCTTACCAAATGTTGGAACACACATTGTTTTCTTCGGAAGGGGGAGACGTTACATGTTTCCACTGCTTTGACTGTTGTTTAGTCTCTGGCTGATGGTGGTAAACCTTGGACGCACCCATGGTTACAGCTGCTCCAAAATGACATCAATTCTCACCAGATGATGTTCCTGGATCGTTTCTGATCAGGGGTCAAAGCAATGGAACCCAGTGTACCGAAACCTTTGTCATGCCCAATTCATTCTCCAGAATGTTCTCAACTCTCTTATGAAAGGTACCTACTGTATTGGCTATGTGGTATGTTGGGAGTCAACACCAAAAATGTCCTTAACATGTTGTACCCGTGTGGGGAATTATATTGTTCCCGGATCTTTGGCGTGATGAGCTAAGGCTTTATCTACTAGGGTCTACCAACGCCCACGACGTCTTGGGTATTTTAACAAGATCGGTCAGACACGTAGAACATTGTTACCCTTAGTTTTGTTTGTTGTTTTATGCCACAGTGATCAATGTTCCAGCCATGTCACAAATAAATCTAACTGAGGGCGTCTGGGCCAGGCAAACCACCGACTGAAAACATGATCAACGTCCACCCCATCCAGTTAGGCGCCTCCCTCAAGGCACCCTTTATACCACTTAATTTGTCCTCGCAACCAATTTTAGATCTCAATCTGTTTACACGGGTTTTGCAAGCAAATTATTCTGGGACTTATGTGTGCTCATAAGGTTGGCAAGAAAAGAAGAGGAAAAACGACACTGACACCTGCATTCAAGATAAGCATTTAGGCACACTGCATTGTGGCTTCATATATTATGTAACAGAGCTCATCCTGTGTACGAGAAGGGGAACTCCTCTTTATATAGGACCATCAATAGGATTCTGGAAAGACTAACCAGTGACTCTACCTGCTCCATGGAGACCTGCATCGTGACTTTTGCTCTTGGAAGTAAGAGAGTTGGGTTTAACGCGGCTTTGGACAGACAGTATTCCAGTTATATCTCAGCAAGTTAGCTTATGTGAGAGTAAAGTCTGAGGTGATGCAGATCTCAGATGTTTACCACTTTGGTATAACCCACAAGCATGGGTATGCTGCTGACAAACCTTGAAACACAATCTCTGCGAACCAGGATTTGAACCCATCATGATGAGTTCCTGACGTGCCCAAGGGAAACACCTTTGCACTATGAAATGCAGCACTTACACTAGACAGCCCTATGCCCCCTTTTGCTCTCGGGAGAAAAAACCCAGAGATGAATAAGACGTAACTGCATGTGCAAGGGCAGCAGGTAACTAAGAAGTATGTATACCAGTGTGAAATTATTATCGTCAGGAATGCCACTAGAAGACCGACCTTTGCATATGAAGCAGTGCATGTATCAAGGCACTATGTCCTAGCAAGAGCATATTAACGATTCCTGTTGTTCGTTCCAAAATCAAAGTTAAAGACCTTAGAGTCCAATTCTTTCAGCATTGCTGTCACTTCTTTGTGGAACTCACTCCCTCCCACGCAGAAATCAGCGCCAACAGTCCTTCAAGTCTAGACTTAAACAATCTCTACCAGCACTATTCCCCATGACAGTTCAGGTTGATTAGCAACTTTTGAGCAAACAGCAATCGCCAGTCCTGGTGTTGAAATATTTGCACAACTTAAATGGCCATATTATTTACTATTATGTATCTTATCTACCGGACTAGTTCTCAACTAATAAACATTTACCCACCCTGCGATGTATAACATTTACCCAACCTGAGATGTCTAACATTTACCCACCCTGCGATGAATAACACTTACCCACCCTGCGATGTATAACATTTACCCACCCTGCGATGCATATCATTTACCCACCCTGCGATGTATAACATTTACCCACCCTGCGATGTATAACACTTACCCACCCTGTGATGTATAACATTTACCCACCCTGCGATGCATATCATTTACCCACCCTGCGATGTATAACATTTACCCACCGTGAGATGTCTAACATTTACCCACCCTGCGATGTATAACATTTACCAACCCTGCGATGTATAACACTTACCCACCCTGCGATGTATAACATTTACCCACCCTGCGATGCATATCATTTACCCACCCTGCAATGTATAACATTTACCCACCCTGCGATGCATATCATTTACCCACCCTGCGATGTATAACATTTACCAACCCTGCGATGTATAACATTTACCCACCCTGTGATGTATAACATTTACCCACCCTGCGATGTATAACATTTACCCACCCTGCGATGTATAACATTTACCCACCCTGTGATGTATAACATTTACCCACCCTGTGATGTATAACATTTACCCACCCTCTGATGTATAACATTTACCCATCCTGCGATGTATAACATTTACCCATCCTGCGATGTATAACATTTACCCACCCTGTGATGTATAACATTTACCTACCCTGTGATGTACGACATTTACCCACCCTGTGATGTATAACATTTACCAACCCTGTGATGTATAACATTTACCCACCCTGCGATGTATAACATTCCCTGTGATCCAATGGTTACCACCTGTTACTGCCATGACTGTAAGAGCATAAGGTGGTAGACCAAATTCTAAGATGGGTCTATATAAGTATTACACGACTCACTCCTTGTAACATGAAGAATCAGAACCCATATCATATACAGATGCAGCTTATTGTAAAATCAGGGTCACATCTGGCGATTGGATCAGGTAGTGGTGTAATAATGTTGAAAACATGTCACTAAATGAGATGGTTATAGTGTTGTGTGTGTACACTTTGTATATCTAATCATACTTTTCGTTGTACAGTGAGTTGATTTAACGCTTCTTTGAATAGTATTTAAGCTATGTCACCTGTATCATGTTAACCTCTGAAGAAAGCCCCAAGTTTCCAGCTAACCAGGTTTCACTGTACAGTTGGTCAAGGGATAACACAGAACCTGGTCTTGAAACCGTTTGTGTAAAACAGAACATCGGACAGCATGAGCAGGTGACAAGAAGGATGACATTTATTGACATGACATGTTGATGATCACCGTGGCGATTCCAGCTTCCCACATCCCATCAGTCTTACAAATAAAGACTTTTTTAAACACTAGCCCAGAAGACTAGTGGAAACCTTTTTTCTCTAGTCCTCAGAGTTTGCAGTTGTCCTGCTTGAACGAGACAAAAAAGTTTACTACATTTTCTATCAGTCATATTCAGTTCCAATTTGTAGTCAGTAGTCTCGGGCTAGAGGACTAGCATTAATGTTGAAGGATACCCATGATGGTATCTCTGTTTGGATTCTGGGGCAAATACATCCCCAATGCACCATACTTGTTTCTCTGTAGCTATTCCGGGGCAAATAAGTCCCCAGTACCCCGTGCTTGTCTCTGTGGGCTTTCAGGGGCAAATAAGTCCCCAGTACCCCGTGCTTGTCTCTGTGGGCTTTCAGGGGCAAATAAGTCCCCAGTACCCCATGCTTGTCGTCACAGCGCAGTGAGGAGTGAGTCTACACTGTGTCCTTTCTGATTGTGTGTCATTATCATAGGGATGACATTGACTGATGTTTGTGCTCTCTACAACTTGATGCCTCCATTATTAAATGCCACTGTGAAAAAGCCGGATTAAGGCAGTGGCATTAAATCAACATTCACTCTGTCAGTGGCTGTATTAACGCTGGCACATCTCAATGTGGGAGACGGGATGACAGTCAAGGTCAAGGTCAAGGGAACTCTTCAACCTCCTTCTCCTGCCTCTCTTGTGACGACACCCATCTTGACACAAGGACTTCCTGGAACCATGACACAATGATACCATTAGATGAAGGACCAATTGTCCATGTTCCTAACACTTATTGAAAAAAATATTTCTTCGTTAACTAGAATAATCATATGAATACTTACAAAAAATATTTCTCCTAATACAAGTACTTTCACTCTCCTTATGATCAGATGGACTCTTTGCATGTTACAAACTTCAGTATCACTGGTGTAGAACTTCAACTTCGTCCTTTCAATACAATGTTTCAGTGGAGATGCTAGTAACTTTATCAAGTAAACACTGAAAGCTTAAATTCAGCTATTTTCATATGACACGGATGGGGATTGAACAACTGACCTTCTGCTCTGCGGGCAGATGCTTAATCCACTTGACCACAGAGGCGGTCTTATTTCAAAGGAGCATAACACTTAATTCTTGATTATTTTTTAAGTTGACATCGAAAATAGACCTCCTTTGCTTTTTCGTTTGAGAACATGTAACTTTATGGTGCCGGCAAACTCTGTATCAGCTCTCTGATATTCAGTGGCACTCTGCTTGTCAGATAACTCGATATACTATATTCACCACAAAATGCTAAAAGTGGTAAGAATATTTACAAAGAGGTTGCTTATTAAAACCATACACAGCTGATACAACAAGAAGTTAAATTTGTCTCCTGAGAATACGAAGTAGTTAACAAATTTGGTTTAAATGTCTGTGAAACTGGAGAAGCGAATGAGGGTTTGAGTGGGATATTCTACCTCCTGTGTTGAGACAGAGAACTAGACGGCACCCTACACATCCACCATGACATGCTGTGACACTCACCTGAACTTTAAATTGTGGTATGCAGGCAGGTGACATGAGACTTTCCTCAGTTACTCCCCTTGGTTTTATAACATAACAAATCAGCAGTTCCTGCAAATAGAAACAGTCGTTGAGTCGAGTTAACAAGGAAGACTAGATAATCTCCATTTTTATCGTATAAAAAGTGTTGAAAAGTTTCACAGTACCCTAAAGAAGCAAACAAACAAACTGCAATGAAAACACGAATCCAAATTAAAAAATTCAAATCACTACAAAAGCAGGTACATACTTGAAATTACACAACATATTATTATCTGATAATAGTAATGACTGTCGAATTGATTATAATCAATTACTGATGGGCTTGTTAGTACAAACAGATTAGGATCACTGATTAGCTCCTGAACAAATAGTGTTGGAATAGAAAGAATATTTATTCTCTTACAAATCAAGGTGGACAGACATACACATACTTTTACAGGAAATATACCACCTGCAAATATCATAATCATAATATAGTTAATGGAGTGGAACTGTTTTGATACTACAACTCTGCAGCAGGAAAATACGAAAGTGTGGTAGGTCTAATATGATGTTTGTCCCATCAGCTATAGTCCTCATCTGTGAATTGCATTCTATAGTGCAATTTGCCTAAGTCAATGTCAATTTGTACGAGTGAACACACGGTTTAGGTTGTCTTCTGTCATTGCCAAACAAGGTCCAATAAATAGGTACACTTTTTGCACTGCTTTTGTTTATCTTGAAAAAGCAGCCGGATCAAACTTTCCTTCTATCTTCTTATGTTCACACTAAAAAGCGGGAGAACCCTTCCCAGTATTCAGCTACTATGCTTTACATAACTGAGTCAGGATCAGGCAAACCAGTGATTGAAAGCATGAGCAGCAATCCACGTCATAGCAGGATACACGAACTCGGCCAACTCACAGAGCCTGACATCTTCCCAAGGCAAGGCAGTTAACGGAATACAAAAGTCCAGTGTCCACCTTTGCCAAACTAGGCAGGAATTATCATGATTATGGAGTTATATATCTTTGCTGGACTAACGAGTCTATGCATTGTCAAATCAAAATTGACATCAAGTTCCTCAACTGCCATGTAGATTTTGGTCAACTTCAGGATTTGTAAAGCATTTGTACCGTCAACTTGGCATGAACAGATATTTTCCAAATCTTTACATGTTTCTAATCAAGGTGCTCACGTGATTTGATGCACTTCGCAAATTTTTAATTAGTAATATTTTTAAATATGGATCTTGATTATCAATCTGATCAGCTTGACTGGGCGCTGCCATTTTGTTTGAAGCAAATGCAAGTGATATAAGACGTGGAATCTAAATGGCCAATAGAAGGGATATAGAAGGGACAAAACTCGTAATAGCCACTGGTGGCGCTACGATTGAGCCCAGAAATGCCAGCCTAGTTTTGGAAGGGTGGAAACTGGACTTTTACAGTCAGTTAACTCCCTTGCCTCAGAAAGATTAGAGCCTGACCACCAGATCCATATAAACCATAGGTTACTTAGGACAGATTCTGCCACGGAATCATCTCATGTCATCCTAACATGTGCTACGATGACACTACTGCAATGTAAACAAGCATGAAATACTCACATCCCCCGCCAATATGACATGTCGGGTTGTGTGTAATGCATTAGCTCCTGGGAACTATATTCACTGGGCCTTTTTGTAAAGAAATATAGTACGTTTTTCAAGATCTGCTCCGGAAACGAGGACTACCTTCATTTTCAGTCTAAATCAAAGTCGTTGCCATGGAAACTCGAAAAATAACTTTAAAAAAAAATCCAAAACTATTCAAAGGCACCAGTTCACCACTAGACCTATCAATGTGCAAAATGTGGTGAAGAAAAAATGGAACGGTTTTCAAGATCTGCTCCGGAAACGAGGACTACTGCCATTTTCAGTCTAAATCAAAGTCGGTGCCATGGAAACTAAAAAAATATTGTTTTTAAACATGCCAAACTATCAAAAGGCACCAGTTCACCACTAGACCTATCTATGTGCCAAGTATGACGAAGAATTATGGTACGGTTTTCAAGATCTGCTCCGGAAACGAGGACTACTGCCATTTTCAGTCTAAATCAAAGTCGTTGCCATGGAAACTCGAAAAATAATTTTTTTTTAAATCCCAAACTATCAAAAGGCACCAGTTCACCACTAGACCTATCTATGTGCCAAGTTTGGTGAAGAAATATGGTACGTTTTTCAAGATCTGCTCCGGAAACGAAATGTGATGGTCGGACGGAAGGACGGACGGACGGACGGCACCCATTCCTATATCCCCCTTCCACTTCGTGGCGGGGGATAATAACTGAGTCTGGCAAACCAGTGACTGAAAGCATGAGCAGAGGGCAGATACAGATTTACTATGTCTGTACCTTGGCCACGTGTTCTGTGATGCGGTTCAGTCCGGCAAGGGAAATCCATGACAGAGGTCTGTGGGTGGACCCGAGATGTTCCGTGAGCGTCTCCTCATCCACGAGTCGGACCAGCACCGAGTAGCTGCCATGGTAGAATGGGGGGCCCTCCTTATACACTACTGCAACATCAGGCAATATGTGATGGTCAGTGTGCTGTGTAGACATGCACTACAGTCCCTACATTACATGAAGGAGGGTCCTGATGGTGTATACTGTTAAAAGTAAATAAAACAACTAAAAAAATGCTATCATAAAGGTAAGATGAGTCACATTTTTTTCATTTTTATCATGTCCATAAAAAACTCAGCATTAATTAAAATTTTAATGTACTACGTAATCATGCTAAATCTTGTAAAAGTTGTATATAACTTGACCTAGTAACACGACAAAAACATTCTGCAACACAAAAAAACCATTCTGCAACACGGCAAAACCATTCCGAGTTTTGTATTTACAGAAATTACAAATTGCTGTAATGAAACAAGAGCAGAACCAGCTGTCCCAATGTGTCCAGACAGATGACCTACATTCACATAGAGATGATTTTACATGTTAGATTCAACGTGACAGCTTGTCCTCTATTCGCCTGTTTTTTTCACAACAAAAAAAAAATAAAGACTATTGACTAAAGGCCCAAAATTTGAATAAATACTGACTTGTGACACCCCCATCAGGACCCTCTTTAAAGGTCATACAACCAATTGCCTGCACCCAGTTAGATGCAATATATATTTTGCAAGAGGTCATTGTTTGAAGTTTGTTTGTTTGTTGTACGCCGCACTTGGCAATGTTCCAGCTACGAGCATATGACAGTGGCCCATAAATAATCAAGTCTTGGGTATGATGACACGTTATCAACCAAGTCACCAAGCTGGACCCTCCAATCCCTTTGGTCGCCTTTTACAACCAGCAAAGGTTACTGGGCACCTATGCTAACCCGGAATCTCAACGGATTCCTCACTGACAAGAAAGTTGAGGTTAGCACCTTAAATCAAGGTGGGTCGAGAAATCGGAATGACATAATGCTTTAAGGCCTTATCACAAGCTTATCCTGTGTGATTTTCAGAACCATTTTTATCATAATGAGTCTTGATACAATAAAGTGAAAGTATTCCTGAATGTGTTTGTTGATATTTAGGAGATAAACATACTGTGTTTTCAATGTAGAGCTAGGTTACCTGTAGATTTAACCCCCGCTAAATTGAATTTGGAACCTAACTCGCAGCGTGAGGTTTCAAACGTTAAATTTAGCTCGGTTAAATCTACAGGTAACCTAGCTCTACATTGAAAACACAGTATGTTAATCTCCATTCTACCATGACTAAATAAAATGCGAACTCTTTGGTGTTAGCAAATATACAGAGTGAAGCGGCATCGGTTGAGTTCAGTGTTTTGAGTGGGTTATCGATCTGAATTACGGAATCACCGAACAAAATATGGTGCTGTATATACTCAAGCAGTTTGTTTACACCGTAATACTTCACTCGAACTATGACAGGCATTAAAAGAATCTACACACGGCAACTTGGTAAGCTAACATGAGGTTTGGCATCCCTAAAGAAAACAAAGCAAGCTTTGCAAGGCTTTCGCTCTACATCGCGCGTCACCATTATGACGTCATATCGCTCATTGTGACGCAAAAGATATGACGTCACAGTCGTATATAGAAAAGCGCCAAAATTCCAAGCTCTCTGTTGTCTCCAAAACGTAAATACATTCCCTTTGTTGATTTCTGTCGTGTTTTTCTGCACAAAATGTATTGCCACACATCCTTTGAATATTGTAGTAACCGCATCTGTGCATTTTGTAACCTGTAATTGTAGATATAATTATTTAAATATGCCTACCGACAATGACTGAAAATAGTACTATTCTATGAATATTAGCTTTCGCAGTGATGCGGCCGTCAAACCAGCTGGTTCAATCACAGGGGGTTTATTGTGATTTAATAGCCTCTGATTGACCAATCAGAATCGAGTAAATTCCAAATTCATGGTAGAATAGAGGGTAACACTTACTGAAGTCACAGCCAAACTTGAGTCCTGTCTTGGGCACCCACCCCTTGCTGCGGTAGTAGTGGTAGGCGATGTAGCTGGGGCAGAAGTCAGCTCGACACGAACAGAACCGTTGCCATAGAGATGACAGACTGAGGTTACTCTGTAGGGACAAAGAGCTCGGTTACCATGGTTACAGTTACAAACCTCTTTCTCATATCGAAGAGTATTTGGCTTTCATCAAGACAATACAGTGAAACGTCTTTAGTTGGTAACTTTAACTTCCAGAAGATCTGGTTGGGGACATGACAGATGAACTATTGTCAAGTGAAAGAATAGTGTGTTCTTTAATTTCTTTTGAGTAGTATATACTGAAAGTAACATTCCTCCACTCCCAGAATTCAATAATCATCTAAATCCAAATTTGTGTTGATCCAGATGATTTCACTAGGAATGATACCCTCTGCACTATGGACAATGGAGGCTTCACTGTACACTCTGACACACCACTATCCAGACTATAACCATTCTTCATGGTCTTCAGGCAGAATCCTGAAGATGTTGTTATACGGACAGTATTTATTCTTTGCCATGGAACGGAGATTGACCAGTGCTTACTGGTTCATTTAAAATAAAGAAAAATATGAACACATTTGAATATGTCACCCTCTGTATTTCATAGCAGTATGAACACCTTATCAAAAGTTGAGCAGTCTATTTTTTGAGTATTCATCAACAAATAAGGCCTTAAATATTTTATATATGGTTTATGCAACTGACCGACACAAAAACCTGAAATTAGAAAGAACAAAAACTAGACCTTTTACAAAACATTTTGGTTGACTCTTTTTTATAACTTTTTGTTCTAGTGTATCAAGATGTGGATTGAGTGTGGTTCAGTGTTACTTTAAACATCGTAGCGTCAACTAAGTCCATGTTAGTAATAGTATCATGAATATGTAGCAGGGCATGGAGTCATCCCACAGATGACATCCTTACCTTGTCAGCTTGCTGACGGGGTTAACCTCTTTGGTCATGTGGACAAGGCGTCCGTCCTCTGATCAGAAGGTCCGTGGTTCATATCCCATCACGGGACTCGGAAATTTTATGGCCGCTACATTGGCGCCCAACGTGGGGCTGAGCACGTTCATATTAAATTTGAGCAAAATAAGCGTCAGTACCCTTTTATGCGGCCCAGGACGTGCCTTCTCTTGACGGGGGAGTATGTAGCAGGGCGTGGAGTCATCCCACAGACGACATCCTTACCTTGTCAGCTTGCTGACGGGGTTAACCTCTTTGGTCATGTGGACAAGGCGTCCAACCTCTGATCAGAAGGTCCTTGGTTCGAATCCCATCACGGGACTTTGAAATTTTATGGCCGCAACAAATACAGTAGGACAATCAAATGACACAGCTGGTGATTGCCGTTTAAAAGTTAGGTGACACTGACGAACATCATGAACAGGCAAGGGAACGGTCCTGACTGCTCTAGAATCATAACCAAGTCATATAATATATATGGAATTCAAACCAGCAGATCCTGGTAAAAAATAGGGACATATCTCTGCACAGTGAGATGCTGAAAATGTCTAATTACCTGTTTTTCATCAGTCACTACCAAACATCCCAGGCCATATGACAGAAAAAATGTCTGGAAAAAACAAAAAAATACTGATTATCATCATGATCATGATGATGTCAGAAACAAATACCAGGATGCAAAGATACATAACTGTGTATTATCAGATCTGTCACATCAGAATGACTTTGAACATGTTTAAACTTCTATGAAGTTTATCTATAGGACTGTCTGATTGAGCGAGCTACGTATAATGTCATTCTGGGCCCCGTTCCACAAAGCGATCTTAGTGCTATGACTGTCTTAAGCGAATGCTAAAGTATACAAATTATGATCGTCTGAGGGCCAACTTTGTGGAACTGGGACAGTTATTCAGGTATACATCAAATTAATGCTGGAGGAAACCCCGAACTCACCTCTTCAAAGCTGAGCTGGAGATGCTCCACAACAGGGTATGGGTCTTTCTTCAACACGGGGCGCCATCTTCTCTTTCTCAACTTTCTTTGCTTCTTACAATTATCTTCATCACTATCCGCCATCACAAACACATCCCCATCAAGGTCATCACTGTGGCATAAGGGGTCATATTCTACAGGGTCAAGGTCATTGCACTGCCCATTTTCAACATCTACCTGCTGTATAGGGACATCATCGCTACACTTTTTCTGACCAGTCTCCCCGGGAGGTGATGTGGCAGCTTCACCAATATTTGTCTCTGATTGGAATGTTTCTGCATTTGAAATTTGCTTGTCATTTACATTTGCACTACCTGATGTCCCATGTTCTGCCACGGACATCATATCACAGGTTTTATTATGACAGTCTACATTGCTACTTTCTTGAGCATTTGTCACGGTTGCTTCACTTTTAGCAGATTCTGAGCAACTGTGTGGTTCTCCAGTTCTTGGACTGTCCTCATCCTGGTTTTCCCTCATCTTAGCGTGTTCCTCCTCATCCTTCCCCACCTTCTGTTTTACATCTCCACTCCCAGCCTCACCCCAGAACTCTGCATCTGCCTCTTCTGTTGCCCAAGCATCCCCCACCTTCTGCTTTACAACCCCACTCTCACCCACGCCCCAGAACTCTGCACCTTCAGTTGTGTCCCATGATGCACCAGTCTCATCTGCTTTTTTGTCTTTGTCAGTACAGACATCTGCCTCCTCCTCCTCCAAATCTCTGTACTCAGTGCCTGTCTTCAATGACACTGAACTGGAGTCGAAGGAAACATCTTTATTCCCTGAATCTGACACATGCAAATTAATATCCCCTTCTCTCTGGGCTGGCTTGGTTTGAGCTGTGACCTGATCATCTCGGGTATCCATCATGGCTGTCTCCTCCTCTGATGATGAGTCTAGTGGTTCATCAGCTACATTCGTCCCAGCCCACCTCATGCGCTGTTTGAACCTGGTGTCAAAATAATACCATCAGAGAAGCAAATACCATGTCATGTTTCATTTATGTTTTCAATAAACATTTATCATCTAATTCTGTGACTAATTCTTCTCTAACAACTAAGTGTGCCAACAGCTGCAGTTAGACAGCTGACACTTACACTCTGTGACTAAATTCTCTCTAACAACTAAGTGTGTCACCGACTGCAGTTAGACAGCTGACACTTACACTCTGTGACTGATGACCCGGGGCTGGACGATACTGTCTACATCAGCTGGGTGTGGCACACGTACTGTGCGGTATCTGTGATTAAATTCAGGCTGTGATCGAGACAGGTTGCCCTTTCCAAAGAATCCCTACAAAAGAATGTAAAAATCTATTGCAATAGTACTGACATGAAACAATCAAATACATACAATTATTACCACAGTATTCCGATCAGTTGACGAATACATGTCCCATCTTCCAACGTAGACTTCCTGGCAACATTCGACATGATGACAAAGCAACGCACATCTACCAAGCCCTAGATTCAGCAAATTGCTTGTGAAGTTGTTACCATCTTTTACATGTTTAAGGTGGTTGACTGTCTGATATTTATTCATGGACATTTGCTGAATGAACACCCACATAACTATTCAAGAAAGGTGTACTTTGTTTAAAAAAAAGAATGGAAAAGTAAACAATTAACATTTTAAAATGTTTATTATGTCTACAGATAACATTGATAGTGTAGCGAGTCATCAATATCAACAATACATTATTGACAGTTTCCTTGTCATTGATGTATGGGACATGGGCAATTGTGATGCACCACCAAATAGCTGAAAACCAATCAATCACAAACTACAATTGATATCCTACTACTGAAATGATGGTAAGGACCACCTGATTCGTTCATATTACTATAGTTCATCTGTCATGCCACAACACATTACCCGGTAACTATAGTAATATGAAAGAATCGTGTGGTCCTTAACTTCTTTTCAGTAATACAAGACATCACACCTCTGTTATTGAAGTCTGTGGAACTTCTCATGGAGTGTGGATCATTGCTCACAATGTCAATCACTGGATTATCTGATCTTAATATGATTATTTATAGGCTGTCGTCATATATCGGAAATATTGCCAAGTGTGGCATTAAAAAATGAAAAAAAGGAAATTACACCTAAGTTTTATTTCTATGCATAGTGGTCTTTCTTCATCTCAAATGACTCACCATCTTAAACAGGAAGTTGATATCCCCTGAATGCCTGACTGTCACAGTGTTGCCCGTGAGGTATGCAGTGTAGAAGAACCACTGGTCAGCGCCAACGGATTCATGGGTAATGCTTTCAATGGGGACTGGGAAAGGGGATTCCTTGGTGCAGAATACTCTCTTCTTCCGTCGAGGAGCAACCAGTCTGGCCATGATACAAATCTCAGTAACCTGGCTTAAAACAAATCATGTGTGCATGTTCAGAAAGATTGAAAATGTTAATCATGGTAACAGTTAGTGGGTGAGTGGGTTTAACGCCACTTTTAACAGTATTCCAGTTATATCACGGCATGTCAGCTTAAATGGGAGGAAAGCCCGGAGTGATGTAGGTCTCAGACGTTTACCACTTTGGCGAAACCTAAGAGCACGGGTATGGTGCTGACAAACCTAGAAACATAATCGGGACGAACTGGTATTCGAACCCACAATCATAGGTTTCTGGCGTGCCCAAGGGACGCAAATCGCGGCACCTTAGATGACTGGGCCACCCGTGCTCCCTCATGGTAACAGAACACGTACGTCTTCTACATGTTCTGACAACTGGTAAAATGGCAACAACAAATGTTAGAAAATTAATCACGAACAGGAATTCCTTCATTTATAGATCATGAAATGTATTTGACACATTTAATGAAAACCAAATTCAATTAAATAAATAAATTTCATAGTTCAGATACAACTTCAAATCTATCTCAACATATAGCACAGGGCTTGCATCGCAAATATCTAAGTGTCTTGTCAAACAATCAAATACAGATTACCAGGATTATATAAAGGAATTATAACACATAAAACCTACTGTCAAATGGTTTAGATCTAAGCTAGGCTCAGTTTCTCCAGCAGTTAATTGTCAGGCGAGCCCGAGCCGAGGTACGCCCGGTAGTCTACAGCTGCATACACCTAGTATCAAAAATCAAGTACATAACAAATTGATGAATAGACCACAACTGAGGCCAGTCAAATCGCCTGTAAATGCCCTATATGATGTATTGTGACATAATACATCAACCGCATACACAGGATATAAATAAATCACACTAGCATGATCAAATGTGGCGCAAGGAGGCTGCCATCTTGAAAGGGAGAAATCTTTGCGGTGATTAGAGTGACCGGTTGTATTTGTAACCTTTGCAAAAAGGCCTGATTAAAACATGATATTAAATAATAGATAATGTTAAATATAACATAAGAATACTACATTTTTGATAATATTCAATTCACATAGAACAACTTGAGTTACAATAAAAAGGTAAATAGCAGCTCCCAATCAGAGTTATCGTCCCTGAATCATCGAAACAATTTAGAGAAGCGGACGTATAATGCCTCGGTGTTGCCCCAGAACTCAGAGTAACCAGTGTGTGATTGAAGGTTGTTTAACGCCGCATTGTCGGTAAAATAATCTCTCTTTTCAAAAATAAAAGTTGAAAGATTGTACCTCATCTATTATAATGTTTTATGGAAAACACTGAATGAAACGATTGTTTCGAAAGATGGAGAGTGTCCCGGAAACATATGCTCCCAACTGTTTGATTGGCATTCTTGATGTATTGAGCTTCTCCGGATGGTAATGTAGACGTAGTATGCCAACAGAGGGTGATTTTGCGGATGTTTCATACACCGTTTGTTTTGTGGTTTAACAACAACAACCGAGTCTGGAACAGACAATCCAGCGATTGACATCATGAACATCGACCTACGCAATTGGGATACGATGACATGCATTAACCAAGACACCGAACCTGACCACCCGATCCCGTTAGTCGCATCTTACCACAAGTATGGGTTGCTGAAGACCAATTCTGATCCGGATCTTCGCGGGTCGTTAGTGTCTGTAATACCAGTGAATCTATATACGTATTCTTAGCTCTTTATACGACTCCCTGGCAATACTTATTGAATATATATCACGTTAAAATAAAGGCACATATTTTTTTATGTGCAGTCGTCTTTCAAAATTAGTGTGTTCCTTGTCATTCAATCAAACACCACAGTGTCGAAAAGTGGCCAGTTGGTGAATTATTTGTTTTTTAAGTTCTCAAACGCCACACTGAGTAATATTCCAGCAATATGGCGGCGGTCTGTATTTAATTGAGTTTGGAACAGACATCATGAGCATTGATCTATACAACTGGGTTACGATGACATGCATCAACCTAGTCACCGAGGCAGATGACAAGTGTAGGTTGCTGGGAACCTATATTCTTACCGGGAATCCCCACAGGGGAATTGGTGAATTAAGGCTAAAGTCAACTAGTCCATGCAATACTTCAGATATATCCTAACGTTGTTAGTTCGATGTGTGCTGCTCCAACTATGAACCTTTTGACAGAGGGATAATTATGTCAAAACTGTCTATCATTATAATATCGATTATCTTATCGAATTTGGAGATATCTAAAACGCAAACTTGACTTAGGAAGAATTAGTCAAGAATTAGGATTAAATTCGAATGATTTTGCTAGAAAGTGCTTTGAAGTCATTTTAGAGAGTTTCCAACCCGCACATTACATCGCGTGTATCATGGACTGACGAACGTCATAGTACGTCACGATTCCAACCTGGAGAATACCTATGTAGTACACAGTGTATGTAAGACACAGGACCTCTGTTCCACAAACACATTTGCGCTACTACTGTCATACGTAGATGTCTACTAAGGCGTTTTTCTTATTACTTGGTTCACGGATCCGCCAATTTCAATTTTTTCACACCAAAAATGAGAATAGTATTTTTGTATTACAACACTCTTAATGAAAAACAATTCTAATGTAGCGAAATAGAGCAGGGGAAGTTTATCCCTTTGATTTTCTATTTCCCACAACGATTTATCTCTCGTTAATAATTTCATTGTTTCCCGCACACTTCATTAGGGGGATCGGGGGATCGTATATTGTTTGGTCATTGCTTTGAATAACATCACATCTCAAAATTTTCTTTCCATATTTCCCACTTTCTACATTCCACACACCCGAATATCCAGACTATTCTGTTTGATCTCTATTCTATTCTAATAGAATGGGTATATTTTGCAATGGATAATCAGTTTATAGTGAGTGAGTATGGTTTTACGCCGCGTTTTGCAATATTCCAGCAATATCTCGGCGGGGGACACCAGAAATGGGCTTCACACATTGTACCCATGTCGGGGCTCGAACCCGGGTCTTCGGCGTGACGAGCGAACGCTTTAACCACGAGGCTACCCGACCGCCCCTAATACAGTTTGTAAGAAGACGACATAAATCTACATTGTATTTCATTTGGATGAAGGGATACATGCAGTAATGTGTGTACTGTACAGAGGTGTGTAGTACTTCTTTACAGGGGTAACCACCATAGGCCATATCCAACTAGCTCGGATCTCAGTTCGGACTAGTGGTTTGTGCAAACTATGTAGATTTAGGTAGAAATCAGCTTGTCTCTCTGGATTATTACTTTTGTCAGACTAACGTACTAGTGGTGATGGCTAACTCTGCTTCTTAAGTGATGTTTATGGTTTATGATACACACGCACACACACACACACACACGCACACACACACACACGCACACACACACACACACACGCACGCACACGCACACGCACACACACACACACACGCACACGCACACGCACACGCACACGCACACACACAAGAGCTCACTCCTTCCTCCTCAGCCCCATCTACCTAGATTCACCAACTGCGCCCCCCACCCCCTTACTGCCCATATTAATTATCCAGGATACTATCTCTACATTCATTTACAAATACAATGATAAATACAATGAACCCATTGTCTTCCTTAAAATATTATAGCGATTCAATCAAGTTACTCCGAAACGAATGTTATGGTGACGAACCCGTCCAGGGTATTTTTCATAATCGAATGGGGATATACTACCATGGAAAAGCGAGGATGTTCTGGGACACTATAACTATAATGCATATCAAATACATGTCCTCAAGTTCTGTAATCACTTTTCTTTTTTATCAATGTATGCCGTAGGTTACAAACAGACTATAGAGTACAGTTTGACACATGTCTCACTGAATTTTGTATGCCGGGACAATGGTAGGCACCCATCATGGAGTGTAACAGTATTTATTTATTATTTATTCTACGTCTGGAATTCACCATACACTATTCATCATGAGACTATAATTAAATGAAACTGTTTAGTATAAATGTAGCATACAACCCGGGTGTAAATTCATACCTTCCTACAACTTCCCGAGGCAAGGGAGTTAACTGACCATAAAAGTCCAGTTTCAACCCTTGCCGAACTACGCTGGTATTATGGAGTTACATTTTGGCTGGACTAACGAGTCTATGCATAGTCCAATCAAAATCGTGCAACGAAATCGAAATCCGGTAGGTAAACTGTCGTGTAGATTTCGGTCGATTGCAGGATTTACAAAGCATGTACACCGCCAACTCGTTGTCAACAAATCTTTTCCAAATCTTTTCATGTTTTTAATCAAGGTGCTCACCCATTTTTTTATGTACTTCGCGATGTAAGACCCGTTTTATCACACTATAGAACTTGATTATCGATCAGATCGTCTTGACTGGGCGCCGCCATTTTGTTTGATACAAATGCAAGTAATACGAGAGGTGGAATCTGATTGGTCCATAAGAGAGGCTCAGAAGGTCCATGACTCGTAATAACCACTGGTGGCGCTACGATCGCGCCCAGGAATAACAGCCTAGTTCGGCAAGGGTGGAAACTGGACTTTAAAAGTCAGTTAACTCCCTTGCTTCGGGAAGATGACCTTCCTATGGTACACTTTCTCTGATTGGTTGGTTGGTTATTTAACGCCGCACTCAGCAATATTCCAGCTATATGACGGCGGTCTGGACCAGACAATCCAGTGATTAATATCATGAGCATCGATCCACGCAATTTGGATCGATGACATGCATCAACCAAGTCAGCGAGCCTGACCACCCGATCCCGTTAGTCGCCTCTTACGACAAGCATGGGTTGCTGAAGACCTATTCTACCCCGGAATCATCACGGGTCACTGAACGAAGTTATTCGTCGCATATCAGTATTAAAGTGACAGGGAACCCTGGTATGTGTGAAAATATAGCTTGTATCAGTGAGGTGGAGAACACTGTCAGAAACAGTCTTGGAATATCATAAGAATTAAACGCGACAAATCTGTTTCCATAATCATAAGAAATATCCGCTAAAACCAGAGTCTGTTGTACGATTCCGACTATGCTATAAGCATGTGTTTATGAATCACTATCAAATAGCGACGATACCCGGTGCTCGCGAAAAGGTGAGCGTATCCTGCCCCACCAGTGGCACCCCGCATTAACCTATTGAAAGGCAAGTCAGTAGTACAAGTAAGGGAATCCTTATGAGTGCGTGAGAACATGTTGTTTTACGCCAAAGTCAGCAGGACTACAGCTACATTATGCCGACGACCTCTAAATACTCGAGTCTGGACCAGGCAAACCAAACCAGTGGCTGACAGCATGAGGACGACCAACGGAAGCAGCAAGGTGCCACATTCGATCCTCATGATTCGCCTCTTACCACAATCAAGGGTTACTGGGGATCTAGTCTGCCCCGGAATCCCCGCGGGTGTGTAATGCGTAGACAGGCATTTGTTACGGAGACCTTTCAGAGCCATTTGTTTTTATAGTTTGGTCTTGAAATATCAAGAAACTAATTTGAAATTTCAAGATAATAAGTTGATATTTCAAGTTAGTATCTGAAGATGCTATGTTGAAATTTCTAGATACATATCAAGATAATGATCTTTAAAAAATCGAGATAAGGTGAAAGTTTAAGATTTTGACCTGAAATTTTAAGATACTAAGTTGAAATTGCTAGATGCTATGTTGAAATTTCGAGATTTCAAATGAGTATTTTGATATTTCAACATAACATATTGAAATTTCAACTTATTATCTTGAAATTTCAATGAAAAAATAAAAAAGCAAATGACCCTAAAAGGTTTCCGTAATTTGTTGTAGGCATCACATCTTGGATTCTGTATGGAGAGTGTTCAGAGCCATCCAGACTTATATTTAACATGAAAAAATATATTTATTTTTTTAATGACGCAAATCGTTCCACAAACCGACCACAAATATACCTTATACATTTATCAGTAACTAAACCCAAATCAAACACGTGAACTTTATAAATGGTTATCTGAAAACATGACTAATATTTTCTTTTGTGATCTACTTTCACGAAAACGATCTATAAACCAAGAAGTCTTGTGTAGCTTAAGAAATTGTTAAATGTATTTGCGGGTAGACAATCAACCACAAACATGGGCGACCAGCACAGTATTTTGTATTCCACATGCAGGTATTTCGTAGTGCTTGTGTCTGATATAAAAGATATTTCACTCGCAGCATGTCTGACGCATAACCCATGGAAAAGTACACGTTCAAGCGAAATTGCTGAAAGATATTGGTCTAGATGCTGTTATTCAATTATAGTCCAAATACTCGAAGTTGAATGAACCGGGGGCGAGTACAGCACGCTGACAGACTGACAATAGAATGTTTCTCCGAGTTGTTGAGGTGTGACAGATTCACCTTAGCGTCTCTCGCCATACAGCCGCGCACCTCTCTCCGCTCTAGGCTGGTTCATTGTTGAGAGAGAGGGACGGATTTAGGATGGGTGACCTACATCGGGGGAAGAACTGGCGAAATATGATCCGTCTGCTCCCCTGAATACAAAATGGAGGATGTTCGAACGCGGGGTTGAGAAAGTTTGTTGATGGTGTTTTAGCGGTGTGGACATGGGAGGAGAGGATTGCAGGGTAAAGTCTCTGCAGTTTATCGGAAAGTCCTGTTAGGGAAAAAACTGGTAGATAGTGCACTGCATCAGCGATGGAGGGAAGCAGTGATTGAAGGAAGATCATACCTGGATTGCTGTGAGTGAATTGATGGAGTGGTGCCTAGTAACACCCCGGTGTGAATGTGACCGGGTGGTGGAAGGGAATTCAGTGTTGGAAACTTGCGACCGATGTGTGTGCTAATTTACATGGTCATTCAACAAGTTGCTCATGCATGTTTAACGTGCCTGTTATGCAGAAGGACGAGCTGGTGCCGTGGTTTTCTCCTTATTGGATTAAAGTAACAAACATATGCAACTGTAATGACTGATTTGCCACAATGATATGGTGCTATACGGAACTACGTTTTGGGATAGATTATTCATACGGCCTTATCAAGAAGTGGAACGATTTACTTTAATACTCTGGTTTTCCTGCTGAGTTTTCTTAATTCATCCCAATATTGACACAGTGGATTAGAGAGCGGCTCTGAATGTTAAACGATTTTGAGTATTTGTTTAGGGTGATCCCTCGTCACCCCTTGTACATACGACATATCATATGACGAACATCCATTAAACTCTGCCGCTCCAACAGTTCTTGATGTTTTCAAGTGGGGTATTTAAGTTTCCTGAAAACATTTCGTGAGAAGGGTCAGTTGAGGTGTATACGTCGGAAGTCTGGATTGAGTTAACACAAACACAATCCGTGAATCATATCCACACCCTAGTGTTACTCGCCTGTTTCCAACAATGGCACTACTCTCAGACACAATGGACGGGGCGCATACTGTATTACACTTTACAAAACGTTCAACTTTATTTAACATTGTTGCAATGTTAATATTTCTAGACTTGCTTAAATCGTCCCATAGTGCAAATTGTCACATTAATACAACGAATTGCATACCTTTTGGAATAAAAGGTAAAAAATGTTTAGGAACAACGCTGGACTTTGAGTACACGTCTCTGGAATTTGCCAACGATTCTTCAACTCTGGCCCAGGTGGATGAAAAGCTGGCACTTTGGAGCGGGCTACAAAATGTCCCGCAGTGCTGGTCAGTTGTACAGCCGTTCCTGTGTTCTGTGTATTTCCCCAAGTGTGACAACAACACGGAGCTCTTGGAACTACCCAGTAAGGAGCTCTGTGAGAAGATTAGAGAGCCTTGTAAAATAGTGGAGTCTTTCCACAGCTGGCCGTCGTTTCTCCAATGTCACCAACCCCACTTCCAGGAAAATTGCAAGGTTTGTATGCAATGAACGTCCCAGCCTGGCGTATATTTGATTGTGAGACGAAATTGGTGCACATTTTGTTTATGTGATTGCCGTGTGTGATATATTGTTGGAAAGTTAGTGTTTGTGGAAGTGTCCCAGTTTATACTCTGGAACTGCACCTTAAGTCTGATTGGATGACTGACATGTACAGGAACCCGTTCCACAAAGCGATCTTAGTGCTAAGTTGGTCGTAACTCCCCTACTTCATCATAGGCTTACGATCAACGTAGCACTAAGATCGGTTTATGGAACGGGGCCCTGGTCTTGAAGCTGTGACTTCGGAAATCTACATCGGTTCCCAAGTAATTAGTTACGGCAAAGAATAAGTCTTCAGCAATCCATGCTTTCCGTAACAGACGACTGTGCTTGTTATAAGAGGCGACATACGGGATCGGGGGGTCAGGTCGCTGACTTAGTTGATGCATATCATCGTATCCCAATTGCGTGGATCGATGCTCATGATATCAATCACTGAATTGTCTGGATTGTCTCAATTATTTACAGACCGCCGTCATATAGCTGGAATATTGCTGAGTGCGGCGTTAAACAACAAACGAACAAACAAACAAAGCATACATCAAGTTGTTATGTCTGTCCCAAATACCTCCACTGATCCACTCCATCTTGTATATAGGAATTATTAATTGTTGTTGAAAATCAGGCTCCACCAGTGTCACTACAATCCACTCCACCACTACATGTATGCCGTGGTTTTAGAACTCAGTCAGTCAATGATTACAACTAGTTGTTATGAATGGCTATATAATTCAGTGGTGTTAGACACATAGATGATTGACACATTCGCAGAGCACACCTGGATACAGGTGTACAGGGTTTGGTTATTCAGGCTAAGAAGTGAATGGCTTATAATTCTGAATAGAATGTGATGTCCAGGGTGTTACATTGTCATGGTGTTATATGGTCATGGTGTTATATGGTCATGGCGTTATATTGTCATGGTGTTATATTGTCATGGTGTTGCATTGCCATGGTGTTACATTGCCATGGTGTTATATTGTCATGGTGTTGCATTGCCATGGTGTTACATTGTCATGGTTTTGCATTGTCACATTATCCTGGTGTTACATTGTCATGGTGTGACATGGTCATGACATTACATTGTAATGTTGTGACATTGTCATGGTGTTACATTGTAATGTTGTTAAAATGTCATGGAGTTACATTTACATGGAGTTGCATTGTCATAGTGTTACATGGTCATGGTGTTGCATTGTCACATTGTCAAGATGTTACATTGTCATGGTGTTGATTGTCATAGTGATACATTGTCATGGTGTTACATTGTCATGGTGTTGCATTGTCATAGTGTTACATTGTCATGGTGTTGCATTGTCACATTGTCATGGTGTTGCATTGTCACATTGTCAAGATGTTACATTGTCATGGTGTTGCATTGTCACATTGTCACGGTGTTACATTGTCATTGTGTTGCATTGTCGCATTGTCAAGATGTTACATTGTCATTGTGTTGCATTGTCACATTGCCACGGTGTTACATTGTCATGGTGTTAAATTGCCATAGTATTACATCGTCATGGTGTTGCATTGTCATGGTGTTGCATTGTCACATTGTCATGGTGTACATTGTCATGGTGTTACATTGTCATGGCATTACATTACTATGGCATTGCATTACCATGGTGTTGCATTGTCATGGTGTTACATTGTCATGGTGTTACATTGTCATGGTGTTACATTGTCATGGTGTTACCTACAAGGAAATGCAATAACTCCGGAATGTTGCCAGTCAGCCAAGCGTGACTATAACAAAAGGGCGCCCTGCATGCCAGTGTATCGTTCCATCATTAGGTGCTCACTTTTCTGCTAACAAGATACAAGCGTGTGTCCCTGATTGCTGGGTCCGTGTGGGTTGAATGAAGGTGACAGGCCGCTGTGTGTTCTACTGTGTGGCGACTTTGTATGAGGTGTATGGGCTGTAGGTTATTGTGCCTGGGACTCGATCAAACAGCACTGGGGGCACGGAGTGGCTGAATGGGTGACACTGTTGCCGCCGTGATCTCCATGTACACTATATAGGTCTCTACACTATTATGTCTCCATATTGCACGGACTTAGTAGGGTTTTGAACACTGCTTGTTGATATGCTGAGTGGTCACTGAGAAAGATATCTGGTTGTAAAGAATATTATTCAAAGGCTCGACAGATTTATGCATGCTTTACAGATTTTCTTGGTCAATGTGTCCAGATGATGCGGATAGGAAAAAAATATTGTAAAGAATGAAAATCTAATTATGATCAAACAAAATTCTAAAAACAAAATGTTTTTTTTCAATTTAGTGGTTGGGCTTCAGACGACAAAACAGCCAACTTTGCTAAGCCAGAAAAAGTAGCAGGCCTATGCCAATAACGGACAATACTAAAAACTGAAACAGCAGGTCTGAGTATATTTAAAACCAAAAAAAAAATTTTTTTATATTTGTATTTTCGGCACATTTAAAAGATTTTCATTCTTTTTTCAAAGAAAGGTAATTCATCTTGTGATTGTTGATAGTGACGTTTTGTCCATGTTACCATGGTAACTATTCCTAATGTTTTCCCACATTTGGTGTCAGGATGTAATTTCTTAAAATGTACATATTGAGACATTGCCTGTCCAGGCCATTGTCAGACTTGAGAGAAAACATCCCAATGTGTCATATTTGAAAAAAACAGGAAATTAACAACGCGCGTGTCGGTCTGACGTTGATTAATGAATAATTTGCATACTCGTATATGCAAGGGGCCGACGTATGGTTCTCAGTAGGAAGTGACAACTTGGAGACGATGGCTTGCGGTATATACAGTTTTACTTTATACATGTAGATATATACATACAAAAGACACTATGTGCCAGGTCAGCACATAGTGGTAGTGGTTGTTGTCTAGGTGCCCCGGAGCACCCAGCCTAACCCTAGCTAGGCTAAGGGTAAGACCTTTCTTTTTTTCCTTCTTTTCTCAATCTCTCTGGATCAAGGCTTATATAGCCAAGGTCACCTGACATTTAGTAAGTAATAAATATAAGTGTAAACCGTAATTCATCAGCAGGATGGCAAACGGTCGATGTACACAAAAATGGGGATTAACAATTAGGATTAGCATCTTATAAATAACAGCAACTAAGTGTTTCAAGGCATATAGATGTCATGGCTCCAGGGTAATGAGCCTTTGCAATTAAATGTTCTTCAGACAATGGGTGTCGTAAATCAGTCGCTATGACAAAATTGTCAAATTTGAGGTGCATGACATTGTCAGACTTGTGTGAACATGACATTGTCAGACTCAAGGGTGTACATAACATTGTATAGTGGGCCTGCTCCAGGCTATTCAGCCATGACAGTAAATTCCGAGTTGACTTCGGTCCACTATCACATTACCCAGGGGGAATCTACCTGAACTAACGAGCTTGTGTAGTCACGTGTGAGGGGCAAAAAATCATCTGAAACCTAGAAATGCATATCCTGTCTATTGTTATGTTTAAGAGAGTGTTCCAGGAAGGAGCATGTTGAGCCGCCAGTTTTTGTGTGTGTTTTGTTTGTTGTTTACGCCGCACTCAGCAATATTCCAGCTATATAACGTCGGTCTGTAAATAATCGAGTCTGGACCAGACAATCCAGTGTCACATCATGAGCATCGATCCACGCAATTGGGATACAATGACATGCATCAACCAAGTCAGGTGCCTGACCACCCAGTCCCGTTATTCGACTGTTACAGATTCCGGTTTCACATTCATTTGCTGAACTATTTTTCATTAAAAAGTTGCACTTGTTCATGTAACCAATCCTGACAATTAACTGATTTGCAAACCCCCAAACAGCATTCTTTCGGGGTTTGCATATGAGGAAAGGCTGTGGGTTTTTAAAATGAGAAACAAGTCTTTTTTAAATTTGGCCTTACCTGCTGCCTTGGTGAAGGTGTTTGTCCAACAGGTAATGTGATCTTAGTGATATGTTTATCTAGCATCAAGGATGTTTTCCCAAACACCTGAGGCTGGTGTCACTGGATGTCTTTATCAGGCGAGGGGATGTGATTAGTTGAAATACGATAATGTTGAGTAATCAGCAGCTGTGACTGAAGCACAAGTGAGTGAGGTTATCCACACACCTATGGATGAATAATTAAGATATCTAAGAAGGTTCATGATAGATTTTCTTTACAGGAATGATATTGTTTTCTATGGCAGGTGTTTCTGGGGGCTTTCTTGTTAGGCCTGAACAATTTATTTTCTTGATTTTTTCACATGTCTACACTAAACTTAGCTTAAAGTAAAACACTTGATAATTAAAAATGCAAAATTTAATTTAAATGTTCTTCTGCATATTGGGTTCGCAGTCTTGGTGTAACTTATATCTCTAAATTATAATTCTGCTATTTTTTGGGTTGAGTCCCATCCAGGATTCCCCAGTTCCCTAAATAATGTTAGCATTTTTAACTTTTGTATCTGAAAAAGTAGAACTCTGTGAGTTTATCATGACTGCCACTCCCACCAGATCTTGATTAGTTAGAGGCTGTTGTTGTATAATTGGGATACTGCTGAGGGCAGGTTAAACGACATTCACATTCAAACAATTCAATGGATAATATATTATATTTGAAATGCTTGTAAATGAAGGGGCTACATGATATATTTTCTTTGAAAAAGTGTTGATTTATAAGTATGAATGAACCAAAAATAAAGGGTGTTGAAATAGGATTATTTTAATCAAATACAAATTTTTGGATTAAGGTGTTTTTAGTTTTGCAAAATTCAGGACAACTTTACAGATTCATCAGTAATTGACATAGAAACAGTAACGATGCAAGCTGAAATCATATAGGATGCTTTGTTCTAAACATGGCAGTGAAATACTGGTGTTTTCTGATTGAAAAAACAAATGCAACTAAGTTGTTTATTATAAAGAGATCTGTGACTTGGGACCATTTGAAAGATGCAAATATGCTCTTAGGTTGGAAGAATTTGTAGAAAAGTTCAATATTTTACAGATGTTTACCTCAAAGCCATGTGGAACATAAAATATACTCCAAGATATCATTGGACAAAATGGGATGCTCAATTTGCTAATATCATGAAGTTCTACAGTCTTTACCTTCATGTGATGTGAGATGGATTAACAAGGTTTCAACAATGTCAGTTTTGTTCAACTTGATCACCATGTCACTCTATTCTTTATAACCTAGGGCCACCAAAATTACTACCCAGGTACCCAACTCCCTATTACCTTACCCTACCAAGGTACCCAACTCCCTATTACCTGACCCTACCAAGGTACCTGACTCCCTATTACCTGAACCTACCAAGGTACCTGACTCCCTATTACCTGACCCCACCAAGGTACCTGACTCCCTATTACCTGACCCCACCAAGGTACCTGACTCCCTATTACCTGACCCTACCAAGGTACCTGATTCCCTATTACCTGACCCTACCAAGGTACCTGACTCCCTATTACCTGACTCTACCTAGGTACCAAACACCCTGTTACCTGACCCTACCCAGGTACCAGACTCCCTATTACCTGACCCTTCCCAGGTACCCAACACCCTGTTACCTGACCCGACCCAGGTACCTGACTCCCTATTACCTGACCCTACCCAGGTACCCAACACCCTATTACCTGACCCTACCCAGGTACCAGTCTCCATATTACCTGACCCTCCCCAGGTACCCAACTCCCTATTACCTGACCCTACCCAGGTACCAGACTCCCTATTATCTCACCCTTCCCAGGTACCCAACACCCTGTTACCTGACCCGACCCAGTACCAGACTCCCTAATACCTGACCCGACCCAGGTACCCAACTCCATATTTCCTGACCCTACCCAGGAACTCACTTTTAGGACATAAGAGTTGGGTCCACCTGACCTGAGTACCCAAGTTACCCGTCCTACCTCTAATACAACCTTCCCAATTTGTTTGACAGCCCGAGTCGTATGAGAAAGCGTCCTTCAACACAACAGGTCGGTGTGAGCCCCCGCTGATCAAGACGTCCTTGAGGGAGAGCTGGTACGAGGATGTTGAGGGGTGTGGCATCCAGTGTCAGAACCCACTCTTCACCCTAGAGGAGCACCAGGAAGTTCACGCTTTCGTCGCCGTCTGGGGGGCGCTGTGTCTCGTCTGCACACTCTTCACTGTGGTGAGTCGCGATAACAGATGACCACACCCAGATCAGGGATTTATCTCGATTTCAAACTTAGTGCCCTTGGCGGGCAAATTGGGAAAAAAGCTGAATGATTTTGTTTAAACTTGGATTATTTTATGGTTCATATTTTTGAAATTCTGAGGAAATGGGAATTTTTTGTTTCAAATTGTTAATTTTTAATGTCATTTGCTTCAGACCTCGGGCCAAAAATAGGCCTCTGAGAAGGTCTAGATAAATTACTGCAGATATATATTCAACAGAACCTGGATCATGGTCTTTCTTGGTGGCTCAACTTTGGTTGCTGGCTACCTGTAGCCATGGGGTCGCATCCTACAATATAGGATAATGATACTTAATACATCCAGCTAATAATATCTACACATTTTTTAACCAAAAGATTCATTCAACTGCAATTGTGATTGAATGTTAGGGTGTTTTTGAAAGTTACCAAAGTAAACTTTTGACCATAGATTAGATGACATTATGAAAGTGACACTGATGATTTTGATTTGTAGCTGACGTTTGTGATAGACTGGAAGAATGCCAACAAATACCCTGCCCTCATTCTGTTCTACATCAACGCCTGCTTCTTTGTGGGGAGCATCGGTTGGCTGGCCCAGTTTGCTGGAAATGCTCGTGAGGACATCGTGTGTCGCTCTGACCGAACTGCACGTATGGGAGAGCCACAGCTTGGGTAGGTTCACTTTACAGCAAGTGAGGACATAGTGTGCCCTCGGACCAAGCAGTCTGTATGGGAGAGCCGAAGCTTGGTTAGGTTCATTTTACAGTCAGTGAGGACATCATGTGTTGCTCTGTCCAAACAGTCTGTATGAGAGAGCCACAGCTTAGGTAGGTTCCCTTTATGATCGTGAACTTTAGGTTAAACACTGCTTTGAACAATATTCAGTATTGGTGCTGACAGATGATGGATCTAATCAGGTAGAAACTGGAATTCAAACCCAGGACCCATAAGTCCAGCAAGCTAAGAACATCAACTCAGGTGCCCCAGACCACCCACTGGAGACACAGTGACACCCTGTTAATCAGAAAAGTACTTTCCCCAGTTCTGACCAGATTACCAAATTTGAAATCAACAGTTCGTGCAGCATTGCCATTTGTATAGACATTCCTAGTATCAACTGTATGGGAAAAGGGTTTCTTGACTAGCAGGGTCTTACTGTAGATCAAAGTTCAAGAGCCGGTTCCACAAAGCAATCTTAGCACTAAGATGATCATAACTCCTATACTTTAACATAGACTCACAACACTCTTAGCATTAGATAATCATAACTTGTAACACTTTACCATAGACCTATGATGATTGTAGTGCTAAGATCTCTTCATGGAAGGGGGCTCTGGTCAAGTGTCCCATCACTGTAAGATCTCTTCATGGAAGGGGGCTCTGGTCAAGTGTCCCATCACTGTAAGATCTCTTCATGGAAGGGGGCTCTGGTCAAGTGTCCCATCACTGTAAAATAACTTCATGGAAGGGGGCTCTGGTCAAGTGTCCCATCACTGTAAGATCTCTTCATGGAAGGGGGCTCTGGTCAAGTGTCCCATCACTGTAAGATCTCTTCATGGAAGGGGGCTCTGGTCAAGTGTCCCATCACTGTAAGATCTCTTCATGGAAGGGGGCTCCGGTCAAGTGTCCCATCACTGTAAGATCTCATCATGGAAGAGGGTTCTGGTTAAGTGTCCAATCACTGTAAGATCTCTTCATGGAAGGGGGCTCCGGTCAAGTGTCCCATCACTGTAAGATCTCTTCATGGAAGGGGGCTCTGGTCAAGTGTCCCATCACTGTAAGATCTCATCATGGAAGAGGGCTCTGATTAAGTGTCCCATCACTGTATGATTGTTCATGGAAAGGGGGTCTGGTCAAGTGTCCCATCGCTGTAAGATTGTTCATGGAATGGGGCCTTGGTCATGTGTCCCTCATCATTGCAGTATCTACAAAAGTGCTGATGCAGCTAAAAGCCAACTTTACCCCAGTGTTTGATGTGTTCCAGGTCTGGAGAGTCGGCGTCCTGCACGGTGGTGTTCCTGCTGGTGTACTACTCCATGATGGCTGGGGTCACCTGGTTCGTCATGCTGGCCTATGCATGGCACATCACCTTCAAGGCCCTGGGCACGCCCCGAGACAACCTCAGCAGCAAGACAGCCTACTTCCATCTCGTCAGCTGGTTCCTGCCCCTCGTCTTGTCCATAGTCTGTCTGGCAATCTCAGAGGTATCATACCATTCCAGTGACTGGTTGTATGGATAGCAGTGTCAAACCTTTGTTGTAACTAGTTGTTTAGATAGAAGTAGCAATTAACCAACGTTGTAACTAGTTGTACAGATAGCAGTATCAAACCTTTGTTGTAACTAGTTGTCTAGATAGAAGTGTCAATTTAACCATCATTGTAACTAGTTGTACAGATAGCAGTGTCAAACCTTTGTTGTAACTAGTTGTCAAGATAGAAGTAGCAATTAACCATCATTGTAACTAGTTGTACAGATAGCAGTATCAAACCTTTGTTGTAACTAGTTGTCTAGATAGAAGTGGCAATTTAACCATCATTGTAACTAGTTGTACAGATAGCAGTGTCAAACCTTTGTTGTAACTAGTTGTCTAGATAGAAGTGGCAATTTAACCATCATTGTAACTAGTTGTACAGATAGCAGTGTCAAACCTTTGTTGTAACTAGTTGTCGAGATAGAAGTAGCAATTAACCATCGTTGTAACTAGTTGTACAGATAGCAGTATCAAACCTTTGTTGTAACTAGTTGTCTAGATAGAAGTGGCAATTTAACCATCATTGTAACTAGTTGTACAGATAGCAGTGTCAAACCTTTGTTGTAACTAGTTGTCGAGATAGAAGTAGCAATTAACCATCGTTGTAACTAGTTGTACAGATAGCAGTATCAAACCTTTGTTGTAACTAGTTGTCTAGATAGAAGTGGCAATTTAACCATCATTGTAACTAGTTGTACAGATAGCAGTGTCAAACCTTTGTTGTAACTAGTTGTCGAGATAGAAGTGGCAATTAACCATCGTTGTAACTAGTTGTACAGATAGCAGTATCAAACCTTTGTTGTAACTAGTTGTCTAGATAGAAGTGGCAATTTAACCATCATTGTAACTAGTTGTACAGATAGCAGTGTCAAACCTTTGTTGTAACTAGTTGTCTAGATAGAAGTGTCAATTTAACCATCATTGTAACTAGTTGTACAGATAGCAGTGTCAAACCTTTGTTGTAACTAGTTGTCGAGATAGAAGTAGCAATTAACCATCGTTGTAACTAGTTGTACAGATAGCAGTATCAAACCTTTGTTGTAACTAGTTGTCTAGATAGAAGTGGCAATTTAACCATCATTGTAACTAGTTGTACAGATAGCAGTGTCAAACCTTTGTTGTAACTAGTTGTCAAGATAGAAGTAGCAAATAACCATCGTTGTAACTAGTTGTACAGATAGCAGTGTCAAACCTTTGTTGTAACTAGTTGTCTTGATAGAAGTAGCAATTAACCATCGTTCTAACTTGTTGTAAGGTAGCAGTGTCAAACCTTTGTTGTAACTAGTTGTCGAGATAGAAGTAGCAATTAACCATCGTTGTAACTAGTTGTACAGATAGCAGTATCAAACCTTTGTTGTAACTAGTTGTCTAGATAGAAGTGGCAATTTAACCATCATTGTAACTAGTTGTACAGATAGCAGTGTCAAACCTTTGTTGTAACTAGTTGTCAAGATAGAAGTAGCAAATAACCATCGTTGTAACTAGTTGTACAGATAGCAGTGTCAAACCTTTGTTGTAACTAGTTGTCTAGATGGGGTGGCAATTTAACCATCATTGTAACTAGTTGTACAGATAGCAGTGTCAAACCTTTGTTGTAACTAGTTGTCTTGATAGAAGTAGCAATTAACCATCGTTCTAACTTGTTGTAAGGTAGCAGTGTCAAACCTTTGTTGTAACTAGTTGTCTAGATAGAAGTGGCAATTGAACCATCGTTGTAACTAGTTGTACAGATAGCAGTGTCAAACCTTTGTTGTAACTAGTTGTCTTGATAGAAGTAGCAATTAACCATCGTTCTAACTTGTTGTAAGGTTGCATAAATAGAGGTTTCAAACCAATATTGTGGCTTGCAACACCCAAGAATATTATTAGAAACACTCCTTGATATGTGATGACGGGTAAAATTGCCAACATTCACCAGCCACTGAAAGAATGGTGTAAATCCTGCTAGGGAACTGGGCAGGTAGTAGATGTACTATAAGTCCCAACAGTACCTAGTATGATGGCCTAACTTTCGATCTTTAGCCAGTTTTTAGATTGTATGTTGAGTGATAGTTTCAGCAGCCTTTCTATGTTCTGGGGGCATGGGTGGCCCAGTCATCTAAGGTGTTGCGATTCGCTTTGCAGAGTTGCGTCCTTTGGGCACGCCAGAAACCTATGATTGTTGGTTCGAATCCCCGATTATGTTTCTAGGTTTGTCAGCACCATACCCGTGCTCATGGGTTTCACCGAAGTGGTAAAAATCTGAGACCAACATGACTTTGGGCTTTCCTCCCACATTAAGCTGACATGCAGTGATATAATTGGAATACTGTTAAAAGCAGCTTTAAACCCAACTCACTCAAATATTGCTGATGTGACTCAAATGTTTAGTTCACTCACCTATATGAGTCATGACTTATTGTAAGTATGACCATTTCCAGATTGATGGAGATTCACTAAGCGGAATCTGTTTTGTTGGGTACATGAAGCATGGCATCCGAGCTGGATTTGTCCTTGGTCCTATAGCAGTGGTGCTTGTATGTGGACTCGTCTTCCTGGTCAGAGGTAAGTAAGGACACCCTGTATCGAGACCTAACACTTGGCCAGCATCCATCTTAGAACTGCCCACCAAGCCATGAAAATATCAAGTACCATATACATACTATTTTTATGTGGCATTTTAGAAGCGGTAGGGGCTGTGGGGTAGCATAGTGGTTAAAGCTTTAGATCGTTATGCTGAAGACCTTGGTTTGATTCCCCACATGGGTACAATGTGTGAATCCCATATCTGGTGTCCTCGCCGTGATATTGCTTGAATATTGCCAAAGTGCTGTATAAACCATACCAAAAGCTGGAGGAATTATTTCTCCTTCTTCTATACTGTCAATTAAATGTGATGTTTTTCATACAGATGCTAATGCTGTTATCACGCTAGTGATAACCTAGGACTACAGATACTCAAGTTTTCTACAGAGTGGTCTCCCTTGATAAGGTGACAAATGGGGATGACCTTTTTGATGGCCTATTGCTTTGTCAGCTCATGCTTTGTACTTCCAGGTCTTATTACGCTGATCAAGATCAGAAAGAATGCCCCAACCTTCATCAGTGAAAAAGCTACGTCCAAAATCCGAGAGACAATTCTCCGTTTAGGTAATAACTATATAGAGTGCATGATCTTCACCAGTACCACATAGACAAAAAAAGCATGTTGAGTGACAAGACTGATGACGTCTCTAGTGACAAAACTGATGACATTTCTTGTGACAAAACTGATGACATGTCTAATGACAAAACACATGATCCACCAGTCAAAACAGATCACACAAATGACAAACCAATGACCCCAACATTGACAAGACTGATTCTTTCAATGACAGACTGATGGCGTCAGTGAAAAAACTGCAATAACTGAATGACAGCAATAACTGAACTGATGATGACAACAGTGTTCATCTCATTAGATAATTGTTTCCTATAGCACTTAAAAACTGATCGGTATGTTTTTATCGGATGCAATAATTGATCTGTTAGATTCACATGGTACGTAACTCACCTCGACACCACAGTTCCCACACGGAAATGCAACTGTATGAAATACACGAATAACACTGTGTGAAATAATGCATTTCATTTCTTTTTCAGGTATATTTGCAACGCTTGCATTTGTGTTTGTGTTGATCACATTCTCTGTCCATGTGTACACATTTGCCAACGAAAACAAGTGGAGAGAGAGCTTTAAAGAGTACATGTAGTAAGTGCCTTCTTCAGTCTGTCTTCCAGACCCTGCAGAATATGCTTGAAAAGGAATCCAACTCAAGTCTAGAATGATTTGGCAAGTTGAGGTCGCCTAAGGAGGTCAGCTGGGCCACACTGGGGAGTGGAGGGATGCCAATGGGTGGGCAGGGGGAGGGAGGTGACAGGGATTGCTCAGAAATATGCAGCCTGAGTGGCGGTAGCATGTAAGCAGAAATGGTTGACATTGCAGGATTACAACAAATTAGAGCCTTGCAGATTTGGCTAGTCCAAGACATTAAACATTGTTCTGCTCACTTTTTGAAATTTTACTTTTTTTTTGTGGATATATATTTTTTTAAATGAGATACCTTTATTTCTGGGACTACATGTTAGTCTAGTGTCTCCCTGTCTACTGCTGTGTGGCATCTTTAAAGGATCATTAAAAGTGGATCAAAAGTCTGGCGTCGGGTGGTCACCTCTGTATCGCCTCTGATGGAAGCATACTAGTTATGATGACATATTAAAAGCATATAACTAAATCATTTGAAATTATTTGACATGCAGATTTCAATGGTCTTGTTGTTGCTGGAATGTCTAATGCAAGTCAATCATGGATGCAGGAACAGGAGGGGTGCATTGTGTTGTCACAATCAAAACATTGTTGGATACAAATAATGCACAAATAAATGTTTGTTTGTCATGTATTTTTGAAAACATATTACAAAATAGTGTTTTCATACTTTTATACCAAGTGTAACCAATTGGCGAGAAAATGTATAAATGTTTTAGCTATGCTTAAAAAAGGGAGTGTGTGCACCTCTGCATATGTGTGTGGACAGAACGTCCCTGATGCACTGCGTAGTGTACCGGTATTCATGTATGTGTTTCAGTTGTGAGGCCAACGTGACAATAACCCGTACCGTGACCAACACCACCGGCAGGACATGTGAGGTTGCACACAAACCGAGTGTGGTGGCGCTAGAGATCCACATCTTCGCCTTCTTCGGGGCGGGCATCGCGATGAGTTCCTGGTCCTGGAACAAGGCCTCCTTCAATGCCTGGGAGAGATTCCTCAGGAAGTAGGCAGATACTATATTTTTCTTTAACATTCTGTATTCCACAAATACAAATTAAAAGTTTCTGAGTGCATTTGACAATTTGATTATATTAGAATGTACCATGCTTGAACCATTTACAGTTGTTTATGATATTGTAAAACGTGGATTTATAAATTGCAAATGTGGCAATCAGCAATGTTCACTCACTCGCTTGTATACGTAGAAAAAAAACATTTCCCAGGTTCACGCTTCATCAACCTAAGTCAGTTTACCAGATGAATTACTTCCCCTTACTAGAGGAGCACTGATGAGAATAATGAGATACAATGTCAAATGGAGGACATATGGCACGTCTAAACCTTTGTTTAGGCAGATTCTTTTTGGTGAGCCGTGTATAAACTGGAGGTATGTTATGTGTGTGTGCCAGGCACATGTGTCGCCCGGTGGTTCATGGCAGATGCACCAAGCACATGAACTGCATACAGGGGTGTATCAGAGTACCTATGTCGAGATGAGAGGTAATTGTAGGGACAGGATAGGTGCACAGATAGGTTTGTTTCTAAGACTAGCAGCTGCAATGTAGCCTGTACATTACCAGGGTGTTCCGCAAGCCGTCCAACAAGCCAGTCAAACTGAAGAAACACAAGATGATTGCCCAGGCCTTCGAGAAGAGAAAGAACATCAACAATGGCCGCATGTCCATCAGCTTCCACAGTACGCATGACGACCCACTAGGTACGTCATAGAAAATGTGTATAATGAACACACAATGCCATTTAGAAAGTGGTCAAATGTAACAAGGGTTATATTGGGATAACACTTCCTTAGCAAAGTACAGATTCTCATACTTTATTAAGAAAGTGTTATCCCAAATATAATATTTGTTACATTTGACGACTTTTTAAATGGCATTTGTGTGTTCAAACCTTTCGGACATGTGAGCCATGCCAATTTACACTTGCCAGATGGGTACACAAAGTATGTGATATAGATAACCAGTTGTCGGACTTTCATTTTTGTGGAAGGCTTGGTGGCTGGGTAGGTTAGATACCTGACTTTGTATGCTGGCGATTAGGTGCCTCATGCTGGCGTCGTGGGTTCGAATCCTGAAAGTGACTCATCCCCCCAATAAAACATCTGTTACATATGATGTTATGCCTCTAGATGTTCCCCATGATGTTGTACCACCTGAAACATCTGTTACATATGATGTTATGCCTCTAGATGTTCCTCATGATGTTGTACCACCTGAAACATCTGTTACATATGATGTTATGCCTCTAGATGTACCTCATGGTGTTGTACCATCTGAAACATCTGTTACATGTGATGTTAGGCCTCTAGATGTTCCTCGTGATGTTGTACCACCTGAACCATCTGTTACATGTGATGTTATGCCTCTAGATATACCTCGTGATGTTATAACCACAAGGAACATCTGTTACATGTGATGTTAGGCCTCTAGATGTTCCTAGTGATGTTGTACCATCCGAAACATCTGTTACATGTGATGTTAGGCCTCTAGATGTTCCTCGTGATGTTGTACCACCTGAAACATCTGTTACATGTGATGTTAGGCCTCTAGATGTTCCTCGTGATGTTGTACCATCTGAAACATCTGTTACATGTGATGTTAGGCCTCTAGATGTTCCTCGTGATGTTGTACCACCTGAAACATCTGTTATATGTGATGTTATGCCTCTAGATGTACCTAGTGATGTTGTACCACCTAAAACATCTGTTACATGTGTAGTTAGGCCTCTAGATGTTCCTCGTGATGTTGTACCATCTGAAACATCTGTTACATGTGTAGTTAGGCCTCTAGATGTTCCTCATGATGTTGTACATCCGAAACATCTGTTACATGTGATGTTAGGCCTCTAGATGTTCCTTGTGATGTTGTACCATCTGAAACATCTGTTACATATGATGTTAGGCCTCTAGATGTTCCTCGTGATGTTGTACCATCTGAAACATCTGTTACATGTGATGTTAGGCCTCTAGATGTTCCTCGTGATGTTGTACCATCTGAAACATCTGTTACATGTGATGTTATGCCTCTAGATATACCTCGTGATGTTATAACCACTAGGAACATCTGTTACATGTGATGTTAGGCCTCTAGATGTTCCTCGTGATGTTGTACCACCTGAAACATCTGTTATATGTGATGTTATGCCTCTAGATGTACCTAGTGATGTTGTACCACCTGAAACATGTTACATGTGTAGTTAGGCCTCTAGATATTCCTCGTGATGTTGTACCATCTGAAACATCTGTTACATGTGTAGTTAGGCCTCTAGATGTTCCTCATGATGTTGTACCATCTGAAACATTTGTTACATGTGATGTTAGGCCTCTAGATGTTCCTAGTGATGTTGTACCATCTGAAACATCTGTTACATATGATGTTAGGCCTCTAGATGTTCCTCGTGATGTTGTACCATCTGAAACATCTGTTACATGTGATGTTAGGCCTCTAGATGTTCCTCGTGATGTTGTACCATCTGAAACATCTGTTACATGTGATGTTAGGCCTCTAGATGTTCCTCGTGATGTTGGTAAGAGTAATATCTGTTACTTATGGTGTACAGACTGACCCATCAGGATATTCCAAATGTGTTGTTTATGGATATTGTTGCGGACAGTCAGTGTGGCACACATTCGTGTACTGTTGTTCTTTATTTTCAGGGATGAAGTTTGATCTCAACAGTGTCAGTTCCCATGACATGTCATCCAACTTTGCTGCTGCCATGCCGAAGCTTGTTCGACGACGAGGTGGTCTCATTCAGCCTGTGGCTGGGACACTTCGCAGATACTCTGACTCAGGTGGGTAGAGGTTGGTTTGTTGTCAAACGTCAAGCTCAGCAACATTCCAGCTATATGACGGAGATCTGTAAACAATCGAGTCTGCCCCAGAGAATCCAGCGATTGAAATCATGAGCATCGATCTATGCAAATGGGATACAATGACATGCATCAACCAAGTCCCCAATTACATTAGTCGCCCCTTACGACAAGCATGGGTTGCTGAAGATGAATTCTAACCCTGATTTTCATTGGTGGAGGTGAGGTGTGAGGGCAGACACGTCAACTGAGGTGGGTGGAGTTGGTTGGTGATGAGTGTTTGGGCAGATACCCCTGAGTTACATCAGAACAAGAAGGTTTTCCCTAAACTACTATTGTGTCTCTTTCCAGATATTGGCTCTGTGATCTCAAGGAGAATGTCTCAGGATTCCCAGCTAGGACAAGCCATTGGACAACCTCAGCTATCCATAGATCCTGATTCCAAGGCAGAAAAGAAAAAGCGAAAGAAGAAGAAAAAGAAAAGGCGAAGAGCTCACAAGATTCAGCCAATCATAGCCCCTGTTTTAAATGCCCTCCATGCTGTGGGTGGTCGGCGAGGGCTACGTCGAGGCAGCGACACATCCGTGATCAGCAGAGCCTCGGCTCACAGTGTGCGAGTGTCCATCGAGAGGAACAGCATGGAGGCCATCTCTATAGCGTCAGTACCTATGTCTCATCACGGTGATATTGACACTGTTGACCTGAGTCAGATACCGTCCACCAGGGCAGGATCTCAACCAGCAAAGCCACACACAAACTTCTCTCTGTTCACAGCCAGTGGCTTGTTGCAGCCCAGAGGCAGACCAAGTGTGCAGGAGTTTGCTGCGGTGAAGAGGTCGAGGAGAAGTCGCCGATCGGAAGTCACTGTGGAAATGTCGGAATCTAACTTTCAAAGTAGTCGGCCCCGACCTGGACAATTAAAACCCATAGAAACAATTATAACCCTGGAATCAGAGGATGGGTCCCAATCAGCTTAGGCAGAATGTCCCTCTGAGCTCTGATATTTTATGACACCAAGTCTACTAGTCTATTCCACAAGGAGGTGATGGTGTTTATATGTAAATTGTAAGTCATAGACTCAGTAAAGAAACAGCTGACTTGATAAAAATATGCTCTATCCCTTCTGAAGAGTTGGACTTATGCCAGATGCTGTATTAGATGTTAGTATCGACAGTCCCATGTGGTATGCATATATAACGAATTAAAAAAGTTTATGACATTTTACGAAACATACCACCAATGTGTTGTGACATTGTCACAGGTTAGGTTCACCTCCAGAACTTGTCAGGATGTTGCAGCTCCTGAGCAGAGCAGATGCATCCACAGTGCTACCTGATGTGTATAGTACTAAATTATAGTACAACTTCAGATCCCAACAAGGATGGGGTGGTTTCATTCCAAGGACAGATATACCATCTTTGTGTTCCCTGCTTGATGGCAGTAGTGTTCTGGACATGAAGATGGTGTTGTTAATATTAACAGGATACCTGGACCTGTTCCTCAAAGCCATCGACTGCCATGAGTCTATGTTAAAGTGTAGGAGACAAGGAGTTACGATTATCTTAGCGCTATGACTGTCATAAGTTAATGTTTAATGTCGTCTTAGCACTATGATCGCTTTACAGTAGAACGGTCCCCAGATCGACATTCATTCAGTGTTCATATGGATGTTTGTGTATGCTGTCACTAAATATTAGTCACCTACGAAACACAATTTATTGTTAGGGTCACTGATTTATGAATACAGTAGTTATAATCCTGTTTGGTTAATTAGGTTGAAGTAAAAATAATATTGTGTACCATATTTTATTCTTAATTTGAAATAACTTTATAGTTGGTAAAAAATGAATGTTTGAAGTAAAAGATGTTTACTGTTTATAAAGTAAACCTTATGTAATTCTGGCACAGAAATTTAAACTTGCTCTCTTATTTTAAGGATGTTTGCATGGCCAGAGACAAAAAATATCTTTTTATTTGTGTTGTTGCACACTTTCTAATGCAGGAAAAAAGTGTCACATCACTTCAATAGTTTCAGAGCAGCAAAGACATCTGCCCATATCTGCTATACATGTTTCTGTGTCTGGCTGCGCCAGTTTGCCATACAGCATTACACACAAAACAATCCTTTATACTTTTTCAGAGAAATCCAATGGAATACTGTCTCCTGTTTACCTTCATAACACATGTAGCGTATCTATAATGAGTAAGGTCTGTTGTACTTTGTTAGATCCAAGGCAAGAAAAAGAACTACTTCTTTTACATATGATCCTTCAGCAACCCATGCTTGCCGTAAACGGCGACTATGCTTGTAAGAGGCGACTATTGGGATTGGGTGATCAGGCTTGCTGACATGGTTGATGCATGTCATCGTATCCCAATTGCGTGGATCGACGATGCTCATGATGTCAATCACTGGATTGTCTGGTCCAGATTTGATTATTTACAGACTACAAATTGCTGGAATATTGCAGAGTGCGGCGTTAAAGACTGAAACATGTGCTCCTAATTTCTTATGACACCAGTTGTCAAGAGAACTGAAACTTTATACAGACAAATAGTATATTTTTAACCTACCAATGGACCCATAGTGGTTAGGGAAGTTTTTTTCTCTCAGCCTAGCCTATTGGTCATAGCTTCTGTAGTGCAAGCACTGCTTTGTGGAATGGGATGCATAGTTGGCTATTAACTGGCGGGGCCAGAGGAGGAGGTGCAGGGAGTGGTCCCCCTTTATGTCAGACCTTACGTGTCACCCTGTGTCTGTCTGTCCTCACGGTTTTATTCACATCAAGTCTTGGGTAGTGTACACCCCCTTTCACATCAAGTCTTGGGTAGTGTGCACCCCCTTTCTCAAAATCCTGGGTCTGCCACAGCCTTTTTCAGTACTTCGATTTGAGCAAGTCGTAATTGGTCAGCGGACATATAATGGCTATGTTCTACTCCATGAAGCCCAGGCAAGTGTAGACTGCTGATTGTTATTGTGGGATTCTATAGTGTAGAATATCACACATAGCAAGGTTGTGACCACTCTATAGTTTAGACACTGGGGACCCCTTCTGCTCTGTATTCTTCATGCAGGTCATCCCAAGTCCACCATGCACTTCAGTTTTTTTACCTACTGGAATACCGGTAGTTTTTTTCAGGGGATGTTTCCATTTTTTTTTGCGACCCATGTATATTACTGAAAGTAACTTTGTCATATCAAATCCATTAATTATTTGAATTTCTTTCTTTTTGAATATTTACCTCAAGACTTTTTATCCCGGGTGGGTTTTCATTGTTGAATGTTACCAAACCATTTTATACAAGCAAAGGTTGTTGACATTTTTTTGATGTTTTATAAAATGCATAATCATGGTAAGGTTTTATCACAAAGCAGACATCATGATACCATTTCTCATGTGTCTTGTGATGTTTTATTGTATGTTTGTGATGTCATATCATGTCAGGGTTTCATATCATGTAATGGACATTGATGGCAGCTGAGTTCTGATATATCATGTTTTTAGTATACCTTGATACCTTGATCTGTACGTACGCCACATCAATCAGACAGCATCCTCGATAACCATGTGTCCCAGATCTCCATTCTGTTGTGATAAGTACCCTTGATGTATAACCATAGCTTCATTTGAGGATGAAACAACATATGCGAAAGCTAAAATTAGCCGTCCAATCAAATATAACTCATGTGCGGGATAATAAGCAGACGCAACCCTGAAAATGTTTCGTATCCCACCTTAAGACGGGCCATGAGTAGTCCAGAGAAGGTCAAACATCATAAACCATGCCTTATGTCACTTCACATCAAGTATATCATCAAATGTGCCTGTCGTCACGTCACATCAAGTATATCATCAAATGTGCCTGGTGTCACCTCACATCAAGTATATCATCAAATGTGCCTGGTGTCACGTCACATCAAGTATATCATCAAATGTGCCTGGTGTCACGTCACATCAAGTATATCATCAAATGTGCCTGGTGTCACGTCACTTCAAGTATATCATCAAATGTGCCTTGTGACTTCATATCACATCATATATACTAGTATATAATCAAATGTGTCTTGTGATTTTATATCACATCATATATACTAGTATATCATTAAATGTGCCTGGTGATTTTATATCACGTCATGTCATGTCAAATGTGCCTGGTGATTTTATATCACATCATATATACTAGTATATATCATCAAAAGTGCCTTGTGGTTTCATATCACGTCATGTATATCACTGCATGTGCTTTGTGATGTCATATCACACGTGTATTATCAAATGTGTCTCATCAAGTCCAAACCTATTCTGTGATACCGTATCACATGATTGCTGGTTGGTATCATAATATGTGCCTTGGTTCGATACACAAAGCATCAACGTGCACAGTTGTCAGACAGTTTCATGTAGTGCTTGTACATACTGATGTCAACATGGGCACTGCAGCGTGCTTGCCCTCATAATAATGTTTAGAGTTTTATACTTCAACTTCCAGTATATCATCTAGGTACATTTTCTCCAAAGATCTGATATAAAACTGAAGATAAAGACCTACAGGAGATGCCTGCTGTGTTGTTGTTATTAAGGAGCAGGGTCTCCTCAAGTGGGAAAGTACCCTAAGGACATCTTCCCGAGTCAGGGGAGTTAACTGACTATAAAAGACCAGATTCCACCCTTGCTGAACTGAGCTGGAATTTCTGGGCTTGATTGTAACGCCACCAGTGGCTATTACGAGTTAGGTCTCTTCTATGTCCCTCCTATTGACCATTCAGATTCCACCTCTCTTATCAATGGTCGAGCATCGAAATTCCATCTTAGTTCGGAAAGGATGGAAACTGGACTGTTGTTGTCAATTAACTCCCATGCCTTGGGAAGATGGTGTTCTTGTGTGATGAATCCAACTTAAAACAAGACAATAAACACAAGGGTAACACATAACAGCAGCAGGATGTAATTCCTCTTTTTATTGAAGAGACTACAGTGACTTCCGGACCAGCACCCAGGGCAGTCGTCGCTGATGCAGCCAGTGCTGGAGAACCTCTTCCTGGCCCACCAGGATCTTCTCCATGACAAACTGCAACACCAGCAATAGCTTTAGCAGCAACACAACAGGACAATTTCAATCCCCAAATCAGTAATTATTGCATCTGCACTACCAGCACTATCTCCCAGACATATGAAACAGAAAAATTAGGTTCTCTGCAACACCAACAATGACTCAAATACTAACAGCACCAATCCGTGTGATCCTGCAGTGTGATCTCATCTGATGTCCACCTCCTTAAGTGTGATACTGTCTGATGTCCAACTCCTGCAGTGTGATCCCGTATGATGTCCAATTCCTGCAGTGTGATCCTGTCTGATGTCCACCTCCTGCAGTGTGATCCCGTCTGATGCCCACCTCCTGCAGTGTGATCCCATCTGATGTCCACCTCCTGCAGTGTGATTCCGTCTGATGTCCACCTCCTGCAGTGTGATCCCGTCTGATGTCCACCTCCTGCAGTGTGATTCCGTCTGATGTCCACCTCCTGCAGTGTGATCCAGTCTGATGTCCACCTCCTGCAGTGTGATCCCGTCTGATGTCCACCTCCTGCAGTGTGATCCCGTCTGATGTCCAACTCCTGCAGTGTGATCCCGTGTGATGTCCAACTCCTGCAGTGTGATCCCGTCTGATGTCCACCTCCTGCAGTGTGATCCCGTCTGATGTCCACCTCCTGCAGTGTGATCCCGTCTGATGCCCACCTCCTGCAGTGTGATCCCGTATGATGTCCAACTCCTGCAGTGAGATCCCGTCTGATGTCCACCTCCTGCAGTGTGATCCCGTCTGATGTCCACCTCCTGCAGTGTGATCCCGTCTGATGCCCACCTCCTGCAGTGTGATCCCGTCTGATGTCCACCTCCTGCAGTGATTCCGTCTGATGTCCACCTCCTGCAGTGTGATCCAGTCTGATGTCCACCTCCTGCAGTGTGATCCCGTCTGATGTCCACCTCCTGCAGTGTGATCCCGTCTGATGTCCACTTCCTGCAGTGTGATCCCGTCTGATGTCCACCTCCTGCAGTGTGATCCCGTCTGATGTCCACCTCCTGCAGTGTGATCTCGTCTGATGTCCACCTCCTGCAGTGTGATCCCGTCTGATGTCCACCTCCTGCAGTGTGATCCCGTCTGATGTCCACCTCCTGCAGTGTGATCCCGTCTGATGTCCACCTCCTGCAGTGTGATCCCGTCTGATGTCCACCTCCTGCAGTGTGATCCCGTCTGATGTCAACTTCCTGCAGTGTGATCCCGTCTGATGTCCACCTCCTGCAGTGTGATCCCGTCTGATGTCCAACTCCTGCAGTGTGATCCCGTCTGATGTCCACTTCCTGCAGTGTGATCCCGTCTGATGTCCACTTCCTGCAGTGTGATCCCGTCTGATGTCCACCTCCTGCAGTGTGATCCCGTCTGATGTCCACCTCCTGCAGTGTGATCCCATCTGATGTCCATCTCCTGCAGTGTGATCCCGTCTGATGTCCACCTACTGCAGTGTCATCCCGTCTGATGTCCACCTCCTGCAGTGTGATCCTGTCTGATGTCAATTTCCTGCAGTGTGATCCCGTCTGATGTCAACCTCCTGCAGTGTGATCCCGTCTGATGTCCACCTCCTGCAGTGTGATCCCGTCTGATGTCCAACTCCTACAGTGTGATCCCGTCTGATGTCCACTTCCTGCAGTGTGATCCCGTCTGATGTCAACTTCCTGCAGTGTGATCCCGTCTGATGTCCACCTCCTGCAGTGTGATCCCGTCTGATGTCCACCTCCTGCAGTGTGATCCCGTCTGATGTCCACCTCCTGCAGTGTGATCCCGTCTGATGTCCACCTCCTGCAGTGTGATCCCGTCTGATGTCCACCTCCTGCAGTGTGATCCCGTCTGATGTCAATTTCCTGCAGTGTGATCCCGTCTGATGTCCACCTCCTGCAGTGTGATCCCGTCTGATGTCCAACTCCTGCAGTGTGATCCCGTCTGATGTCCACTTCTTAGCAGTGTGATCCCGTCTGATGTCAACCTCTTGCAGTGTGATCCCGTCTGATGTCCACCTCCTGCAGTGTGATCCCGTCTGATGTCCACCTCCTGCAGTGTGATCCCGTCTGATGTCCACCTCCTGCAGTGTGATCCCGTCTGATGTCCACCTCCTGCAGTGTGATCCCGTCTGATGTCCACCTCCTGCAGTGTGATCCCGTCTGATGTCCACCTCCTACAGTGTGATCACTTCTGATGTCCACCTCCTGCAGTGTGATCCCGTCTGATGTCCACCTCCTGCAGTGTGATCCCGTCTGATGTCAATTTCCTGCAGTGTGATCCCGTCTGATGTCCACCTCCTGCAGTGTGATCCCATCTGATGTCCAACTCCTGCAGTGTGATCCCGTCTGATGTCCACTTCTTAGCAGTGTGATCCCGTCTGATGTCAACCTCTTGCAGTGTGATCCCGTCTGATGTCCACCTCCTGCAGTGTGATCCCGTCTGATGTCCACCTCCTGCAGTGTGATCCCGTCTGATGTCCACCTCCTGCAGTGTGATCCCGTCTGATGTCCACCTCCTGCAGTGTGATCCCGTCTGATGTCCACCTCCTGCAGTGTGATCCCGTCTGATGTCCACCTCCTACAGTGTGATCACTTCTGATGTCCACCTCCTGCAGTGTGATCCCGTCTGATGTCCACCTCCTGCAGTGTGATCCCGTCTGATGTCAATTTCCTGCAGTGTGATCCCGTCTGATGTCCACCTCCTGCAGTGTGATCCCATCTGATGTCCAACTCCTGCAGTGTGATCCCGTCTGATGTCCACTTCTTAGCAGTGTGATCCCGTCTGATGTCAACCTCTTGCAGTGTGATCCCGTCTGATGTCCACCTCCTGCAGTGTGATCCCGTCTGATGTCCACCTCCTGCAGTGTGATCCCTTCTGATGTCCACCTCCTGCAGTGTGATCCCGTCTGATGTCCACCTCCTGCAGTGTGATCCCGTCTGATGTCCACCTCCTGCAGTGTGATCCCGTCTGATGTCCACCTCCTGCAGTGTGATCCCGTCTGATGTCCACCTCCTGCAGTGTGATTCCGTCTGATGTCCACCTCCTGCAGTGTGATCCCGTCTGATGTCCACCTCCTGCAGTGTGATCCCGTCTGATGTCCACCTCCTGCAGTGTGATCCCGTCTGATGTCCACCTCCTGCAGTGTGATCCCGTCTGATGTCCACCTCCTGCAGTGTGATCACTTCTGATGTCCACCTCCTGCAGTGTGATCCCGTCTGATGTCCACCTCCTGCAGTGTGATCCCGTCTGATGTCCACCTCCTGCAGTGTGATCCCTTCTGATGTCCACCTCCTGCAGTGTGATCCCGTCTGATGTCCACCTCCTGCAGTGTGATCCCGTCTGATGTCCACCTCCTGCAGTGTGATCCCGTCTGATGTCCACCTCCTGCAGTGTGATCCCGTCTGATGTCCACCTCCTGCAGTGTGATCCCGTCTGATGTCCACCTCCTGCAGTGTGATCCCGTCTGATGTCCACCTCCTGCAGTGTGATCCCGTCTGATGTCCACCTCCTGCAGTGTGATCCCGTCTGATGTCCACCTCCTGCAGTGTGATCTCGTCTGATGTCCACCTCCAGCAGTGTGATCCCGTCTGATGTCCACTTCCCGCAGTCTGATCCCGTCTGATGTCCACCTCCTGCAGTGTGATCCCGTCTGATGTCCATCTCCTGCAGTGTGATCCCGTCTGATGTCCACCTACTGCAGTGTCATCCCGTCTGATGTCCACCTCCTGCAGTGTGATCCCGTCTGATGTCAATTTCCTGCAGTGTGATCCCGTCTGATGTCAACCTCCTGCAGTGTGATCCCGTCTGATGTCCACCTCCTGCAGTGTGATCCCGTCTGATGTCCAACTCCTACAGTGTGATCCCGTCTGATGTCCACTTCCTGCAGTGTGATCCCGTCTGATGTCAACTTCCTGCAGTGTGATCCCGTCTGATGTCCACCTCCTGCAGTGTGATCCCGTCTGATGTCCACCTCCTGCAGTGTGATCCCGTCTGATGTCCACCTCCTGCAGTGTGATCCCGTCTGATGTCCACCTCCTGCAGTGTGATCCCGTCTGATGTCCACCTCCTGCAGTGTGATCCCGTCTGATGTCAATTTCCTGCAGTGTGATCCCGTCTGATGTCCACCTCCTGCAGTGTGATCCCGTCTGATGTCCAACTCCTGCAGTGTGATCCCGTCTGATGTCCACTTCTTAGCAGTGTGATCCCGTCTGATGTCAACCTCTTGCAGTGTGATCCCGTCTGATGTCCACCTCCTGCAGTGTGATCCCGTCTGATGTCCACCTCCTGCAGTGTGATCCCGTCTGATGTCCACCTCCTGCAGTGTGATCCCGTCTGATGTCCACCTCCTGCAGTGTGATCCCGTCTGATGTCCACCTCCTGCAGTGTGATCCCGTCTGATGTCCACCTCCTACAGTGTGATCACTTCTGATGTCCAACTCCTGCAGTGTGATCCCGTCTGATGTCCACTTCTTAGCAGTGTGATCCCGTCTGATGTCCACCTCCTGCAGTGTGATCCCGTCTGATGTCCAACTCCTGCAGTGTGATCCCGTCTGATGTCCACTTCTTAGCAGTGTGATCCCGTCTGATGTCAACCTCTTGCAGTGTGATCCCGTCTGATGTCCACCTCCTGCAGTGTGATCCCGTCTGATGTCCACCTCCTGCAGTGTGATCCCGTCTGATGTCCACCTCCTGCAGTGTGATCCCGTCTGATGTCCACCTCCTGCAGTGTGATCCCGTCTGATGTCCACCTCCTGCAGTGTGATCCCGTCTGATGTCCACCTCCTGCAGTGTGATCCCGTCTGATGTCCACCTCCTACAGTGTGATCACTTCTGATGTCCACCTCCTGCAGTGTGATCCCGTCTGATGTCCACCTCCTGCAGTGTGATCCCGTCTGATGTCAATTTCCTGCAGTGTGATCCCGTCTGATGTCCACCTCCTGCAGTGTGATCCCATCTGATGTCCAACTCCTGCAGTGTGATCCCGTCTGATGTCCACTTCTTAGCAGTGTGATCCC